ACACACACACACACACACACACACACACACACACACACACACACACACACACACACACACACACACACACACACACACACACACACACACACACAGACACAGACACAGACACACAGAGACAGAGACAGAAACACAAAAAAGAGACACAGAGAGAGACATATACATGTACATCTCGCCTTGTACCTGGTGGAACGGGCTTGTCCCAGACACACTAAATTGCTCACCTGAGGCGTATCGAAAAAGGCGAGTTGGAACTGACACTTCCATCAGTAGCCTGAACCTATGCCACTCGCAAACCTCGGTCCCATGCATCTGTTCATCCAGTGCTTCCCGAGAGCCTATCGAGCCCATGAAGGTTAGTGCTTGCAACCGAACGGAGGCCCGCAGTGAGGTCCACGGCGAAAAAAAGCAATTACTTTCGAATTCAAAGTCAAACCCATCCTCGCCTGAAAGAACCGTAACCCGACCTGGCGTCCACTGGTTGGGAGGCTTGATCCTTTGTCATGCCGGCTCTGGAGTGATATACCGACTTACAACGTCCGCATTCCGATGTGCGTACGGTCGCTGCCTACGGAGACAAAACGAAGCGAGTGCGCCAAAGCGATACGTAGGTCGAAGACAAATGCGGTATTGTGGTTATATCGACAGGATAGTACGACGTGTCGAATTGGTGCCCAACGCATACGGTGCTCGAACAAGACCCCAACTTACCTCACCTTGGAGAGAAGCCATCAAGAGCAGCGAAACGGAAAGAAAGAGGAGGCTAACTCGAACCAGCAGTCTGATGAACTTCCAAGGACGTGGGAAATAGATGGGAAGAGTGAGAATGCAGGTAAACACAGATCAAGAGAGCAAGATGATGAATGTAAAGAAGCAAAGAAGGGGAACGAAGGGCGAAAGAGAACTAATTGAAGGATCCCAGAGATGGGAAGGTTCAGTGAAGAGCCTTGACACACCTACAGCAACAACAACGCATGTTCTTCTCCGAGATATAAGACACAAACGTATGATCAGGTGCCGGTGATGCACACCATGCAATCTATCCAACTAAATCTCAGGCTAGAAAACCGAACGGAAAACCGGAATGGGTATCGTTGAAGTCTACATGCCCAACCGATATAGGCCATGTACTGATGTAGTCTGTCTACGCAATCAACAAGGAAGGGGGGTAACAAGAAAGAAGGGCGAAGAAATCGGGGACGAAGACCCTTCGCATGCTGACGAGTTGGTTGCTCCGAGTCAACACTGACGGAAGATAAGAATGCTGTGTTGGGAGCATGGTGGGAGACCAGCGTATGCCACGGATCGGCGTAATGCAAGTTACCGTCAGCAAGCGAGAAACTGAGTGTTCATCCATCCGATGACACGTTGTCATCTCCAGCAAATGTTGGTCAAGGGAACGGGAGCCACAATTCCTCAGAGGATGAAGCGATGCGAGGATTCCACGGCCTCCTGCCAGAGCCAGTACAGTAGCGCCAAAAGCAACATATGCGGGCGAAGAGCGTGCCTGCACCAATCATCCGCATCTTAGGAGTTCATATAGTGGGTGTTCAAAAGGCCAACCTTAGTGTGTGTGTGTGAAAGTAAGCTGATCCTAATGAAGTCACAAATGAAGCATCCTTCACCGGGGACAATGGCAAGGTACCGGCATGCAAGGTGTGGGCGGAGGTTCTGAGGACAGGACTGCAGAAGCGTGAGAATAATGGAATCCGTACTGTGGCACGGGTTGTTGGTCTTTGTGTGCCTGTGGTAAGCACCAGAGTGCAGAAGCTGTGTCCGAGTTGGTCAGTGGTGTAGGGGGAAGGATATTCCCGGTCCAACGTCGTGATACGGTTAATGCAGAAGATATACCACAGTGGACCCCCGATTCGAGAAAGCCCTGGGTTTGAGAAAAAGCGGTACGGGTGGAGTACGCGCCCAAGCATCAACGACCCATGCTGACGGATGCTGATTGGTCCTGTCCAAGGGAGGATGTGGACGCGGTTCCCATAGCTCTGATACATGTGCACCGTACTCCGTACACACATATAGTATGTCGGAGTCGCTCCCATATTGCGCTGGACTCGTGAGTTGTTGGTGAATCCAGTTTTGGAGACCAAACGATCACAATCCTCGATTGCAGGAAGCACGGAAAACCCACGCCGAGGGTGACGGGACGGATATACATAGTACTCAACTTCAAGCACATGCCTTTCCCTTGCATGGATGGACCGAGGCGCGACACTTTAAGAAGCTTCCAGTTGCTGCATCTCAATAAGCCCATGCTCTTGCCCAACAGGTAGCGTAATCGGCGATGACCAGCAAGGAGTTCCAGGCTGAAAACAGCCTCCGCGGATTGCGACGGTTTTTTGGACACGCAGACAACATCGAGAAGCATATACGGCAGGGTACGTTTACACAGTATTTTCTCATCAGGCCGTCCCGTGTGGTGTGTAAGGATAAAAAGGTTGATGAGACAAGTCCCACATAGGTTGTCCCAAGTGAAGCTTAGCAGACTGAGGTTCATCTCAGGGATTCCTAAAAAGTTGCTGGGGCTCCTGTCTGACGGCGGGATAAAACTCGGCAAGAGCCATAGAGGTTGGGATGGTGTTGTAAGAGCTGAAAGGGTCTGTTGATGGGCGTTACTGAAGCTTACTATGCAGGATTGCTTGGCGAGGCGAACCAATCAGTTCACGAATCCGGAAAGCGATTCTCTGCCTCCAAAAATAGCCTGTACAAGATCATTCCAAGACGATATAGAGCCTAATGAGGATTCCGTACGAGCGTACAGTTGCAGACGCCGGATGTGAAGCGGGAAAGGGTATAGTGTGGTACGAGCAAATTTCGAAACCACTGGTGGTCAGCCAGCAAATTGTTGATCGACGACAACGAGCAGTCGAAGAGCACATGACTTTAGCCTGAGGTGATGCTGACAGGAAAGAAGGGCGCCTGTGTTGGGGAATGCGCAAATGCAATCAATGCATCAGAGCGGAGAGGCTTCATGCTTCGGCTTTGGGCGAGCCCTTGCGGATTTGGATTGCATTCCTCCAAGCCAGATTAATCATGCTGTTCGAGCACAGGTACCACATGTGAGGTAAGCCGAAGCTTGGTATAAATTATTGGGCCTCGTTGTGGCCTCCTGGTATCGGCTTTTTGTTATGAAAGGGTAAGCTCCCTTGCGCTGTCGCACGTCAATCCGAGATTACACGGTGGACGCGTATTATTCCGGTGGGATGCACTGCAGATGCGGGACAAAGCGACGGCTCGCCGAGGTGCCTCCGGCCATTGAGATTGAGAGAACCCTGCTGCAGGACAGACGTGAGACAGTCGGCGGTTACAACCGTGGCAGAGGTATGAACTGTCAAAAGAGACGGAGGGGTGGAAAACTACTATGTATGTAAGGAGTATTGAGATCGAAGAGTGGATCCGGTGGAGTTGAGATTACTTTCCAGTGCCATGTAGGCATGATCCAGACCACATGGATATTCTCTTGATATGCTGGTCAATACGGAGTACGGGGGTGTCCGACTATGTGTACGGAGTCCAGCGAAATGGCCGTCTCGACACGAGATACACAAGGGCCGAGCGACATTGGTCGTGCATCTCGGCCTTGTTTGATCCATCGATGACTCGTTTCAAGGCGTGTGCTCTTTACCGGCCATGGGTATTCTAAAGTCTGGATTCAGAGTGCAGCAGCAGTGGCAGGCTGCAGACGAATTTCCGAGGGTGACAACTTGTTGCGTTTGTTGTTGGTCGAAGGTCAGCCGTCCTGTGGGCTGGAGCAGGGCCCTGCCAGTTTCCATGGTGGGATGGGTTTGAGAGGACGAGTCGCGGCTTTCCAAATGCTATGAGCAGGCGGCATTCTGCACAATGGGGTTGGCGTTGCTTTTTTTGCGAGTGACGCTGACTGGTGCATCCCATAGCGAAAGCCTTTTGGTTGGGTTGCATGCAGGTGCCCAGGTGAGCGCTCAGCAAAGGATAGTCTAATCACCAACGAAAAGCTCACCGATGTCTTGATCGGGCACAGATCGAGGCGGCGACCATGGAGGCCATTTGACTGGATGAGCCTTTGCCAAGGCTTGTATCGGCTGATACCACAGAACAGTATACTGATTACAACCTCTTACCACTGTCAACATGCCGACCATGCTGAAAGCGATGCACAGAGTTTTAGGCCGACATGGCTATTGACGCTGGCCGTGCCTTTTTGCCGCCAATGTCAACGCTGTGTGACACGGGCAAGGACGGAAGCATGCCGCTGAAGGAATATGTCTGTATTGCAGCATTACTCTTCTTCTCGACGTGCTTTGGGTTTGTATCAGGTGCATATTGGCGAATCTACTTAGCCCTGATACATTACCACTCCTGGGCAGTAAAAGTACCTCGTTGCGTAAAGTTTGGTACCACCTGGGAGACGCGTCGGACAAAACCAGGTTGAGACACAAGGGCAACGCGGCGGCACAAGGGCGTTCGTCCAGATGCTCCGGCTTCAGAGACAGACTGCAGAGGAGCGATGATGGTGCTGGTCATGGTGACCGTTTCGTGGTTAACATTCCCGTTCCTTTCATGAAGTCCACACCATGACAGGCAGCGGCGGCCTTGCCACGTTCGGATCCACGCACCCCCTCGTGGACCGGCTGCGGGGGGTTACGTCATCCAGGGCAACCCAATTTGCCTGCCTTTCGCGTCGTCGATGCGGTTCCGGCCAGGGTACGGAGAGGATGAGCAGATGAGCAGTTATTTATTGCCGGGGCCTGGCTTGAGGCTGACGCTGACTGGGGCGCAGAGGCGCACAGGCGTGGCGACAAGGTTGGAAGCACATGCAGATTTGGCCCAGCCTTCTCCTTTGCAAAGAAGGAGAGATCGGTCGCAGCAGGCCCCCGCATGCATGGGGCAGGGCGTTGCGCTGTGTCGATGTGGCCAGCAGGTGCAGGCCGACCCGAGCCACCAGAAGAAGTGGAGCAGGAAGGTCGCACCTTGCAAGTGTCCTTCGAAACCACTTCGCAAGTCGAATCAAAGATCACGGTGGACTCCGTACTATATAAGTAGATACTGTGTCAGTGGTCTTGGGCATCAGCCCGGCTCGCGGACCCAGGAGCATGTCGCCTCCTGATTCCTGAATCAAAATGGCTTGGTGCAGCTCGATGCGAAGCAGTGCCGTGAAGAAAATGCTTTTACCCTGGAGGCTAGCAGATAGCAGTTTTGTCTCGTCATGTGCCGGCTGCGAGGCAGTTACACAGGACGCTCGCGTTCACGGTGGAGATGCACGAGTCTGTCGCAAAACAAGCGCCTGTGTGTGATGGTGATGGCTGTGTGGCATGCACTGGCTCGCCGGACCGCTGAAGCCATGTGAATCACGACCTGGGCAGCGACCAGGCAGCTGCCCTGGCTGCTTTCGGATTGGCTCCAAGTGTTGCTTGTTTGTACTTGTACGAGTGAGGGAATTCTGGCGGCGCAGCGGTGCTTGTTGTTTTGCGGCTCTCACAGTCGAGAACGAAGTCCTTCCTGCAGTTGTGTGTCTGAGGCAGTCCATAGGCCACAACCTGGGCAGCTGAAGGACCTCGGGAGCCGAGTGTGGTCACGGGGTTGCCGAGGCCGTTCGTCGGTGCAGGGGCCGGAGTCGCTCGGATTGGTCCAGGAGGAGCAGCCAAGCGAAGCCAATCAAATGCTGAGTGAAGGTGAGCAGGACTTCCTTTTTTCTTCTTTCTTTTTGGCGAGGTCGGCAGACAGGCCAGGCCATGCGGAGCAAGTGGCAGACGGCTTGTTGGTTTGGGTTTGCGACTCTGACGGAATTGCCATCATGCCATGCACCAAGGAAAAGGGCTGTGCTCTGTGTCGCGTCGATCCTCCCGGCGGGACGATGCATGGGTCTCATCGGGGCATGGGCTGCATTTGGTCGACAGCCACTCGCCTGGGCACAGCCGGAGATTTCTCGTCATTACCAGAGGAGAGTCTGGCGGTCGGGAAACGGCTTGTCGTGTTGAGCCTGGCAGTGCCTTTTGTCGGTGAGTTGCGCGTACCTCGAGATGGTGGTTCGCTGGTGCACCGTCGCGCCAGCCACTGTAGGAGCGCCGCACCTGCAGCGGAGAGATTCAGCTCCAACCTCTTCATCAACAAGAAGACTGCTCGGGTCTCTGGTGATTGCCGAGTGGACTCCTCCGTACTCGTGGTTTCAGCGACGGAAAAGTGCCCACTTTCTGGAAAAGAGATGCAGCCGGGGTTCATCGTCCTCAGGCTCCATCAACACTCGACCCGCAGGCGTGGAACTTTGGAGGCGCAGATGGATAATGGCCAGGGGGTGGGGGGCTGGTCGGGGAGGTTAGGGGTAGTCTCGGACCCAGGGGCAAGGGGCGTCGGGGGCTCTTTCCTCCCTTGCGGGAATGCACCGGAAGCGAACCACCTCATGGAAGCCACACTCACTTCTCCCCACGCCCGACCGAGTCTGCCACGGCCGTCACAATTTCAGGGCCCTCCAGAGTGGTAGATAATAATACTGTGAATGTTGGTGCAAGGTGCTGATTACTGCAATCTCCGGCCACAACAAGGCGCCTTGTTGTGAGTGCGACGGCGGGCTAACCTTGCACAGGTCATATCATTATCCCACCAGCCTGTAATGGTGAAGCGGCATCATCATCGCATTATTTGGGTTTTTTTGGCTGCTCACTCTTCTTCCCGGTCGATTGTTCTGCTTCGTTTGCTTTCGCCCCAGCCGGCCCACCGCGCGAGACGAGTCAGCCATGTCCCCGTTGCTTGCGACTGCTGACCCCACACATCTCTCCCTCGTAGTCCGTACTAGTCCCCTAATGGTCAGGTACTTCCTCCGCATGCGTGGCGGTTTGCAGGTTTGCAGTTCCCTCCTCCTGTGTCATACGAATCATGTCCGTCACCAAGAAGCGTCTCACAACTTCGGCCGGGGAGCTCTGGCGGGCTGCTCACACACGAGAGAAGCAACCACGCTGCATCTGGTTGGCGAGGTAGAGCTGGAGCAGAAGCGACACGAGCTGCCGTGACCGACTGACGTTGCGCCCTGCCGCTCCAACCCAACCTTGGCAATCCGGGAGGACGCCCATCCTTTGACTGACAATCATCGTGGTTCCGTTGTTCCGCCATGATCACGCATTTCGTCAAAAGCGTTTCTGCTCTGTTCCGCTCGCTGGCGGCTGAACCCCTGCGCCCCTCGCTTGGCTCGTTGCTTCGTTGCTGGCGGGGCGGCCCCATGCGCAGCTGTCATGCTTTTGGCAACTCTGTTCTGTTTGCCGGAGCGGCTAGACACCCCATCCATCCATGACCGTTACCCACAATCCTGTGTTGCTGCCGGGTTTGCCGGCTAGTCGTCCTGCACCAGCCCAACTCTTGCAACCCCGACCCTCCTTCCCTCCCCGACCTCGAGAGTCTTGTTGTGTTGACCGCCTTGTCGACCGGCCTCACCCCATCCCCTGGCCCTGCAGGGGGCGACCTCGCCTCCAGACTATCCCGAACTCTCTTTTTGCCATCGGCTGCCATCAGTCACTCACCAGCCGCAAGCCAACCTGATGCTTTTCCCTGCCTGGTCTGTCTCGCGTCGTTGCGCCATGATACATACCTACCCGCGCGCTCCTCAATAATCGTCCATCCATCCTCGCTGTGATTCGGCCGGCAGTACTCCGTAGTGCTCCTCCATCTCGTCGTCTCCTCCCCTGCTCGCATTCCCAACCGTGTCCCTCCGTCTCCGTCTCCCGTCACAGTACCGCTACCCACGCCGCTCCTTCACAACCCCATCCCTTGGGAACCCCTTTAACTCAATTGACCACGCCGTTCCTTGCTGGCCTTGCTGCCTCCGCCTCTTCGTTAGTCGTGCACCTGCTTGCAGTGCCACAAGTGCCCCTAGCCGCTTCCTACCTGAGTAGGTACCTTTCTTGTCTGTCACTCGTCTACCATCTACCATCCCACCGTCCCTTCCTCATCTGTCTATATGTCTTGGCACTCCATATACCTATGCACCTCACCCCAGCTCCCCTCTCCCCGTTGCTGTTCTGTTTGTGATCATTCCTCCTGCCCAAGCACAACCAACCCTCGACCTTCACCTGAACCCGTCTTCCCTCTATATCACCCTGATGACTTCCGCTCTGGCCCCAGAGTGTGACTTCGCCTTTGCCCCTTCTGTCCAAATGTCTTCCTCCGACTTTGCTCGACGCCTCTCCCGGAGCTCAGGAAGCTACTCCTCTGGTCACCGCTCTTCCCGCGTCGAGAAGCCCAAGAGCAACCACAACAGCCCTCGCCCTCTCGAGAGACGCAAGACCACTTCGAGCGCCAAGCGCTATGCAACCCTCGACGACCACTTCAATCTCATGTTTGGAATCACCACCCAGGACGATGCTCCCACCGACAGCACCGAATCTACCCGGCCCGTGAGCTGGCATCCCTCGTCCTTATCACAAGGCTCTTCTCGTCCGTCCGCCTCGGCATGGCCCACCTCAGGTGCGGATTGGTCTCGTCATTCGACTCACGGAGCCGACTTCTATTCTCTTTCTGCCCGGAGCCCAATGGATTCTATGCCGTCCAATTACTACTCAGTCTACCCTCCGTCCGAGGACCTTTATCGAGCGTCTCAGGGCTCCATCGATGGCTGGCACTCCCACCCACAATCATATGCCGCCTCCTCCTTCTCTACTCCCTCTACCGAACCGTTGCCATGGTACGTCAAGGAATGGACACGTAGGAACCAAGCCGTGCCTTCCCCGTCAGTAGACTACGAACCGACGGATTTCCTTCCCATCCAGCACCCTTCTGCCGTTGAGGCTCCCGCAGACGAAGAGGAGGACTCGGGAAAGGAGCTTGTGGGAATGGGCCTCTACGACTCCCCCGATCCAACCTTCTCGTGGAACTCTCCGGCACCTGCCACAGGCAAAGGTCTGAAGCTGGAGGAGACGTGGGAGCCCCCGGAGGAGGAGGAGGACGACGGCGACGACAACGAGGCCGGAGATGCGAGCTCCGATGACGGAAGCATCGAGGAGCTTCCGGTCGCCAAGGAAGAGCCGCAACTGCCCATTCCCACCGTCAAGCCGGACCTGGCGGCCAATATGCAGGGCCAGAGCTTCTTCTTTGAGGACGACGACAACAGCGGCAGGGATTGGTGGTGCCAGCAGCAACCGTCGGTACCGGTGCAGGCCACTGGGCTGCAATATAATGTCGCTTGGATCTAAGCCAAGTGGCTTTCCTTTTCAATCTCCTTCATGAGCGCATAGCACGGAAGGCTTCGGAAGGCCCTGTAGATTTTACTCGTTTCGATACAGATACCCCTGCCTTCGTTGGCATATACATTCTGCGGAATGAGCGCAGATGTGATTTATCTAACGTAATGAGATATATTGGCATATCCGAATCATGGCTTATTGTCCATATAAGGACTCGGTGTGCACTCACTCTCTGCAGATGAATCAGCTGTGTGCATCCTCTCACCAGTCCATGATAATTCTATGGAGGTTTCCGGTACCGCATCATGTGAAGAGGTTTTGGAAGACTCTCAGTAAGGGAGTCTAGCTTGGAAGGGAGATTCGTCATGAAGAGCAGTCTTCCGGTTGCTAGCCTAGAGGTAGCTCTCCTGCCAACCTTCGGACATGGAATCTAGTAACTGTCACGTGAGTGGACAAAGATGATTGGACCGATTTTCAAGACCTCGAAAACAGCCCTGGAGCCCTACGCGGAAACGCTAAACCGGGAGGAACCTAGCGCGATTTGGCGTTTTTGATACCTCACGTGCATGAATCTTTCACTTCTCCATACTACTGGCTGTAACCCCTCTCAATGCTATTGTAGATAATTGATTGGTCGATATCGATCTGATATCATTATCCACAGTTCCCCTCAGTCTCCTCTTGTTTGCACACACATGACCTGCTGAATGGAGCGACCCAATTTCGTGGCTACGCCCTGGCGCAATGGGTGCGAGTTGTTGGAGTTGAGGACTTGGTTCTTTGGGGCGAGGGAGCAAGGGAGCGGGCAGGGGAAAGTGGATAGGAGGAGAGAGGGGGTCGATAGGGTATGTTGTGGAGTTTCCATTTGTTGTATCGAACTACCTTGATCTCTATTCTTGTATCGGCGAATCCCCATGCCTCTGTGGATTTTTCTTTCCTTTCTCCATTCTGAGGGTTGTCTACTGTTTGTTTTGTTTTCCTAGTTCCATTCATTGCAATTCTCCTTTCTGTTCGAGTTGAAAGAGAACGGGGATCGAAGAGGGATACACATGTTCGTGGGATGGGAGCATCACCTACTAACATACCAATCTAGGTCCTGGCGTGGCGGGCCCGCAAGCCCGAACTCCCGCTTCTGCTGGACTCGACGGCGGATCTGGTCGATGCGGTACTGCAGGATGAGGCCGGGCTGGAGGCGAGTGCGCTGCGGTTGGTGTATGCGGCTGCCGTGGCGAGGTATGTTTGTTCTGACGATCATGCATGATTATTTTCATCGCATCTTCTCCTTCTCAAGTCTGTCAAGGCATACGTTTCCCACGGCTTCTCCAAAGGTCATGGTCTCTCTTTCTGTCTTGATTTTTTGCCTATCATCATTGCATCGCCTACGCCCCTTTTCCTGACTGCATATCTCGTTTGCCCTACTTTCTATCAATCACCAGTCAATTATATAGCACGCTTGAGCCGGAATCATTGCTCTCCGACCCCCTTCCGTCCTCGCCAACCCTACTAACGCCCTTGTAGATTCATTACAGGCCTCACCGACACCACCCTCGACCTCCGCCGTTCCCGTCCCCACTGGCATATCCCCACCTCATCTGCCTCCCAACCAGTCCACAACACTTCCGACGCTCCCTTCACCTCCACCCGTCCGAATGCCATTTCCTCCTCCTCGACAACAACCACCACCACCTTCCTCGACCTCCCCGCCCACCTCCTCGAAACCCGCCACAACATCGTCCACCGCCACCTCCCTCCACTCTCCGTGCTCAAGAAAGCAGCTCGAGATTCCCTAAAATGGCTCTGGGACGCATATTGGTCGCACCTGGACATCGGCCTCGCAGGTCCCACGCCGGATGCCTCACCTCGCGACTCTCTCGAAGGCACCTCTTCAGCGCTGAGGGAGAAGCTTCACGGCGTGTTGAAGACGTACCTGCGCGCTCGCAAAGCCGAACTCCTGTCCTCCTCCTCCTCGTCGTCGGCGGCGAGCAAGAAGACGAGATCGAAGTCGCAGTCTGCCACTGACAAGTCTACTACTACGTCGTCCGCGGCTGCGGAAACGGCCCTGTTTACGCTGTCCACGCTACCCGCGACGCCCCTCTCCAGTCCGCCAGTTCGAGATACTTTGCTGGAGTTACTGGTGCTGGGACCGGAGCCGATGATTCTGCCGACGGCGAGGCGTCAGGGGAGGACGAGTAAGGAGGATCATGATGACAGTGCAAGTAAGAAGACGAATAATAACATGGCGGGCGCATTCCTGCTATGGTCTCCCCTGCTCCTCCTCCTTTCCTCCCCTCCATCGTCAGCGTCCTTCTCCTCTTCCACGTCTCAAGGATCCCCATCCCCACCCTCGTTCCTCCCAGCCTTCGTCGAAGCTTTACTCACCGCTCTCGACGGCCCGACGGGTACTCGGGAATCGGCCACGCAAAACGGATTACAAGCCTGGCTCCTGCACGTCCTCACCTCGGAAGCATTCAGCTCGGTACGGAAGTCTTCAAAGGGAAGCAGGGATCTGGTGCGGGAGACGTTGGAGGCGTGCTTCACGACTCCCTCCGCGGCGAGGTTATCTGTTGCCGAGGCTTTGCTGGGGAGTGAAGGGAGTGGGATTGCGAGGGGGGAGAGGCAGATGTGGGGTGCTGTTTTGGAGGCTGCGAGGAGAGGGACGGGGAGAGAGGAGCAGGAGCAGCAGGAGGGGGAGGGGAAGCCGGGAGAAGGGCAGAAAGAACAAAGGGATGAGGAGGACGCTATGCAGATCGACATGCACGAAACAGAGCTTGCACCGGAGGCGAAGGCGGTGAAGAAGCTGAGCGGGCCGCAGAAGTATGTCGGGTTGTGGAGACCACGGCCTATTGGGTGGGTTGGCGGCGATTGAGGGAGTCAATTCGGGAGTCACCAGCAGTTCAGCAGATGCCGTGCCTTAAATGCGCCGGAGGAAGTTGGAGATTACAAAGACGTCGCCTTTTGATATCTCGCACGCGCAGAGAATATCTGGATATCACATTCCCTCCCAGAATCCCATAGCCGCCGGACGCCTTGTGCGTGAACTAAACTGCAAACCCACAGCGCCTTCCAATGCAACTCCGTTTACCCGGCCGTGGAGAACAACGTACATTCCCCCTAGCACGCTCTTCCCTACCACAGTTCCTTCCAAACCTAACATGCATCCCAGTCATCGCCATAACCAAACTGCAGCGTCAATGGTATCGCTCCATGATACCGGTCGCCCCTCAGGGAGGTCTCTTCCCCCATCCCCAGCTCATGCCGACCCGTCATACATGGACACCGGAGTCGCCAGCCCAGATCTACAGACATAGCAGTGTTAGCAATCACGAAACAACTCAATGTCCTTCATACAGGTATCCCTCCCCTCTTCATCTTACATCATGAGATCGCGATCCGGCTGCCACAGGTAGAAATCCTTATCCGCACTCGCCAACACATTGGCCCTCGGATTGTACCCTATTATGGGCGCCTTGGCCGGACAGGGCAGCGTCTCCATGGGTTCTAGATAGTGATTCGAAGTGGGAGCTTTCGAGATGTCCCACACCAATACGCCGTTCTCCGCGCTGCCGCCGAGCAGGTACTGTCCGTCCGGTGAGACACACGTATCTCCCTGTCCTATCGCCGGGGAATCCATCGATCGCGCGTTGCCTCCCGACCGGGATGAGCCAGGGCCAAGCCGTCCTGAATGTCCGGCTTTGCGATAGGCGAAGTGCGTGATGGTCCCCTCGAAAGCATCGAGCACAAAGTGTCCGCAGCCAGTCGTGCTGATAATGAGATTCTTCCCGTCATTGGTGAACTCCATCTTCGTCCATTCCCCGCCTTGGGCGCCGAGGAAGCGGGATGCGTAATCGAGAAGGTCGAACGTCGCGAACGGCGGTTTGTCGTAGTTGCGTACGTCGTAGAGATGGATCGTGTGGGTTGGCGGAGAGGCAATTGCGATGACGGAGGCCGAAGGGTCGTAGGCTGTGAGGTAGGGCGCATGTATTTTGAGTTTCCCCTGGTAATTGGGAGACCGCAAGTCCCACATGAGCACCGAGTCGTCCCGTGCGGAGGAAACAAAGGTATCGTCTGCGGGGCAGAGATTTATGCTCGTCACGGTATCCGTGTGTCCCTTGAAATACCGAATGAAGGAGTTATCGTGAACGGAGAGGAAGCGGATGGTGTCTGAGCGGTCGGTGTTAGCTATTTCCAAATGTCGCAACGCTGGGAGTCCATACCATCCACTTTAGTACTTGCGTAAATGATACTCTGGGAGTGGTGGGAGAATCGCGCCAGATGCACTCCATATTTTTGACTCATGAGCTCCTTTGCATGCTTTCCTTCCTTGCAATTATATATCTGTAACGTGTTGTCGTCGCGAGCCACAACGGCCAGCTCGCCGGTATCATCGAAGTCGAGCGACGTCACGGATGTCTTCGAGTCTGCTGGTTTGAAACGCTGACGGTGAGTTAGAGCTATAGGAGGTTGCCTGTACTTGAATTGGATTCTTACTCTCGCAGGCCGAAAAGTTGCAATGACGTCGCTAACTTTCTGCGTTCCTGGTGCTAGCGGAGGTGCTGGCGGTCCCGGAGTGCCTGCCGCCATGCTTTCCCAATCTGCGCGTACAGGTCCTCAGTATAGTGACTGTGATTTATTGAACAGCGTCACCGGAAGCGACTCAACTCCAGTTCTTTCGACTATTGATTGTGATAGACGGGGACCTGGAAGCTCGATCGTGGATGTTTTCGGTTTCTGGAAAGTCGTCGTGAGCTTGGGCCATGGAGCTCGGCTCAGTGCTTGGCCGCCGTCGGTGGTGTCGGTTCGCGGGCCCTGCAGGCTAGCTCCGGGATCGGTCAAGACGGGAGTCCGCTTTCCAAAAGATTATGGATGCTGGACAACTTGCGCTGACTGCTCACATCATCGCCACGCGTCGTTAACATATATATCCCAGATATTCTCACTGGGGAGATCGAGAACTTTGCCGCCGTCACGCTGCAGAGACAATCGTGCCAGTTATCTTCTAGGAGAGGGTCAGTTCGCAGACCGGTGGAGTCGAATGTCTACCACGACCGGGTAAGGGCAATTTCCCAGACGTGTAACCGTTCACTAACACGCATATCAGCTCCTTCATTGCGGGTGGCATTGCCGCCTGCGGTGCTGTCACTGTCACTCATGGGTTTGAGACGGTGAAGATTCGGTGCGCATCGAGAGTGAATTACCGGCCACACTCGTTCCATTGACCGAATGTACAGACTACAACTGCAAGGCGAGCTTCAATCCAAAAAGGAGGCAGTGCGCTTGTATAAGGGTGTATTTCACGGTGTTGGAGTCATTGTGAAAAATGAAGGGCTCAAGGGCTTGCTGCGCGGACTTGGTTGTGCAGTATGCATGCGCCTGAACCAGAGTTGCGCAGCATGATTGCTGACGCTGGCGCAGTACATCTACCAAATGACGCTCAACGGCTGTCGTCTCGGCTTCTACGAGCCTCTGCGTAATGCGCTCACAAACGCGATATACGAAGACGGGACTGTGCAGTCCTTCGGTATCAACCTCTTCTCTGGCGCCGCGTCGGGTATCATAGGAGCAGCAGCCGGGTCACCCTTCTTCCTCATCAAGACGCGCCTGCAGTCCTTCTCCCCCTTCCTGCCGGTCGGCACGCAACACCACTACAAGAATGCGCTGGACGGCATGAGGCAGATCTATAGCGCAGAAGGCATCAAGGGGTTATACCGAGGAGTGGGGCCGGCTATGGTCCGAACTGGGTTCGGAAGCTCAGTACAGCTCCCTACATACTTCTTCGCGAAACGGCGGTTAGTGAAGCACTTTGGCATGCAGGAGGGAATGCCATTGCATCTCCTGAGCAGTACGGCGAGCGGGTTCGTTGTGTGCTGCGTCATGCACCCTCCCGACACGGTCATGTCGCGCATGTACAATCAGACGGGCAACCTCTACTCTTCGGCATTCGACTGTGTATACAGGACAGTGAAGTCGGAGGGTATCCTGGCGATGTATAAGGGGTATTTCGCACATCTCGCGCGGATTCTGCCACATACGGTAAGTTCAGAGGGAGAGCGAAGCTTCATTCCAGGAATATGTTAACAAAAACAGATCCTGACACTCACACTCGCTGAACAAACGATGAAGATAATGAAAAAGGTAGAAAACCGGATACTCCCACCCGAACTCAAAGCCAAACTATAGACGCACTTCGATTTTTCTTTCTGTCAGCATGGCGCCGGATGGTTAGACATGTACATATACTTCGACTTTGTCATTCGATCTGCATAGCGGGAGGGCAGGGCTAGAACGGGTCATTGTCGTTTCCATGCCGGGGCGCATTGTCCCTGCATTTTTTTTCTTCGGACGAGAGCCCTTGTTGACCTAGACGACTACAAGAAGCGAAGGGTTCGACCGACAAGAATGACTGCATATATCGGGAATGGAAATCCAGGGACCACCGCCAGCTCGCCGTCTTCAACAACCCCATCCATCGTATTAACGCGGGTGCCTAAGGGATTGGAGTATATCGGAAGCGATGAGCTGGATTGGCCGACACTTCTGACAATGTATTCTCGATATATACATATGCAGTGGTGCGTTGGACAAGAGGAGTTAAAGTTTAGAGTACATTGGCTTGCAGCTGCAAGCCATAACACGACGCATTAGCCCACGGCAAAGCTTCCTCGAATCTCAATCACGCCGTCAAGCGCGGCAAATGTCCATCAAGCGACACGGCACAGCTAGAGCACAATGGCTGCCATGGTCAGCTGGCCGTTGAGGAGGAACACCAGAGTGCAGGCTGGCGCCGGTGGACAGTTTGCAGTGTGCTTGATTACAGGACCCACCAGCAGCGACTTCGGAGGGTTTACGACAGCATGAGAATAATTGGTCTGGTGTTGCATGGTGGAATGCGGGGACTCGTCGTCTTTCTCAGACACGGTTTTGTACCTTGAGAGAGCAGCGGCCAGCCACTCAGCACCCTGTTCGTGGTCACACTTCACGAAGAGAGAGAGCGTGCACACGACACAACCCCTTTCAGCTTTCTCCTCTTCCCCCGCAGAGCAGCGTTCAAGCGGGCATGACACTGCAGCGACGCGGCTGGGAGTGAGTGACATTCGGAGCAAGGCGGCGGTTAGTCGGCTGGGCCAGCAGCAGCACCCTCGTCCGCCTGGCCAGCCAGCACACATCGGCAACCAGAATTTTCATTGCCATGAGGTGCAGGACGTTTCTTCCAGACCAACTGCATGCCTGTTTCGATGTCGGAATACATCTGCACCTTTTTAGTGTACAAGGAGCGTTTTGTTGAGGACAGAGGCAAGTGGATGTGAGTGGTCTCAGTGTCGATCGTCGACTCCAGCACATAGGGTCCAGATTCTCAGGGTCTTCGGGGATCATTGCAGTCCACGCACCCGTACCGGTAAGGCCCATTCACAGCTGTCCTGTCTCGGTACTCCTGACGCTTTGGATCACGATTGAGGATGGAAAAGCAACGACGACAACATGGCCGCCACTGCGCCTCACTCCCTGCGCCCTCTGCAGCGTGGCACTCACTGCGCAACATTGCAGCAATGGGACTAGCCCAATTGCTGCAGTTGGTCTGGAAGATGAACAGCTTCCATGTCGATCACAGAGGGATCCAATATTCACACAGAGTAACAGTACCGTGGTGGTCGGCGTCTGACTGCTAGTTTCAAAGGGGGAGATGTTGGGACGTCGTGCAATTCACTCTTCTGCAGCTGCTTTTGCCTCGAAGGATTCCCTGACGGCAGACTGCAACCCGAAGCTCACTCACTCAGCAGTGCAAACAGTTGCCGCCCAACGAGAGCAATCCGACCCATGTCCCGTCCAAGGAACAACAAGGTCTCGACCAGGTTGATGCGTTGAGGCTTTGGCTGTGCCCTCCAATTAATGGGCCCCTCACACCAAGGCCAGTGCGTCCCGTCTGGGGTTGCTGTCGTGCTGGGTTCTCCGCAAATCTGCCCACAGCTTCGGGTCACCAGGACACCTCAAGGACTCGCCTCTTTGCAAGGTAATATTGCCATGTCTTCACCATTTCACCTCCTTTCCTGTCACACCTCTCAGCCCTTCCAAGCTTCTCCCTTCACTCCTCGAGCGCCTCCTTGCCCAGTCCTCCTATCTCCATTCCCAGCGACAACTCCTCCCTCGCATGTCGCCGGAATTCGGGCTTGGAACCAAGCCTCGTGATGCTTTGTAGGGCGTCGGCACCGTATGCTATCTCAGCTCCATCATAATTCGGGGATCGTTTGCTCATCTGCCTTTGCACCGGCTCCTCGTTACTTTACGACCTTAGCAACACTACCCTCCCGCCTAGCTAGCACATCCTCTCCACCCCAGGGTCGCACCACCCCTCAGACGACACCACTGCTGCGCGAGAATGACTGGTCGCGTGCCCACCACGGTCGTAGAAAACAGAAGGCGAGGAGAGCTTCTCAGAAGATGATACTGTACTCACCTACGCTTTCCATGCCCGAATTGTCGGATATTGCCTGGTTTCCTCTACAGTCCGCTGGGTCGAAAGATGTCGCCAGTTTTACCTTTGACCCTTGCCCCAAGCCGCACAAGAGCCTCACGTTTTCCCCTCCAGAGCCTCCTCCGCGGCCTGGGAAGCGCGGAAGAGCAGTGACAGATATCGATGGAGAACATTCGTGTCTGTATAAGAAGAAGCGTCGGCTGAGACTGTTCCTCATCACCTCGCGATTGTCGCCGGAATTCTCCCACCCGGCAACCAACATCGTGGACCGCGGGAGCTCGAAGATTGCGATATGGGCGAGGCAAAAAGCGCTAGGAAGGAACCTATTACGCAAGGCTGCGATACTGAATCGCATACGGCGGCGGAGGTTGGCTGAAAGGATCACTGAGGTGGGACTGAATGTTGGAACCCGTCTGCCGGAGAAGCAGGAGGAGGACCATAGGCAGCTCGAGTTGGCCAAATTGGCGTTTGTGTACGGCAGCCACGACATACATACGCGGCCCATGTTTGGGCGGAAGAGTTCGTTCCCGCCGCCCACCGTTCTTGAGAGGGACGAACAGGGGGAGAAGACGACGCGACCGCCTCCGTCTGAACATCTAACCACCAGCCCTGCTCCTCGCAAGCTCGAGGCTGGATCGTCCTACAAGTCTCCTAACGATGCATACGCCAACACTTATCTTCCCCCGCAGATATCAGCGTCTAGGAAATCCGGCTTTTCGCTACCTCCGTCGCCGCTGGGGCTGTCGAATTACGACGCTTTCGACTTGGAAGACGACATTCCGGATCCGTATTCCCATCTCGACGAGGAAGAAGACGAGGAACGCGGCATGGACAGACAGAGCTCAGCACATGTCGACTCAATCACGGCGCAGACCACGCCCGAAACGGCGCCGGTCCCGGCCTATTCACCCTCAACCGCCGATGGCTGTCTGCCGCAGACACCACCGCCGCCGCAACGGACGTTCTACTCGGATTTTAGCATCTTGGATTCGGAGACACCGCTGGTGGACGACTACGATGACGTTGATGAGGTGTTCCCGGGCTCTTGGGCGAGTGCTTCTGCTGCTCCTCCACCGTCAACGAAGCCTACATCGGCTTTTGCTGGGCCGACGTCTTGCTCGCCCAACTTCTCGCCTTTTTTTGCTACGGCGCCGACGAAGGGTGCGGTACCCGAGGAAGATGCTTGATGATGAACTCGCATGTATCCATGGTACGAGCTTGCCGTCATCCACTGCCTCTACCATCACCGCCCATCTTTTTGACAACCAATCTTGACCTTCCAGTCATCCATCTACCGTCGACTTTTTGAAACATTGCATACACACTTGTCCGTCTAGCTTCTCATATACTCAAAAACAGTACCGCATCCCGTAACGGGCAAAAGAAAAGTTCTGCACGGATGGTCCTTTGTCTTTTGCTTGTTGTTCAATTCATCTATTACAATCGATTCTGAGGTACGTGAGGGCGTTTAAGGAACGGAACCATTTGGATTGAATGTGCTTGTCTGGGTCAGGTAGGGGATGGACCCACCGGTCGACCTCGCGGTTCTGGACTTTTTGGTTACTATCTGTTTTTACTGTTAGCAGTTTTTTTGCCTCCACCTGCGAGAGGCCGGAAATATGCAATATACCCATTTTGCAAAACGCCCACCTTGGCCTACTTTTGTGCTCTTCTGCGGGTCTCGTAGCGGGTGGTCCACTGCCAACGTTATCCGCTTGCTATGATGGTTCTCCAACTAGCCGAGGCAAGGGCGCACTCCCTCTCTGCTGCAGAAGCTAGATGCAAAGAGTGATTCTGGAAGAAATAGGAATATTTACAGGTAGGTCTATAGCACGTGGAGGTTGCCAAGACATCCAGGCTCTAACACTCTATCTCTATAAATCCCATCACCAATACTCTCCTCTCCCCTTTCCTTCATATGAGGGAAAGGGGGACGCGGTTTGCATTATTGCGCCTCCTGCTGCCGCAGTAGCTTCTTGGCCCGGTCGGCGGCGATGTCGCACATGGCCTACATGACGCATAGTTGGCACTCTGTTTCATCATCCGACCGAGAAGATACATGCAAGTAATAGAAAGCGAAGAACGTACCTCGATGGCTTCCAGCCGCTCGGCCTGGATATCGCCGCGGGCGATGCGGGCGCGCATGTTATCCATGATTTCGGGGCGCGGGCGGCCGTTGACGAAGACGCTGGCAATGGATTTAGTTTCAGTTGGTTCCTTTATCACCCCCTAGCGGAACAAGACGGTATGTATATACATAAGGAGGGTATCTGGGAAAATGACAAACATACACATATCTCAGGCCTGGAAACGTTTCTTCATATTGACGATTCAGCTCCTCCAACATTCTGGCTTCCTCGTCCTTGCCGCCATGAAGCTGGGCTTGCTCGCGGCGGCTCTGCTCGCTGGATATTTTCTTCTCGCCGAGGCGGGGGTGGGCGCAGAGGATTTGGGAGAGGAGGTCCACATCTCCGTCCTTGGAGGAGGACGATGCTAGTGCGAGCAATTTGCTCCTGATTGCGGAGATGAGGGCATCGTAGTTGGGGTACGGGGTGCTGCGGAGAAGGGGTAGGACGAGGGTGTGCAAGGGGGGCGAGGGCTCGAAGAGGAGGTCGAGGATTTGCTTGAGGGAAGGGTCGTCGAGGGTGGGGAGGGTGGTGAATGCGGGTAGGGAAGGGATGGGGGATGTCATGGTCTTTTGTGGTATATAGTCCATTCAGCGGGGAATGGTGGTGTTGAGTGAGGCATGAGATAGTGGGGCTGGAGCTGTTGACTTGGCGCACGATATTTAGCATCTCAACAAGTTTGGAGCTGGTGTTTACAGGAATACAAATGTAGCTCCAAGATATCCTCCGTGCATGCGCAGAGCGCGAACGAGGTGGTGCGAGGATGCCCACGTTCTGAAGCTTGAGGCCTCGAGTACCTTGACCTATTACTATACACTAGGGCTCCCGAGTGTTCCCTCCTTTTAGGCCACACACCATTGGGCGCCAATCTGATATGCATGGTTCCTCGATCGTCGTCGTAGTAGTCATTTGGTGTAGCTGAGCTGGTCGGGGGGCAGCGAAAGCCACGCTTCCGTTCTGAAACGCGCACCGCGGCCACCTGCAGCGAACATTCACTCTCAGCAGCCTCCTACAGGTCCTGGAGTCAGTTCTGGGCTGCCAGCGCCTCCCCACCGGTCCTTTTCCCTATTGCCTTTCATAAGATTCTGAGCTCCAGAAATTCCTGGTGACGACGCTGCTGTTTCTGCCAACTCGCAGTATCCTCAGGTACTCTGGTCGCTACCGACTTTGGTGCTTGCTGTTCGGTCCGTTCCAGCCCAACGAGGCCGCCTTGACCCCAGGAACCAGGAACGGGACCCCTGACGGCTGACGGCTAGCGCACAGTCCAACCGTCTCCAACCTCACCCGCGAGCACGACGACAGACTTTCTGTTGCAGGCGACTGCTTGAGGGGGCCTCCAGACCGAGCTGTCTGCCCTTTGCTCTCGCCATGTCTCTGAACGGGCTCGACGACCCCGTCGTGACGAGCGCATACCAGGGCGCCCTCGCTGAAGGCGGAGGATGGTATGCTACCCATCCTCCCGTTGGCACTCGCGAACCGCCAATGCTAACAACTCCACCTACAGGTTCCTCCTCCATTATGTCTCCCGAGATGCCGTCAATGTTCTTGCTCGTGGCACCGGCGGAGCCGCAGAAGCCCGCGCCGCTGTCGCCAATTACAACGAATTGTCGCCCCTGTATGGCTTCCTGCTATACCGCCGACGCAAGGTCTTGATTAAATACACGCCAGAGGGCACCTCGCGCTTGTTGCAAGGTGTGTTGTGGCCCTCCCAAGTATGTAAGGGGGAGCAGCAATGGCTAACCGAACAACCAACAGCTCGAACCGCGGTCCACTTCACCTCCGTCGCCGAAAAGTTCACCCCCCACGATATTACCATGACGATCCAGTCCGCCGAGGAGCTCAGTGACTCTGCTCTCGCTTCGGCCTGTTCACTACACACGGCTGCGACCTCGACTTGCTCATCCAGTTCGTCCCGCAAGAAGCTGAGTGAGATCACTGAAGATGCGGAAGAGGGGATAGCAGGTGGGAGCGGTGCGGCTGCTTTGGGCCGCCCACCCACTGCAACTTCAGTGCAAGCTGCCATCTCCGAAGGCCCTCCCGTGGAGCTTTCCGCGCCTCTGGAAACTGACAAGGAGATGCAGTCCTTGGACAAACAAGGAGCAAGGAACCCGATGCCATTCGCGAACCAGCCCCCGGAGCTCTCCAGTTCGGGGCCCGAGCCACATGTATCTCGCGCAGCTGAAATCAGGCAGAGCTTGCATAGCTACGAGGAACTCTTCAAGGACGGTCCTGATCCACGCCTCTCCTCGCAGACCGCTCGCCCTGCTGCATCCGACCTGTATGCTGAGATCTATGCTCAGTACAACAAACCGAAAGTGAAGCTTGGCCCTCGACCAAAGGTATCCCTCGACGGGAAACGGCCTCATACCTCTGGTACTGGCGCGCATAGGCCTGTATCGTCGCTCCCAGCAGGCATGCGTGCCGCTAACAGGCGCACGATGATGGAAGTCAGCCGCCCAAAGTCGAGGGAATCTAGCGCTGTTCCGAGCATCGCTGTCCCACCACCTCCTCCCTTACCAGCTTTCCCTTCCCTTCCTACGAGCAATCCGGATTCCCTTGTCCAACTACCGCTCACAGCCCCGAAGAGTCCCGCCAGTGTCCGAAGCATGACATTGCCGAGCCATAACCTCAGTAGCCGGAACGCGAACGTCGTGTCGCCCGAGAAGCAACGCTTGATGAAGGCATTGGAGCTCCGGAAGAAGAGGCAACAGCAGCGCCAAGAGGGAGCCGACGAGGTGACCAAGAAGCCGCGCATCGATAAAGAGGCCGAGACTGTGACTGAAGCTCCAAAACAGGAGAGTCCAACTGAGGGGGATGATGAGATCACCAAGGAAAGTCCCAAGACAAGCCAGGAGGCTGAAGCTATCACGGGAAATATGAGAGATGCGAATGGAACCAAGGACAGTGAGACCGTAAGTCCGATCGCAGCCGATGGCGAGCCGCCCGTCCCTCCCGTACCTGGCATGAAACCCGGCTCATCGGTCGAAGACGAGGTGAACGATATCGTCTCGAGACACAACGCATCAGGTCCGAATTCACCACCGGAACCGGAGCCCTCTCCAGAAAGCATCCCACCACCCATACTCTCCGAGGTTCATGCAGACGTAAAGCCAGAGGCCCTACGCAATGAAAAGGCGCAGAAGAGAGTGGCGTCCTCTACCAGTGTCAATTCAGTAACACCTGTCAAATCACAGGACACAGTCGGGATTCCCAGCGCCGAGCTTGCAGAGGAGTTTAACTCTGTTATAGAGAATTCCGAGAAGCCAGAGGAGGCTGAACCCACCGAGAACCACCAGCCGTCCAGAGGCTATAAAAGTGAGGGCAGCACGCTCCCATCGCGAGGCCATGTAGCCTCAACCCGCGAATCAGAAGAGAAGACCCCTTGCGGAGATGGCCAACCGTCGAAGGACCCCTCGGAGGCTGATACGGTCCCAGTGGCATCTGAGGAGCCCGTCCCAACACCAGAAGGGGAGGACCTTCCGTCGGCCTCCTCTCCAGTGACGGCGCAAACTCAGACATCTTCCGCTCCACCTTCTACGCGGCCGTCTTCTTTGTCTGATGATGAACCACATCCCTCAAAGCAAACCCCTACATTTGCTAATGAGGATAGGCAAACTCTCCAGCAACTAGAATTATCTGTCAAGTCAGAGATCATCAAGGAGGAACAAGAGTCCACTGAGAGCACTCCTACAGTTGTTCCTGATACTGCGGACTCCACTCCTGCCGTAGAAGTGGAATCAGACCCGGATTCACAAAGCGCACCTCTGGTTCAGCTATCGCCTCCGGAAGATACTCCTGCGGACCAAGTTAAAGCAGAGCCCTCTCCGCCTACCGACGACGCTACTTCTTCTCAGCCGCAATCAAAGCGCGCATCGATGCTCTTCTCATCAAACGCACCCCTCCAAGGAGGAGAGACGCTCAGCAAGAGACAGAAGAGAGAATCGATGGTTTTATCCGTTCCCAAGCGACGGAGCCGAGTTCTTGATTCAGTACAGATTAATTTGAACGGCGATAACCGTGATTCTCAGGATTATCTCTCCGATGACTCCTTTATGGATGAGTTGCAGAGTGCGACAGTGCAGGAAGCGAAGCCCATGTCCGTCTCCAAGTCCCCAATTACCCCGTTTTTCCCGCGCAAGCCATCATCGCCCGAACTGGACAAGTCCTCCCCCTCAGCTGCACCCAAGGTCGCCCGTCTGACTCCCGAGCAAAGCGGAAGCCGAAAGCTCTCTGGAGTTTGGCCTCCTCCGCAGACCGTGGAGAACGTACCTGTCCCTAAGAAGATCAACGTATCCTCGGGCATATCTCAGCGGATCAAAGCTCTGGCGGAGAAGTCAAACAAGGACTCGTCATCATCATCTGTAAGTCCGCTCGCAACTCCAGACGCATCTGCTTCGATTGTTGCACAACGCAAGTCCTCGTTCTTCGCTGCGCCTGTCACTGGAGATTCCTCCAGCGGAAAAGTTGTCAATCGCCTTAGCATTGCTTCCTTCGCAAACCTGTCTTCTACAGCAGTGTCTGACAGAGCATCCGTCCTGCAGTCTCCTTCCATGAGCAGAGAGAACAGCCCCGCCATCTACAACGTCAGGCCGACGACCGAGAAACCTGAATCGGTCCAAGTTACCGCCCGCATTGTTCGGGATGGCCGACCGCTCAATCCCTCCCTGAGTATGCCGACCGAGTCCACTCCTTTGGAGCTGCACCGAAGCGAGATCACCATCGATCATCAGAAGTCCACCCGGACCAAAACTCCGGTGAGCAACCCACCGACGGAACCTACATCCCCCAAGGCGCCGTCGTCATCACATTCGAAAGACCAAGTTCCTATTCTTCCTCGCTCCTCCTCGGAGAGCAGCTGGCGATCCTTCGGTCGCAGGCTGAGCGAGTCCAAGTCCGCCAGCACACCTCGCAGTCTCTCGGCTCACAGCTCTGAAAGCGAAGGAGGCAAGAGGGAAGACAAGAAGGAAAAGAAGGATTCCCGAACAAGCAAGCTTTTTAAGAGAATGTCGTCGTTTCCTTCCATCACGAGGAAGGGCCAGAGTGGTTCTCTGCAGGAGGACGAGCATACTTCAAGGCCCCTAGCGTCGCTGCGTGAGCCGCCACCACCTGTACAGGTTGGAGACTTAAATGTGCAGTTCCCGGATACCTTGGTAAGTATTTCACAGAACTTGTCTCTCTGATTCGTGCTAACTAGTTTTCAGCTGTGGAAGAGACGATGGGTCGAGATCGACGCAGCTGGAAACTTAGTACTGTCCGTTTCGAAGCCAAATGAGGTTAGCTTTTCGAAATCCTGACTGCAGAGCATCTTGCTAACCCTCCATCAGCAAATGAAAGGCATCACCAAACGCTTCCATCTCACTGAATTCCGCACCCCCTACGCCCCAGACCAGGACCAACAAGAGCTTCCCAACAGTGTCGTCTTTGACTTCATCGACGGACGGACTTTGCAGTGTGCCTGCGAAACAGTCGCAGCACAGATGACGGTTCTCCAAGGTATGCATTGCTCGAGATCCCCTCATGCGGATTTCCGTACTGACTAACACGCGCAGTCTTCAGAGAAGCTCACGACGCTTGGATAGCGTATGACCAAGGCTCTTGAGTACACATGCGTAACTCAACAACACTCCCTTCTCCATCATTTCCTTCCTCACAGAAAGAGCATACACAGAGCTTAGGGCCTCTGGTGTTTCCTTTGTTGTCAATGATTGTACGACCAGTCTGCGCCTTGAACAGGCACCTTATTTTTTCTTGGTCCCTTCTTCGTTCCCTTTCTTCTCTTCCTCTCCGATGTCGAAAAACACCGCTTGTTGCGTCTTTGCAATATCGGGCACCAGTGGGCATTGGTAAGAGAGGTTTCTGAGTACGCACAGGTGCGCTGGAGAGGGGTTGGCTGCTTTTGACGGGAAGATGTGCTACACGGCCTGCTCTCTCAGTTGCGAAACTTTCTTACTACTATTCTTCGCTGGCTTCTGTTTCTGTCGTTTTGAATCATACCCCATTGCTATTCTTTTTCGTGTTGGACTCCGTTGTCGGATTTGCGGCGGTCAGTTCCTGCATTGTGTATACAATTGTTTTTGAAAAGGAAAGTATATATTGCTAATGCAGCGGTTGGGTGGTAGGCGAGTAGTTAGAGGCAAAAGGGCATTGTGGGTGCGTTAGCGGTAAATGCAAACGCTGAAGAGAGGCTTGCGGTCCATATCGATATCTGCAGTGTATAGTGACCTATGCCCGTGAAGCGAGTACATCTGACCTGAATATCCAACAACAAGGGAATGAAAATTCACCCGTACGCCTTACACCATACACGCCCCGTCATCCCCAACCTGGGTATATCATAGATAAACTCCTTCCATCCCCTCGCCCTCCCGTCATCCACACGCCCTCCTAAGCAACTAACAACCTCCTCACCGCCGCTCTGACCTCTTCTTCCCCGTCCTTGATACCCAACCCCTTCCTATCAAACCGCTCGCCGGCCTCACGCCCCAGAATCGCCTCTTCCACCTTCCCCGTCTCCAGGGCCCTGCCCGACGTCACCGTCTGGCCCTTTGCCTGGGCGAAACCGGACGAGCGCTCGTGCGCCGGGTCCGGGCTGTAGAACTCGTCCACGATGGGACGGATCATGACGGTTTGGTTGTGGATGGTTAGGGTGCTGTTTGTGGGGACGGTGACCCAGTTATCTAGTGATGGTGAGCGGGTCAGCGTCAGAAGTCCGCGAGAACGTATTGGAGAACAAAAAAAAACAACAACAACTCACTTCTTTCAAAGGTCAACGGCTCGCTGGCCACGAGCACAATGTCGCTGCCCTTGTCTCGCCTCTCCATGACATAATCCCTCTGTCCCGGCTCGGCTTCCGCAGCACCACCACCTTTGCCATCAGTGGGTTTGGACTGGCGCCAACTCGTGCCGCTCGAGAAGAAGAGGCTCGCCGCCTCGTCCGTCTTGGAGCTGACGTACCGCGTACATACGACGCTCTCCCCATCCGTGACGGCGAAATTCAGCAGGCTCCTCGAATCCTCGGCTGCCTCTGCCAAACGCGCACGATTCCCATTCTCCCGCTCTTCCCGCACCACATCCGCAATGAACGCATTGATCCTCTCAATCGTCTTCAGCAACGCCTTCCTCAACACTGTATGCCCGAACCCGCGGCCCTCCTGCCCCTCCTCCCCTTCGCTCTCCCCCTTATCCGGCGAACACCCCATCCGATCCAGCGAATCCAGAAACAGCGCAAACGCCCACTCGCTATCCGTCCCGCCTTTCACACCGAGGAACCACTTCTCTCCCAGGCTCAGCGCCACGCGCATCTTGATGCGCGACCAGCATCCGATCCCTCCATTGTGCATGAACATGAGGCGCTTGTAGCTGAAGGGGTGGCAGTTCGATTCACTCAGGTCGCCTTCGGTGGTGGCGCGGACGTGGGCGAAGATTAGGGAAGACGTCGTCTTGGACGCCAGGCGCGATAGGTTCTTGCAGTTCCACGCGGGGATCGTCGACGTGAAGATGCATGGTTCCGGGCCCAGGGCGGGCGAGGTGTAGTACCCGATGCCGAAGCCGTCGCCGTTGTGCGGGCGGCGGCGGTCCTGTGGTGAGGGTGTGAGTAAGTTTATATGTATGGATGTGTTTCGCAGGCGGCTCTAGAGGTAGGGACTGGGAGGAGAGAGGGCAGCGCAGGTACGTACAAGTCTCAACCGCGAGTCGAACGATTGCGTGAGGATCGAGTGGCTCGGATTCGTTATGAGTTCGGAGAGCAGAATCTCGTTTTTGCCTTTGTAGACCTGGCACGCCGAGGTCATCGTGGTTAGCCAAACAGACATCCTTTTGGGAAACCGAGCAGACGACACACATACCATGAAGCGGCACATGGCTGCTATCGATTGACCCCAGCTACAGCAGCTGGTTTCGTCCTGGGGTTTTGTAGAGTGAAGCGTGGAATTGTGACGTGGAGTCTGTGAGCTTGTCTGCTATGTTTGCGCTGTTTCTAGCAGTAGGGCGGTGAGCGTCGATTGCGCCATAGTTGCGGGACGGGCCATTCGCGGTTCGTCATCGCAATGTCATCTTTGTGACTGATACAGTACTAGGGAACCTCTCGCGGCATGCTACGGCACCAGGTGCCCTCTATGAAGATTGAGCCTTAGTTGTCTGTATACTATCAGTCTCGCTGAGATGTATCTTAATACAAGGGTAGGTTCAAAGGTGGGGCAGCCTCGGTAGCGGAACACACATGTCACCTGACTGAACAGAACTCAACGTCAATCAGCATGATTGCATTGCGCTATCGACCTCGAACTGTCCCTCCTTAAACACAGAGCTGGCCTCCTCACCAGCTCATCTCTGGCCTTTTAGTAGGCGTAGCTCTTGGGATCAACTCCTCTCACCCCTCCACCACCCCGTCCAGCGTCCCCCTGACGCCAAGCCCGGCAGCAGGAAACAATGAGCAAACCAAACTCGAGACTCCCGGGATATGATGCGGTTAGAGAGAAAAAGGGGTTTACATGACGGTGTATCTTACGATGCTTTCCAGGGGTAAATAATCCATAACAGTAAGGGTCAGGCTGCTTGCCCATGGAGGGCGGGGAACGGGGGCGCAGGACAGTATACAGTCCGCCAGGAGGCGACATCGAGGGGTATATAGTGAAGGTCAGGTGTGGGGAACGTTGCAGCCGTAGACATGGACATCCTTTGGTGTATTGCCACACGCCAGGGCGCGCAGCTTGGAAGGCTAGGATAGTGCGTCTCCTCACATGTCCATAGAGTCGCCGTTGTTGGCAAAGTTGAAGTTCTGCTGCTGTTGCTGTTGCTGGGGAGCGCCGAATCCAAAGTGCCCGTCCTGGTTGATCTGAGGACCTGCCTCGCCCATGTTCTCGGCCTCTCCCTCTTCATCGGAGAAGTACTTCTCAATGATGTTGTAAGCCTTCATATAAATTTCCTCATTGGCGTTGTTCTGGCAATCGTGGATCTTCTCCATGCCGCCGACTTCTTCGATGAACAGAGCATAACGATTGATCGGCTCCCCACCGGCACTGTCCACACCCGCCTCCTTGTCCATCTCGCCAACCTTTAGGATGTTCTCCAAGCCATCGAGAGCCACCTGTATAATCTTATTGTCGGGGCATGCGAGTAGGTCACACAGAGGTTTGATGCAGCCGCTCTGCACCAGGTAGCGGATCTGTGCCGGTTTCTGCAGCCCTCCAGAAGTGGCATTGGAAATGGCCCAGCAGGCCTCCTTCCTGGTCTTGAAATCTCCGTTCTGCAGAAGGTGGATGAGGGGAGGAATAATATTAGCATCGATGACGGCCTGGATCTGATTGGAGTTGCCCGCGGTGATGTTGGAGATGGTCCAGCATGCCTCCTTCCGGATGCCATCCTTCGGAGAACTAAGGAGGTGAAGGAGAGCGGGCAGGGCACCGCAGTTGATGATTACCTGTGTCTGGACATCATCGCCAGTAACGATATTGCCAACAGACCTCAAAGCGGGAGTCTGAACAGAGGTCGAGGCGTGCATCAGCAATTCCACCAACCGACGGGGGATGCCAGCCTCAATCACTGCCTGGATCTTGTCGTTGGAACCGTCCGAGAGGTACGATATGGCCCAGCAGGCATCAATGAGAACTTCGTCATCCAGGGAGTAGACCAACTTGGCAAGCACGGGAAGAGCGGGCGCAATCTGCATCAGAAGGTCAGAAGAAGTCATAAACCGTTGTTAGGATGTTACCGTACCGTCGACCATTCCGGCTGAGGGGTCTTGCCACGACAGAAGTTGCTGAGGGTCCAGGTAGCATTTCTTAGCATGCTCAGCTTGCGGCTGTCGCCCAGAAGGGCAAGGAGGGGCTTGAGTGCGCCCTGGGAGAGAACGTAATCACGGCAGGCAGGGCTATCTCCAGCAATGTTTCCAAGCGCCCAGACGGCCTGCTCCCGGACATCTGCTTCATGGCTGCCGAGGAGCTCGACGAAGATGGGTACGGCGCCAGCCTCGATGACGACTTGGGTCTGCTGGGCAGAACCAGAAGCAATATTGGTAAGGGCCCAAGCAGCCTCAAACTGCACAAGAGTATGTGGCGACCGCAGGAATTCAACGAATCGGCTCACGACGCCGGTCTCAATGACACGCTCGATCGGAGGGTTTCGCTCCTTGGACAACAGCTTTCTGAATTTTGTTGTAGCCTGGATTTGCTCGTCGATCTGGTCGGAGAAAACTCCCTTTACCATCAAAGGCAATTCTTCATTGAGCTGTGGCGGAAACGTTAGTGATGCGTTCAGTAAAGGAGTTTCGAGGCTTCGTGGACGGATGGCGGGGTATTGCGATCACTCACCTGGCTTTCGATGTTGCCGCCCTCATCTTCGCTATCCGGAGCGGCTCCTAGGGACGCTCCAGGCTGGTCCCTCCCTGCGATACCGCGACGTTTGGCAAGGTTCTCCTCACGCTTAGCCCGACGAATCTCTACCTGCTGCTCCTCTCGGCGGCGGCGCAATTCGTCCGGCTTGAAAGCGCTCTTCGCCTTGAAGGCAGTGCGGCGATGCTCAGGAATGTACCGGTCCGCCATGCTTGCTTCGACGGGTATCAGTGCAAGTCGCGGATGGGGAGTTGTTGGCGGGCGAGGTGTTGTTTGTATGAGAGAGGGGGCTTTATTTGTATTGTCGTGGGGCAGGAGGAGGAAAAGGCGGAAGCGCCAAGAGCAAGGCGCATAGGTTAGACCGGATCCGGAATCCTAGTGGTGCTTCGTGGCTTGGCAAGCGCTCGTCGCGTCCCACCGCCCCAGTGAGCGCAACTTGACGCAACTTGACGCGTCGACCCTCCTGGTTGCAACAACAACCCTTGGAATATACCTGTACGCTACTCTGAGCCCGCCAACTCATAAACACAAGATTTTTCCATTGGATGAAGGCATATTCTACTTGATATTGTATAGGACTTGCGACTTCAGCAGCATGGATTTGCCGCCAGATTATACCGCCATCAAGGATATTGATAGCAAATTTGGCGGGAGTGGGAGGCCCACCGTTAACATCATTGGAATCCTAACCGAGATCATTGAGCCGGCAAAGTCAAAAGGCGATGACTGGTACCTATCTTTCTCCGTGCGAGACGATGATTTTGCTTCTCAGTGGAGAACCGATCCATCATTTATCCGCTGCAGGTTATTTCGTCGAGAACGTACGCACCTGCCCACTGGGAAGGTCGGGGACCCGGTGATTGTGCGTGGCGTCCAGGTCCATCTATATGATGGTGTGAAGGAAGGTGTATGCACGTCACGGCAGAGTCAGGTTCTCTTTTTCCCAGCGGACAAGGTCCCAATACCCGAGCTGAGCACTGCCTACGGATATGGCGGGCAGTCAAAGCTGCCTTTCAATGGCAGCCTTCAGTTGAGCGGGAACCGTGAGGCGACCGCACCATCCATTTTAGAACAGCTGGCCATAATAGGGATCAAGGCAAAAGCCGCCGCTTGCGGAACGGTGCTCAAGCAAGCAGCCAAACCTATTGCTGTGTCGAAGCCTCGGGATCGACATTCGTTGATCAAAGATGTCCAACTCGATAATTTCTACGAGCTTGTCGTAGAAACCGTCAAGATTTACTCGGTCCATGATGGAGCCGACGGCGTCGACCTGTACGTCTCCGATTACACCACAAACAAAGCCCTCTTTCTCTACGAACCTCCAGATACGAATCCCTCGAGTAAGTGGCAAGGCCCGTTTGGCCAGGTTACCATGAGTGTTAGACTTTGGGAGCCGCACGCATCCTGGGCTCGACAGGATCTTCGCGAAGGTGACTGGATCAGGCTCAAAAATGTGCGCATCAAATCGTCTCCTGCGAACAAAATCGAAGGAAGTCTGCACGCGGATCAAACGTACCCAGATAAGATTCTAATTAGTAAGCTTGACAAGTCTCATGACGCAGAATTTATGCAGGAGCTTGGTGCACGGAAGAGGGCGTACCTAGAAAAGTATGAGCGAGAGGATACTGCTGCTGAGCCTGGTGGCCATGCAACGAAAGCTTCCGCTAAAGCTGCGGCGAAGAAGAAATCAGCGAGGAAGGCTAGAGAGCGGCAGAGGAAAGAAGAAGAGCAGCGCCAGCTGGAGAAAGAAGCAGAGGCCCAGGCCGTAGCGCGGTCTAACATCAATGGTCATGGTGAGCGACTTGAACATTTCGGCAAAATGAAATAAGTAACCTCCCATGCAGTCATCGCTTCACATCCGGAAATCCGTCTAAGCAGCATTGACGAGATCCTGGACGACTCCCATCGCACAATGCAGACCAGAGACGGTGGCCAGCTTGTCTTTCCATTCGTCAATGCGAAGTATCGCACCCGTGTCAGAGTCGTCGATTTCTTCCCGCACGACCTTCACGATTTCTCGCGATGTATGGATGATCCAACTTGGAATACGCCTCTGTTGGATCAGGACCGGGCTCATGGACGCCGCGATGATCGGTGGCAGTGGGGATTTGTGCTATTTGTGGAAGACGCAACTTCAACGAGGCCCACGCCTCAGCGAATACCATTATTCGTATTCAATGATTCCGGGCAATATCTTTTGAATATCGATGCGATTGAGTAAGGGACAGCTATGCGTCTCATTGATCTTACGCTAATTCTTGCTAGTCTAAGGAATGACGCAAGGGGCCGTACTATGGCAACACTGGAGGAGAAACTTTTCATCCTCTGGGGTAACTTGCTGGAATTGAAACGTGATTTGGCGCCGAGCGGGGTGAAGTTTCCTTTGCCCACGCGCGACCAACGACTTTCCAACAAGCCTTTTGAATGCTGCATTGAGGAGTACGGCGTACAGGTAGAGCCATCTCCTCAGTGGCCCACGGGGTGGCAGCGCATCTACAAGCTCGCATCTACTCTTATCAGAGTCTAGTTCTCATTTCAGGGCCAATACCTGGCGCTTAGAGCACGAGCTGTTTCCTGTGTGTAAGATATCCAGCTCGCAACCCTCCGTCTAGCCGTCTGGTCAGGTATGGCTTCCATGGTCCATTCCACGAGACAGGAGGACTCGCAATTTCGATCTTTGAAAATGCATAAACAATGTTTTCTGAAAACCGGGCCCACCTGACTTCCCTAGCGTCTCCTGTAACGATAGCATTCCGCTTTGACCATTTGCAACACCATGTCGAGTCACCATGAATTCCCAGAAATGCAAAACATGGATCACCCACCTCTCCTAGGATTTTTGCAAGTCAAAATGTAAACTACGCTTTCTCCACATATTTTGGGATGCTCGGACACGGGCATTATAGAAGAATCGAGATGCGTGGTACTTGCATGATCCTCCGGGGACTATGCGTGATATTGCGTGATGGCGCAGGGAGCACTTCACCATTGTTCAGAAATCGTACACCCTTGGAATAAAAAAAGTTTCTCCCTTTGCTCAGGAAACCTCTTTCATTCTTCTTACTCTACAGGTGCGCATTTCGCTTTCCAAGCCAGCTTTATGGCTACCGGATTGGAACTCTCGATCCTCGCCCAAGAAATCAACGATCACAATGGCTTAGCAATCACCGAAAAACAAGAGATAACCACCGCGGCCCAGCCCATCATATGCGTAGGAACGACCGTCCTGAATCCAGCGCTCATAACCACGGATTTCGACCTACTCCGCTTCGAAGCCGCGGCCTTCGACCAACTCCGAGACTCTGGACTCGATCACGTGAATCACACGAACGACGACCTGGAAACCAATGGCATTTCTCCATTCTCTACCCTCCTGATCTCTTCTCCTTATAACAACCCAGGACACTATCTTCCCCTTGAAACGCTGGATCTCCCTTCCACCCTCTTCGCCAAAGCCCTCACAGCCCTCAAACCCGCCCGTGCAGATTATGCCACGGCCTCGTACACTTCTGCCCTCAACTTCCCGGTAATCCTCAATCTTCTCAGGGAATTATCTCTTGACGAGGGGTTCCAGTGGGACTCAGAGTGTAGTTTTTATGTGGTGGTGTTTCGCTCGAGGTTAAAGAAGGACGTTGATATTGAGGAACTGTACCGGCTGGATTATGAGAGTCACAGGGAGGCGTGCGAGAGTGGAGGATTGTTGAAGTACTGGTTTGGGAAGGTGGATGCGGAAAGGAGGAATCTGGCCACTTGTGAGTGATGACATATTTTTGAAACTTACCCCTCTTCGCCTGTCGATTCTTCCTCCCAGTGTATAGTACCCAACCTTTCTCGTGCGGTATTGGCCGAAATGGTGGGTACGATCAGACGAAGATGGACTGACAATTTCTCCCAGGCTTCTGGCGCTCCCGTGAGGACGCTCGAAAGGGTGGACTGGGCCCCTGGCATGCCAAAGCACGGAATGCGGCTCGGACGATGTATGAGAGTATCACCTTTGCTACTCACCGTTTCACTATCCTGAGAGGAGCAACGGATCTTAGACTAGAGGACTGGACTGACTGATTTACCCAACTCTATTACCTCGCCGGCTTCAGGAAGCGAGGTCAGGTTCGTTTCCTGAGAAGATAGGGTTTTGGAGTCGTGCATCTGCATCTGCATCTGCATTGTTCCTTCGACGTTTAGCGGCATACCTGTGTTTTGTTTTATGGGACGTCTGGGATTAGTAGGTGATAGGTCCTGGGGATGCTTCTTGAAGGCTACAGACAATCAAATTACTTGCTCAAGGATTAAAGCATGGCCACCGTATGACATGCGCTTAAGCTATACGAACCATGAACGAAACATCTGTGAACTTCTCTACTGCTCGCATGGTGATATCTAGAATGGGTACGGGATTGGACCTGAGGTCATTGTATGCTTTGTAGACACGCTAAAAACTTTCCTTCCTGGGATTCGAACTCGAAGTCGAAGGGGTGATAAGACGATGAAAGAATCGTGGAGATGACGTTCCGGATCAGGTATGAATGGTGAATGTGCTCTGCCAAGCTGCATCAGCCACACAAGCAACGCGCCACTGCAGCTCCCCTGCGCAACACACGCCTACCCACCACGACGCGTCTCTCACATGCTGGCCCCAGTCAACAATCACCATAAACACGACCATTGACACCACAGCCACTGGAGCAGCCATGAGCAAGCGCAAGGCCACCGTGAGCCTCGCAATCCGACCGGCCACGAAAAAGGCGCGCGTACGCAAAAGCGCCATCAGCGCACCGGCAGGCGACCTGTACGCGCAAGTTTTCGGCGGCGAAAACAACCTCGACGATGTCGTTGCCGAGTGGGTGAGCAGCTTCCACAACCATGAAGCTAGGGCTGTCGCGCAAATTGTCAATTTCGTGTTGAGGTGTTCCGGTTGCTCTATACAGATTGACGAGAATGACATTGGCGATCCGGACAATTGCCCGTCGCGGCTGGCAGATATTCAGGAGGAATACCAAGCTGTAAGTTAACACACGGATGCACTGCCTAGGGTGAAAGTAGTAGTGACAACGAACAGCAAGATATATCCGAATACCCCCTCATTGCGAAGAAAGGCGCTGCTGCTTTCAAGCAAGCACTCCATGGCTTCTTCGTATCGTTTGTTAAGAGCATCGCGGCGAATGGTCTCCTCTACGAGAACACCGAGCTGCTCGAGAACGTCCAAGTGTGGATCAGTACCATGTCCTCGGCATCAAACCGTCCCTTCCGGCATACAAGCACGGTCGTTTCTCTAGCCATCATCAGCGCGCTATGCATGGTCGCAGGCGAGATCGTCGAGAATACGGCGAAGAAGAACCGCCAGAGCGAAACTGAATCGAAGAAATCGCGCGTTAACAAGGCGCGAGTCTCGCTGGTGAACAAGGAGATTGAAGAGCTCAATCAGAAACTGCAGGTTGTGGACGGCTCAATCATAGATTGGTTTGATACAGTATATGTCCATCGTTATCGCGACGTGGACCCAAAGATACGGGTAGAGTGCGTGGAGGCCTTAGCAGACTGGATTGTGACATACCCCGACCGCTTCTTTGATGGCAGTCACCTGCGGTATCTGGGTTGGGTTCTATCCGATCCCCATCCGCCAACACGCGTAGAGGTCTTGAAACAACTTCAGAGACTCTTCCGGGACAGAGATAAGCTGGCTGGACTCAAGACATTTACCGAGAGATTCCGGCCGCGAGTTGTCGAAATAGCGACACACGACGCAGAAACGCACGTTCGCGCCGCCGCTGTTCAACTCTTGGACACTCTTCGAGAAGCTGGGTTCCTTGAGCCTGATGATGTTGACTCTGTGGGCAGGTTGGTGTACGATGCGGAGCCTAAGGTCCGAAAAGCTGTTGTCGGATTCTTCGCGGAGACGATCAATAGTGTATATGAGCAAAAGATCGAGGATATGGGAGGCCAGGAAGCAGTCGACGAAGCCTTGGAGCAGGATGACGAAGATGAGGCACAACCAGATTCTAGATTGGAATGGTTGAAGCTGAAGTGCCTGGTTGAACAACTCGTCGCTTATGACTCCGAGGACAGTGAGTTGCCCTCCCAAATTGAACGGCGAGGTCCTTCTGGGACCGAACTCGGCTTGGTTATTGCGGGAGTTGAGTCGCGGTTCTTCCTCGCTGCGCAGGCGCTTTATGACGCCATTCCAGAGGTCAGATCATGGGAGGCCCTGGCACAGTATCTGCTGCATGACCATTCGCAAACCGTGGAGAACGAAGCAGGTGAAGATGTCGTCGGTATGCTTCAGGAGAACTGCAAGCTTGACGATCGGGAAGAGATCGTTCTTCTGGATGTTCTCACTGCATCCGTGAAACTTGGCCTTCAGCGCCTTACCGAAGCAAAGAAGGACAAGAAGAAGAACAAAGCTGAGAAGCTAGCGCTGAAGGAAGAGGAGGCTGAGACAGTGAAAAAACTGTCAAATATAATACCCCAGCTACTGAAGAAGTTCGGTGCGGCTCCAGAGGCAGCTTCTCTTTGTCTTCGTTTGGAGCGCCAACTCAACCTTGACATATTCCAGGAGCTGCGGCAAAACGCGGCACTGACCGCATTATTGGACGACGTCAATAAGCAGTTCCTCACGCACCACCACGAGAACGTATTAGACGAGGCCATAGAGTCCATTCTCCACGCGCTAACACACGAAGACTCCAAGGAGATGGCCGAAAGTAAAGTCAAAGATCTCTGGGATGACCTCGTCAACTCTTTCGACCTGCTTCGCAAAGATCGGGACCTCTCCGAGCGAGGCAACCTCGAGACCGATGTTATCATCGACCTTTCCAACAATGTCTTGAAGATTTCCAAGCTAGCCAGAATATCTGAACCTGTGGTGCTCGATCGCACGACATCAGGTGCATCGGGTCGAAGTAAACAGAAGAAAGCAGCGAATGCGAATACTACACCACCTGTTACATGCCTACTGGAAATTTTGAACCGTGGCGTCCCTACGCAAGGTCTTGATGCTGAGCTTGATGCTGCGGAAGATGCCTTGGTTCGGCACACTATGAACACACTACTCTTGTACTTCGTCTGGAAATGCAGGCATTGCGCGGATAACATCCAATCCGGGTCAGCGATCCCAGATGACGAGCTTGAAGCAATAGCAATCCGACGGGACGAGTGTATAACAGCCCTTGCGACTATCATGAAGAGCAGGAAAGGCGCGGATGACATCCGGATGGATGCTGCATACTTGTTGCTGGACGTCTCGAATTTGTTCTTTTCGTTAAGGAAGGCGAAAGCCACACAAGGTGAAGCGGCGAAGAACCAGACCAACGGCGACGCAAATGACGACTGGCAAGCGCTGTGTCAGCAAATCGACCCCCCGACTACGAGAATGTTGCTCCAAATTTTGGGAGCTGCGGAAAATAATCTTGCAAAGCGCACGGGGAAACGGGTCGAGGAGCCCGATGTGGAGGATGACCCTATCGATGTTGATGATGCCCCGGAGAGTAGCGATGATGAGGAAGAGACGCAACAGACGCAAACGCAAACTCAGGGTACCCAGAGTGCGGACGCTGAGAAGGCAGCTGAGGACAGGAAGGTTCGCGCTCTGTTGGCAGAGGGCCGGCTGTGCTTCTTGGGAAGCAGGATGGTGCACGGAGTGCAAGTGGGTGCCCTGGGAGATGAGGTTCGGAGAAGGCTGGAGAGGAACAAAACCAAACTGGGCCATAACTGGAAGGAAGTAGTAACCCATTTAGGAACTGCTGAGAATTTGAAGCTGCCAAGGCCGCAGAGGGCGAAAGCGAAGAAGGCGAGGGCGAGGACAGTTACGCCGGTACAAGTTGGGTCGAGTGATGAGATCGAGGAAAGTGGAGCGGAGGAGTGAATCACGTAGGGTGTCTTCTCATTTCTGTAAGATGTATTTCTAGCGGCGGGTATCTGTCGTGATAGTACTATGTGGATAGGCAGGACAATAAGAGGATCGCATTCCTCTGGGAATCTGGGGCAAGATGTTAAAACCATACGATTATAACTCCAATCATCTGCCCCCCTTTGGGAGACATATATCAGTTCCCCTTGCTCCGCTCATTGACCCTTCCGCTCCGCCATCAACTTCCGATATGTGTCAATCAGCGTCAACCTCTCCGCCGCTAGCTCCTCCCTCTTCCTCAAACTCCCCACGCTATTAGGAATATTTCCCACCTCCACCCTGGCTCCGTCCCTGACCTTGAAGATCTCCCTCGGCACGCGATCAAATGTTGGCGGCGCCTGCACCACATCGTGCAACCCCTTCCTCTGCTCCCGATTCCGCTTGAGCGCTTCCCACGGATCTTCCTCCTTGATATCCACCTCTCCAGCAACAAGCTTCTTCCCCTTCTTTCCTCTCTTTTTCTTCTTCCCACCTGCAGGCAGATCCGCAGTCTTATCCTCCCACATGGCCTCAATTTCATCTTGTTCCTCCTCCGCCAACTCCCTTTCCTCAGCCTCCTTCTCCCGCAGCCGCGCCTCCTCCTTTCGCCATCCCTCTTGCAGCTTCTTGAGTTTCTTCTCGTGGCGCGTTATGCGGTGATCAGGCAAGCCCTCAATTTTCTTCCTGTTCTTCTGGATTCCCGTCAATGGTAACGCGGCATTGACGCGCTGCGCGAAGTCGGACAGCTTCTCGCCGGGCAGAATCTTCGGTATTGCGGGTTGTGGCACTGCTTGCGATTCGCTGTCTGCCGTCGCACGGTTATTATTACTATGTTTCTCCTCCGCGCGGTTGTTCTTCTTCTGCGCTTTCTTCTTCCCTCGAGGTTCTCCGTCATCTAAACCTTTGGGTCCCCTGCCCCGCGTCTTGAATGCCATCAATCTGGCAAATGCCTTGGGTGTGTCGTCTGCGCCATAGTCATTGTTGTTATTACTTGACGTTTTACTGCGTTTCTTGGGACGAGGATTGGCTGCACGGCCTTTGCCTGTGGGAAGGGGAGCGGCACGTTGGGTGGGTGGGAGGTCGAACACCTCGTCAGCATCGGCCTCGGCTTTGCGTTTGTGTTTGTGCGGCATGTTTCGGAGGCGTCGACGAGGGAATGTATGGCTGCTAGAAATATCGTGAAAGCGGAGGGATGTTGGAGGGGACTTTTTTGGGGCAGGGTTCAAAGACTAGGAGGGAAGGTTTTGCCGGGATGCGTTAGTCAGCTGGAAGGCTTCAACGTCTTCCATCTGGCGGGGGTCAGGATTCGTCAAACAACCAACTCTATAATACCTGAGAATTTGAGGTGTGCAGCTCATTACTGAGGTGCTTACTCTCATTCCTCTACTGACCGAATACTGGGAGAATATTCATTCTGATTTTCAGCTCTTAAGCTCCAACCCCTTAATTAAGGGTCGTTCCTTCGGATGCTGCATGGGAGTCTGAATGGCATCTTCTCATTTGTAGAAGTATTCCGCTGTATAAACTATCTTCTAGGGCTTAGCACAAGCTGTCCCACTCTAGAGACATGGGCCTCACCTAACAATACTACTCACTTCGGCTTCGTGCCCAACACTACACCTGTCCAGTGTCACTCACACAACGACTACTGGCACCGCAATCCGCTCTACGATGCGCTTTCGGCGGGATGCGTTGGCATCGAGGCGGACGTTTGGCTCTTCCAAAATGAACTCTTCGTGGGACACAATACGAACGAGTTGACACTCAACCGAACGTTCCGATCCCTGTATGTCGATCCGCTGCTCACCTTGCTTAACCAACTGGTGGTCGAAGAATCAGACAAGAAACTGGAATGTTCCTTGAGAGGACTGTTTGAAGGAGACCACTGTCAGTCTCTTGTTCTTCTGGTGGACTATAAGAATCATGGACCGAGTATCCATCCCTTTGTCAAGGAGCAGTTATCCCCTTTGCGAGAGAAGAGCTACCTAACTTACTTCAACGGCACCGAAGTAGTACGCGGACCGATTACCGTAGTGGCTACTGGAAATGCACCGTTTGACCTTCTCACGGCGAACTCGACGCATCGGGACATTTTCTTCGACGCCCCGCTGGCCAGGCTATACGAGGATCCGTCAGAAAACATGTCGAATTCCACGTCAGTTAACTACGACAAACATACGGAATCGGCATCTCTTGTTAGAAACATCACCTCCTCATCCGAGTCTCAATATCGCATCAGTGGCCAGGGCGTCGTCGGCACAACATCCACCTCCCACTTCGACATCACAAACTCGTACTACGCCAGCACCAATTTTAGAAAAGCCATCGGGACCCCCTGGAGAGGAAGGTTCTCGGAAAAGCAGATTCAGCTGTTGCGAGGACAGGTGCGGGGCGCGAAGAGAAGGGGATTGAAGCCGAGGTATTGGGGTGTGCCCAGTTGGCCTGTCGGGTTGAGGAATACGGTCTGGGAGACGCTGATTAGGGAGGGTGTGGATATGCTTGCTGGGGATGATTTGATGGGGATGGCGACGGGGACCTGGTGGGATAGTGAGAGTTGAGAGGCGATTCGAGTGAGGTGAGCATAAAACAACTCTGATGAACGTACGGAGTATCGAAACAGAAAAATGTTCCCGCATAGAGACTGGTGTGTCAATAGAATTTCCAGGCCAACTTTCATACTGATAGCCATTTACGACAGAAAAACGAGGAATCTAGTCGTGATTGCATGCTGAATAAGAGGGTAGACTGGATAGGTTATTGTCTTGTTTCTTTGGGAGTTATCTCTGTGGTTCGTCGGCGAGTCCCGTCTGAACGGCTTGAGCATTCACACATAATACATATTTGAATTCTCGTTGATTTTGCCTGACATACAAGTATGTATGCAGCAAACGCGGCGACCATGGGCCGGACTGCTGAGGCGGTGGATTATTGGCTTGGCGGGCAGTGAGCAAAGGGAGCAGAGGGAGCAGAGAAAGGTTTGGCGCGGCGGAGGGCGGGAGCTTGTCCCACCTTGGGGCAGTTGGCAGTGAATTGCTAGCCGAGATGGCAGCCAATCAAACCTGGCAAAAGCCTTCTCGAAGATTGCAGTCTGTAGCGCAAAGTGTGATTACGGAACCACCTGGGCAGGCACATTTTCGGGGCTCCTCCTGCGGCGACCCTCACCACACCCTCTTCGTCGTCCTGTGCGCCTCCTCTTTCTCGCATCTGTTATCGCCTCCCTCCCCTGAGACCCCCTCCAGTTCACCCTTCGCCTTTTGCTTTTCCAGTCCCGCTGCTGCGAACCCGTCCCGCTCTGCTTGTCTCTCTCTGCTCTGCATCTGCATCCCTTTTCTTCACCCTTCCTCCGTCTCCAGCACAGTTCTAGCGGCGCGAGCGCTAGTCCCAAAACTGCCAGCTTGCCGTTCTCGGCTAGGCCGAACCCCAGCCAAGAAGCTCCCCAGCTCCCGGCGACTCTCGCATCTCTCCCGTTCTCCAGCAACACACCCTTCTGCCATCTCTCCCGACTCTCCTCGCCACTTTGTCCGTCTGTAGCTGCCTCTACGACGTCCCTCGAGCGAGCAATTGCTGCTGCTCGCGCCGTCTCGTGTCGTCCATTGCGAGTCCTGCCTCCTGGTTCCAGCCTCGCTTGCCGCATCCCGCAGCCCGCGCTCCCTGCGTTGCCCCCTGGATCCTGCTTGCCAACCTGCGTCTTCGTCGCGCCGCGTTTCAACACACTCTTAACTCCCTCTCCCTACCCTTATAGCACGGCACGATGGCGGACATGAGTGCTGAATCCATTCAGCAGAAGATCCAGATCGCTCGGCGAGATGCCGAGGCCCTCAAGGACAGGATAAAAAGGAAGAAGGACGAACTTGCTGACACGACCCGTACGTTCGCGCCCTTGCCCCCTTCGCGCAGCATTTTGCGCTTCAAGCAGCTGACCTTTCTTCTCCAGTCCGCGATGTAGCAAGGCAGCGGGTCGAGGCCCTTCCGCGCCTCACCATGAAGACGAAGCGTACGCTCAAGGGACATCTGGCCAAGATCTACGCCATGCACTGGTCCACTGATAGACGGCACCTTGTATCTGCCTCTCAGGACGGAAAGCTGATCATATGGGATGCCTACACAACCAACAAGGTGCACGCCATCCCTCTCCGATCGTCCTGGGTGATGACGTGCGCATATTCACCTTCCGGCAATTATGTGGCTTGCGGTGGCTTGGACAACATCTGCTCCATCTATAACCTATCTGCACGGGAAGGCCCAACGCGCGTCGCTCGGGAGCTGTCAGGCCATTCCGGCTACCTCAGCTGCTGCCGATTCATCAGCGACAAGCGCATTCTCACTTCCTCTGGCGATATGACCTGCGTACTCTGGGATCTCGAGACCGGCTCCAAGATCCACGAGTTCGCCGATCATCTGGGCGATGTCATGAGCTTGAGCATAAACCCTCTGGACAACAACATGTTTGTCTCTGGCGCTTGCGACGCATTCGCCAAGCTGTGGGACATCCGTGAGCAGAAGTGTGTGCAGACGTTCGCAGCACACGACTCCGACATCAATGCCATTCAGTTCTTCCCCAATGGCAATGCTTTCGGTACTGGATCCGACGACGCCTCCTGCCGACTGTTCGATATCCGCGCCGACCGCGAATTGCAGGCCTACACTGTATGTTACCTGTTCGATGATCACCCAGTTTGCTTTTCAAGCTGCTAACTTCAACTCTTCAGATTCCCGAACCCGTATGCGGTATCACATCCGTCGCTTTCTCCGTCTCCGGCAGGTTGCTTTTCGCTGGTTACGATGACTTTGAGTGCAAGGTAAGTCTGCCTCTCTCTTTGTTTGCGGCGCAAGTTATTGACATGGGATAGGTGTGGGATACTCTGCGAGGCGAGCGTGTAGGTACCTTGCAAGGCCATGACAACCGGGTCAGCTGTCTCGGTGTAAGTAACGACGCGCTGAGTCTGTGCACCGGCTCGTGGGACTCGATGGTAAGTTTGAAGCCGCATTGTATCATGCGACATATAGCTGACTTGGCATGCAGCTCCGCATCTGGGCATAGTGGGCAAAGGTGCCCACAAGTTGCGACAAGACATGATAATGCCATGTATCGAAGGCAGACGAGAAGCACCCCCTAATTTTCTTGCCCATGTACGACGAATACTCTTTTATACTTTTTCAGCATATCCGCCCGTTTCCGCTCAGCGTTGTTTTACGGTCCGATTTCTCGTCTCGACAACTCTGATACGGCCATTGTATCATGCGACGAACGCGGAGCTCCTACCATCTTTGCAAGCCTTCTTGTTCCACCATACCGCCTTTCCATTCCATCATGTTTTCAGCTCAGCACCAAGCTCCATTTTTCCTTGTTGGGCGGGTTATTGTCTTGCGGCGTGCGACGTGGTGTTGTTTACGCTTCCGACTAGTGTATCTTGACCCAGCCTATTTTCCATTTCGTTTGTTCCTCTCTTCTACCTGACCGCCGTTCGGAATTGACTGCACCGTTTCCGGATATCTGTGACTCGTGACTGGTTGACTCGACTCAAAAGCTCCACTGGCTGCGGATGCGGGCAGGGCAAGAGGAAGACGGTTGCTTGCTTGCTGTATGTTTTCTCATTTGTTGTGTGTTTTGGATGAGCGGATGATGAATTGCTGGGGGGTTGGCCGATTAGGGTTAATTGTGCCGGATGGGCATGGGGAGGGGGAAGCGGTTGGATACAGGACGAGACTTGGGGAGTTGTGGCGGGGCAGGTTTATGGAGGTGTAGACGAAGGATTGGGGCGAAAGGAAGCGACATGCTTTAAGCCTGCGGCAGCTTGTTCACTGTGGTGGCCGCATGGGGGAGAGGGGCGCAAAAGACGTGGTTCATGTGTTGGGGGGGCGATGTGATAGTAGGTGTAGTTCGCAGATAGTTGTGTAAGCTTTTTTCTCTTTCAAAGTGGAGTGCCGGTCTCTGGTGTAGTGGTTTCAGCATTCTCGTCGTTTTATGCAGACTGGGGAAGTGTTCCAGATGATGACGATGACATGAGGCGGCACTTGCACATGCACATGCATCCCGCAGCTTCAGCGTCGGTCGGGTCCTGAGCGTGTTGACTTGAGCTGGAAGATGGCTATCCATAGGTCACGTCTCGCATGTATGTGTGTATGTATCTATCTATCTTTGTGTGTACTCGTTGGGCATGCATGCAGGAGGCATGCAAGCCAGCCTCACTTGTCTCACGGCGGGACACGAATTCTCCGACCACGAGAACCACCTGGCATTAGCGGGTAACGAGGAAACGGGCGTCTGAAGGGCAAGACTGATTTGCAACAAAGCTTGTCCAACTTGGGAGCGGTAATAATGGAGGGTGATGATGGGTAATGACAGTCTTGAAGGCATGGATGAGGATACGCGAACGTTTCGGCTCTGGCAACACCTAGTGGTCACGTTCACATGATTGATGAAAGGTGGACAGCCGACATGAGTGAAGGGAATCATGAGGATTGGGGAAAGGAAAGGACAGGGGAATGCATGAGGGCACGTGGCGATATTTATTCTGGGCCTTTGGGGGTTTTGCCAGACAGGAGAGAATGGGGGGATGGCGCGAAATGAGGGCAGATGGAAGAGAGGATCGGACGTGCACGCGTTGCTCTCTGCTTGTTTTGAATTGGGGGAGGCGGAGAGAAGCAACGCCGCATAGACGCATAGATGGTTGGAGTCCGAGTTGGTTGTTGTCAAAGAAACGGACTGTACGCTGAGGTGTGAGGAGAAAGGAATCAACAACGGAAACGGGGAACAACATGAGGCTGGTGGGCTGCTGCAGGGGGCTTCTAGGGGGCTTCCAAGGGGCTTCGAGAAGTGCCCGTCTCGTTGGCGCTATTGCTATTTCTGGACATGGTCGACACGGGCGTCGCAGGTGTGAGTTTCAGGGCGATCAGGTGTGCGAGGAGCGGTGAGTCGGAACTCGTGTGGAGATGATGTGGATTATTAGGGGATGAGGATGTGGTTCCCACGATGGGATTTTAACAGTTATTCGTTGAGCGTGAGAGAGGCAGAAGATTGTACGCAGGCAGGTTCAAGCTGAGGGTCTTTGAGAATGCAGGCTAGCAGACTTGAAAGAAACTGTTTCGAGTTGCTCCTTCGGCCCTGCACGCATCGGAAGCATAATAGCAAAACCAACCAGTGCCCTGAAACGGCTCATCAAACAGCAGCACAAAATAGCAGATCGGCGAATGGTCCCTGCCCTGCGGCTTTCTTTGCCTTTGCATGGCTTGATCCTGCGCATCTCACCATCTCGCCCGCAGCGCCAAGTCTCCGTCCACGCGATCTCGCAGGCATCTCCCGGCCCGCCCCATGAATGCGTCCGCCGCACTGACCTCGTCCCTCTCACCACACTCCTACCACTGGCTGTGTGCTGCTGTCATCCCTCCCCGAGTCCCCCAGGACAGTGACCGCCCATTGCACCCCTTCCCACCGCCTCCTCGATATACAAATACCCCTAGCCCGCGGCGCCCCCCTCCGCCCTTCCCCTCCGCCATGTCTTCCACCGCCGCCCAAGACGAATTGAACGAGCTCCTCCGCGACAAGGACCGCGAGACACGCCACCCGGAAGACAGAGACAGAGACAGCGACGCCTCGGACAACGAAGACGACGAGGACAGGAACAACGATTACAACGAGAAGATAGACACGGACGACGAGCTCGACATCCCCAAGAACATGGGCCCAAACTACTACCTCCCGTCCATCCGCAGCGAGGCCAACACGGGCCCCAAGGGCGTCATCGCCGACGCCCACGCCTTTGAACTCGCTAAGAAGCAGGCCCGGAGGTTCACGTGGCGGAAGCCCTCGCCCCCCAACTCCTCGTACACGGCTACAGCATGGCACGACGAGAAGGGCGCACATTCGTCCGACGACGAGACCGACGAAGGCTTCCTGCAGAAGTGGCGCGAGGCGAGGCTGAGGGAGCTGCAGAATGCGGGAGACAGGATAAGGAGCCGGAGTCGGACGAACAGCCCCAGCCGCAGGATCTATGGGACCTTGGTGGCCGTCGATGGGGAGGGGTATTTGGAAGCCATTGAGAAGGTGGCGAGGGATACCGTCGTGGTGGTTTTCATTTATGATGACATGGTATGTCCCGTCCCTCATCTCCTTTGTCAGAGTACCTACCTGGTCGATTGAATTGGTTTGCTGACTTGAACACCTTCAGTCCGACATCTCTGCTCTCGTAGAGACGTACATGCGCCAGGTCGCTGCCCGCAACGACTCGGTTCGCTTCGTGAAACTACACTACGAGGACGCAGAGATGGAGGTTGCGGGCGTACCCGCAGTTCTGGCGTACCGCAACGCCGACAAGTTCGCCGGCCTGGTGCCGCTGATGGACGAGCTACCCGAGGACTCGGAGCTGAGCGCCGTGAGCTTGGAGACCGTTTTCAGGCGGTGAGTGATTACCTTTTCCCTTCTCTTATCGGGGTTGGTGTTGGGGAGGATAGCGGTGTTGCTGCACTGTTGTGCCGGGGAGTGAAACGGACCGTCAGCTGACTGGAGTGCCACAGGCATCGCATTCTATAATAAGCGCACCCATGTAAGAGGGCGCTCACTTCTCCGGACTTCGTCGCGTGGCCGGATACGACACCGGGCCGTGTCATCAGTGGCTTGCTCACTGCATCACTGCGCTTCACAACCATCGGAGACTCAGCGCTGATGCATTAAGCCTTCGCGAGTCTCCTGCTCTTGCTCCTCTTCGAGTGTCTGAGTCGAATGTCTGTGACATGACACGCGACTCGTACGAATACTCCATTATCGGGGAGCCTGAGCTGAGGCGCAGTTTACAGACGTGGACTGTCAAAGCCTCCAACCGTACTTCCAACAGTACGTACTATTGACATGGGTCGATCCACTCAGGTGTCTCGAACTCACACCATCATCTTTTTCCTTGTCACTGGGCTGGTATTAGATTGGTATGGACGGATTTGCATCATTGCATTGGGCCACGCGCTCATGTTATATCTATCTCTTATACTTCGGTGGGGAATGGCGTTCATGGCACTTGGGCTACTGCTCCCTGTGTGACATCCGAAGCAGACGGGCCGACACAGAACAGATACATTTGTTTACATATTGGGTAGGATGATTCCAGGAAGCGAATAGGCCATTGTTGATCTTGGGAGTAGTATACCCAATTCATCTCATGTTTACTCCTTGTCGAGAGAAGAATAGCCATCAGCATTTCGAAGTTGTGATGTAAATCACAGATACAACTGCGTTATCCCTTCCTTCCAACTCATCTCCATGCTTCTCTCCTTTCTTACCTGGACGCCCTGCTCGACTCTTTCCCCCATCCCCATCCCAGCCAAGAACCAAAGCAAGAACCGAGAATACCCATGTCTCGCTACGGATCTTGCACCTGGCTCATCTATGGACCCGGCGGAGTGTTTCCTTCATCCTTCCCTCCTTCCTTCCCTTCCTTCGGTGTTTTCATGACGTCTTTGTTTCAATAATCCATTATTCCTTCTTCTCTGCCAACACCGATACTATGTTTCATGCTTCAAGTCTCAGGCTCCGGCACTACTTCCTTTCGTTTCCCTTGTTTCACCTCCCTCCCGGCCCCATCACGTTTGTCCAACTCCTCGGTTATGCGCGGTTCTGAACCATCAAACATGGACCGACTTTCTATAGTCTTTGCGCTTATCACTCTTCTCTTTTACCTCCTTCTTGTGACAAGAGAAAGCGTGTGGGTGCACTCGACTCAGTTATTGCCTGCAAAGTTATCTATATTACACCGCCCATATCTAGTTTACAAGAGGGAGATAGGGACCCTTTTCCAAGAGAAAACCAAACAAACCAACAGAACCCGCAGAGTTCAACCAACCATACATAACCTATTCACCCCTATTATTATGCTTACACCCACCTACGCATAACTCGCCCACCCACAATACAGCACCGCCAGATTCCGCTCATCCGTCGCCGTCTGAATCAACTCATTCACCGTCGCCGGCGTACTCAACGTCTTGCTCAACTTCTTCTCCACGACGCTCAACGCCCGTCCCGCCTCTCCCGCCTGCTGCTCCTCCCGCTTCCGGTGGCTATGCTGCAGCATGCCCCCGTCATCCAACACACCCGAGACATTGACCGCAGAGGGGACAGGCGTAGGCACAGGAGCAGGTGTAGCCCCGCCGGGCCCGACGGTCCCCGCCCTTGACGCATTCGCCGTGTCCTGCGCCTCCTGCATGCGTTTCGCCTTCTCGGGCGTGACGCTCCAGTTGACCAACGGGTCGTAGCGCAGCACATTGAGGAGCGTCATGATGGACTCGCGCTCCTCCCGCAGCGTATCCATTGTGAACTCGCAGCAACGGCGGAAAACGCCTTCCGTCTTCGTGTAGCCCATGGCGTCGACAAGGTCCCGCGTCAACCGGAAGGGCACCACTTCGGGGACAGGCAGGACTCGGCCTGCTTCGAAGCTGACGCCGAGGTCGATGTGGACCACTTCTCCGCTCTTCTCGTCGAGGAGGATGTTGTGGCAGTGGCGATCGCCTAGGCCCAAAACATGGCCTAGGATGGAGATTGCGGCGGTGGAGCGCGTGTAGTTGAGGCGTTTCTCAAACCATTCATCCGGATCTTCAAAGCGCTCCAGGAAGAAGAAGCGAAGAACTGGGTGGAAGTTCTCGGCTATCTTCTGCCAGATTTTGATTCGAGTGCTGACACTGTCGCTTTGGCACATGGCCATGTCTTTGCGGCATTTGTCCGATTTCCAGTCGTTGGGGTAGTACTTCTCGTGCGCCGGCATGACATATTGGTGCAGAGGGATGGTATTTTGCACGAACTCCATCAGTCCGGATCGCGTTGACAAAGGGAGCACTTTGTAGGTGCGAATGCCTAGATTTCGGAGACGGGTGGTGGTGTGGTTCTTTAAGAGACGCGAAACCTGATCGAATACTTGCTCCATGATCGCGTCTTGCCTGAGGTCGTCATTGCCAGATTTAAACTAGAACACATGTTAGGAAAAATCGGGAACACCTCCTGAAAATCACGTACCAGCTGCTTGTAGGGTTTCCCATCGCTGGCGATAGCGGTGATAATTTTAGGAGCACTGAGTCCATTTGCGATGCTCATCTTGGGCTTGAAGCTTGTAATCTTCGGTAAATCGCTGTAGTCGCAGCTTGCTCGAACCTCGACCTGAAGAGTTGCAGGTGGCACTTTCATCGCCGGAATTCGATGCACAATCGCCTTCGATTCTGCGTACTTATCGAGGGCGATCTCTCTTCCTTGCCGATTATCCGCCTCATTCTTGAACATCGCAAGCGCATGATACAATTCGGCGGATTGAGAGATGGTTGTCCAGTACGTACGTGCTCTCTTGTCGTTGTTAAACATGGCTGCCATGGTGCTTGCGGCACGCTGGCGGGACTTGGCGGATTCGTCCTTTGATCGCACAACATCCTCTTTTGAGCCCGAGCTTACTTTCGTCTGAATGGCGAAGATGTTGTACATGCCATGGTAGGGGTGGTCCACGCATATTCTGTATACCAGTGCTGACAAGAGCTTCTGGAAATCCGTGGATTCGGCTTGCAGACGTGACGAAAGCTGGTTCATCAGCAGGGCGAACTTGCCGCTAGGTACCTTGGATAGGTGAGAATTCACGGCATCGTTGGCTAATTGCGTATCAGAGTATTCAAGCCAGAGGGAGAACACTCGGAGCGCATCGTTGTTGTACTCGTCAGTCGCCTGCAATGAAAGGAGATAATTCTCCAAGCACTGCTGGAGGAACATTTCCCGGCCTTTGCGCAGCCTGTCATATTCTGCTTTATCGAGTTTGTACCACGTCGCTGCGCGCTGAGCGTTACGCTTGTACGTCTCGCGCATGGTTTTGCTCGACTTCTCCGCAGCAGCTAACTTACGGAACTCCTCACACTCTTGTGCTTTTCGATCCATGACTGTTTTGATCCGTGCGAGATCTTCCGCCGCTTCCGGGTTCTGTAGCTGTTTGTCACAGAAAAACGCGAATTCGTGGAATACCTGGCCAGGGACGGCACCGTGAATCTGTCCTTTGAGTTCTTTTATAGCGGGTTCCAGGTATTCTTTGATGATGGTGTCCGGCTTTTCAAGGCGAGCTTCCGCTAGGTGATGACCCTGCGCAGGTCAGCAGAACATCTCACGAACATCCAAGCTACCTACCAGCTTCGAGAGCAGAACCGGCAAACTGATATCGCTACCCTGGGAGTCAAACTTGGTGTGGTCGATGAGCTGTTGGCGCATTCGAATCGATGTTTCTGTTTCCCCTTGGTCCCATAGGACACTCGCCACCTCATACTGTGCCACGGCTTCAATGTCAAGGCCGATCGCCTTGCACTGCTGCACGATATCGGAAAGATAAGTGACGCTCGACAGTGAATCCTGCAAAGCTCCGTGTTTTCGACTGATAACAGAGGACTGAACCAATGCTTCCACTTCCATATGCCGAATGGTTCCCGTCTGTGCACGCAATGATTCCTGCAATGCGGAATTCGAGCCGAGGACGCTGAACAATGTTTCCCGGCAGGAAAGAATCAGGCGCACGTCTTCAAATCTGTAGTTGTGAGCATATGGCCAGATATTTCTTTGGATATCCTACTTACTCGCCAGCGCGCATCCACTTTTCTCGGCTTTTCATCTGATCCCATACATCGAGCAATTGTCTGGGATCGGGCGTATTAATCAAGTCATCCGCCTCAGCTAGCACTGCGAGAGCACGCAAGTGAGATTTCGTCGCGGCTGACGACTTGTCTCTCTTCGATAGACAATCCATCGTGGCTAACAACTGCCGGTCGAGATGACGCTTCGCACCTTGAACATCTTTTGCATAGTGCAGACCTTGGAAACCCTTGAACAACGTGCTCGCCTCGCTATGGTTTCCTTCCGGTGTCTTGATGTCCCATTTCCCCAGCTTACGAGCTGTATGTAGAGTGCTGTCTATAGCATCGTCTCCAATATCGCGGAAAGGTTCATTGGAAAGCAGATCATTCGTGATACTGTTCATGTTGAGGCTGATGAGTGATTTGACGATTCCACGTGAATCAGCGGAGTCGGTTGTATTCGATCTGCGGATCTGGCTGTCCAACCGAGCACCCCGAAAAAGAAGGCTCTTCACACCATCGGCTTCGTGGTCAAGACGGTCCAACACTGAGGTCAGACTGTGCCCTCTATCCACTCCGTAGAATGAATCTGGCTCATCTAGGTTCTTGTAGATTTCCATTTGCAAGTCGACTGGAATGGAGGGCGGCTGAGCGAGTTTTGAAGCTCTTCGTGAGGTGCTCTTGAATGGTAGTTTGCCTGCGGAGGTTTCGGCGAAAAGAAGAGCGCTCCTATACATTCCGCAGGCAGCAGCTGCCTTGGCTGCTTGAAGGTAATCGATCTCTAGCCATTCATCTCGATCTACTCGCGTGACCTCCTTCGGCACAGGCTGACTTCGCAGGTATAGAATCGTCTGAATGAGTATCCGCACAAAAGGGGCTGTCTTTGGAGTGCAGTTGTGAAACCAGGACATGGTAATTTCAGACATTGTCTGGCGGACCCGGCGATCGGCGCCAGGCTCGTCCAGAAGCACCAAGTGGACAATGTACGGAAACAGCAACGCGGCCAACTCGTCAATGCCTAACAAAAGCTTTGGAAGACAACTGAGAATTCGATCCTGGGGTGCACCATCACACAAGGACACTGCAAGATCTCGTATCCAGACGGCGACAGGAATTCCGTGCTTCCCTTCTGGTGGTGGAAACCCACACTGTTTGAGGTCCCCCCCGATATTTCGAGTTTCAATCTCGGGTTCGACAGGTATTGGAACCATAAGAGCCTCCCCGATGGCGGTTGGTACCTTGTCATCCAGCTCGTGAATGTAATCTTTCTTAGTGTTGCGGGATATAAGGGATCGTATCGCGCTTTCAGCAAGGCCCACTTCTTTCCGGTCATCGCTGTGGAATAATTCGGCTATCTTCTCAATGATAGCTTCGCGTGAAGATCGCCCTAGCGGAGCTTGAGGAGATATAGGCACAGACGACCACGGCAGAGATGGGTCGGCCTTCCGTTTCACTTCTCCGTTTGCGCTGAAAGCTCGGCCCAGTACTTTTGCCGCCCACAATTTGTAGCCGTCGCCTATGTTGTCCCGCTGGCAAGATTCCCAGATCAGAGGGGCATAGTCAGCTATAATCGAATCAGAATCGAGCACATCATCTCGTGCTGATGACGCTGGCTGGAAGTCCTGGCAAAGGAGACCGAGGGCGACCTCTCGAGAGGCTTTATTGAGTAATCCTCGGCCCGATCGCACATCTTCCAAGATTTGCAGTAGGAGTCTGCTTTCCTCGCTACCTTTGATTGAATTGCCCTCGACGCGCACGTGGGAAGCAGCATGTATTATTTGTTTGAACGCTTTGACCGATGCAGGTTTCTCAACACCGAGCAGCATGTCGGCATATGTGTCCAGATATTTCGTAAGCCAAGTGTGAAAGTGGTTAGCTTTATTCATCGTCGCCTTATGATGAGATTCCTGGGTCGTACTGTCTTGTGAACTTCCCAAGAAGACCCGTATGGATATGAGAATTGACAGTCCTATACCCGTGACGAAGCCAAAGTGAGCACGTAGGTCCTCTTTTCCATGCAAGAAAAGATATTGAACAATTCCCAAGGTGTCTTCTGCGCATTGGATATCGGTAAGGAGAGGCCTTAGCGACTGAAGAGTCATCTGTAACGGATAGCCTCTATACGCTACGTTGCCAGCCAGTGCCACCAGTATCCTGATTTTCCTGATGATTGAACGGGCATGCAGCGAGCCTAGAGCGGAATGAAGGCGATCGAGCAACATCCGCATCACACATGTGTAGATATCTGGTTTCCAGAAGTGGATTGGATCAGTGACGCCAACTCGGCGGCAGAGACGCTCCAGCTGGTCAAAGACGTAGTAAGCATTGAAGGAAGGCTCAAGACCTAGATCGAAGTTTTGCGCGGAGTGGCTGATATCAGCCATTTCCTTGAGCGCTTTTGCGGTTTCGGCATAGGCCGGTCGCTTTTCTAGAGCTTTAGAAATGCGTTCTTCTTGTTCGATGGTTTGCATTATGTAGCCGAGTATGCGGGGAAAGTGCATCTGTAAGAGCGATGCGTAGCGATCAGAACCTATCATTTCGCGAAGCAGCTTCTCATTGCTCGTATCAGACTTGTTGCGTGCGAAGCCCTTACACGTGTCCCAAGATATCGCATACGCGGCTGATTTAGCAATGTTGCGATCTAGAGCTTCGGCTGTTGACTTTCCCAAGAGCTGTGCCAGGTATTCCACCTCGCTTCTGAGCCCAAGCATGATAGCCTGGCCGACAGCCTCAGACTCAATATCGCATATGAGAGCGTGTAAAGAAGGGTAATCAAAAGCAAGGAAAGGGATCTCAGAGAACGTTCTCTTTCTGTCCAGCCAGGTGAATATGATCTGCGGAGCAAAAAGGCGGAAAAGCGCGGCCGGCTTGGTTAACTTTCTCGCTTCAGCTACTGTCGTAATACATCGCTTTGCGTGGGGGATTGCGGATTCAATGGAGCCAGCTGTTGCGAAGATCTGGTACACACCTTGGCGCAGCAAGGTGTGCCAGGCAGATGCCAGTCTTGCCAAAACAAGCAGGCGAATGGCGATTCCCTCGACCCATCCGGGATCAGTAGGAAGGCTACGGTCGATGTCCTCGAGGATTTTGTTGTGCTCGGGGAGAATAAAGCAGTCAAAGACACTAGGTAAAATCTCGGCGATGCGATATTTTAGGGGAATCTCACCCTGTTTAAGGAGTTCGAATAGACTGGTGCGTACAGATGGGGACTTGCGATTCTCAGCGAATGTTGGGTGATGTTTGAGGAGACCATGGACGAAGTCGACAAGAAGTCTCTGGAGGCCTAATGACCTTCTCACACCGCCCCTTTCCATCTCTTTCGCGTAGTAGGCGTATAGCGATTCAACAATATCATACAACTCCTGGCCCTCTCGATCGGTAGCTCCTGGATCCATTGCAGGAATCGTACCAATGAGCACCTGGACAACCATGACATTTGCGACCTCAGAAGTGTTGTACTCGCGCGCAGCCGGATCGAGGAGGGCTTCAGTAAATCTTTCCAACAAACGAATGCACGACGCTCTGTCTAGCCGGAATGGAGTGCACAGTAAGGCGGAAATGAAGAGTTTGGAACGTAAAAGGTCATCCTCGCGCATCGAGATTATATGGTCCACGAACTCGGAAGGAATATGATCAAGTTGTTCATGCTCGTTTGGATGTTCAGCGACGCATGAAATGAATTGCAAGTACGCTGCGACGTTTGCACGGAGTGCCGCTGGGTTGCTTTCCGCCTGTATCTCGTGGCGAGGCACGTCATGCTCCGGATTGAAGGCGCCACCGATCGTTTGCGACCCGTGGACATCGTCCACGTCCATTAGATCGTCGTCAATGTGGAATGAATCCTTCAACGCTTTTCTCGAGACTATCGCTCTAGAGAAGTGAGTCGCTAACAGAAGCATCCCTGAATCTCGGAATGACGCGCGTGACAACGATTTGAGTTGTTGAACGTCTGGTAGCTGGGTTGAGCAAGTATCGATCACGGCATCAACCTTGTACTGCTCAGTCTCTCGCTTTACCAGGAAATTACCCAGAGAGAGGATGAGTGCGTCGACCGAGGACTCTAGCATTTGATTGCGTTTACTATTGACGGCACCAAATGCACTGAGAGCGGAAGCAACAATGCAAAGGTTCGTTACAATGCGCAACATGTCAGCAGTTATACCTTGCGGGTTCTTTTGAGTGCATTCTTTCCATGTTTGCTTGGTTTTCTCCAGCTCTGCGAGGCAAAAGTCCAGCAATTTCATCTCCAGTTGGGTAGGCAGGTGCTCAGTAGTAGTAGCCGAACACTCTGGACTGACACTAGGCAGATCCATCTCTCTCTCCTCGAGCAACAGAAGAATGTACCGAGTGAGTTGATGGGATTGTGATGCTTGCACTCTGGCGTGGGAAATATGTCCCAAGACAAAGTAAGGCGACGGTTCCAAGGGCGTGAACGGCCGATCAAGGCAAGCATGTACCAGTGCCAGTACATCTCGCGCATTGCAGTGGTGTGCATGAAGAGAGGAGTAGTTTTTGTCTGACCACAGCGCTAATGTGAAGTCAGCCCGAGGAGAAGGTGTGGTGATGAATGCGATACTTACTGGGTGTCCACTTGCTCAATAACCAATTCATTACTCTTTCAGCGGTGTAATTGTAATTTGTCGGATTCTCTATCATCCTCTGTTGGATCAAAGTAGTCAGAAATGAAGAACTAGCGTCAGTGAGAAGGGCAGGACCGCTGAGCTCTATGGACACCACCATGGACTGAACGGTCTCTGAAATAATGGAGAAGGGTACGATCTTCAGCCTCAAAAGAGTGTTCAACAGGTGGCAGGCGGCCCGGGACGATGAGACGGACGTCAAGGTTCGGCACGCACTGTGCCATGCGGACAACCAGAGGGGTAGCAGACCTGGCTGTGACGAGCATGGCTGGAAGGCCGCGCTATGATGTGTCAGCGGTAACTCTACTGATAATGATGTACTTACGCCGCTAAAACAATCGAGGCCCATGAGGAATGAACCGGGTTCTCGTCCGATATATAAGCTGTCAACTTCTCGAGCATGGACTGCAAATCATCTTCCTCCACCGGACCCTCCTGGACCATGAAAGCTAGAACATTCAACGCTGCTCTCTTTGCATTCGACTTGGGCTCAGACACATGGCGGAGATATTCTTTGAAATGCTGTGTTGTCCGCATTCTCTTGGTTGGCAACTCATCCGGTGCCTCCATATCATGCGATTTGTTACGTCTCCGGTTGTCTAGCATATACGAGAAACGAGCTATGGCTGACACAAGGGCCCATAGAGATTCGCTCCGCGTCTGCTGTGCCTGTTGCGCCTCCAAAGAAAAGGCAGCCGTATTCAAAGGATGCGTTGAGCCGCGCGGGCTGCCCAAGTGACGGAGGGACAGGTGATCCTCTTCGAGGAATTGCAAGATAGTGCTTTCCTGTCTACGCCTGTATTCGCCGTACATCGTTTCTACTAGCGCTTCGAGGTCGAAGCTGGCGGCATCTTCATGCTCGTCACTCAAGATGCTCAAGATATGGGCTTCACTCTTGATGAGAAAAATCAGCAGCTCATCGCGCAGGAGCGGGTCTGCCCACATGGGCTTCATCAACGGCAATAAATCCTGTATGGTGCGTTTCGTGAGCACTGTAGAATGAAGGGAGGTGCGTGTTACAACAGAATTGATGGCAGCTAGAGCGGCTGAACGACTGCGACCGGATTTCCGCTGTAGAAACAGGATCAGTGTAGATAGTATATTGTCAGCTTTGCACAGGATAGGCGCATTCGAAGCTTTCGTCAGTAGCTGTATACAGTGGACGAAGTCCTCGGCGGGCTGCACAAACGCCTCGGGCATTGACTTCCCAGTGGGTCGATCGCGTAATCTCGTCGTCGGAGTGGCCGGTTCGGTGGAATCGAATGGGGTCCTGGTCCGGCTGCGTGAGCCAGGCGATGCCGTGCTTAAGCTGTCCGGGACATCTGCTTCGGTGTCGGCCAGAAAGCTCGAAAGTGCGTTCAGACAGAACTCTACCGCAGCAACCCACGTTTGGTCCGAGAGGCGCTCCACATGAGGCTGATATTCCAACACACCTCTTAAGGCTTTCGGTAAGTCCTCCAGCAGAACATGGATGAGCGTCCCGTCCTTGCCCGGAGACACTTCGATGATGGTGTGTATGATGCTTTCAGCCGTTGAAGTTTTGAAAGTACGCACGCCTGTCGATACGACCTGTCGAAGAGCACTAGCAGAGAGCGGAAGAAGAGCGGAGGTTCTGGCTGTGCGAGCCTTATTGCGAAGGTAGGACGTTCTCTCATCGCGTAAACACTGGAACAGGGTTTCACATAGTGCCAGGTATGACTTGTTGGTCAAAACCTCCAGAATGGATTTCCCGCGATTATGTCTTAAAATATGTATGAGTTCCTTGAGGCCGGTGGTGCGATCTGAAACCCGTCCGGATGAGATTAGCACTAGGTCAGTCAGTATCATTCGAATGAGGGGCAAGAATTGGATCGACGAATACCTTTTGCATCATTGATGCTGCTGACGCCCATACTGCCCGAGCAGGCGAGAGACGCATTGCTTACCCTCTGCAGGTAAGGTGTGCGTTCCCTATACAACTTTCCACTGATGGCTCCGGTGCCAAGAGAAATCGTATCGTGAATGCAAACATGGGCGGCGGCACCAGCGGTGTGTGCTGTTCACAGCTTAAGGTGACTAAGCACATAAGCCACACTACCTCCCATTGGTCAGACACGCCCCAGACAACAGCTCGTAAAACTGCTTGCAACAACACGACCTACTATTTACACCTTTGCAGCTTTTCCGGCAACCTTCCCACCGCTCTGATGGCCGCAGATGATAGTCTCGCCGGCCTGCAGGCCTTGCACCGCGACCTCTGTAGCCTCATTGAGTTGAAGCTTCCAGTGCTCGATCGGCTCGTCGTCAATCTTGAAGCCCGGCTTGATGAGCTCAGGGCGCTGCTTGAGAAGAAGCCTAAGAACGATGCCAGCAGGAAGACGCTGACTTCCGGTGCGTGTTCCTTCTCTCACTTGTTACCGCGAGCTAATGATTTTGTAGGACAAATCAAAATTGGCGAAGAGGAGTATAGCGTCAACGATGAGTTCAAACAGCGCACCATCGAGCTTGCAGACTTCCTGGATCTTGACGAGTTGGATGCCGCAGCGCTTTTTATGGGCGCCGAGAATGAAGCTAAAGACCTGGACCGTTCTCAGGAGCAAACAGCCATTATACGATTTCACCGCCGTCGAGAATATGCGTTGCTCTGCATCCGACTCATGACAAAGGCCGCACTTGAAGACGTTGATACCGAGTTAGTGGGCTTTGAGGTATTGCTCAAGGCCGTACAAATCATTATTGGCGCCGAGGGGGAAGTCAACACCGCTTATAAATTCTGGGCTCGCTGCTTAGCTGCCATGGAGTCAATCGAAAACTGGTTGCAACTTATTTTCGAGCGCCTTCAGAGTGCCCAAGTCGTGGGGCAGGTTCCTGTATCAGGTCTTGCTGAGATAATGACATTTCAACGCCAGAGCCTGACCCGGCAGCATGAAAGTCTTGCCGCTATCTGCACCCATATGATTAAGCAGAACTTTGCCAACCGCGACAATTTCAATGCTCTGTTATCCAGGGTTAAGACCCTCGAGCGGCACGACATTATCACTATTCACTACGTTCCGATGGTCATGCGACTGACCTCATGGGTTGCCCAGGAATCGAACACTCCGACTCGGGATGCGCGTCCTCTCCACAAGACATTGATGGCGGGGAGAGAGAGCGAAAATTGGCCTCTGCGTAGCTTTCACTCTTCCATCCTGGCTTGGTGGCTGGCTGAATATAGTGGCCGGTACATGGACCCTAATCCGCATGACTTGGACCTGCAAGGTGTGGACTTCGACGAAGAAGCCAACGCACGTTCTGAGGCATTCCTGACCATGCTCAATGATGGCGCTTTTCACTTTATGCTTTCAGTCGGCCAGGACATGCGACCGACAAGGTGGTACGATCCTACGAAAACCAGCATGATATCATCATTGTTGCAGGATACCGCCGTCTTGTCCAGCGAGGTTGCCCCTCCCGAGGATTCTTTCAAGGAGCTCGTCATGGACCAGCTGCAAACCTTTGTGGACGCTTTCATCACTAACATGCCAGACACCTTGCGAAGGCTCAAGGCAGAAGAAGACGACCAACGGAGACGCTTGCAACTGTCCTTTCATCGGACAGCAGCTGACCAACCTCTGCATCTCGAGAGGTTCCTACTTATTGTGTCATACGCATATGATGGTGCCCCGGGTGCAGCCGAGTACTTTTGGAGCGACAAGGAGAGCAACCTCTATGGCTTTCTCCAGTGGGCGGCCAAGCGCCAACCTACCCCCCGTATCGCCATGTTCTGCGAAATGCTCCGCTCGATTTCTACTGGCCAGAGTAACGCCGACTCTGCCCACAATTTCCTGCTAGAGGAAGGAGTCTCTACATCGGGAAAGATAAGAAGAACTAGTTCTCTCAGCTATACCCACATATTCAATGAACTGCTTGAGTTCCAAAGCAGTATTCATGAACCGAAGAAAACCATCCAGGGGGCTCTCTATGCGCCCACAAACCCCGTCGACGACATTGTGGAGCCAGAAACGGCGACAATGCTGCAGAGCTACCTGCGCCTCATTTCACATCTCTGCAGAGAAAGTCCTGGCGCTAGGTCCTGGATGTTGTCTGACCAAGTCGAATACAATATCGTGGGTATCTGCTTCAGCTTATGCACAGATAAGGTGGATTCTCCCATTCGAGCGGCTGCCTTCGATGTCATCTCTTCTCTACTTGTCGACAAAACACCTTCTAGCGCAACCGCAGTCTGGAATAACCTGGAAGAGTGGGCCGTCTCTGGTTTCTATGTAGGATCGAAACAGCCCAATCCTATAGGCGAGCTTCCGAGGGAGGAACTTTGGACCACTCTGGCGAACGGTTATGGCGAATCCCTGGCCTTCATCCGTCTCCTACATTCTCTTATGGAGCCCTATCAGGACAACCTTGGTCTGAACGACTCTCTCCCTTTTCCGGAAGGCCTTGGTTCCACTCGAAGAATGCCTGGCGTTCACAAATTTATCGACTTCGTAATGCACGAGGTCTTCGCGGAACGTTCTCCCGAAATACCGGATACTTTGCAGCGGAATGTCATGAGATGGACTTGTCTGCGCTTCATCACCGTGTGTCTGTCCACGTTCAATGAGAATCTGGTGGTTCTTGCCAACAAGTCCAGCATTGATGTCGACTCTGTCATTGACTCGTCATCTCTCCGTGCTTATGTCACCCTTCACCCCTTTGCAAGAGTGATGGAATGGCTTTTCAATGATAAGGTTCTGAGAGCTCTTTTCGCATCTTCACATCATGATGTTGATGAGGTCGATGCTGCTCCGTCCGACTCACCCCTTGTCCAGTCCTTAATGTTGAGTATTGAAGTTATGGACTTGGTCATGAAACTGCAGGCGACGTATCTTGATATTGTAAAGCCGATCATAAAACAGCAGAATTCCCTACAACATCTCCAGATTGGCAATGTCTCATTGGCGTCGTTCGAAGATGCCGTTTTGACCAATCTGCAACTCATCGTCGATCTCGGCCATTACTGCGGAACAGGGCACGAGACACTTACCATTGCGTCCCTCCACCTCCTCGAAAAATTGGCATCGTCTCGAAAGTTGGCAGTATCTCCAGCGGGTTTCGGACAACGCTCAGGGCGGAGCAAAATTGTCGGGATAATGGAGAAAGACAATGAAGCGGAACGCATTGGACGGAACCTTGCCGACCTGATGCAATACCGCGAAGAAGAGCTGGAAGCTGGTCCAGAAGCATCGGGGTACATACTGAAGCTCCGAGTTCTCGAATTTTTGCGCAGCTGTCTTGTGGCGGTAACGAATAGGCCCACCATTGCTCACATCCTTCTCGGCCTCACGTGTGACGGCACCACCGTTCGGGTTGCGGAAGAAAGTCTCTGGACCAACAATAAGTCACTTTTCCATTCTATCCTCATCCTAGCGGCAAGCTATCCAGACATCGAAGGCGGCAGTTTTGTGGCATGGCGATCCGAGGTCAAGGCAAAGTGCTGGGACGTCTTGCAGAAGCTATGGAGTTCGCCATTGACGAGCGCGGTTGTCATGGAAGAGCTCCGCCTCAATGAGTTGCTGTTTGTGCAAGCCCCCGAGTTGACTACCGTCAATTTAGATACACTCTGGGACGGCCTGCCGCTCGCTGTAGGCATTCAAGAGCAGGCCGAGAAGAAACCTCTATCGATGTTCTTCGGTGGTGCTCCGGCGGCCGCCATGCAAAACTTTCTCCAGATACGAGCAGCGTTCCTTGACTACGCCTCAAGAGAGCTGCGGCTGGCTAATAAGGAGGGCCTACCTACGGTGAAGTCCCGCATCCAATCTTTCCTGCTTGGCATCACATTGATACCTGGGCCGGACGCACTACGGAACCCAAGTATCTTTGAGCTGTTCGATTTCATCGAGTTCAACATTCCAGAACGGATGTTGCCAGACCCGAACGCTGTTGAGCTCCTCCAAGGAGTTGATTTGGCCATGTGTAAGGAGGAAAAGCAAGGGTTGGTCTTGTTCTCACTTCCCTTGCTAGAGCAGCTGTTCCTTCTGAAATTGAAGATCTGGAGGAAGATGAAGGCGAACGAGATGGCCACTGAGGGTCGTGAAGTTATTCCCAAGACGACTGCAGATCCAAAAACGGCCGCAGAACAGGAGATGGCGATGCTAAGAACCGCTGACGAGCTGATGACTGTTTTCGCCGACTACAACCGCAGGGCTCAGCTCGTTCATTACCACAAAGACATCCTCCGCTCATGGGTGCAGCTCATGCGTATTGCGATAGAAGTCTGCGATTTCGAAGCTACGGCCAGAACGAACTTTATTATTCAAACGTTCCAAACAATACTACCAAAGCTCGAATTATCCTACAACAACGACATATTTACGGCTCTGCAGCTATCCAGCCTTGCCGAAGCACTCCTACAAAAAGTGGAATTCGATGCAAACGCGTTCTCAAAGAGTAAGACTGGCGACTTTTCCAACGACCGGCTTTCCCAACTTTTCCGCGCTGGCCTAATTGGGATTTACTGCCCAGTATCAAATGTTGAGTTGCGAGAGTATTGCTACCAAATCGCCTTCCGATACATCCATGCTACCTTCGCAGCTGCTACCAAAGGCTCTTCACTTGGGCGGCACACCTTGAATACCGTGAAGCATTGTGGGCGACACCTGTTGGAAGTTATTTGCGACGACGCTTATAGCGGGCAGGGCAGCTGCAAAGTATCTGCATTGCTCCTACTAACAGCGCTTGTTGCCATGGCTACGCGGCAGGAGTCCAAGTATATCTTGGAGACGTTTATGTCTCTTAATCTTATCGGAGTCCTTGTCGATAACATAAAGCATATTCCAGACGAACTGAGAGCGGCGGCTGCACCGCAGGTCTCTCTGCTTCTGACCTATTATGATTGCAGCCTTTCTTTATTGCTCAGAATTTGCCAAACCAGACTCGGTGCATCATACGTACTCAACGCAGGCCTTTTCCATTCCATCCGCGAGTCAAATCTCTTCAGCGTTGACCCCGATATTGGGCTAGGTATTAGTTCCTCATTCTCCTCTTCTGCCCTCGACTGACTCTTGATCAACAGAGTTCGACAAGGAGGACGCCCTCCAAAAGTACTACGAGCTCATTCTCGCGGTTCTCCGTGTGATCAATGCCGCCGTCATAGCGCGCGGTCGTCAGAACGAACAAACGGTATTCCAAGCTCGCGAGTTCCTGAAGGAAAACAGGCAGACCATGGTATCGATCTTCAAACGCAGTGTCAACGTGGGTGTGGGTAAAGCTCTAGAGGAGGACTTGACGGATCTGGTGGACTGTTTCACCGTCCTGGTGAACTTCACCGGGTTCTTGGAGGTATTATATGGATATTTTCCTTCTGCTATGCCACTGGGACTTCATGGCTAACGATGCTGCAGTACGAAGACTCAACGATTCAAGGGAAGCAGAGTTCAAACTTGTTCTCATGATCGAGCGGTTCACCCTCAAGTCGCACTCGCTCAGTTGTATTTCGGAGTCTCCTCAATGCCTCCCATGAGAAATGGAAAAAGCTTAGAGCGGACCCAGCTTCAGAGTAAATATTGCAATCTAAGAGCGTGAACGTAGAATATGTTGGCACCGCGCAGTGGGATTCAATGTCGCCAAGCCCGGGATGCGTCATAGACCAAGTGACCAACAGCTCGGTGAGACGGCCTTTGTTTGGATCCGATTTCACATTATCCTCAGCCCGCCCACGGCTTACTCACTATTTGTAGGCCAGATTTGCTACGGAATCGCTTTTTAGTAAGCCTTGTATGTTGGCATTGGATATTACATATCCAAAACGAGCCAGTCATATGTGCTGCCGAGACCCGATGCGAAGTACGACGTTGCACCGTTGCACACAGTGAGGCAGTCGAAAAGGGCGGCGGGACTTGGAAAACTTTCTTTATAAGAAAGTGCAAGCGGGCGACGGTACGATTCACATCACTGGTCATTGCCAATCTCGTTTGCTCCACAAGTCTACTCGGATATTTACGCGCAAACTCCAGAGCCTCCATTCTCGGATCTTCCCGACACGAATCCAACACCCCGCCGTAAGAACCCTAGCAGCCATGTCCACCATTACCACCCCTTCTCTTCCTTCCACCCAGAAAGCCGTCCTCTACAACATCGAAACAAAAACCCTCTCCCTCTCCACCTCGCACCCTGTCCCTGCGCCTTCTGAAAAGGAACACCTCATCCGCGTCCACAGCACCGCAATCACAAACGGGGAACTCACGTGGGCGCCCTTCTGCCCCGACTGGCCCACTGAACACGTCCCCTGCTACGACGTCTCCGGCACCATCGTGATTCCAGTCCCAGGTTCCGACCTAAAGCCTGGAGATAAAGTCTTCGGCCGTGTGGATGCGCAAAGGGAAGGCACGGCGCAAGAATATGCAACCATTCTACAGTCCGAGAATGCGCGCTTGCCTGCCGGGATCGGGATGCTGGAAGCAGCGAGCGTGCCGATGAGTGCGCACACGGCGTGGCAGGCGTTGTTTGAGAAGGGGTTACTGACTGGTGACTTCAACCGCGTGCCGTATGTGGATGAGACGAGTGGTGAGATTGTTGGGAAAGAGTTGGCTAAGGGAAAGAGAGTGCTTATTCTGAATGCCGCGGGCGGGGTGGGCTTGCATGCGGTGCAGTTTGGAAATTTGGTTGGGGCGTGGGTGGTGGGGACCGCGAGCAAGAAGAATGAGGAGTGGTTGAAAGGCCTGGGGGCGGATGAAGTGGTGGATTATCGGAATATGAGTATCAAGGAGTATGTCGCTGGGGACGACGCGAAGAAGTTTGACCTTGTCTTCGATTGCGTGGGCGGAGAGTCGATGTTGGATGGATGGAATGGGGTTAAGGAGGAGGGAGGGGTGTATATCTCTGTTGCACCTGGGTTTGGAGAGCCCCAGGGAGGGAAGCCAAAGGGGGTGAGGAGTGAATGGTTTATCATGGAGGCGAGAGGGAAGGAGTTGGAGCATATTGGGAAGTTTATTACGAAGGGGGTCTTGAAAACGGCAGTGGATAGTGCGTACGAGATGGAGGGTTTTGAAGAGGCGTTTGCGAGGTCGGCGAGTGGGAGGGCGAAGGGGAAGGTGGTGTTGAGGGTTGGAAAGGACGAATAAGCGTGATGTACAGAGTAGAGAGCGCGAGCATTTGGTGTCCGTCAAAAGTCATTGTTGCGATTGCTCGAGAAGTCTTTACTGCCGTTCAATGTTGAATGATATCCCCTTTCCATCCTGGTCACGACCCATACGTCATCCCCCCTTCCATTCAGTGCTCTGCGGCCTCCTCTGTAAAGGCCTGATACTCCTCAGCCGTCATAAGCTTCCCTTCCGGCTCGCCTTCAATCTCCAACCTAGCAACCCACCCCTCTCCCTCGGGATCCTTATTGATCGTGCCCGGCTTGTCCGCCAGCGCATCATTAGCCTCCAGCACCGTTCCTTCGAACGGCGTCAGGATATCGGACGCAGACTTCACCGACTCAATCGCGCCAAGGGAGTCGCCAGCTGATAATTGGGTGCCTACTTCGGGAATCTCGACGTAGACGACGTCCCCTAGTGCATCGGCGGCGTATTTGGAGATTCCAATGGTAGCTATGCCGCTGTTAGCGAAAGGACATCCAAGAGGAGTTCAGCATCTTGTATCACTTACCCGTCTTTCCGTCGCTGGAAAGCTCTACCCACTCGTGATCCTCTGTGTACTTCTTTTCCAGCACTGCCACGCATATCAGCACCACCAATTGCTGCCCAAGACCTCGCACTCGTCAAGATAACATACAAGCAGCACGTGCCGAGAACATCCGCACCGGGCCAGCATATGATTTCTGCAGGAAAGGCGCCGGTCTACGCACAGCGGCGCATGTTGTCCTGCGGGTTGCGGATAGCGAGGCTGAAGCAAAGAGCCGTGCAGCCATTTTGGAGAATAATTGATTTGGACTTGAGGAGGAAATCTGGAGCTTGAGGTTGGGACCCGCCTGTGACGATGACGGAGCGGAGCAGAGTATGCCAAGCCCGTCGGGAGGCGGAGAGTTTTGGCGGAGGTTTTCCCCGAAGATTGTTAGCGAAAGTTTGGTTGGAGAGTCCAAAGTCCGATTGACGAAGGAAGAGAGTCCCGGTCGACGACGGCGCGTCGCATATACCCTTCAAGATGCTGTACGAAATGATTGGCATAGTACGTTTGATTCCCACGCGCATCTTCCTGGTGAAGCCCTTCTAACACCCACCTCCAGGTCCGCCCCGGCCGCCTCTCCGAAGTGAAGGAGTACTTCACCTCCCTCCTCCCATCCCTCGTTCACCTCTAACAGCCCGCCAGAATTGCCAAAACCGCCGGCAAAATCGTCCTCGATCAGAAAGGCGTGGTCCGCGGCGTCACCAACTGGGGCACCTATCTCCTCCCCAAGCCCGCGAAGAAGCTCCAAACGACGCATCATACGGGTCATCATTTTATCATGCGGTTTGACGCGAGTGCGAAGACGCAGCATATTTTAAGGAGGACGATGAGTTTAGATCCCAGGTTGATCCGGTATAGTGTGGTGAAAATGGGGGAGAAGTTTGAGCATATCAAGGATGTGCCGGGACGGGCCGAGTTCAGGTGAAGTGGAGAAAGCATGGACTGAGGTTTGGACGAGACTACTGGGAGTGTGTCCATGGTAAGAGACGGGTCAAGACGGAAGCGCATACGGTGCGAGTGGGGAGGCCTTGTATGGCATTGTGTCAACACAGAAAAGGCAGGGAGAGTCTCTCTATGATGAGCGCAAGGGATGCAAAGGCTATGCTGGCCTTCGAACACCATTAGCGACTATTACTGCATCCACGGGTTGGAAGCATTGTACGATATTGTAGACATAGAGCCGCAACAGCCGGGCGCGATCCGGGTGTATGTTGAATTGGTAGACAAGCTTCGTGAATACCAAGAAATGAAAGGATGTTAGTTGAGCCATGACAAGTTATCGCGGTCTTCCTCTCACGCGCCGAAGGCCGAGACGACATCGAATTCGGACCCACAAGATCAATCGGTGCATCGAAAGGGTACTTAGGTACATGCCCATGTTTATTATCCCGTCACATGACTACGCGCCGTAGCAGTATCGCCAAGACTCTGCGATAACTCGCGCCTAGGTGCGCGTCGGAACGCTCGCACCTTCACCTCCGCTCCCCGCCACTTGATTCAAAGGCGGTGACACTACGTCCCATTCTCACCATTTCTCTCGTATACTCACAATTTCTACTAAATACTCACAACTTCTTCGATAAAGGACTGGCTTGGTCTATTTCCAGACTGTCACCTTCTCATCACCGTCCATTATTTTCCCACGACCAACCGACCGACTCCGCACGACAGATATTCTTACCACCGAGCCATACCTGACCGTGTACATGAGCTTCGCGCAAATAGGGTTCTTTGAAGCTTATTGGTCTCTGTTCAAGGCCGTCATCCTAGTCGCAGAATCATTTCTCCCAGAACCTATCCCGCTCCTGGAGCAGCCTATCAGCAACTCCTCGTTCACTTCAAGCCCCGCCCCCAGCCCTTTTTTGACGAGCGTTTACAATGGGACCAAAGCGCACTTCTGCCCGCTCAAAGCGGGAGCGCCAAACGAAACTGGCCTTCTCACCTCTCCCAGCTTCTTCTCCTGCAGCGGTAAACCTCTCCCCTTCGGTACGCAATCGTGCAGCCGCCGTCGGCGTCGACTCGTCTCCTTCCAGACCAACAAAGAAGCGTAAGGTCGTTCAACATAACGATGATAGCGACTCAGACATTGGTCTCTTGATGCCGAATAAATCGTTTTCGACGAATTTCTTCAGTCCTGCGAAAAAAGACCTTGACAGGGGAATGCGGCTCGGGTTGCCGGTGCATTCACAGAGGAATGGGATGTTTGGGAGCGAGGATAGCGAGGAAGGGGATTCGATTTCGGATAACAGTTCGTCTGAAGAGGAAAGGCCGCCGGTGAAGCAGGGGAAGCGAAAGGCGCAAAAGAAACGGAAGAGGCCGAGCGGGAATAATAATCCCAGCGAGGAGGAGCCGGAAACAGATGGGGCGAAGCAGCGGCGACCACCCGCAGCTGTCAGCGCTATCAAGCAAGAGTCTGAGGAGCCCGAGGAGTCCGAAGATGCAGTCTACCCAACCAGCACCCGGAGGCTACGGGTCAGGAGACCCACAGTTAACAAGAAGCAGGAGTTGGATGATGAAGAAGGGGAGGAGCAGGGAGACTCTGAGCGAGACGGTACTGCCCCGGCTGAGGATGACGAAGGAGCTTCAAGCGATAACGAAAGACGAGAACTGGAAGAGGAACTGAAATTCCTGCAATCATCCCCGCCTTCCTCGCGAGACGTTGCAAGGGGGAAGTCCAGACCGCTGTCTGCACGTCAGAAAGCATTGGAAGCCTTGAAACGGAGGCGGGCCAAAGTTGGTGGTAGCAGTGCGCCATCTTCTTCCGCAACACCGGGGCGAAGAAGGGCCATTGTCGAATCAGACTCTGACTTAGAGGTCATCGAAGAAAACGAAGATGAGGGCCAATCTGAGGATAGCGCGGACGGTGCCACCCATTCGAATGACGAGGAAGAAGAAATAGAGGAGGAAGAAAGCGGCCAGAAGCCAACGGCATGCCACAAAAAAAGCACTGCGCGTGATATATTCGAAGAGAATGACGAAGATGCCGGCTTCATTGTCGACGACTCCGACGAACCCATAGGGGAGCCTGCGGACGGTGCATCCATGCCTCTAGAGTTCACCTCCCTCGCCCTCGCAAAACCTCGTGAACTATTCAAGTACGCAGTCGAATGGATGGTGCACAAGAAAATCAACCCAGGCTTCTCTTCTACGGACGAGATCTATACTCTCGCCTTCCGCAAACTAGATGACGAAGTCAAAGGTTTGGCCCAGTCAAAATTCTCGTCTTCTGCGTGGACCATTGACTTCACGCGTGCGCTTCGCGCAAGGCCTGAGATTCATATCGATGAGATAAGCAGACTACAGCGCTCCACCATGGATGCCCATTGCGAGGCCTGCAACAGAAAAAGCCATCCGGCGACGTGGACTATCATGTTCACAGGCAATCCCTACAACAAGGACACACTAGAGCCCCTATCCGAAGACTCCGATTCTTCTTCCGAGTCCGATTCCTCCATATCCGGCACGTCATCGTCGGAGCAGCTGAATGGCGAAAAGCCCACATACGACGAGCAAGGCGAGCGCATCCCTCCCGAATCCAAAGTCTTCACCGTGGGTTCCACCTGCAAGGCGAACGCGGAAATGGCACATATCTTGCACCACTGGCGGTATCATCTCAACTTCTGGGTTGTGGAGTACCTGGAACGGAAAGGGTATTGCACGCCGGAGGAGTTGGTCAAGAGAGATAAGTTGAGTACGAGGAAGAGGACGAAGCAGGCAAATCGGATCGTGGATAGGATGGAGAAGGAGAAGGAAATCAGCCGGTTGCATAAAAAGTATAAGGAGCAGGTTAACCATGCGTTGCAGGCGAAGAATGACTTTAGCAGCGGATGGGGAAGGAGATAGGGCTGCCCTATACGTGTGCAGAAAAGGACTGGCTTACCTAGCGGGCTGGATGGGTGAATGGGTCACTGAAGGACTGGGCATTGGTCTTGGTTGAATTTGCTCGTGGCATGGGCTGGGCATGGGCACGGATTAAGATAGTTCTTCTTTATTTTATATGACATTCTGGTCTCGAGATACAGCTTACTGCGGCTTTCCACGTCCGACTGAATTCCTCTGTAGGTGGAATTACCTACCCGGCACAAGTCAACTGGCTACGACTTAATAATGCGACAGGTGAAATTTTCTTTTTAAACATACTACTATACGTAGAGGCATGCTACAAAGCTAATTGCAGGACCTCCTAAATGGCTGCCCTTCTAGCTGTTTAAATTGGATGTGGAAAACAGCAGTGCAGAGGAAGTGCAGGGGGGTGTTCAGTTGGACGCGAAAAGATGCAGTACGCCTTTGCAGCGGCGACTGCACTGACGTGGTTATCGACTTCGCATTTTTGACGGAATGGTTTCAGTAACGAATGACAATTTGAATGTTCCTTATATCTCTATGGTCCATCATGTTTCTTGGCCACTGACGTTATGTCATGAGTAGTTTTGCCTAAAGCCTGGTTTTGAGACGGACAATAAGCTTGAGTTAGGTCGACTTTGATATGTCTACATACGATATCCTCAAAAACCTTGAATCTGCGCACTCTCGTGAGAGCGCCAATCCTTAACATTGGAACCGATTATAGTACTCTAAGTAAATCTTCGAAAGTTGTATAGAATGCCGCTACTTCGACGCGCGTATATTATGATTACTCCAGCTCTTGAACATGATTGATACCTTGGACCTGCTGATTCATCAAGCAGCCACTTTAATCTGCTCTGTCTCTTCTGTAACGTCAGGCTTCTTCTCGTCCGCCTGTGTGACAGGCTGCTCCTCCTGTTTTGCCGCTCCATCCGAGGTAGCCGGCTCAGACGTCTTCTCCTCCTCACTGGCATTGACGTCCAACTTCTCCAACCCCTTAGCCACCTCCTCCACCTTCTCTCCTTGCTCCTGAGCAACGACGCTAGGTTCCTCGCCGCCCCAAAGATAGATCTCGCTCTCACCAATGATTTTGCCCGCCTTTTCCCATCGATCTACTCTTTCTTTCCGTCTTGTTTCTGCGAGGGCGTTGAACGCCGGCCAGTACACGGAATGGTCGTATTCGAACTCGCATTCACCTCCGGCATTCTTCATGAGTTGAGAGGCAGGCACGTGGTCGGTGAGGGGCTCGTTGTAGCGGATCTTCGTCTTGGTGACGGGATCTATGAAGGGCGAGATGACTTTGAGGAACGCGGTGACGTACCATGGCACTACGTGGTAGTCAGTACAATCCATAGCGTTAACACGAAAGAAAGAGGAGACATACGATGCGTGATCAACGCCCTGCCCAACCTCTCTGGATAATGATTCTGCAAAATATGCAGCACGGCCCTGCCCGTTCCCACGCTAGGCTGACTCCCTGCACTACTATTACGGAAATCGATCAGGAGCGCCAGTGTCTCCTGGCCAGGCGGCGCGATATCCAACGTCCGCTCCAGCATGTATACTAAGTGCTGGACCTGCTTGGGGCTGTTCTTCGTGTTCTGTTTATTCGGGAGCAGATACAGACACGGCCGCCCTTCGTTGTCATACCCAAACAACACCTGCTTCCCCGTAGCATTTTCCTCGGAGATGTAGTCGGCGGTGAAATCCTCAGTGCCGTATTCCCGTCTCCAAACCAGTGTGTCTTGGAGGCGTTTGATAGCGTGCTGGACATGCCATTTTGTAGCGCGCAGGTACCGCAGCAGACATTCCCGGGTTAACCAGAGCTTTTCAGAGTCAGACAAGGGAGCCGTTTCGGCACCTTTGGCACTGGTTTTGGGGATGGATTCCCAGGATCGGACGGCGGAGAGGACTGAGTTGTATTTGTTCTGTTGGTCAGGCGTGAGTGGTGGATGGGGTGCGGGTGTGCAACCGGGGGCCGGATGCTCGAGGGGTTTCTTGTGGATTTCTGCCATGATCGCTGCTCCTTGACCACGTAATTGATAGTAAATGAGTGGAATCCCCTCTGGACGGGACGGTGAGGGTGCCCAGAGTTGTTATACTGTGTATGTACTTCGTACCTCGCCTCATCAGCTCTCCCAAAAGTTTGACGTCTCGCACAATGTCCAAACTCTCGGATCCGCGCCAGGGGCTCCCTTGACCCTGCATTAGCGTCCTGGTTGCCAAGCCATTTTAAATAAGCGCGTCCCGCAACGCGTTCGACGGCGTGAACGCGCCGTGAAGGCTGGATATCCAAACCCCAACACCCGAAATCTACACAAGGACACAAGGTGAACAATGGACCGAGACACGGCGGCCGAACTCACAGAGCGCTTTCAACGCTACTGCAACACCAAGGATGACGGACTTCCAGAACAAATTCTCGGAGAACTGCAGTCCATGCTGCGGTTATATGATGTCACACCGGAAGAGTTGGATTTCAAATGGCAGGCATACAGCATGAAAATGGGTGCGGACGAGACGCCGCTGGAGTTGCGGACTGCGCGCGACTTCAAGAAGAACCTGCAGGACACACTGGAGAGGGAAAGCAGGGCCAAGGCTCAGACGAGGAATGAGACGAAAAGGCATGTGCCGACTCCGCGGGCCGGAAAAGGTGCTGAAGATGTATTTGGGATGTGAGTGAACGTGAGGGAGGTGGGAGCTCTAAAGATGGCTGACAAAAGCAGGCTGGATGGCTTGGTCCCGAATACACCTCGTCCTGGAGTATCGAACGGCGTCAACGGAAGCACGGTGAAACGGAAATCGAACTTCGATACCCCTGTCGGGAAGGCCAGTAAAAGCCATGAGATGAGCTCTCCCGGAGCGGGTCTCACGCCGAAGATTGAATCGAGTGCAGATGCTTTTGTCTTCGCTTCTAGAGAGCACGCAGGCGATATTACGGAGCAGTTGAACGGCCACATTCTACTGCCTGAGCCTCCAGAAGAAGCTCCCGCGGAATCGAGAATCAAGCTGAAAGCTAATACCGACATGTCTAAGTTCTCGTACAAGACTATGGCAATGAAGCTGTCCGAGGCTTCGGAAGTTCTGGATGATCGAATCGATGAATTTCGCCAACTGGTACAGGACCGCCATCAACTGGAAAATAGCGCTTTTGGGGATCCTACCTTCCAATCGCCTAGCGAGATCATAGCCGTGGGGCGTATCGCATCAGACACCAGCGACGGGAAACTCAATGTTGCATCGCTGGTTCTAGAGGGTTCCCGCCGATGGGGCCGTGGACGCCGCATTCCTCTCAAGGTGGACAATCTGCAGTCATATAACTTCTTCCCAGGACAAATCGTTGCCCTCCGTGGCACCAACGCATCCGGCGACTTCTTCAAGGTCACCGAAGTTATCTCCCTTCCTCTCCTGAACCAGCCCGCTTCCAGACCAGATGAACTGGACACTTACAACACTCGCCTCCTCGACACCCCCGAATCTGACCCCGACAGTGTTCGCGCCCTCACTGTCCTTATGGCCGCTGGCCCCTACACCACCGACCAGGATCTCGATTTCTCCCCTCTCCATACCCTTCTCGACAACGCCATTTCCGCAGTGGCTGACTCCCTAATCCTCATCGGTCCCTTCCTCGACGCCGAACACCCAGTGATCAGATCCGGAGATTTCGACGTCCCACCCCAAGTCAGCAATCCCGACCAAGCCACCCTCAACGACCTCTTCCGCCACCACATTTCCTCTGCCCTGCAAAACTTCTGCCAGCGCCTTCCTACTTGCAACGTCATTCTCGTTCCAAGCCTACGCGACGCGCACCACGCGCACGCTGCCTTTCCGCAAGACAAATTCGTGAAGAAGGAGTTGGGGTTGCCGAAGCAGGTGCAGTGCGTCACGAATCCTATGACGTTGTCTATGAACGAGATTATTGTTGGTATGTCTTCGCTAGACATACTAGACATGCTCAGGCGCGAGGAACTCGTAGGTGGTAAAGCGAGAAATGTAAACTTGTACGAGAGAGGGGCGAGAAATGTCATAGAGCAGCGCAGCTTTCTCCCTATTTTTCCACCGACAGGAAGAGAGAAATTGGCGGCGCCAGCGACGGTGAAGGAGAGTCTCTTCAAGGGCGAGGGCGGGGATGGGAACGGAAGTGAGGTCGAAGAAGAGGAAGGCCCAAGTCCGTTTTTACCCCTGGGAACGATGCTGGATACAAGTTATTTGAAGTTGGGGGAGATGCTGAATGTGAGGCCCGATGTGTTGGTTATGCCGAGCGTTCTGCAAGGGTGTGTTAAGGTTGGTGATTGATCCCCTTTCTGTCCGAGTAGTTCCACTTTTCTTCGAGTTTGCTAACCTCCGCATGTTTAGGTTGTGGAATCTGTGCTAGTTGTTAACCCTGGCACGTTGAGTAAACGGCGCGCAGCAGGAACATATGCCAGGATGATTATCAATCCGGCGAGGGTGACGGATGAGGAGAGGGAGATGGGCGCTGCTGTGGCGCATAAGTTGTGGGAGAGGGCAAGAGTGGACATTGTAAAGATCTGAGAAGCGCAGTGCTTTTTTGGAGGGGCAGGTTATATGCATGGGTATCGCTGTCAGTGTATGACTGCCACTTGAGTGCTTCAGAACCCATTATCCGACGACTGCACGTATGCGTATATCATGAATGAGTCCATGCCGGTCTTTCTGCATCATCCACTCCATTTTCTGCCTTGGACTTTAGCGTCCTCCCGCATCACGTTTCCCGTTCTTATACTGGATCATCAAGCTCCCTTCCATCCCTCAAAATCCATTTATCGGTGCTAAACTCAGTCAGCCTGACTTCTCCCAACACCTCCTCCTCCTCTCACACTCCTCTCACACTCCTCTCCCACATCCTAAATCACAAAAACTCACCTTGACAAAGCCGATATCCGCCGCCTTTTCTCTGAAGCACTGACGGCAGATGTTCAAGCCGTACTTGCGGATCAGACCGGCCGTGTGGGTGCAGACGCGGCTGTGGAAAAGCGTCAGCTTATATCTCCCATGAAACCATTCTTTCTGCAATTCTGCAATGTCCCTCTCCCTCCCTCCACTCCCCTGCTCTTCCTCCCGACTAACGCATCCATCCCCTACAACCCCAGTATCCAAGAATCGCCATATGTATGCGGACGTACCAGGAGCGGCTTCCCTTGCCGTAGGTGCGCGGACGCGAATACCAGACCGATTCGTGGGACATGATGATTTTCGGCGATGGGGAGAGTGTGGAGCCGGTTCTTTGGAGATTGTCGCTGCGTTCGCGGTCAGTTCCGTTGCAGAAGCCTCCTAAGGCGGCGATTGGGAGTTGGCTGGTCACATACGAGCTGTACTCCTTGCGGGGAAGTGGTCGTTGGGCGGACCGCTTGCTCGTCGGTGGTGTGCGTAGTGTTAGTGAGAAATCCGTATGAGGAAAGGTCGGCTTGGCCGGGGTGTGTGAGGTTAAGCGAGGTGAAATGGTATCGTATAAAATCCTGGTAATCAGAAGATAGAGCTCTGACACCTCACCGACTTATTAATGCATGAATTTCTTGATGTCCAGAATATTAGTTTTCCGAAATGTTTACCTCCCGGGAAAGATGTGTAGCATTTCCCAGGAAGGAGGGAGCACTGCATCAGGGGGCGGAATTCGGCATTCGTTTGAACCATCGGAGCTTAAGTTTGGACCGCTCGACTTGAGCACAAGTTAGTGTCTGGACACAGCTGTGATCGAATGATGTTCATTTCGAAGGTATGAATTTGCGTTGAACATTACGCTAGTCCTGGTAAGTTTTTATGTCAAGCTGAACCTTGAATAGTCGAGAAATCGCCAAGCCCAGCCGTTCCCCTGGCAGCGCCTGCAATACTCCTCTCATCTCCATCACGAGATACAATCAAATACCTCGAGGGACAACAATGGATTCGGATTGCCTTCTAGTCTCCCTAAAACACTGAGCCAAACATCCCGGCTGTGTCCATCGCAACTTTTCAAGACTCGGTCACATCCCACGAGTTTCCCGTGACCGCTAGAAATAATCCATGCCGCTTGTTAATACAAATCCAAGCGGTGGGAGCTGTTAAGGAGGAATTTTCAGGATCGCCCTTAATCACAACATGACGACAGACGTTGTCGGATTCTCCCGCGCATGCCGAACCTCCACTGACACTCTGGGCGGCGAGGGATACTCCATAAACGAGCCTACCATGTTACATCTCTCTAAGCGTGGAATGGAATTATTCGACAGATTCTGTTAGCATGTTAGCATTCCGGTTGTTGTATGTTCAAAGGGATGCGGACTTCATCTCTCAAACATTCCTGCGCACACTTGGTCCTCCAATCAACTCCTCGTCCATTATCCTTTACCGGTCCGTGGCAGTTTTGTTTTGATCTTGATCAGCAAGAATCCATTATTGCGAACTATATGTAAGGAAACACCGTAGTCTCATATAAGAATTAGGGCAAGGTCCTTTCTGTCGCTCCTTTCTACACTCATATTCTCTGAGTCGTTACTCCCATACTGTACGGATTTACGTGGCTTCACACAATGAAGGGTCTTCTGGCAGGAATTTTGCTCCTGCGGGCCATCAACGCCCAGGGACCCGCCGCTTCGTCATATGACGACGTTGTCGACTATCTGGCGAACTTGGATGAGCGCGAAGACCCCATCAACTCAATCGGGAACCAGGCGTGGGACTTCAGCGGTGCTGAACCCAAATATGTCGATAACGCTGACGATCCATACTAGTTCTTCGGACAAGGAAGGGACGACCAACGCGATCCTCAGGATGCCCTCCCCCAGGGTGGAAGGAAGCCACACCATGACGGCGACTCGGATTCTGACCGCGACCACAAGAAGAAGTGCCCCAAGTGGTGCAAACACGACGACTCTGACGATGACGATGACGATGACGATGACCGCGACTCTGACCACGACCGTGACTACGAGAACGGCCGGGGCAAGAAGAAGTATGTGCGTCCTCCATCTGTTCGACAGCGACGCGCCGCCCCTGCTCCCAACGGCCTGCAGGGCTTCGACTGGCCAAGGGCGGATGACGGCCCTTCAGACAGGAGCAGCGCTCTCCGCCGCCCCGATGACAGTGATCCGGACGACGACGACGACGACGACGACGACGACGACGACGGTCATGGCAAGCATAAAAGCAAGAAATGCCCCAAGCACTGCCGCCGCCCTAAGCCCACCACGCGTACGCACCATCCTTATCCCACACGCACGCACCGTCCTCATCCCACTTCGAAACCCACGCACCATCCTCGTCCCACCCGCAAGCCCTACACCCAGTACGTCACCGACACCCTGACTGAGTACGTCGACCGTCCCTACACCACCTTCATCACCGAAACCTCGGTCGAGGTCGACACCGTCACCTACACCGTCCCAGGACCAGGCCCGGATCCAGAACCCACGGCACTCTCGGCAATCTGTCCCCGCAAGTGCAATACCTCGCCTCTGCTGAACAAGTGCGATATCACGACCCATTGCGAACACACGACCGGTTACTGCACGTGCAGGGCTGGGTATCGCGCAAGTGGGTATAGTCCTAGCAACTTCTATGTGCAGTTCCGTGTTACCGATGATCCGAATACGTTGGCTTATGTTCGGGTGGGCGAGGGAGTGGTGTGTGATCAGCCATGCAGGGATACGCTTTGCACGGAGGTCATAGTTAGAAATCAGTGTTAAGGGGTGACGAGCAAAGAGCGGCGAGGAATCACTTGGTTGGGAGGAGGTAACAGATGGAAGAGAGGAGCAAGAATATGCTTTTCTATGTCGGCATCAAAGTTCGATTGTTGAAGCGAGTGCGAGTTGCGTCGGACGTAATGACTTTGTTATGTACTTTCAATTTCATATATCGAGGGTGATTTTTGTGCATCTATTGCCTGAGTATCCGTCCAGAGTTGTGCGTCTCTCAGTTTCTTGGGTGACGGGCCTGAGCTAGAGGGTGCCTCACAACCATGCATTTTGCATTTTCACGGCTAACCCGTTTCAGATGAAGAAGAGAATCTGCGGTGTGGTTGATTCACAGTTGCACCCACTTCAAGGACTTCTACGTCCGTATCTCTTCAGTAATCAACGCAGTCCTCCCCATCACCCAAATCATCATACTAGTTGTCAAAGTGCACAAACCAGCTCGAGGTGACCCTCATTGAGGCGACACGACACAGAAAGCTCGCTTGGACTGCGCGAGTGCGTCTTCAGACGATACGAGACGCTTCACAACCAGAACACAAGGGATATTATCCATACGTGTTATCATGCAGTCAAAAGAACAGAGCTTAAAGCAGTCTAAACTAAGAGGAAAACTGGGCGATACAATCTTTCACCCCAACCACCTCACTCCATGAAAAGCCCCTCACCACTCGAACCCCCTCAGAATCGATCTCTCTAGCACACCCTGATAAACAGTCCCATGGAGTCTTCGCCAGTGCCCTGCTCATACTCCAGCTTGAGATTGCCATCCCCACAGATCTGGACGGTGAACTTCTCGCCAGCGGGACAGTCGCCTGTGTGGACCGCGATGCTGCTTCCTGGCTTGATTGGTTGCGGGCCAATCTCAAAGGGACTTGCCTTGGATTTGTTTGCCCATGTTGTCTTTTCGTCGGCAAAATCCTCAAGCCAAAAGAAGTAGAGGTTTCCTTTGCCTTTGAGTTCGTACCGTCCGCTGAGGTCAAAATGACCAAACGTAAACAGCCTCTCGTTCTCCGGACCCTGCTTCGGGAGAAGGAACATGAGGGTACATTTCTTGCCCTCCTGCTTCGCGTCAATCTTGAAGTCATACAAGCTGCAGACGCCGGGGGCGATGGTACCATTGCTGTGCGCTCCGAGGGCGGTGTGAGGTAGATGTTCCGAGACGGGAATGATGGGCTCTGGGTATACAACTTTGCCTTCGAGGTCCAGAGGGCAAGGAGATTGGGCTTTACCAAGCGAGAATGGGCCGCCCTGCGAGAAAGGGCTGCCATGCATGAAAGGACAGCCTTGCGCCTTTCCTTTTCCCTTCCCTTTGCCCTTTTCTTTCTTGCCATCATTGTTGCCCTGAACTGGACGGGACGCGGAAGGGGTCGGTGCTGAGGTCCCAGAGGTGTGAGTGAGTGTAGCTGGTACGACCTGGTGTCCGCGCGAAGCGGATTGGGAACAAGCGAACGCAGAACGGGTGGTTGCTGGCTGCTCCGCTACGCATGGTGCTTCTGAAGACCGTCCGGTCTGCGTCGACTTCTCGGGACAGGCTGACGTGGATGAAGGTTGGCCGACTGGCGTTGGCTGCTCCGCTACGCATGGTGCTTGCGAAGACCGCCCGGTCTGCGTCGACTTCTCGGGACAGGCTGACGTGTACGAAGGTTGGTCGACTGGCGCTGGCTGCTCACGGGGATTCGCTGTTTGTGAACGCGCCGCAGAGGACTCTCCCACTCGGCTTGTGGGAATGGGGGACGGAGGTGGCGCTGGTTTACCCCAAGGAACGGGACCATCGGGTCCGGGACTAGGCTGGGGGAGGTAGCTCGGTGACCGCGTCGATGTGGACGTCGGGGTACGTTGCGAAGTAGACGTCGAGGTACGTTGAGGAGTAGACGTCGGAGTACATTGCGGAGTAGACGTCGAGGTAGGTTGCGAAGTAGACGTCGAGGCCCGTTTCGGAGTAGACGTCGAGGTAGGTTTCGGGGTAGACGGGGTAGACGCCGGGGTACATTGCGGAGTAGACGTCGAGGTCCGTTGCGAAGTAGACGTCGAGGTCCGTTGCGAAGTAGACGTCGAGGTCCGTTGCGAAGTAGACGTCGAGGTCCGTTGCGGAGTCGAACTCGAGGTCCGTTGCCGAGTAGATTGCCCCTTTGATGGTGGAGGAAGAGAGGTCGACTGCCGCGTGGATGTAGATCGCACCTGTGATGAAGGACGGGGACAAATCGATTGCTGCGTAGTTGGAGATTGCACCTGCGATGGAGTTTGAGGCCGCTCCTTGGGTAACTCGGAGGATTTTCCGCCTGACTGTCCACGCTCTTGCGCACGAAGTTTGATCTCAACACACTTCAACTGGTTCTTGATAGGCTCGGAGTACGTGTTCCAGACGCAGAAGTCATTGACTGGACAAGCCCAAAACGTAGTGCGGTCAAGGTACGTGAGCAGGCCGTCCTTGGAGATGCCGAAACCGGGGGATGCTACGATGATCAGATGTCAGAGGACTGGTGGCTCTGGGTGGGTACCACTCACGGAGGACACCCTCATTGCACTGCCATTGATTGGTCGGGGGTGTCAACGTGCAACCACGACGGGACATGTCAAATATCTTGCCATCCTTGAGGAGGTATGTGCCGACGCCATCATCTCCACCAATACGGTTTTGTCCATTTTCAATCTGTCGGATGGGACCATTCGCACACGTGGGACCCTCAGCGGTCAAATTGAAGAGACGAGATGGTGTATTGTGGGGGGTTGGGAAGGCAGGAGTCGGTGGGCCACGACCGGAATGTCGAATCAATGATGAAAACGAGGGAGATGCGAGGGGTGAACGTCGATCAGCCGGAACGAATCCAGCCGACGCCAGTGCACCGAAGCTGAGAGCAGCGAAGGAAACACTGGGCTTCATGGTGAAGATGCTGGGGTGGAGATAAAGAGTACCGCAAATTATACTGGAGAATAATGTGCCCAACAGCAAAAGACGTGCTGGCGTCGTGATGTAAGCGGTGTTGCAAGTAAGTGGAAGAGAAAGGTGGGAGGGCAGGCGGCAGACGTCTTTATAAACCCAGGCATTACGCATCAACGCCGGCGGAGGAAGTGGCCGCGCAGCATAAACAGTGCACGGATCGTAGTCGTTAAGGAGCGGAAGGAAGGTTGGGGACGTCGAGGACTTATGGCAAGAGGGATCCTTGCAATGGAGCAGCGGCGAGGAATGGCGTGGGGAGGAACGACGATGAGGGAGCAGGCAGGTAGGTAGGACTCACCGACCTCCAACCGTCGAGGCCATTGTGGGCGGTAGGGAAGAATGGAGCGGATTGTACAACCCATAAAACCTGTCCTTGATCACCAGATTAGCGTACGCGTACTTTGGCGACCGGAGGATGAAATAGAACGCTATGGAACGGGTACTGACCCGTAATCGAGTGATCATATACTGAGGGCTGCACGTACCAGGCATTCCACCATATTCCTCTTCAGACTCCGCTCTCTGTCACAAGTTGAAAGTCCAAGACTAACCTTCGAAGCGGGCCCCTCACATTGCTGTGAAGTAGCATATACTGCCAACGCTCCAATCGCTACTTTTCCCATGTGATATCCTTCCTTAGCACCACCATCACAAACTCTGCTTTACTACCCCAGACTGGCGGCTTTATCACTCTCTTCATCACATCCCTATATCCGCGCCTTCGCCAATACTCCCCATTCATGGATTCCGCAGTGATGATCCACAAGACCAAGTGACCCCGTATCGCCTTCTCGGACGCGTTTGTCGCCTCGTATACCTGCTTTACCAGATACTCCTGGAGAAAATCGCAAACGCGGACTGCCAACCCTTTCTTTGCGTACCGGGAATCCGCAGACACGCACACAGTCTTGATTTCCCAGCCTTCTTCTATTTCTGTTTTCTCGAATTCGTCTCCATATGAGGGATCTTTGCCTGCCTCCCTTTCTATGCCTTTCCACTGAACCGCGGCTGCACAGGCTACAATCTTCCCTCGCCCTCCTACATCCAGTCCATTATCCGTTTGTACGGCTCTTGATTCATTTTGGTCATATACCACTGCCATGACTCCATTCTCGCCCAGCATCTCGAAAAGCTCCGCTTCGGAACCAAAGCGCAACTTCTGGGGGTCCCATTTTTGTGGATCCCGCTGTTTCGCTCGTTGGAAGGCGTCATTGATGAATCCCATCAAGCGAACTGCCAGTTCCTGATCCTGGCACAGCGATGCTGCTGAGTACAGTATGGGATGCGAGAGAAACGTTGACATGTTATCTTGTGGAACGGTCATTGTCTCGTGATGAAATTGAGAATCTCCGGCAGATTACCGTGGTGTTGACAACAAAGACATCTGAGTCGGTCATCATCGATGGGACAAAAAGTTCCTTAAACGCTTCTCTGCTTGACATGAAGGATTGCAGGGGTTGTTATCCTTAGGGCGCAAGGTTTTCCTCCTTCCGGCTAGAAATACGGGATCTAGGATTCATGGACCATCCATTCGCGACGTGTTCTCTTATTATAGGAAGACCCAGTATCGGCCCTTGCACCGAAGCTCTACTACCTGATATATAATGTTGTGCAGCTTGTTCCCCTCTATTGAAACACAGCGAAATACTCTGTAGGGTTTGTCTGAGAGAATGAATACCTGTACTGCCTCTTACGGCCTAGCGCTAACCATTTGTTAATCATTGAAGTGTACCCATTATCTGCCACGCCGGAAAGCCAACTTCAATATATCTGACAGCATCCCAGCATGTGTGGAGTTGCTCCTGCTTGGATTCCAGGGGATTGGAAACTTTATCTATGGGCTTGGAGAGGCACTTATCCTGGGAGTCGCGTGTGCTTCCATGCTCAAACGAGCCAATGATTCATTCTGCATACGAGAAGATGCTACAACACCATGCGGCGGTGTACCTGACACTATCTGGGCTTGGGACACCGGTTCTTATGACCATCTTCGCCTTGCCACGCCGTTCTCCTTTCACGCCCGATGCTGCAATTCGAAATAACGAGATTCCGCAACCCTCTTGTGACCGGCATGCGCAACAATATCGAAACGAGAATCATACCGTACAAAAAAGCATACCGCCCTATCGTGGTGCTAAGATATTCTATGCAATTCCGAGTCAGGACGGTGCCTTCACCTTTCAGATGTTGGGTCGACATCTTGGCGCTGTAATCCAACAAGACTTGCAGATACCGCACGTCTATGAGATTCTCCCACTCTTGGCCGGGATGTCACGGGGAGGAGGAGTCACATGTTTCCGCTTCTTGGGCCAGGTTATGACTCCGCCGTGATCTACCACCATGTCGGTAGACCTTTGCAGCTGGATTGCCTCAAGGTCTTGTTTCTCCCGTGCAAGAGATACTTTGATGGCCTTGTCCCTCGCGGCCTTGCACTTTGCTTCGTCGCGCGGTTGCTTATGGTGGTGGAAGTCACACCATGCCTCCAGAACCGGCACATTGCCGCCTTGTGTCTGCGGACACCGCGTAGCCGCTATCTCAAAGAGAAAAGCGCCAATGGACTCCGGGTCGCAGTCCTGACATTCCTCTCGGAGCAATTCGTAGCTCCGAGATTTCCTAGTTGTCCAGAGATACGAGTAGAAAACAGTGATCCATCCGCACAGATCCGACGTGTGTGGTAGGTGTTGGAAGGCTTTCACTGCAGCGGACGGCGAGGGTACGTCGCCCTTCCGTGTGTAGTTCGTTTTCTGCCAGTTCCAAAGAACAGAGTATTCGAGATCGGCATCGTGAGTATGGTTGGCAATGATGGCCAAATCAACGAGAACCTGATTGTAGTGCTCCAGTTGTACTCCCTTTCGAGGACAGTAATTTGTCATCTTCCGACTGGAAAGCCATGCCGAATACATCGATTCCAAAGCATGAGGATGTGTGAATGCAGCCCCTGTCTCCTTTTGCACTCTATCTATCGTGTCCTCTACCGGGTCCCTTTGAATCGTGCTCGGTATCGAGTCGCTCGATGAGTGATGGAGGGTTACGGAGTTCGCCGGACCCGGTTCAGCTGTACTGGTGGAAGGAGATGCAGCAACTTTTATACGGAATTCATCGCGAGACATGCGATCTAGCAGACTCGGCTTTGCTGTTGATGCTGTGCCCTTCTTGTCGTCGGTAAAGGCGGAGGCATCCTCCCTTGGGTTATCTTGTTCTGGACCGCCGGGTTGGCCAGACATCTTCAGCGGTGGCGCCCACTCTCCGAATTGATGCCCATGGGAACCGAGTTTTCACGTTCGCCGCTATTTCAGTGCTCCTGTGGAGTTCATTTGGATCTACGATGAACACTGCAGTGCGGATCCCGCGAGGCTTCTCAATTGTTCCGGAAGCCTTAGGAGTATCGGCGGCCGTTTCTGGAGGTGGCGTAGGGATTCGCTTCGGAGGGCAGACGGTGACGCCAGGAAAACGCTGTCGGAGGTCTTCCAAGTCTCCAGGCTGCATAGCGGACTCGTCGACGCTGAAGCTGATTTGCTTTACAAAACTTGGAATAATCGACTTGATTGATTCCCAGGAGACCGATTCGTCCTGTTCCACACCATCAAAGCCATTCGCAGGTTCTTCAAGGTCCGTCAAAGGACCATGATCCTCCATCAGATCAGGAACGTTTTCCGAGCGTCCCGTAACCCAATCCTCGCTCTGGATCTTTCGCATAACATCCCTCCCAATCGTGGCAAGCTCATGAATAGCATTCGCGGCAGAAATTTCCCAAGAACCCAGTCTTTGATCACCCGCCCACCCGAAGAAGTGCAACGTTTGGTTGAGTATGTTTGCCTGGTACTCGTTCTGGGGTTTGACCTCCTTCTTGAGTATTCTTAAGTCCCGAATCGCCTGGAAGTGCTCCAGTTCCGGAGTGGACATACGGATCTGGTGTGGCATGGCTGATTGGTCCCGTATAGTGTGGGCTCGTCGGTTCCGGGATGTAGCTATGAATGAGAGGTGTCGCAGGGGTAGACGAAGCTGCTGCACGCCCCGACTTTTGGTAAGTCGATCCTAGAGACAAGCAAACTGCAGCAGCAGCCAGGAGCAAACATGCAGGCGACTTAGCAACGAGCGTTCAACAGCGGCATAACGTCGCCGAGGGCGCTTCTCGACGTGAATGCATGCGCAATATGAAGAACGAGTTGTATTTCTGTATTGTGCAAGTGATTGTGTTTGTGCAGGTGTGCTACAATAGGCGGAGGTGAGGTTCAACGACAGCCTAACCCATTTGGGTGAAGTGGCTTTCAGACGCCCAACCACCAACCTTGCAAGATCAAACTCCACGATCGATGTGCGAATATCAACTGGAACGGACCCGAGAAGCTTGCCAGGGGTATTAACATATGGATTATGTGGTGTGCATGTAGAAGCACTCACCCACGCCAAGATATGCCCAGGTGCCGCGGAATACAAAACTTCCATAATCGGAAGGTGTTCTCAGACTGGTGGCTTGCATAGGAGAATAGCACTTCGATATCTGCTAGTAGGCGTGTCCACGGGCACAGATTAAGCTTCTTCCTTCAATTGAGAAAAGGTCCCACCAGAACTGCAGGTACCAGGGAACCAGTAATATATACCACAGAGTCCCTATTCAGAAGTGATTATGATCGACGGACTCTACGTCTTTTGCGAGGGGTTGTAGGGTTTTCCAGGGGTTGAAAGGACGTTACAATGCAGCAGTATTCTTCACGCCATAAAACAGTCCGAAACTGCCACATCCATGGTAACTCAGATCCTCATTCCGATGAAAGGATAAGCAACTGGAGCCAGCATCCAGACAGGTCCCCAATTGCCGCCGACAAGCGCGTCTGCAGCGACTGCCAATGCATCTTTCATTCCTGGACCGATGAGCACAACTTCGCCCATCTTCTGCCCTGCGAGGCCAACTCTGGTCCCATTCCTAGTGAACAGGTTCTGTAAGGTGACCCAATTCAGTTCGAACTCGTCCGCGAGACGCCTCATAACGTCTCCCCAAGTCACACCTTCGTCGCGCAAGACAATATGGCTCATGGAAAGTCTTTCCAAGGTAGCCTTGCTGGGTGCGAGGAAGTCGAAAAGGTCCTGAATGGAGAAAATGCGGAAGAGTCCGAGTTGGCAAGATTGGAGGTGGGAGAAAACACAGTGTTGAGCCATTTCGTGCAGAATAGTGTCTCCCTCCAGGCTGCTGAAGCAGGAGAGCTCGAGCTCGCGGACAGACTTGCATTTCGCCAAAAATCTCACTATGAAGGGTATCTTCCCTGGTGGTGGTTCGAAGCCCTCTTCTGGGTGGCGCCAGTCGCGGAGATTAATCTTCAGTGTTCCAAGATGTTCAAATGCGTGATCGAATTTGGGAAGATATCGTGACAAGGTTTCCAAGCGGCCGATGCTAACGGCCCCGAATTCTTGTGTAGGAGAGATGGATATAGACTCGACAGTGAGTCCAGATGCTGCAATGGCGGCCATGGAGATCACGAATGGTCTGCTCATCTCGTTCTGGCTGGTTTCGCAATATCTACGCCCGAATTTACCGTACCCTTTGTCCATGCCAGCATAAGCGAAGGTGATGGTCTGGAGTCGATCCAAGTGCGTGAATATCGATGTGAGCATGTTGAGATCAGTTTGCGTCTCGTTCCAAAATCTAGTTGTGGCGTCCGAGTCCTCCTTCGTCTTCTTATACTCACGATAAATGCCTGCAGAGGCGGATGCCTCGTCAATGGAGCAGCCTGTGGACGAATGAACGTAATTGAAGTCACCAATCTGCTTCCATAGCTGCCATAACCGGATCGCGTGATAAGGCGTGGCATCGACGGTGAGTCGTTGAAGTGCACCGCCAAAGTAGGAGTGCTCTGTGATCGACCGTAGTGTTTCAAAATGGGGAAGATCCCATCTGAGGGTGAAATGTTGAAGAAAGCGTTGCCTAAAGTGGTGAAGCGTTTGTTGGTTGATTGAGGAGCTGGTAAGGCGAAGTGCACGTAGCGAGACGAGATCCAGATGTTCTGTAATAGATTCGACGAGCTCTGTTGGAAGCGCTGCGAGAGGCATCGTAAGATCAGTTCCTCCCCTTTGATTCAGTTAATACAGATCATTGTATAATGATAAAGACAAGAGTCCTGACAGGTGCGAGTTTTAGGGTGCGGGGATGCTCTCGAGCTGACACAGCTGGAGCCGGATGTGGCAACATCGTTGACGCTAAACCGCATGAGGCATCACATATTGATACATCTGGCGAGTATCGAGTTATAGGTAGATTGCAAACTCACAGACACTTCCAATAGCTAGTAGCTTGAGTTAAACGCCCATATATGCAAGAATACGTGTCATAAATTACCCAATCTCAATCACTTTCATCGCTGCTGCTATCTTCTGACGTCTCCTGCTCGCTTCCACTACTGCCACTGTCAGGTCCTGACGAACTCTCACTGTCACTATCTGAAGAGCTGGTCTTCTCTGTTCTGCTCGTCGAGCTCGTATCATCGGATGACTCTTCAGAACCCGACTCCTCGGCACTTGACTCGTCTGAACTCGAATCATCCGAGCTTGAATCGTCTGAGGTAGAATCCTCGCTGCTGCTACTCGAAGACTCATCGCTGGACACCTCTGTTCTCGATTTCCGCTTCCTTGGAATCCGTTGGGACAGCCTTTGGTCAGGCGCAACAGGCGCCGTTTCCGTTTCACCTGAAGCCGATGGAGGGGGCAACGGAGGGGGCAGGGGAGTGGCCATATTCAGTGCATTAAGCAATGCCTCTGCTCTGCGTCGTTTTAGGCGCCGTATAAAACCTTCGGGATATGGATGATCTCGCAAGGCCTCCACATCCCGTTCAGTTCGCCGCCGCTTTCTCTCGTTCGATAGTCTCCGCTCCAATGCATCCGCTTCGGCTATCTCTTGTGCCTCCCTATCATCCATTTTGCTGTCTGTTTCGTCGAGCTCGGTAAGCGCAGCGTGGCAACGCGCTTTCAATCGTTCAACAACACCAGCACCCTTGAGTCCTTTTACGTACGCGAGCAGTGCTTCGAGGTGCTGGTCAGGGATGCGGAAGATGTTGAGCGCGTTTTCAAGTACGTCGTTCTGTTTTGCTTTGTTGAATTTCCAGTTGGTATGGTCGTTGTAGTATTGCGCAAGATAGGCCAGGTAAAGCGACGGGTCCTTCTTCTTTCCTTTCGGCTTCGGCGTGTTTGCATCACTGACAAGCTGAAGACCGTTGGCGGGATGCGACATAGATGGGGGAATGAATTGCGCTGCCTCCGTTGCGGTAAACTCGTCTTGTGCGCCTTTTTGCTCTGCTACCCATTTCTTGAAAAGATTGTGGGCGCTGTTGCCGTCAACTGTTTTCGTATCGGGAGTGAAGGTGACAGATTTCCTGCGGTCCGTAGGCGGCGGTGAGCCCGAGGCGTTTGTCAGGTTCTTAGAAAACTTTGGCGTGGCTAGGAGCTTGCTGGGCGTGTCTGCGGCCGTGAGACTCTGCGGTCTGCTCGACTCCTGCCGCGATGCCGAAGTAGTTTGCTGCCCAGGGGGGACAGATCGTTGCCCCTTCTTCTTTTTCTGGCGATAGTTGGGATCTCCCTTGGGACGCGGTTTGTCCGCTACCTCGGACTGGGCATTTGGCTCACCATTGCCCACTTCCGCGACATCCAAACCTGCGCCGACGGCTCCGCCGCTTGATGTTTCTTGATTTCCAGAGATTCTGTTCCTTTTGGGATCCTGGTTGGCTGGCTCAGCTGCGTCGTAAGGATGTTTTCTCTTGCCAAGGCTTGACGATTTTCCCGTCACGGATGCTAAGGTCTCGCAGTGAGTTTGTTCGCCGTCGCGTCGTCCAACGTCACCGCTCTCAGCAGAGCGTGTGGTGTCTTGCTGGTCATTGGACCCAGGCACGGCGGCTCCGGATTGGGCGCCGCTTGATATGTTCAGTCCCAGTCGTTTCCAGGCGGGAATGGCCATGCCGTTGGAGAACTAAGTGAAAGAGGGAAATGGATGCTGTTATGGATTATGATGTCGCCTCGAATCCATCGCTCATGCCCGAATCAGCTCTCCGGGCTCGGGTTTGTCAGTATCAAAAGGTCGAATGGTAAGCTGCTGTCGCAGAAATTTTGGTGGAGCTGAGAGAGCGGCGGTCCGTGCACGATGGTCACGACTAGGTCCGAGACAGCACCTGGACAAACTTACCTGGGCAGGCTCCGACGCAACGCGTACCAGCAACCACTCGCAACTCCTCCAAGCCCAAGCCACCATACAAACAACGCCGCTCAAGCTTACCATTAACCTCCCCGAGCTACTACTACAGCTGAGGAGCCCATCTGCACATATACTGCTGCCGCCATCATGTCTGGTGCGTTGAAACCGCCTTCCTTGAACCCTTTGAGGGTGTTCAAGTGCTAACCATTTATCTTGCTCTCCAGGAAGCGCCGGCTACGACAGACATATCACCATCTTCTCCGACCAAGGCCGGCTATACCAAGTCGGTATGCTGCTCGTGCCCCTCAGTTCCCCTCCCAATGAGCTCGTGATTGCCATGTTGCGATATCAGAACATGCCCACTGACACCGACGCACAGAATATGCCTTCAAAGCAATCACAGCAGCCAACATCACATCGGTGGGAGTGCGCGGCAAGGACTGTGCGGTAGTCATTTCACAAAAGAAGGTTCCGGTATGGCCTATCCCTCTGGCCCCTCTCACTACCGGCGTCTAACTCATGTTTTGTTGTCCAGGACAAACTCATCGACCCCTCCTCCGTGTCTTATATCTACAAGCTCTCGCCATCTGTGGGATGCGTGATGACGGGATCAATCGCAGACGCAAGGGCCTCGGTTGATCGTGCACGTGGTGAAGCTGCGGAATTCCGATACAAGTATGGTTACGAAATGCCCTGCGATGTTCTGGCAAAGCGGATAGCCAACATCAGCCAAGTATATACGCAACGGGTGAGTAAGCGTCGAGAGGCCTTTCGGGTGGCGCTGACACTCTAATTCTCAGGCTTACATGCGACCGTTGGGCGTTGCTACCACCCTCATCTCTGTTGACTCCGAGTTTGGTCCCCAATTGTACAAGTGCGATCCGGCCGGATACTACACGGGCTACAAGGCAACAGCATCAGGACCGAAGACGCAGGAAGCGCTCAACTTCTTGGAGAAGAAACTGAAGAATAAGGACTACGCCGAGGGTACATGGGAGGACGTTGTTGAGCTAGGTATCACGACTCTGAGCACGGTGCTGGCAGTCGACTTCAAGAAGGGGGAGCTGGAGGTGGGTATTGTTGGGGGACCTCGAACGGACGGCCAGGAGGGTACGGACACGGAATTCCGTGCTCTGACGGAAGACGAAATCGACGAACGATTGCAGGCGATTGCGGATAAGGACTGAGGGTAGGCGAGCCAGGTGCCCGTCCGGAAACGTGACGGGGAACCGAAGCAAGAGTGGAGTGGATGGTCGTCGCCGAAGCGCAAGAGTCGAACGGTCCTCGCCTAATGCGCTGCTATATCAAGTACTAGGCTCTATCCTCCTGCGTCAATGCACCCAGTCTCGGGCACAAGGAGGGTCGGCATCTGCCCTGGTAGCGAGCGGTCAGCCGCAGGCACCTTCCGTGGTTCGTATGTATGTACCAGTAGACGATGCTCATGAATGACAGCCCGTTTCCCTCGCCAGCTGTACTGCTCCAAACGCTCGGACGAACACCTCCGCTCAGCAGTGTGAGTGGCGGGCCTGACACCCAGCCGTTAACTGTGGCTGACGGTGATGTGGCGGAACGGGTGGTGAGAATGATAGGAGGCCCACATTCATCTCACCACGCCCAAACCTTTCTTTCAGCAGCATCAGGCTCAGCAGCAGATGCACGCGAGGCTGCATCACTAAAATTCCAGGGCACAGCCAATCACCAGCCACAATTGAGGCCGAGTAGAACGTTCCTGGGTTCCTGAGCGTCGCCGTACCCGATAGGGCTGCTGGGGCTAGCCAATTTGGGCGAAGTGGCGCACAACTACAAGCTGACTAGTGATTGGCAGGTCCCTCACAGCATTCATGGATGGTCGTGCCCTCCCGCTCCAGCTGCTATGGCCCCAGGCACCAAGACAGCTCTCCTCTCTGGCCTTGACGTCGGCCGCTGTTCTGTCCTCTCTCCTCCTTTCTCCACGCCATTCCCCACTACTAACCCGACCCCCTTACAATGAGTCGCGATGCTCAATCCGGAACCACGGCCAGCTGGCAGCTGCTCACAGCCCGAATGTGCTTCTCAGCAGGTTGTGATGGGAGTAGGGCCCTGCCTGTGGAGCCTCAATTCCCTTCCATGAACGCTTCTCATTGTCTTTATATAACGGTCGCCACACCTCCATCGTCCAAGCCTACAGCAGCACGCGAACCTGATTGCGACCCGTTTCTGACCCATCTCTCCTCCATTGCGCCTCTCTCTCCTCCTCGAGGTCAACCAAGTCATCTACCGTGATCATGTCCGACGGTCGTAAGGCTACCCTTCCCGTGCCACCATTCCCACAAGCCCCCCGAAAGCACTCCTGGCCTCAATCCTATACCACTGTTATGAGAACTTTCACTGAAATCCCTTTGGCTTCCAGTCAATGACGCTCGCGCCATCCGCATCACGGAGATCGTCACCGACTTCCGCCATCTCCAGTACTTTCTCTCTCAACTGCGCCCCACTCCCACCGCTGAGGAATACTATCTTGAAGGCTATTCTCTGCTACGACAATGCACATCAGAGGCACATTCCATTCTCACAACCCCTTTCTCCGTCAGCGCCCCGGCGCCAGGCGATGACGTCGAGCGTCAAAAGCAGCAACTTCGATCGTAAGCAGCCATCTCATCTATCCATTTTTCCACCAGTCGGAAACACTCGTAGACTCTCAGATTGCATGATTGTTGGCGGAATACACCAGCCTAACAGCGTATTATTCCATTGTGCAAGGCTGACATCGAAGCATCAGTGTCATAGTGGATGCCGCGGTGCGCCGGTTTCAAGCCCAGAGGGTGTATTTGAGAGCACAAGCAGGGTTACGGTGGGTGAATACTCGGAATTCCATCCTACGCGGGCAAAAACAGAATGCGTCTCATCTGAGAGCACTGCAGGAAGCGGACGACTCGCTGCGACAGGTAACTCACCAACCTTCTAGAACCTCCACCGAATTGCGGCAGGGGGCTAACCATGCTATATAGGAGTTGCGAGCCATTACGGACGAATGTGTCGAATCCACTCTGCGCAACCAAGATACCGCTCAAGGCAAATGGCTTGCTGAAGACCCGACCCTCGCACAAATCCAGCAAATTCTAATGCGGCGATGAAGGCATAACGGCACATCTCGCTTTGCCCCATCTGGGGTCTCCCTTTGATGGCTTTCCAGATCAATGGATATTACATGCATTATGGGGGGTTTTTCTGCTTCTTGGACTGGTCCACATCGCAAAAGGAGTCCCAAAACCTCCACTGCAGGGCGCCCACCTCATGGTTCTCTACCACGGCTCCCGGATGCAGATCATGGACACGGCGCATGTTCATTCATCGAATTGGCCGAGTTCGAGCATGGTCGCTGCTGGCGGCGACGAGATGCTCCTTTGTATTCATATCGCCTTGGGTTCTCTGCGAACTTGAGGAAATTAGGGATGAAGGGAACACCGTAGGCGCAGGTGTCTATTCATGCAGTTGCTGCTTTATCCGGGTAGGTAACTACACATTCGGTCATGGGAAAAGGGATCAGGGATTCTCATTATTTTGGTCTGTCCATACTCCCATCTTCTTCTACTGTACTGTTGTCCCCTTTTCATTGATTAGTATTATTCTATTTGACTTGATGTCCCTCATCGATGTATCTTCTCCATGTATCTATTTCATCTATTCGACTACATATCACCCATAGCCGCAAAGGCCATCCGACTCTGTAGTACATACATCCTTCCATCCTCTGTGCGTGCACACCTTTTGCTATACAGTCGCAAACGCACCCCCTTCCCAATCCCTTCTTCTAGGATCTCTCCCAGCTCCATCCCACGCACCCAACACTCACACAGCCGCTCCGACACCAACAAAATCGTCGGACTCGCCTACAGCCTTCCAGAATCACCCTCACCAGTTCCACTGTGTATTTCTATGCCCACGGCAACCTTGGAAGCCTTGCTGCTTGGCATCTCGCTTATCATGCAGGCCTGACAACGTCCACGTGGGAGCCCTGCAACGCTAAACCTCCAAGGGATAAGTGCAAGGTTCGGGGAACGCGATGTGGAGACTGTTGCTCAGCCTCAGCTTCCACGTTAGGGAGCATGGACCACTGCATGTTGAGACTACACTGCATGCTTTCAGCTTAGATGGTCTCCTACAAGGACGATGGGAGCGGCCTTTATGGGGGAGGGGTTGGAAGGAGAACGAAGGAGATGAGCAATTGACATTTGGGAATCGAAGGAAGGATGATTGAGAATTTGGAGTTTGCAACCTAAAACATAGCGCTGGATACAAACAGACTGAAGCTGTACCCTGCATCTGCCTTTCATTCCTGTGAGTACTATCGCTATTGCAGATTGATATAACATGCTGGCAGGTTGTCAACATTGAGGGTTTTCTGGAATTCCAGGAATCCAGTACCGCTCTCTCACGCGCCAGGGCAGTTGTTTCGCGGCATTAATTCAGTCCCAAGCTCTGCACCGAGTATAGTCCCAGTCTTATCACTTCCTCACAGTCCATCACATTGAGTATTCCCACCTCCTCGCAAACTTCCTCAAGACCTTCGCCATCTCTATCTACACGAACGCCTGGCACGTCCCTCACGCTAGAGAATCGGATAGGACGAAGAGTCAAACAATTCGTCGCTCCCGAATCCATACTGTCCCGTCGCATATTCCAGATTCGCCTCCAGCACCTCCCTTCGATGACGCCGCGCCATCTCCAGGAAACGGTCCACGCGTTCCTCTTGTCGCCTCAACCTAGCTTCGCGTCGGTCACAGGCTAGCTCCCTCTGCGTGACTCGGCACTCTCGCTCCAGCAAGCCGAGCAGCGACGGTTGAGAAGGAGGCGACAAAGGTTCAGGACCGGATGCGCGTTCAGCAGCACTAGGCAGCCTCTCAGGTGAGTTTCCGAAAAGCGGTCGCCTGCTGGGCATCCTATTGGATGAACGACGGGGGGAGCGAGCGAGCTCGTCAAGAACTGCTCGTCGCTGCAGTTGCCTCCTGGCTTCCGAGGCGCGCGAGAGTTCACCGACGCGGTCCTCCAAATCGGCGCGCAGAGGACGGTTATTTTGACTGTGGCTCTGCTGCACTCCACCGTTCAAAGGCGTAGGACGCCGTCCGAGAAGACAACGCGCTCGGCTGACTGTTTCCCTTGCTCGATGACGGATCTCTTCCACCTCGCGAATGCCTTGTACGATAGCTGCGTCCGTTTCTGTCATGTCGGTGTCATCGAGCGGAGGGCGGGTTGCGCTTGAGTCTCCGGTACCATCTGTAGCAGTGAGGTCAATAGGATAGTCGTTTGAGCCCGCGTTTTCCACGGGGGCTGCAGTCTGGTCATCTCCTGGGAGACCAGAAACCTGCTGGTCTGCCGTCTGAATATGCTCGGTTCTGTCAGCGGGACGGGCATCGCGGAATCTTCCCATCAACTGTCGGAACTCATCCATGGTGAAGTTCGCCGGCATTGACGACGTAGCCCCGGCTCCAGCTGCATGGTTTGTTGATGGTTCTGCTGTACCCCGTGGAGAGCGTAGCAGTTGCAGGTCCGCGAGCAGTTGAACATACGATGGCCGCGAGGTGTTTCCAGTTGCGGGTGCTGGGTTTTCTGCCGTAGTGTTTGTTAAAACATCCCTCGGAGGAGCCAGTTGCGGATACTCCGGCATTCCTCCCCTCAAACGTCGAAGCGTCTCGTTAGCTCCAAGCAAACGCTGTATAGCCTCCGGAGAGATGTTGCTGTGCGGTGGCGCGGTGGACGAAAGCGGAACTGGAAGATCAGGAGGTTGATCCCACCTCCGTGGTCGCGAGCTCGCGGCCGTGGATTGAAACGGAGGGGGCCCAGGCAGGTCAAATCGGGACGGCCTCGTACGGATTGCAGCAACCCACGTAGCGCGACACAAAGGACACCTCTTCTCTCCGCCTGGATTTGACCTGAGAATCGTTTTCAGGCACTCGCTGCCAAGGACGTGAGAGCAGTTTGCAATACCGGTTATCTGCACAGCATATTCCGCGCCTTCCTCGGTACCGTAGCTGTCAAGGCAGATGGGGCATTCCGTATGGTCTGGCGGACTCTCTGGAAGAGCGGTTCCTTGCGCCGACATAGTCTCAGTGCTGATCTGCGGACGTGAATAGCGCTTGGTATGCTCTCTGATAAAGTTGCTGCAGACGCTCTCGACGGTGGCTGGATCTGGTGGTATCTCTGATCGGAGTTGCAGGCGTCTCTGCATGAGCTCTTCGAAAAAGACGGCGTTGAGCCCGCCGTCGTCTTGACGCGGTCGTTCCATTGTCCCTTTTGATCCTGGTCGCCACAGCTGCTCTGAGGTGAGCAGCAAAGGGGACAAAGGTTGCGGTGAGGATTTGAGGTGGTGTGTTGAGTGGGTATGTTGCGTAACCAGAAAGTTTTCGAGTGAGGAAGTCGCAGAGGCGCGGGCACGGACCAAAGCTTATGCGGCGAAGCTCTTTCACTGATGATTCGAGAGGTTTTACCATTTCACATGTGCACGGTGTCGACGGGACCCGAGACACGGGGACAACGGAAAAGGCATGATCTGGGCTGGGAAACACCGACGTGCTGTCATTCAACCGACGAAGTAAAGATGCGTTATAATTGCGTTACTTACTGTAAGCTAGGCAACCAAAAAACCATAAAGCCGCGGACTTATTTTTCACACACTCTATGCTAGGCTAGGAGGAATTAGACCGCAGACCTTGGAAATAGGGCGTCGAATTCCAAAGTTCTTGCTATCACGAGAATGGAAAATCACGTGAGGAGCATGGTGAATAAATAGAACCGTGGGAAGGGAATGGGAGTTAAAGGTGATTCGGTGGGTTTCTTAAGGTGGATCCACGCGGGTTGCAGTCATCCCGCACTCCAAGTTTATAGCAAAGAAGCCCCCGGCACCAGACCGCTCCTGGAGTTTGCATTGAGGACAGCCAAAGAGTTACTGAAATGAAAGACGGTTCCCAAGAGGTGACTTATGATGTCTCTGTAGCTATCTAGGTGCTGCATACAGGGCAAGAGTTATTAATCCATGAAGAAAGAAAACAAACTCTCGATACCAGAGTCGAGTTCTTCAAATGTTCAACATCGCAAATAGGAGGAGTAAATGGCTTTTCTATTCAAAAAGGGTAGTACGACTCTACTCTAGCTTGATCTCTTCTTTCTTTCATAAAAATAAAGTGGTCATCTTACTACACATGCAAAAGCACATCTTGTATTAGTTGAAATGGTAATGGGACTCGCTATCTTATACACGTGTGACATGAATAGCAGACCCCTCGCCAGAATACATTCATGCTGGAAAGTTTGCCTTATTTGATATGTGACTATGCAGTGAAAAGAATCCCGGAGCTGAGGGCACTAGAAACTGCTCTGTCCCTTTGTTTTCGCGGATCGAATCATGAAGTTTATGATGACGGCCAGATTGTCCTGGATTGAGCAATGAGCCCTTGATATAATTATCAAATTAATTATTAAGCGCGCGGAGCACATTGCAAACGGTATACTTGCTTATATGGCTCTGTGGTTTGAACGAGCGCAGGTCAGTGTGCGGCAACTGGTGACCCCTGAACGACACATTCCGGCCAAGTGTTAAACGATAAAGTCATGAAGGTTTAAAGAGTAAATGGTACATATCTACTTTAGACTCTCCATTGTTCGAACTGACGGTAGACAATTGTCGAAGAAGGCGCGACCAAAATCGCTGTGCGATAATGAAAACAATGTTTGCTGACTAAGCAAAGCGCGGTGCAGAGAGATGGGTCTTGCGGGAGTTGGACCACTATGTCGAGGCATGGAACGCTCGAAGAAGCAGTGAGAGACCGCGTGCAGTAAGACAATATGCGTAGTCTGGCAAGGAAGAATAATTTGACTTGCGGTGCTCCATTGTTACTGCGCATGCGCACTGTACTGACAAGTGCGGAGCGGTGAAGGACCTGGGACCTTGACGGTCGGACTTGGTTGTTAGGACTGCAAAGCCCTTAGCTCCTTTGGTAAGGAGTGTTCCAGAGCTCTCTGGAGCTGGTTGACAGGACACGGTATACGCAGCATCTTCCAGAAGCTTGAGTCGGATGACCTGCTAAAGGTGTACATACACCCTACATAGCTATGCCAACGTTCCCCTGTCTCCGGCGGCTGGGCGCCGCACACTCGAGTATCTAAGGTGGAAACTCGCCCGCTCCTTCCATCTCTCTTCCACGACACTCGTCTTCAGACACTTTGCAACGCGCGAGCTGAAAAGCCCCACCGCAAGTGTCATTTCACCATGGTAAGCCCTCCACCCTCAATTGTTGAGCACAGCCGCCCTCGTCCCGGCCCCGGGGACAAGAGGGTGGTTGTGCGCCGCACTCTAATGTTTTGGCGTAGGATTCAAAACCTACTCTCCCTCGTCAGGTTCTCTCGTCGTTACGAGAGAAAGATGAGGGAGAAGTACGACGACGACACGGCGAAGCTCCTCGCGATGGAGCTTCAAAACTTCATCAGGGAGAATCTCTCCCCCGCTCTCCTTCGGGAAGGGGGAGAGCTCGCTTCCTGGGACGACCTCCTTCGGGAATATTGACAGGTACGTGAAACTGCCTTGTGATAGACTTGTAGTAACTGCAAACACAGGAGGGGTTTTTCTTTGCTTCGGCATTCCTTTTCCCCTAAACAAAGAAAGGAAAGGCCCTCGAAGTCGGACTCTGCAGCCTGTACGTGGCGAGGGCTACGAACCTGTTCCTCTGTGGACAGAGCCGATGCAGAGACGCAAGTAGATAGCTTAATGCCATTTGTCTCTAAACTCTGCATTGCACTTGCTCTTTTCTCGCATTGTGGTGGTTGATTACGCGTGGCATAAGTGACTTGTGAGCCAAATGACGTTTGTTTACATGAGCCTTCTATCTACGGAAACTACATGAAGACGCTGCAATATCACCTTCGAATGCAGAGATCACTCCGTATAACCCATTTCTCCCCTTGCAGCACCTCCCGTCCTTCATGAAGCAAGCACTCGGACCCGTGCCGATGTAGCAGAGCCATCCCAACCTCTAGGTCTACGACGACGGGCTCCGGCTGGGGTTCGTTCTTCTTCTTGCGTCCCGACGGGGATTCCGGGTAGAAGACGGTCTCGCCGCCAATGCAGCCAGTTGCGGCGGATGTTAGATAGAGGAGAAAGGTCCAGGTCGTCTTTGCAGGAATACAAGGCGAACCGGGAATGGTGACCTGGTTGGAGTCGTCGTCTGAAGATGGACAGTGGATTAGGAGGGACGAGAAAGGAAGGAGGGGACCAGGGACGTGACGTACAGTGTTTATCAAAGAATTGGCCTTTTTTGTAGCGATATATGCGAATTCTTGGGTTTAGCCCAACCTGCTCAGTGTCACTCACTCAGACATGGTCTCATGCCAAGAAATAACTATCCGAAAAGGGATAGCGCAATTGCAAGAGCATAACGCTTAGACCTCCAGAACCGCCCCCCAGGGCTCCCTCACGCTTTGTACGGGAGACAGGACTTGGTTGATGGAAGAGCGGTAGAGACATAAAGATTGGATTCAGAGGACATACCACTTCATCACCCCACAGCGCCACTCGTTCTTCGTCGTTGAGACTCGGTCCGTCGCCGTCTGCAGCATCTTCGGCCACACTGTGTCCCAAGACCAAGTCTCGCAATGCGGTCTCGCTCCACAGGCGCTCAGCAAACGCCGCATCCTCGACCTCAAAGCGATCATTTACACGTACGGCGTCGCCCTTCTTCGGTTTGCCAGGCGTGGTAGTGAGGGGAAGCGTGGAGAGGAAGGACACGTAGTCTTTGCACAGCTTCGCGGGCCAGAATGAGGGTATGGTGATTATCTGGCCGGGAAGTCGGACTTGGAGGGAGAGGTCGGATGGGGAGACTAGACGTTTGAAGGGTGGCCAATTCGGACGCGGTGGTGCGGGGCGGTCGGCACGCGAGGTGTCGTGCTGAGCGGGAACTCTCTTCTTCAAAGGCATGCTGCAACTGATCTATAGGCAAGCAGGAGATGCACTCGTGGGGTATACAAGGGATTTGAGACTGGGTCGAAGTGAAGAGGAGGGGTTCCCAATCCAAGTACAAGCTAGCTGCAGTGGGCCTTGGATGGATTAAGGCGTAGCGACCCTCGAAGTACTCAATCCAACATAGCTGCGAATTCTTGAATCTTTTCTTGAACTTGGAAGAAATCTTGTTGGGGCTCATTTTCCCTTCCATCCTGACCATCCACCATTGCACCGCCACAATGTAGGTTTGCGCCTCTGCCAAGATTCCAGCCACGCTTACCATTCCGGGCGCGTTTCAAGGTTCGTCCCGCAGCCTCTGCGTTTCATCTGTCTGCCCAGGTGTGTTCACTCTCCCATCAAGCTCCTGAGGTCCGATCAGTAGCCTACGTACGTTGAGGTTCATCCACGCATTGCCCAGTATACATTCACTGCCAAGCGTGGGAAGCATCGCCAAGCAATGCGTTTTGTCCTTTCCCAGCTTGGAGTCCATTTCAGCAAAGTCACGTGGACTTGCCGTAGTCTAGCGTCGCCAAGCACTTTCTGACTTTCTCCCAGACCGCCCCAGTGAATCCTCCGACTTTCCCGCGGCTCCATTCCCATCGCCATCCCGCAACATCACTCTTCACCCGCCCACCACGTCTTCGCAGTCACCCACCACGTCGCCTCCCGCGCTGCATGCAGTCACGCTTTTGGACTCCACCCGGCTATCTTCTGAATCTGCTCCTCAACTGCGCGGAACGAGTCCCAATGCTAACGGATTCCTGCCTCCCATGCCTGCCCCCACGGAGGATCCTCTGCCAGAGCTGGCACACTCGGAGCCGACTGCCAATCCCGGCAACCCAGTCTCTCTCGAGCAACACGACATGAACGATCTCATGGCGCCGAACTCCCGTGCCGTCGAGTCTTTGCTTCCACCCATGGCCCTCGCGTTGCCCGACGCGCCCCAATCCGAGACGATCCACAGCACGAGCAACGAACATCTCCCCGTGCAAACCCCCTTGCCCGTATCTTCGATGCCGCTTCTCGATTCCTCCATGTCCGCCTCCACCATGGAGCCGTTGTTGCCTGAGCCGCTGGAGCAGCAGTCACAGCAGGAGTTGCGCCAGGAGTTGCAGCGCCAGCAGGGCTTGGAAGCATTTGCCCGCTTGAAGTTCAGAGACGGCTCTTACTATATGCACACATATAGTGTCATCCTCGGTCGCGACATAGAACAATCCAGGCGCGAGGTACGGCTTAGAGCCAGGGCGGAGAGACGTAGGATGCGTGATGGGAGGCCTCGTAGTGTCATCAGCGAAACTGGTGGTATTGTGACCGCCCCCATGTCCACCATGACGAACGGTGCGTCCGTATCCCATACGTCTTCCTCGTCGCGCCAACAAACCGATCCAAATCATGTAGCCTCGCAAGAGGTGCTGATACAAGGCTTCCAAGAGGTGCCTGACCGGCTTGAGAGCCAAGTCCCTGAGAACCCCAACGAGTGCCCCTTGGTTCCTATTCACCCCAGCCACGCCAACGCTGTCGACGGAGAGATCCGGTCCAAGGGTATCTCGCGCCAGCACGCGAAAATTGAGTACAATTTTGACACTGGCTCCTGGCAGATGCACGTTCTGGGGACCAACGGATTGTGCCATGAGGGTAACTACTACGGCAAAGGAGCGCTCGTTGAATTGAACCATGGAGATGCCATCGGCATTGGCCAGGTCACCTTCCATTTCTTCCTGCCAGATGTTGCCCTCACCGAAGAGCAGCGCGCTCGCCAGGAGTCCAGCTCGCGGCCCATGAGCTTCTCGTTTGAGAATGGACTTGGTCAGGTCGAGGATGAGGATTGGACTGACGAGAATTCGCTCAGCGAACACGCCAACGTGGACCCGAGACACGTTTATCACATGCCAGAGAGACCCCATATTTCCGATGAGGATACACCCGGCGATAGCGACTTGGCCATGGAAGATGTAGACGACTCTTCCGGTTCGGCGAGTCCTCTTACGCGACCTACTTCCAGGAAAAAGAGAAGCCAGCCGATCCAGCCTAAGCCGAAGCAAAATCGGCATCAGAAGCTAAAACTCAAGCTCAATACCAAAACTAAAGGTAGTGATAGCACGTCCATGCAGCCGCCTCCAACAAAGAAGGACCACCCGAACTTGAATTCATCAATGAAGAGGAAGCATGAACTCGATAACGGTGAAGGGCCGAGCATCTCTAAGAAGGCAAAGGCGAAGCTCACAGAGCCAGACCATGGTGAGGGACCCAGCACTTCTAGAAAAGCAAAGGCCAAGCTCAAGGACCTGGATAACGGCGAGGGGCCGAGTAGCTTTGCAAGCTCTAGCCCCAGTAGCTCTATTAAAACAAAAGAAAAAACCAAAGGTGTAGACAACTCCGAGGAACCGAGAATTTCTATAACAGGAAAGGGTAAGGCAAAAGAGCTCGTCAACGAGGCTTCCGACCAGCCCACTCCTAGCATTGAGACTGCCACCGACAGGCAAACCGCCGCCCCCACCCCTGCGAATGCATCTGAGCTCGCCTCAGCCGAGACACCAGTGGCTCCCCATGACGACGGCATGGAGATAGATACCCCAGACCTCGCATCGGGTAGTAAAGCAGAAGGCCCATCCTCAAGGCCTCCTAGAGCGGAGAGCCCCATCATTACGCTCAAAACTGCCGAAGAGGCGGTCGGTCTCGAAGGAGTAACCTTACTGGACGAAGAGTTTATCGAGAAGTATTCCCTGCCTAAAGTTCTGCGCGGGTTGGCCATGGAACAGCGCAGGGGGCCCGGTCGGCCGCCCAAGGACGGAGTTCTGTCGAAGCGGCAACGATCACAGCTCGTGAAATACGGCAAAGAGCTTGACAAAGCCATTGCTCTCGGTGTTGATATCAAGAATTTGCCAATGACCGCGGCCAAACCGAAGGTTGCTCGCCCACGGAAGGACACCAACGCCACTTCTGCTGAGGGCGAAGAGGGAGAAGCACGCGAGACGGCCGAGAAAGGCGACGGCGCAGCCTTACCGGCCGATAAGAAGTCGAAGCCGAGCACAAGCAAGCCACCGCGCTCCCCGTCGCCAGAGATGAAACGCGAGGATTACACGAAAGAGCAGTTACAGAAGCCTACCCTGAATTACGTCGTAATGGTCCACGAGGCCATCTCATCATCACCGGACGGTCAGATGAATCTACAGCAAATCTATCACTACATGGAGAAGACATGGCCGTACTTCAAGTTCGAAGTCCCAACCAATGGTTGGCAATCTTCAGTAAGGCACAATTTGGGCCAAAACAAGGTCTTCATCAGGGGTGACCGAGAAGGCAAAGGCTATTTCTGGAAGGTTGACCCCAACGTTTCGATCGAGAAGTTACGAAATAAGAGACAACCGGAAGACACCCAGCAAGGCGCCCATGTCCAACCACAGGGCTTCTATCACGCGCCCAACTCGTTCCCGCAATATCCTTCTGGGTCGCCATTCTATAACGGCGGTCCACCACCACCCCCACCAAGGGTGGAGGCGGTGCAAATGCATCCTCGTTTACCCCCAAGTCTCGCCCGCAGCGCTGCCACCGCCGCACCTGCATCACAGGGTCCTCCTGCTATGAAGCCCTACGCTTCGCCTTGGGGTAACGGTGGAGGGTCCGCGATGCAGGGTGTGCCGCGTCCTTTCGGATCTCAGCCTTCTCCGAATCCCACGGGGGTCTCGAAACCTCCACCAAGCGGCCAGTATGGTGTGCTCCTTCCATCCCACTTACCACAACCCATCTATCCCACTTATGGCGCGCCAAACGGACACAGTGGGCAGTCGGGGACTGCGAATGGATCACCATATGGATCCATGTCAAGGCCCTCGCCATATGCCACAGCAATCTCGCCGCCCACTACGTCCCAACCGGCTCAAAACGGTCTTACAGCTCCGCAGAAACCAAATCCATCTCCAAGCCTGACAGCGACCCAACCGCATCCCCCACAACCGGCTCCTCCTCAACCGGCCCCTGCTCAATCGGCTCCTCAGCCGAACTTCCCCCAACCGACCGTTGCCCAGCACTCACCCTCTCAACCTCACGATTCGGGTCGCTACCCCGCCTCCCTCGATCGTCGCATGATTCACCAGCTAGAAGCCTTCCGTCAGACCTTCCTAGACAAGACCCCTGGGACTGACAAGACAGAATCCATCAAGCGAGTCGACAACGCCATCAGAGCCGTCGTATATCCTGATGCACATCCCCCACTGACTCAAGCGGAAAATCACCTCTACAACGTCATGCTCCAAGTTCCCGTCATCAGGGATCTGCTGGCCAGTAGACCTACTACCAACGATTTGGGCGTGGCGGCTGCTGCGGAGGCTGCGAGCGACGCGGCTGTTACCGCGGCTGGCAGCCTACCTCCAGCTTCTGGTGCGAGCGCTAATCCTGGACCTCCCGCTGTTTCAACTGCTGGTGTTAGCTCGACCAGTCTTCCTGTCGCTTCGACTGCTGGTTCTAATTCTGGAGGTCCGCCAACCTCGACTGCTGATCCTAGTTCTGGAGGCCTGCCACCTTCGACTGCAGGTCCTAGTTCTGCAGGTTCACTTGCTTCGACTACTCCCGCCGGTTCCGGAAGCCTGCTCGCACCGACCGTTGGTCCTGGTCCTAGTACCCTATCCCCCGCAGCTGGAAATGTCCCAAATGCCAATGCTACCTCTGAGAATATCCCAGTCCCCAGTCATGCCTGAATGCGCTAACGCACCATTTTCCCTTCGTCTTTGCTGTCGGCGTTCGACCATAACAAGGCGCATATGACATATTGGTCTGGACACGGCGTACCATTCACTGCCTAGTCTTTTGGGTCTTCAGGTCTTTGTTGATTGGGGGTTATGAATGTTCTTATTAGCATGGCGTACACGGGACAGGATATGACGCCACGCATGGGTCTTTGGACCTTGGCATTCTAAAAGTTTTGGTGTCTTCGAGAGGGCGCTCTCATGCATATTTATATGGTCGGTTGGCGTGGACTAGATGGAGTATGCCTGGTACTGCAAGGGGATAGTGGGTATAGGATAGGATTAACGTTTATGAATAAGACGAGACTATTGTCATTGGAGGGCGTATCCTGATGGCTATGTGCAATGTGCAGAATGGTGAACGCGGTCAAACAGACTCTTTGACAAACCCCCTTCTTGAGACTCGCTCCCTTGTCCCCTCTTGATACGTACTCTCTGCCTTTCCTCAGCCCCCTTTTCATTATGTCTGCAAAAGTTGGTATAACTAATATGCAGTTGACTTGAATGTCAAGTAGCAGCACAGCGGCAAGACGATCATGATGAGCTCGACAAGCTGAACGCTAGGCAGTACTAGTACGCTGATAACAACATGTTGAATTCGCGTTCATTATTCCATTCCATGCCTTAGCCAAGGGACTATTTAACCGTTGGACTTGCTTGCAAGAGGGCATGAGTAAAGCATGTACATGAATGACGTCGAACATGATCTTTGTTTTGACCACTTGAGAACTTGAACACACAAAGCATGAACGAACACGAGCATTTCTTTCCGTTACCATAAACAAGAATACCAAAACGCTGCCCAAGCAACACCCATACACACATGGATGCGTCGCGTGCATACCTACTCGTTGCAAGACACCCCCTCCAACGCCTCGCAGGACCGCAAAACCCAAACGAGTCCCAAAAGGTCGCACTGGAAGCAAAATGCAAAAAGCGCCAGAGCTAAAAGGACCCGCTCGCTAGTAAAAAGAAACACCACCACGAAGCAATGGTAAGCAAGAAAGAAGAAGAGAAAAAAGAGTCGCAAATCATTACCATGCCCATCCCTCACCCCAGCCCCTACTTTCACCATTTCCGATTCTCCCCAATCCCGCCCCTCTTAAAAATCATCCTTCAACACCATATCCACCGTCAACTCTCCCGTTTCGATCCTCTCAACCCTCAAAACGAGCTCCTGCGACTCACAGTCAGCCTCATCCTCTCATACAATCGAGGAAAGAACACGAATCAGCATACCTTCATCGCCCTCGCCGTCCGAAACGCCAACGGTGGAATCCTCTCCCTATACCCCTCCTTCCCCGCCTGCCCTGCATCTCCTGGCCCATCCCCAACACGCACGCTCAGCATATCCACTCTACAGCCCTCGAGCACCTGAACAATAGGAAGAACATGCTTCTTCAGCGCCGGAGCCGGCAGGTCGCGCACCGCATCGTGCGTCCTCGTGACGGTATCCTGCACCGCGCGGGAGATATCTTGGATATAGTTTGCGATTTGCTGTTCGTCCGCCGGGGAAGAGCCAGGAGCGTTACCATTGCTGGACGACCGAATGGTATGCACAAGCGGCTGAATACTCTGCACCAGAAGCGCAGTCTGATCATCGAGGTAATTCTAAAAGCGAGAAGACGAATGAGAAAATCGTACTCAACAAACTGGCGTCGCCGCATTCAGGGTCATTCATACCTTGAACTCGGCCATCCCCGTATCCTTCAGTGGGGAGAGCCCATAGGCACCCCCGCTCTGGCGATCATATCCGCTGTACGGGGAACTGTACGCGCTGTAGCCTGCTGAACTGCCGCTGCCGCCGCGACTGCGATGGCGCTGATGGCCCATGCCTGCACCGACGACGCCGTTGCCGTTGACGCTGTTAGCGCCGTAGGGGTTGTACGAAGAGTAGCCGTTTGGCTTCAGGGGCATCGGTCTGTCGTCCTCTTCTCCATTGGAGAGCTCCTCTGCGGGCGTTGGCCGCACTCTGACATGCTTGACGAGTTCTACCACGGCGGTGGAGAGATGACTGGCTGCTGCGTCCAGTAAACTGACGGGTGACAAACCGGCGGACGAGGCGTGATTCTTGCTTGCGGTGATGAGGTTGTTCGCCGTGGCGCTGACGCGGGACTTCAGCTTCGCCTGCTGCTTTTCTGGAGTGGCAAAGCCGTCACCGTTGACGCTGCTGCTGGGGGACTGGATCTGTGAGAGAGGCGTGCTGTCGATGTCTCCGGTGATGGCGCGCACACATTGTACCACGTGCCTCATGCTCTCCAGCACCTGCTCGGGATCGGATCGTCGCGCAACCTGGAGGAGTTCGTCGATGCTGAGCTGGAACTTGGTAACATGTACGTCTTTCACGATGCCATCAGGGGCGGTGAAGCTTGCGTCGCGGGCATAGTTGCTGATATCCGGGGAAGCGAGGGAAGCGAGTCCGATCGATGAAGCCTTGAGGCTGCGGAGCTGCGATTTGGCTCGAGTGTAGCGGGATTTCCAGTCTTTGAGCTCTGCTTCCAGAGCGGTAACCCGGTTGAACAGCTGCTCTTCCTTCTCCAAGGCAGCGTCACTCCGATTTGACAACTCCCTCATCTCTTGCAAGAAAAGCGCTGCATCCCGGCGCACATCTTCCGTGACCCGCTGCTGCTCATTCAACTCCCGTTCGAGCTCTTCTGCACGCTGTCGCCACTGATCATCATCCCCGTTAGCCGATTGTCGTTGCGATGCCTTCGATTCTAGCTCTGAAATCTGGGCACGTAAGTTCCGCTCCGTCTCCTCATTTTCACTGCGTATCCTGTCGATCTCCGAGCGCAAGGAGGAATTGAGATTCTCTGCTTTCTCGACCTTTTCTTCGAGCGAATAACGAAGGTCGTCCCACTCAGCGCGTTCAGAGGAGGTAATCTGTAAATCATGAGCAATGTAATGGAAGACCGATAGCTCATCACTCACATTATCCCGCGCCTGATCAGCCTCCTTGAGCTTCTCTATTTCCTCATCTTTGTTTCGTAATGATTCTTCGAGAGAGCTAATCTTCCCCTGTAGCTCTGCAACTTGAGCTTGGAGGTCGGATACGAGCTTCTCATTCTGAGAATCGGATTAGTCTCGTTGTTTGGTAAAAACCGGAACCGTGCGACTTACCGCGAGGTTCAAGCTCTTATTGGTCTGCCGCCTGCTCTGGCGCGAGGCCGCACCTTCGAGGTTGAATGCGTCCTCGTCGTCGTTGGCTGCACTGTCGTCGTCGTCGTCGTCTTCGACCATGGTGCCCTTGTTGGGGACAATTGTATTTTGCTGAAACGTCTTCGGGAGCGGTCGTCCCAACTCATTTGCCTGCCCTGGAGGGAGAGACCCGGGCGGATGCCCATTGCGGTATGGTCCAGGCGGTCCAGGTGGAGGTCGCCCATTACCGCGCAATCCCCCGTTCATGCTGTTGGGGGTTCCCACTCGACTCGGCGGGCCTCTACTTGTCCGACTCGCAATGCTCATTGCTGGACTTGCAGATCTCATGATATCTCCTCCCGCAAATCTGGGGCATCTCCTTTCCAACTCGTAATAGACATCGGTCGCAAGTTGACGGAAACGTTCGAGGGGTAGGGTGGAGAGCTTCTGGCGGGCCTGGTTCCGCTTTGGATGGAAGTTGGTCTTTGGTAGCAGGTATTTGGGGGTCTCATTTCCCGGGGCGCCTGGACCTCCGCGCTTGCGGTCATCCTCTCTGCGTAGCGACTCATCATAGACATCTGTGCTGAGCTCTTGGAACTGCACAGGCGACAGACGGGTGAGTTTGTCCTTGGCTCTGCTTGGTCGAGGATTGCCGGCCTCATCCTTGAGATAGGGTCCGAGGTATGCCTTTAGCACGCGGTAGTGCTCGGCCAATGTGTCCTCATACATCATCAACTTGCGGTTGTTGGCGCCGGCGTCGGCCATCCTCGAGGCATACAATCCCGTGCCGTCGCTGGAGCGGGCAATGGAGCTGGGGGGCGAGGGGTTTCCGCCTGCTGGGGGGCGGCCCATAGCTTGGGCCATGGAGCCATCGGTGATGTTTGTGCTGCTGTGGACAGAGGTGGGGGGCGTGTTGATACCGCGGTTGTTGGGCGGGAGGGTGGGAGAATACGGATTGTCGGCGCCGGTGAGGCTCTGGTAGCGAGTGATGGGGGACCAGTCGGTGCTGTCGACCGTGGAGACGGGGGACAGGGCGCCGTTGATGCGGCCGGGCGCATTCATCGTGTTGAGTGTGTTTCACGGCGAGGGGGGCTGCTGCAGACTGTGGAGGAGGATAGGCTCGGCGATGACAAGCTCAGCTGTGTGCTGCTGCTGCGAAGTGGAGCGATGTTGAGGTGCAACTGCACCGCGGGACTCGTGCCGGTCTCTTGATTAGGGCGTGCGAGGTGTGGAAGAAGATGGCGACTGCTGGCTGGGGTCTTCCGACAAAGGCGGTAGGCGGGTAATGTGTTGGGGAAATGAGCGAGAGGCGACGACAACAATACTGGCATTCAGAAAACGACGGCAGGGCAACGGCGGCTTCTAGCTAAAGAGCCGGCGATGGAGGAGCAGCAGCAGCAGCAGCGACAGAGGTAGGAGGAGGCAGCGAGGACGACAACGGGGTCATATTTTTGCAAGCTGACGGGGTTACGGACTGGACTGGCTGGAGCCGCTGAGCAACGTTGGAACGTTCCCCTTTCCATGCTCGCCGTCTTGGCCCTGGCGGACACGTGCCAAGGAACGACACCTCTTAACAGAAGTAAGCCAGGGGAACGTCCAGGGCCAGGCACACGCGGTTCAACAACGAGACCAGCGAATCAAGTCGGGCAAGACTGAAGTTGATAATTGTAGACGTGGATATTTATTAGGAGGGAACGTAGCAGAGTACTAGATCTTCGTTGAGAAAAGGCACATGCAGGTACCCTCCTCTACCTACTGCCGTCTGTCTTCAACTGTCGCTCTGATGATTACGCGTGGACAGTAAGAGTAATAATACATCGGATACATGTCGTAATTCGTAAAGTGCGTCTGCCGGCTGACAGCTACTCCAACGCCTGTCGTCCTCGGAAATTGCATCCTTCCATATCCCAATGTCTATCCCACCCCCCCGGACACCCGCAAATTTGCTCCTTTATGCGCCCCAACACCTGTTCGCCAGTACTCGAAGACGCGGCACTGTCGACTTGCATATACGGAGTACGAGCAACTTCGGGTCCAGCTCCGGTACCCTCAGTGTCCAGAATACCTAAGTAGGAGTAGGTACTCATGACGCACACGTCTACTCGCGCTCCACCCCATAGAGGCTATCCAACCCCTGTGAAGGCGTCCTGCACCCTCGGCAGGCGCAACGCCTCTTCCGCCTCCCGCGTGCCAGAACACCATGATCCCGAGAGTCGAGACAATACAGAGCTGAGAGCACTGCATCCGCCGTCACTCGGCGTCTAGTCCAATGCTGAGGAACCATAACGACCACTAACGACTTCTCTTGATCTTGTTCGCCGGCTGCTTTCTGCAGTCCGGACACAGCCACTCGCCCAACGGCTCCTCCTTGATCCCCACACACTCCCAGTGGAACCATTGGTACTGGCAGTTGTCGTTGTCGCACGCTACCATGTTGCCAAAACTGACCCGCTGGCAGAAGCAGTACTTGGTGTCGTCTCCCTCGTCCTCTTCCCCCTCTGCCCCTCCCATACCCGTCATCTCCTCGTCCTCGGTGCCTGCCTCGCTGGCCACACTCTCGTCGTCCGCTGTCGTCGAGGGCGATGCCCGGGAGCCACCTTTGCGACGCTTCGTCTTGGTCGAGCCTGCCTTAGCCGCGAGGGCCATCTTCCGTAGTGGTTGCTGCGGTTTCGCCTTCTTCACCGTCAACGCATGTCTCTGGGGTTGCTTGGGTCCCACGCTTCCAGCACGAGACCCAGGAGTTGAAGGTTTCGGCGTTCCTGGTCCCATGGACCCTTGCCGCGCCAGACCCGACGTTGCTGGCGGTGGAAGCGGCCCCAAGCTGCCCGTCGGCCGTCGTCGCTTGCCATCGCTGCCTGTAGACATCTCCCTCTCTTGCCGTGACATGGCCTGCGCTGGAGCTTGCGCCTCGCGAAGCCGTTGTTGATTCAGCACCGCCTGTGTCTGCATGGTCTGTAACGAGGAGGGAAGTCTGCCACTCGCGCCGACTGCGCTGTTCATTCGCGCAATCGCTGCAGCCTGCGCAAGGTTGGCAGGGCCTCCTGGTTGATTTCCAGAGATTGGGTGCAGTGGTGTATTTGCCCCCGTGTTGCTTAGTGATGAAGGAGGCACCATGTTCCCGGGTGAGTCCTTGAGGAGAGACGGGAGTTGAGGGTCTGCCGGGATAGACCCATCATTTTGTAAGTCCCGTAGTTTGATGTCGAGTCGCTTTACGTGACGATCCGTCTACCGCGCATTGCCATGTCAGTCAAGTTGCATGCCATGACGGAGAGGAGGTGTACCTACCAGCATGATGGCTCTCTCAACCAGGCCCACCTTCTCTTCTTGCAGGATCTGAGCGCGTTCATAGCATTGCAGAATGGTCTTGGAATACTGCTCTTCCTTTGGGTTCTGGACGAGCGCACCGTTGAGTTTGATGAACTTCTGAAGGCTGTTATCACGTGACTGTATAATAGCCCGGCATTCGTTAATCTGCTGGTCTTTGGCCTGCGCCTCTTCGTAGAGATGGGTTATCTCTGCAGGTAAGTTTGCGACTGCGAATCGTCAGTTTATATCAGCGAAAGCAGGGGCCTGGCAGTGTGGCGTTACCATCATGGATCCACTGCTCCAGCACGTTTGCTGGGTCTTCCGGGCCAGCCATTGGGTCTGGCTGCAGTGGAAGAGTCGGGCGGTCGTTGAGTGAGTGGGTGGCACCAGTGGAGCAGATGATTGTTGGATGGAAGGCGATAGGAACTCTCAATGAGGCAGTGAAAGCCCGCAAAGCTGGTAAAGGCCGCTTCCCGGTGACTGGACGTCAACCACCTGCGCAGCTCTTTTCTCTCTCGCGTTCCCACAACTCTTGCGTGTTCAACCAAACTGATGCGACAACCTTTGAGCGATCGAACTCTTGTAAGTTGATGATGTATTGTGTAGATCTGGAGACGTTAAGGCGAAGCTAACCCGCGCTGTACTGGCAGCATCGCCACACGCACGTGCTGCTCTCGGCAAGATGTCCAATCGCAGCGTAGAGATGCGCGACCAGGATAAGACGACGACTATCGACGACGAAGACCTTGGAGACTCCTCCGACCTGACCGACGTAGTATCGAGTACTTCAAGAGATCCGCCTCAGAGTCCGCGTACACGGCAGGAGAAGAGCAGTGCAGCCGTTTCCGATGATAGCCCGCATCGCGAGGATTCGACTGTCGAGGTTGGCGGCGAAACAAGCGGGAGCGATTCGATCTTGAGTGAGATAGACACGCTTCCCCGTGACAGGTCCACGAAGGTAAATCACAGCACCTGTTCTCGGATTATGGGACTTAGCTTACACCGGACCACCAATACAAGACACCTGGTCCTGACCATCACGAAAAAGCTTATCAACCAGAGGGGAAGGGAAAAGGCAGAGCGACTTATCCGTCGGGACCCAAAGGAAAAGGCAAAGACACGAGCTTTTGCGCAGCGGAAGGGACCAGCGTGCATTACTTTGCGAAGCCTTTCGTTCCTACGCGGGAGGACATCCAGAAGTGGATTGATCGGGGCCCTCTTCGCCCTTTCCGCCCCGGAGAGACACTACCAACGCAAGCGTTTGCGATGCCGGGGCCCCAGGCCTTTACATCGTCGACACGGCCCGCTTGCGTTGTCCAGGACTATTATGACCCAAACGATAAATTCCAAGGAGACTACTCTGTCTTCAAGACGCTAAGCGATGCCCAGAAGGTCGATATCATTGCGCGAGAAGCAGAGGAGTATGGCATAGAAAAGCCGCGAGGCTACAATGTGTCGTTCCATTACAACCCCCATGTCGAGTACCACCACTTTGGAAGCTCTCATCCTATGAAACCCTGGAGGTTGACATTAACTAAGCAGCTGGTGATTGCTTATGGGTTGGAGTACGCCATGGACCTCTATGAACCGCGACCAGCGAGCAAAGACGAGCTCGCCATCTTCCACGACCGAGAGTATCTATCCTTCCTTGAAGCGTAAGCCTCGATCCCCTTTACCAGCTGTCTTCGGCTAACCGCTCAGAATCACTCCCCAAAACATGAAGCATCACGACGAAGGCATGAAAGCTTACGGATTCGGCGGCGAATCTAATGACTGTCCCGTCTTCGAAGGACTGTGGAACTACGTCTCATTATACAGCGGAGCCTCCATGCACGCAGCACAGAATTTGCTTAATAACCAGTCTGATATCGCCATCAACTGGTCCGGTGGCCTGCACCACGCCAAGAAGAAGGAAGCCTCCGGCTTCTGCTACATCAACGACATCGTCCTCGCCATCCAGCACCTCCTTACCCAGCACCAACGGGTCCTGTACATCGATATCGATGTCCACCACGGCGACGGCGTCGAACAAGCCTTCGAATCGTCGGACCGCGTCTTCACCCTCTCCTACCACAAGCACGGCTTCGACCGCCATTACGGCTACCAGTTCTTTCCCGGCACAGGCGACATCCACGAAATGGGTCCCACGGACCCAACTAACCCGGGCAAAGGCCACGCCCTCAATATCCCCATCGACGATGGCATCGACGACGACCAATACAAATGGCTCTTCAAAACAATCACCGACGCCGTAGTCGAAAAGTACCGGCCCACAGCCATCGTCCTCCAATCAGGCGCCGACTCTCTCGGTGGCGACCGCCTGGGTCGCTTCAACCTGAATATCAAAGCGCACGGCTTCTGCGTGGAAACCGTCAAGAACTACGGTCGGCCCATGCTCCTCATAGGTGGAGGAGGATACACGCCCCGCAACGTCGCCCGGACCTGGTGTCACGAGACCGCCGTCTGCGTCGGCGCATCCCTACACAACGACCTCCCAACGCACATTCCCTACATCCAAGCATTCCAAGGCGAAGAAAACGGCGGCGGCATCTTGTACCCGGAGCTGCACAACCGGTCTCGGCACGACAATCTCAACACTGCCAAAGCGCTGCAGACGCTGGTGCAGAGGGCGATGGAGAATCTGAGGTATTTGGAAGGGGCGCCGTCTGTGGTTGTGAATACGCAGGGGATTAGCATGGAGCAGCTGATGAGGATTCGGGAGGAGATTGATAGGGAGATTGAGGAGGAGAGGCAGGATAAGATGCACGCCAGTGTGGAGAAGATGAGGAGGTCAAAGGAAAGGAACACGGGGGGGAGGGGCGAGAGAGGCTTGAAGTGATAGAAGATAGTGAAGAAATGGTGGAGGAACGAGGCTGTGAGTGTGGAAAGCTCGCATGACGTCTGGGATGCATTATTTCTGAAGAGATTATTCTATGAACCTGTATTGATTACAACTTCCAGAGGGTTTGAATGACATCCTCTCGACTTTCAAGTGCATAATGTTACTCAGGATTAGGTTCCATCTCATTGATTGAGAATTTAGAGTAAGGCAGCATATCGGTCACTGCCTATCATCGTAGTCATTGGATCAGCAGCTACCGTGAAAGACCTCATCAGCGGCCAACCGTTGAAGTACAACTGACTAGTCACTTTAGAATCTATGGAACGGATTTACCTATTTGGGCTAGCTGTCTGTCTAATATGGGCGTGGTGGCTGCTAAGATAATGCATACAGTAGAGTGTCAGACTTACCAGTGCACACCATGAGTGGCTCTTGGCGGCTGATCGAGCTAATTCGTCGACGGTATTAGAGTAGTACTGAGGGTAGGGAACGCTGAAAAGTGACAAGGTGGAAAATATGACTTGGTCTGAGGCATGGGAGTTTCTCAATCGAGTCCCTGTTGTGCGCTAAAACTAGGTATACCCCTTAGTATATTACTAATGCTCGATTACACTGCTATACATTCCCAACTCACACCCCTTTGCACTTGTAAATCGCATTTATATAGTGCTGGATAGGCACCCTAATCTCTAATATTCACCAGCCCACTCCACCGATCGCTTTGCAAGTGTTGAAGAAAGAGAAGGAAAAACGTATAAGCCGCCACCTCTTCGTGCCTAGTTGAGATTCGTATAGAATATCTTCATGGTTCGTTAAAATGGACTCCAATCATGCCATTTCTCCTCATCTCTCCAACCTTCAGTGTTCTAAAAAGGGGTGCGGAAACCACACAAAGCCATTCAGTCGTATATAGGGAGAAGAGATCCGCTGTACCACACGCATTCACACTTCCGCCCCAGAGGAGAAATATGCCTCTTACGCCAACGGAAAAGGGAAAAATAGCAGATGAGTAATAGATTCCAAACCGCACCGGAAATGGTTTCATGTACCGCTGATGACGGAGAATGACTATGCGAGATGGGAAAAGAGAAAAGCTTACGACTCCGCATCATGAAACTCATCCTCACTCCTCGTCTCCGAGTCTACTCGTTTCAGCGCGTCTCCTCCCTGTACCGGTTCGTCGTGCTTGTTTTTGTGCAGAAGTTTGGAAGGCGGAATCGCTTTCAGGAGCTCTTCATGCCGTAAGCTGAGGTTGTGTGGTTCAGGTGTGGCGGTGTCCGAAGATGATGGGTGAGCGGCGGGATGGGTCGAGCCCTCTATTGTGACTGGTGCTGCTGCCGCTGTGTTGTGCGCTGGGGTGTGCTGTGAGGGTTGTTGCTGCGGGTCTGGACCTACATGATGTGTGTCCCTTATGCTCTCGAGACTGGCACGAGAGCGCGCGATGCTGCTTCTTCGCGAAGGAATATTGAATTGATGGCGAGGAGGCGCCTGCCCCGGCAGTATAGCCGCGATGTGCAGGATCTGCTTGATCTGCTCTTGGGGAGTTTTGCCATCACTATAGGCCTGTCAGCTGATTCCACTGCTACCAGACATATGGCCGTCATACATCTTAGCGTTGATGATCCAGTCAAGATCCTCCTCGCCTTCCTCGGTCCCGCCATGACCACCATGCACTGGCCTGAACAGGCTGGGATGCCAGTCCACGTCGTCCTGGGCTCGCTTCGCGGCTTCCTCCCGTTGCCGGTCCTCGATTCGTGCCTTCGCCTCGGTTGCTACTTCCTGGTCCTTTCGTTTAACGGCCTCTGTTACTTCATGCCATAGTCGTTGCGATTCTCGTTCACCCTGCTCTTCGAGCGGTCGGGTTTTGGGAGGCGTGTGTTTCGCATGCGTAGCATCGAATAACAGTTCTTTTTTACCAGTCTGACATGATCAGCGCCTTCACGGTGTTACTACTGCTGTGATAACTTACCGTGAGATTCTTGATGTACATCGCGGCGTTCCAATGGCCTAACCTAGGTCAGTGGTTTCAACAAAGATATGAAACGTGGTTGTGGTCTACCGGAAAGCTCAAACAGATTCGTATCTGTCTTGGTATCCTTGATGAAGCCGCCGATTGCGTTATATCCGCCGCTGACCCATCCTTTCGTCTTGAACTCCAGATCCGCCGCCAAACCAGACTCTGGACACCGGACGAAGCTGTGGTCGCCGAGCTCATATTTCATCTTACCAAACAGTATGCCTCGCGCGTACATGTTCGGCTGGGTAATAAAGCTAAAGGAATCGTCAGAGGAGCAACAGAGCAAGCGGCCAGAGTAGCTCACAAGCGCTCGTTTGTGTTAAGAAACCGCATCACGGCTATGCCTTCCATCATACTGGCCGCCGAGTTCCCCAAGAACTTGCTCCTCGGCTTCAGCGTGCCATCTATCCGGAGGTGATGCTCTGGCGCCATGAAGAAATAGCTCGATTTCGGAGGGTGGTGTGACGTCTGCTCGGCGATATAGTAACCCCTGGTACCGTCCTCGTAGTCCCAGTAGCAGGTGAAGGTTTCTCCCAATATGGGATTTAGCGGTTTCTTGACCCCTCTAATACACGGTCAGCTCGAGCCTCCAGCCTACAGGTTCCTCGGCATTGCATACGGTGGTTTGATGTGCCAACCACTAAGATAGAACTTCACTACGGCAACAAACCGCTCAACAGGGTCCTCTATCTTCGTCATAGGCAGCAGGGTCTCCGGGTGGGCCATGAAGCTACACGCACATCAGCATCCCGTCCGGAGCTATTTCATATAAACCAACACACTTTGTGATCCTCTCCAACATCGAGCGCGGTTCGAGAATGAAGGTAGGTAGCGTCACCCGGCTTAGGTCTGCGCCCGGCCGTAGCTGTGATATAATGTGCATGAGCACTGTTTCGAGATCCATGGTCAGCAAATTGTTCCACTTCAGCAAGCCAGCCTGAGGAATGCTGGTCCGAGAGACATACTGCTGCCCTGCTCCGAGTCCACGACCGTCTCATCCTCCTTTGTAACATCGTCGCCGCGGAGCTCCTCGCCCGAAGATCGGTTGCCTAAAGAGCCGGAAGCCAGTGTTAACTCTTGCATTTCAGGTAGACCCGAAGGAATGACGCACTGCCGGTTTGCGAGCGCCGCCTGTGGTGTGTGTGGCCCAGCACCATGCTGCAAAGCGCCTGCTCAAGAATATACTCTAATGAGAAGGAGGGTCCTGGGCTCAGCGGAGGTAAACAAAACCACAGAATATTCACAGGCGCAGAAACTAAGAGAGGTTTAGGTTGACGATGGAGCCACGGCCCAAGCGATGACGGAAGGCCTGGGCTGGCTGACCGCGGGGAAGGGAAAAAAATCCCCGCCCTACCTATAAGAGCCCCGCCGCCCGCACCGTCGTCCGACTGCTCAGGTGGATCCCGTCGTGAATGTCCGCGGACCACGTGTCGGAGCTTAATGGGAGGAGATCAATTGCACTTGGCAGTAGGATAAGTGTACATTTATGGATGAGGCTGTAGATTGATAGTCATGGGTATGTTGGTGACGAACGCTGTCACCGGGTATCATAGCTTTAACTCCGCCTCAACAGCTTTCTTTCCACCCTCGGGCGGCGCGAAAGAGATTCAACAGCTTTTCACAGGGTTAATAACCTTCACGGATGCAGTCCCTACCTATGCGACTCGGTCGACGTCCTTTATGCGCTGGAAGGCGTCATCCTTGCCAATCACACGGATTCCCATCTCCTCATACACCTTGTACACCTCTGGCAACGACGACGGATCGACTGCACGCGTCGCGTCCCCTACCACCCATGTGTTGAAACCGTGTTTGCGCGCATCGACAGCCGTGTACTTGACGCAGTAGTCCGCAGCAAGGCCCACTATGTACACGTCTGTAACACCTGCATCATGCAATATCGGTGCCAGTTCACTGCGAGAGACCGTGGGGCTCAGGAAAGGGTCCGCAAATGCAGAGTACATCTCTACCCGTTTATCCTGTCCCTTTTCTATAATGTGATCAAACTTGGACGTATCCAGCTCTGGGATAAGTTCGGCCCCCTTGGTCCCTCGAACACAGTGATCGGGCCACAATCGTGTTTCCTCGACCTCCTCGGCATTGAGCGGATTCTTGATCGTAATCACTGAAATGAACGGGACATTATTCGGAGGCTCATGATTCGATGCGAACGAGATGTGATCGGGCGGATGGTAGTCCTTTGTAGCCACTTTGGCGTGGAAAGGCAGGGTCAGGAGGTCGTTGACGAGCGGTACAATGTCGCGGCCACCTTGGACAGCGAGAGCCCCATCCTAGCAGTTTGTCAGTGATAAGCCTTTCGTCGGCACCCAAGGCCACTTACTGGAGGGCAAAAGTCCTCCTGGAGATCCACCACAATCAACGCCGGCTTGAAAAGCATTCTGGAGTGAATGAACACACCCCAATGCGGGATTGTGAACGGCTATTCACATAGGTGACACTGGTAGTGGTGAATTGGGTGAAGGAAATAGCTTGAGGATAGAGTCACCGTCACCTGACCACGGGGTGCCTGCCCAGGTGCCCAGGTGGTCCGCCCGGCCCAACTCCGGGAAGTGCCGCAGCTGGCAGAAAGCTAGCGCGCCAAGCTTTCATGATTCCAACGACAACCTCGTTCCACCTTCAGAGCTCCAACTACCACCCCACCCGCCCCCGTCTCCGCTCCCTCCCAAGGCCAATTGCCTCCGCAATGTTCCTTCAACGCTCTGCCGTAGCTGCTGTGAGGCGTGCGGCCCCTCGCGCCGCGGCCCGACGCACCTTCGTCAGCTCCATTGTGCGCCGTAGGTCGCGATCCAGGACCATCATACGATCATATAGTAACCTCTCCCAGGCGACGCAAGCAAGGAGAACCCTCCCTCATCGGGCCCTCGTAGCCTTCTCGAGGGATATAAGAAGCTCGAGGGTACGTACAATGACGCAATTGGCTTCCGCCGGGATGTCGAGCATTCGACAAAAGCGCTTCTTCTTCAAACCAGGTCAATCGCTAACGAAACTGCACCGGCAGATATCAAGACCACTGAGGACCTTCTTCCTCCTGGTGCGAAACCCGGAACCGTCCCCACCGATCTGGAGCAGGCCACTGGCTTGGAGCGTCTCGAAATCCTGGGAAAGATGCAGGGCATCGACGTCTTCGACATGAAGCCATTGGACTCCAGCCGTGTCGGTACGTCGCATTAGTTGGCGGGCTAGCTTGGGAGCTAGAATGGCATGAGACAATCGGTAGTTGACTCTTTATAGGTACCCTTGAAGATCCCATTGTGGTGAACTCGGCCGGCGAGGAGCAGTACGTTGGTTGCACTGGGTGCCCTGCTGATTCTCACCAAGTTCTCTGGATCACTGTAAGCTACTAGAGAGGGATATGGGGGGGCATGTGAAACTGAGTGTCTATAGTTGACGCGTGAGGAGCCCGTCGCGCGTTGCATGGAATGCGGATCTGCATACAAGATGCACTACATCGGCCCTCCGGATGACCCGCATGCGCACCACGCCGGTAAGCTCAAGGGGGTTACTTGGTTGATGGCCTCTGTTGCTAATGGACTCGCAGAGAACGCCTACCCCAGGCCCAAGAATATGGCCGACTTCATCAAGCCAGAGTATGCTAACTTGTAGACATTGGGATGATCACTACGGTGGCCATGTATCGATACGGTCTAGCAGAGCAATTTCAGCCCTTTGGATGTAGAATAGTCAGAATGGGGTTCGTTCATTTGTCATTTACTTTTTTCTTTTTGTTTTATCTTGTGACGTTTGGATGCTAATCGTCTTTCCACTTGGTGCAAGTGAAGAGTTGTCATGAGCCTTTAATGGTCATGAGGCCCAGAATGACGGCTTGGGCGTGTTCCAAGTTGGTGTTATCAGAGGCGTGTCCATTCTTCCCTAGGAGGTTTGGTGTCTTGTACGTCTCATTCACCTTGTTGGCGTCGGTCCAATTGGTCAACTCGTGGCCGTCGTCTCCAATCTGTACTGATTCACCCTGAACGGCTTCGCCTAGATGGGCTGCTACGGTTTCGGCGGTGATGTCTTGGGACAGAGATAATTTGACTGCTATTAGTGCCGTGGTGGTGTCGCTGATTCCGAATTTCCGGTAAGATTCCCCAATGTTGTTGTTTGGATGCAGACGGAAGACCAGTTCTGAGTGGGGAGTGCGGGCTTTGAGTGAGTTGGTGAGGGATCGGTGCACGGCCATGAAGGATGCACTGAGCAGGTGGGTTAATGAGATTATCTAGGTCACCTGAGTTAGCATCGACAGTACCACGATGAGGATGAGTGAAAGATTTTCAGAGGCATAAGATCTTACCATGCTAGCGTCCAGGAAGGCATAGTCGAAGTCTTCATTTGCTTCGAGCAACTGTTTTCGAAGAAAGGCAGCATTGGAGACGTCTCTGAAGAGGGCCACGTGAACGGGATACTGTTCATAGTGTGGTAGGCGATACGTGCGGACGTGCACCATTGTGAAAGCGTCTGTCGAGATTCTGACTCCACGGGCAGCACGATCTTGGAGCAAAAGCAGGGCAGCTACGTCGGAAGAGGATACTGTGCGTTGTATGTCCCAGGACTGGGTGGTTGATGTTTGGTGGTTGTGCAGCAGTGAGGGCTGTAAGGTTCCTCTGACCGTTTTTGGGGAAGCGGGGCTGACGATGTCTACTATGGTAGCACACACAGTATAAGGACTGCCTACCCAGCAGCACAAAGAACCTCGAGTCTGATATGACGACAAGAACGAATCGAATGCTTGCGGAATCCGGGGCTCCTTTCGACCAGACCCAGACCCAAACCTTCAGCAGCGCAGCTGTGGCTATACACATGGCTGGTACTGCCGGTGCTGGGTAGCCAGGCTGGGCTTGGCGGTGAGTGCATGGCTGAACGCGCTCGCCGTGGTAGGGGATGCTGCGTCCTGCTCTCCTCTCCTGAACCTCCCAGATGGCCCATTAAGCTCCCCCAGCCCGATGCGACACTGCACAACCCAATCCCCACGACTGCCACGAGCTGCGACTCTTGCATCTTGAGGTTGCTGTCATCTCAGAGGAGCCATCTTACTTCCCGTACCACCCCCCCTGGCCACCCGAGCGGAGCGCGGAGCGGGTCTTCGCAGCACGCGCGCTCCCGGCATCCTCCACGGCGATTTCCTTCCCACGCCCCAATTCCAACACCATGGCCCCAAAAAGGCCCCCCGATCAAGACTTCCACTTGGAAACGAAGCAGCCGAAGCTGGAGCCAGGCATTGCTGCCGCTCCCTTGAGGCCGCAGCCCTCGCCCGCCTCCGACTATTCTGCGCCCATCAAGAGGAAGCTCCAGAGCTCGAGTCGGACAGGCCAGGCTTGCGATCGCTGCAAGGTACGCGTCTTACTCTCCCCCAACCTGTACGATTCAGCGACCTCACCCCTCTAGTCCTTTCTCATATGCACCACGTCCCTGTGCCTCTGTCAACATCTTGCCAATGCCGCTTCCGTGACTCTCCTCATTGACTTCCTTGCTAATCTCTTCCGCTAGCATCGCAAGATCCGATGCGATCCTAGACCAGAGGGATGCTCGCCGTGCGCGCAGAACAACACCGAATGCACAACTACCGATCGCATCACTGGCCGACCTAGGGCGCGAGGCCAGATTGAAGCCGTCGAAGCGGAGAATCGCCACCTTCGCGCCCAAGTCCACGAGCTCCAGACCCAGCTCAAAGAACTAGGAGCGAACCCCAGACTTCCTCCCAACCATAATGGTTATCAGGAGAGCACGCCCTGGCAGCCACCGCAGCATGGACACGAAGGTACGGCGTGTGACAAAACCAGAAACCGGCGGGAAAGCACGTTGCTACCTGACCCACCCATCGTGCCCTCGAGTCGAGTGGCCGGCACCGAGAACCGACCCTTACCTTACTTCAAGCCGCATCGCGTTGGCGATAATTACCTCGGCGTGTCGTCTACCAATTCCCTCGTGAGCCACATCAAGGGCACCTCCCTGTCGATATTTGGCACCGAAATAGACATCACCGACCTTGTCCAAGGCGAAGAGGACTACGAGACTTCTGTCATGTCATATGACCATTTCCTGCGTGTTATCCTGCGAGAAGATACGGATATTGAGGCGGTGCCTATGCCCCAGTATGAGAAGCTGAGAAAATATGCTGAACTGTATATGAGGACGTTGAACCCGTATACCATGCTGCTCGATAAACGTACTTTCATGGCTCTGGTGCGTACCGTGATCGGAATCCACATGTTCAGAGCTGACCCTGGCCAGATTGATCGTATAGGAACCGACCCAAGCTTTGAACCATCTCCCACGGAACTGGTATGCGTGCACATGATGATGGCGACTCTAGAGTACCAACTCGCAGCACGAAACGTGGACGGTGGCGGGCAGTCTTTTGCCCAAGCCCATAAGCATTATCGCTATTCTCTGAGTTTCTTCAATCACCTGTTGCATGGTCATACCTGGCAAGACATCCAGGCATTGTCCATGATTTGCCACTACATGCGCAACTTCCCAAAACCGGGTGCGGCTTGGCTCATTCTTTCTACTACCTTTTTGCTCGCAATCGAACTGGGTTTCCATCGGTCGACAAAAGCGTGGGAAGACTCGGGCGAAAGGGATCCCCTCGAGATTGAAATGCGGAAACGCATCTTCTGGGCGCTTCACGCCATGGCGAGCAATCTCTCCGGGAAGCTAGGGCGGCCAATGCCAATCAATATTGAAGATATCGACGTCGAATTTCCGGAGCCTGTGGACGACTATCTGCCCGACGAACAGGTATCTTCCGATTTCCAGAAATGCTCGTTTCATGTAGGAATTCACACAGTAAAGCATGCTGTGGTCGGTTCATCGCTCTTCCGCAGTGTCTACGGCGTCAAACAATCCCCACGTGATTACGAGGATGCAGTACGTCGCCTAGAACGTGAGATCCAACAGTGGAGGGCAAATATTCCAGCTGAGCTTGCGGACCCTTCGGGTGCCTACAACGAGAACCACATCTTCGCTCTGTATCTGGAATACTGGTACTTGGAGTTTCAACTCTTGCTCTACCATCCTGCCGTCTGCCGGTCCACGGACCCCGGCTTTCTCAAATCCAACCTTGACAAGTGTCTCGAGGTAACGCAAAAGATGGTGCACACTTGCGCAGCTATCATCAGATACAAGAGTCTGGACATCACTTGGATTCATGTTGTGGTATATATCGCGGCATTGTCGACGCAGCTGTTCGTGTACGAGAAGAGAAAGGATCAGATGACCCGGGAGGATATGGACAAGCTGAAACGTGACATGGGCCAGTGGATGCATGTCATGGGCACCTGTGGCAAGTATCTGAGTAAGTTTGCAAGCGTTCCCCCTCTTGGATATGGCTGACGTTGTACAGGGACCGGCGACAAACTACGCCTCGCTGTTCAGGCAATTGTCGCAAAATCGCTAAGGGAGATCAGTGACAGTATCGCTACCCGCACTGCGAGAGAATCGTTAGCGCAAGTCGCCCTGCAAGCTCCCCCAGAACAGCCAACCCGCACGGCATACGGAGAAGGAAACGGAAACGGAAACGGAAACGGCGGCGCAAGCGGAAATGTCAACGGTAACGCTTACGCGCAGTATCAGAACACGGATGCTGTCAGTGCAGGCGGTGATAGCTCGGGTGCCACGGCGGTTGCGGCATATGGCGGGTCAGCCGCCAATCTGACCTATGGGTACAACAATGGAATTCCCCCCACGATCCCCTCCGAGTTCCAACAAAACTACACAGCTAATCAGCAGGCGTACGGTGCTAACGAACACGCTGGCATGGCAGCCTCACATGCCGCAGCTTTAGCAGCCGCAGCCACGCAACAATCGAACGAGCGCTATGCATATCCTCATCAGACCCAAAACCCCCCTAACGTCTATCAGGCCCAATACAACACCATGTTGGCCACTCCCAGCGACTGGGCAATGTGGTCACGAACCACTGTCCAGCAGCAGTTTGCACCGCCGTACGACTACACCACTACAGCGGCGACGCTGCTACCCCAGACCGCCGGGCAAGATGGAAGCGCTGCGGGTGGCGGTGGGGGATCGGTCCTACAGGGTCAGGGCATCGATTTCCAGAGTATGCGGTGGCCAAACCTGGTTCTCAGCATGAGCAACATGAGGGGAGCTCATGGTGCCAATGGCCACGTTGGCTAGAATGCACGAGCCGTTGGAATGGGCTACCAAAGCGAGCCCCTTCATTCAATTTCCCTGTTGTTACAATGTTTCTTCCAAAAGTACTTCTGGTGTATCCTAAAATCCGCGCACGGTTTTACAGTCGGGATCCGGTGCACTCTTGGGCGACTTTTCCTTCTTCTGATCTCATGATTCTGTTGTTCGGATATACCAGGACTTTTTTGTTGTGCTATGCAAAGGAAAAAGGCATGGAGTTCTGGACAGGACGCTAAGTCCCGGTTTTTAATATGGAAGATTGCGCAGACGGGAAGGGCAATAATCTGTCGCCTCAGGCGAGAACAAACGACCCTGGCCTTACTAACCAACGAACGGCATCTCGGTGCCGGCCAGGGTCGCTGGTACAATACGATTCGTAGGATATATGATATATTCTAAGATTAGAAATTTGGAGATCTGGCTTGCTGGGCCTCTGGTCTCCACGAGACAGGTGGTTGTTATTGTTTTGTGGCGATGAGTGCACATGGGATTTCTGGTATTCACGATTGCTTTTGCGACAGTTGTGAGGATAGCATCTGTGTCCACTTAATCTATGGAGCGACGTCGTATGAAGCTCCAGCTAAGCCGGATTTGGCAGGCGACCTAAGCGTTGTCAAGCGTCTGGGCAGGGACTGGAAGGACCTCGGGACAACGTCTCACAATGGGAAACACGATGCCAGCTTCCAGTACCTAGTCGTCGGCGGACCTCCTCTTACAACGTCCGGGACTGACCCATGGTGCCTATCTATGGGGCGACTGACCTGCTGGTCCAGGCTTAGCCTCGTCGCAGTGACCAAGCTCTGTGGGCTTGCTATGGAGGGACCAGGGGATTACATAGTGATACCCTGCCCCTTTGATATGGCGGGGTCTGGGGATCCTGGGAGACGTTACTAGGTAAGTAAGTAGGTAGGTAAGTGGGAGGCGAGGACTTCATATAAAGATGGTTCAAGCCGCGGGTCTCGAGGAGAGGTTGTGCGGTCCTGTCGTCCCTCTCTTTCGTGTCACGGTTGTCGTCGTCGCGGTGTCGAGGCGGTCTTTTCGGCGCGCAACACGGCTCTTTCTAATTGTCACTCTGTCAATTGAAAGACAGTTTCAGTCCTTGTTTTCATCTCCTGTCATTTTCTGTCCGCATATCCACCCGCACCATGAGAACCTGTGTAACAGGCTGGGCCCTCGCCCTCGCCTGCCTCCAAGTCGCATCCGCCCTCAACGGCGCCATAACGCGAAAACTCGTCGAAATGGCCGACATGGGCCTCTACCCAGACGGCACGCCCATGGAGGGCGTTGATTCCGACACCATGATGACCACTTTCACCACCGATCCCCCCTTTCCTCCCCCACCACCAACAGACGACATCGAGCCCGAGTACATCGAGCTGCCCCTGGACAATTTTGCCAAAAGCAAGAACCAGGACTACAGCTACTATGGGACTTTTTACAATCGGTACTGGGTCAATGATGCGAGCTATAAGCCGGGCGGGCCGGTTTTCATCTACGATGCGGGCGAGGCGGATGCGAGCACGAATGCGCAGAATCGGTTGAGGAACTCGAGTAGTTTTTTCAAGAGGTTGGTGGATAAGTATCAGGGGATTGGCATTGTGTGGGAGCATCGCTATTGTATGTTTCGCCCCTTGAGGTTGGAGGGATCCTGTGCTGACGAATTGTTCAGATGGGAATTCCACTCCGGAACCGATCAATGTGAATACGCCACCCGAGGCGTTCAAGTGGCTGAATACCGAGCAGTCACTCGCGGATGTGGACAGATTTGCGTGGCAATTCAAGAGAAAAGATATCTCGTACGATCTCACTCCCAAGACCACGCCGTGGATCTTCGTTGGGGGAAGTTACCCCGGCATGAGAGCCGCATTCATGCGTGACAAATACCCCGACACCATTTACGCTGGATATGCGTCGTCCGCGCCTACGCAGGCACAGATCGACATGTCGGTGTACTTTGAGCCTGTCTGGGATGGCATGCAGGCATATGGATACGGAAATTGCTCCAGAGACATCAACGCCGCGGTTCGGTATATTGACAATATGTTGGAGAAGCCCGTCACGGCTGCCAAAATCAAGGAGCAGTTCCTCGGCCTTGGTGCGGCCGACAATTCGCACGCTACGTTTGCGGATGCGTTGGGCACCATCTTCTACACCTGGCAAGCGTACGGCCCAGACGGTGGAAAGCAGGGCATTGGTGCCTTTTGCGATTGGATCGAGAGGGACCCCAAGACGAACCGGACGGCTGGTCGCGAGGGATGGGCGACGAGTAAAGGTGCGGCTTGGACGGTTGCACGCTGGGCGGCGTGGGATCAGTTCGTGCCGATGGTGAATGACTTTATGACGACGGATTGCTCCGGTAGTCAGACTGTGAAGGGGAACTGTAATCTCGATTTGAAGTTTGGGGATCCGGCTATGATTTCTTGGACGTGGCAGTACTGCACACAGTGGGGTGGGTCGCTCCAACGTCAAGTTCTCCTTATCCCTGTTTATCCTATTTACTGGGAAATCAAGAAGAGAAAGCGACTAACACCCTCCGCAGGCTACTTCCAATCCGCCAATCTCGGCCCTCACCAACTCCTCTCCAAACACAACTCCCTCAACCACCAAAAAGACATCTGCCACCGCCAATTCCCCGACGCCAACTTCCGCGACCACGGATTCCCGGACTGGCCCGACGTCCGCCGCACCAACCGCATCTTCGGCGGCTGGTCCCTCCGCCCCAGCAACGTCTACTGGTCCGGCGGCCAATTCGATCCCTGGCGCACCCTCTCGCCCCTCTCCGGTGAAGGAAATGCTCCCCCTGTGAGACCTTTCTCGTCAAGGCCCCCAAGGTGTGGGGAGGGACAGGACCAGAGCAGTATCTTCGGTTACGTGATTGAGCGGGCGCAGCATTGCTATGATTTTAGGACCACGAAGGGGACGCCGAAGGGAGCGGAGGTGAGTCGGGCGAATTTTGAGAGGGCGTTGGATGGGTGGTTGGGCTGTTGGAAGCCTAGGAGGGATAGTCGTGGGCCTGGGGGAAGGGGGAGGCAGTGGTGGAGGGACTGATGAGAGAGGAGGAGATGTGACGGCTGATATTCTCTCTTCTGTATTTGCATAATAAGGGATTTGGGTAGATGGGTAAATGATACCACTTTGTTCACTGCTTTTCTCTCCATGCTTTCAATGTTGAGCTCCCGTAAAAGAAGGATTTGAAGTCAGGAAGGCCTCAGCACGAATACCCAATGACATCCACAATCACCAGATCCCTTCCCGCATTTCCTGCATCTTTTCACGTCTGACTGAACATCCGGCTGCAATTCCTCTGTAGGTAGAATTACCTACCCGGCACAAGTCAACTGGCTACGACTTAATAATGCGACAGGTAGAATTTTCTTTTTAAACATACTACTATACGTATACGTAGAGGCGCGCTACGAAGCTAATTGCAGGACCTCCTATATTGCTGCGCCTGCTAGCTGTTTAAATTGGATGTGGAAAACAGCAGTACAGAGGAAGTGCAGGGGGGTGTTCAGGTCGGATGTGAACAGAGGCAGCAGAGGAGCCTTTCACAATCTCCCTCTTCTCCAAGCTTGTCACCTCTACAGCGCACGTGATATCCCGTCGTGTTCGGGCGTTGCCCTGACAACCACCCCTGCCCCCCGCGCTTGGCCCTCTCCCAACCTACACAGTACAGCGCTCAAACAACAGAATAGACCACACCAGCGACAACCCTCAACCACCGCCGGACACCTCCCCTTTCCTTCTCCACGCTCGCTCGCAGGCCGGATTTCGAGAAAGACTCTCGTCAGAACGCCTGCGTTTCCTCTTCTTCTTCTCGTTTTGCTTCTTGCTGCCGACGCTTGTTGGACCACCCGGATCTTCTTGACACTCATCGTCTTTTGCCCTTGGACTACATACTCATTAACGCCGTTTCTACCACCCCTTCCGAGCACATTTTGATTTCCCCCGCGCGGAGGCGCAATGGCAGCCGATGGAGCGTCCTCCATAAGCGTCACCGTACGAGTACGGCCCTTCACAATCCGCGAAGCAGCCCAGCTCCAGAAATGCGACGATCAGACACTGTTTCTCGGGGACGGGTCTCTGGCGGGGACGCCAGCGCCGAAGCTCCACCAAAAGGGCATTCGACCCGTTATCAAAGTCATTGATGAGAAGTGCTTGTACGTGCGGCTCGTCTACCCCGTCTGATTCTGTTTGCTGATACAGCGCTAGAGTATTCGATCCTCCCGAGGATAACCCCGTTCAGAGATTTTCGCGATCAGTAGTCCCCCAGGGCAAGCGCACGAAGGATCAGACGTTCGCGTTTGACCGCGTCTTCGATGAGAATACCACGCAGACGGATGTGTATGAAGCTACGACCAAAGGCCTGCTCGACAGTGTTCTGGAGGGGTACAATGCTACAGTGTTTGCATATGGCGCGACGGGGTGCGGCAAGACTCATACAATCACGTACGTTTGGCGGCTGGGCCATGATAATTGGTATACGTCTGACATGTGTTTAGGGGAACGGCACAAGCTCCCGGTATCATCTTTCTTACCATGCAGGAATTGTTCGAGCGGATCAATGACATGCAAGAAGAGAAAGTGACGGAGGTCACGCTGTCTTACCTGGAGATCTACAATGAGACAATCCGCGACCTCTTGGTCGAGGGTGGGAGCAAGCAGCCGCTTATGCTGCGCGAGGATGCAAACCAAGCCGTATCAGTGGCGGGCCTGTCCAGCCACCGCCCGCAGAATGTACGTTGGTCTAGAGGTAGACGTAGACGTATACTTATCCAGTGCAGGTCGCAGAAGTCATGGACATGATTATCCGTGGCAACGAATACCGTACCATGTCTCCTACAGAGGCCAACGCAACTTCGTCGCGATCACACGCCGTCCTCCAGATCAACGTCGCATCTCGGGATCGGAATGCCTCTGTTAACGAGCCGCATACAATGGCCACGCTAAGTATCATCGATTTGGCCGGTAGCGAGCGAGCCAGTGCCACGAAGAATCGCGGAGAGCGCTTGATCGAAGGTGCCAATATCAACAAGTCACTGCTCGCGCTCGGCAGCTGTATCAACGCATTGTGCGACCCGAGGAAGCGGAATCACGTCCCGTACCGGAACTCGAAGCTCACGCGTCTTCTGAAGTTCTCTTTAGGAGGGAACTGTAAGACCGTGATGATAGTTTGCGTCAGCCCGTCGAGCGCACACTATGATGAGACCCAGAATACCTTGCGCTATGCCAATCGTGCGAAGAACATACAGACCAAGGTCACGAAAAATGTCTTCAACGTGAATCGACATGTGAAGGACTACCTTAAGAAGATCGACGAGCAGAGGCAGTTGATTGACGAGCTGATGAAGAAGCAGAAGGACTTTGAGGGAAGCGCATTCGCGAAGTTCCAGAAGCAGAGCGACAAGAGGGAGGGTATTCTGCGGGACGCCATTCAGAGGTTGCGGTCGGCTTACAACGAGTCCGCGAACGAGCGCAACGACAGGATGCGAATAATGAAGACGTTGAGGCAGGCAGAGAAGCGGATTTCCCTCATTTCGTCTTGGATCGCTGCGTTCGACAATATTGTTGAGATGCGCGAGGGTGAAGAGATTCCGGAAGTTCTGCAAAAGATGAGGCAGGAAGCCGTTGGTGTGTCGGCCGAACTGGAACAGACGCGCCAGCATTGTCATAGGAAGATAGAGAAGACCTACTGGACCACCAAGTTGGACACCGCGCTCAAGATCGGATTGGGCCAGCTAAAAGACATAGAAAGCTCGGAAGATGGCCATGACGCAGGTAATCTTCGGAGGGAGTACGAGCTCTTGAAGTCATTGGCGGACCAGCAAGCGTACCATGAGCTACTGGAGCAAGAGAAGGGCGGAGACGCGGCTATAGTCCAAGTTCTTTTGCAGGCGCATTTCGAGACAGTGACCATTCTTAGCCAGATCACAATGATGGACGAGCAGGAAGCGGTTCAGGTGGCACGGAAGATCCTCACGAAACTTATCAACTCCTGCAACAGTGCGACTGCGCAGGCCATTCGCCCGGATGGCAGCCTTCCAGTCACGGAATTCTTCCCACCAACGCACAAAGGCACGCCGAAACGGAGGAAGCCCGTTCATATTGCAGATCCTTCCCCGGTGCGACCACTGGCCTTCGCAGCCCCTTTACCAGGTGCCGTTGACGCAGCCCTCCCAAGGGATTCCCCAGTGAAGGCCTCCCCGCGTCGTCGAAAGATGGGTGGAGTAAGGAAAGGCGTCAATGTCCAATTTACGCCAAAGAAGAAGACTCCATCCAAAGCCAAGCGCGGAGTGAGGTGGCGAGACGAAAATGAGAATGGCATTCTGGCAGAGTTCAAGACTCCAGAACAGGTGGTTTCCACGCCAACGGCTTCTTCCGTAGAACTTCCGCCGGTACCACAGTCGATCGCCGTTCCCGCGACGGAGCCGCATAACAACTCTTCACCGATTCCAACGCCTCCGAAAACGTCGATGGACCTGAAGCCACGATCGAGCCGCTTCCAAGCTGGTTTCCTGCTGAAAAAAGCAGATGGGTCACCGAACCCGCCTGTGATGCACACGTTCTCCTCAGATTCCGAGCGCTCTCCGCTCTCCCCTTTGCGGGAGGTGGAGACCAACATGCTCCGCCCCTCAGCATTGAGTCGTATTGAGAACGCCGACGCCCAATCATCTAGCTCCGAAGATGAGAGGATGTCGGTGGACTCCAACGACGCTCGCAAAATCGGCTCCATCATGAAACGGCGCTCGTCCGCGAACCAAGCGAACATTGCAGCCATCAACCGCGCCCACCGTCGTCGCAGTCCAACGGCAACGAGCTCCCCGCCCAACGAGAACGCAATGTTCTCTGCCAGCGCGGCACGCCGTATGGTCAAGAGCGAGCGCGACGGGGAGTGGAAGAACAGCGTTCTGAGCCCCAGGTCCGCGCCAATTCTGAAGGGGGCGGCGAGGAGGACGACGATGACAGGGGCTGGGGGAGATGGGTCGGTTCTCAAGAGGGAGCCCGTTCGGGTGGCTAGTGGTGGCTCGAGAGGGAGCCTTATGGGGAACGCGAAGAGCGTGTGGCGGTGAGTGTCACTAGGTTCGTTTCCCAGTGTTGAGCTGCGGCTTTTCTTTCAAGACCTACGGCGTGTCTCTAAGGTTGCATATCTCCGGGCGCGTGCCTGGAGTGGAAAAGGTGTTTTCGGATTGTGTGGTCTTCATCCTCAACAGCATCATCGTCATTGTCATAACTATTTCTTTTGTGGAACGGCCGACCGACTTCTCGGAAATCTCCTTTACTCCTTTCTCGTCCTAATGGCTGGCGTTTTGGATTGGGGGGGAGGTGCATATTGGAGCTTTTCCTTTCTGTCCAGTTTTTCTTCTGCGATTCTTGCAGGTTGAGTGCTTGCTGTGTTAATAGGGAGGTAGTTGAAAGACCTAAGCGACGGAGGATGTGTATCCTTCCTCCATTTTCACATTCATCGGGTTTGTGAGCTTTGTGAGCTTTGTGATTTGATGATGGTGGTGATCAATGTCCACTGGCACCTGTCTCAGGCTGTCCTAGCGCAGATACAGATTCAAGGCAGGTGGTTCTCCCTGTAAAGTTGGAAGAACAGGTGGGTATGGAGATTTGATCTCGTCCGTTTCTCCTGTAGAATGTACACAGTAGGCCTCGGTTTCTTCTCTAGGGCTTCTGGAGCTTAGGCATGAGGGGCAGAGTCTCCCAACAGACCTGCCCCTCTCTGTTAAGGATCTCTTGATGGCGTCATCCAGCCCGGAGTCGTTGGTGTCGTCGGTGATTGCACATTTTGGTCGGCTAATTCCTGTGATAGTACTGTGTATTACAGTACACAGTGAGCTCAGCGGCAGGGCCGTTTGCCAGGTCGTGTGTTTTCCGAGAGAGGTGGAATCCTCTGATTGTGAAGGTGGAGCCGGAGGTAGGATCGGCGTTAAGGGACGGGTGAGGTACTTTGGGGGGTTAAATTAAGAAGGGCTCAGCTCGGGACTGAATGATTGAGTGCATGCTTTTGAGTGCCTTGTGGACAAAGGTGTGTGTGGTTTTCCTCTTGTCTCCATGGATGATTGATTTTCGCTGACATGTTGCTGTTGTTGGACATTGGTAGCTATAGCTTGAGTTTGAGCTCCAAGGTTGACTCCCCCACCTCTTCAATTTCCAACGACCCGAGTACTACCGACAATAAGGCGAGAAGAAAACAATAGGGCGGAAAGAAGATAGCAAGATGAAGGAAGCCATTGTGTCCAAGGGCCCCAAGGTCACCATCGTGGACTCGCCCATCCCCGAACCGGGGCCTGATCAAGTGGTGATTCAGGTTGTGGCTTCTGGATGCAATCCCAAGGACTGGTATGTTTTTATTTTCTACTTCTCTAGACAACTCCCCTATTCCATACCTTCGCAACCATTTAGATACATGTGATCAACCACTCCATCAGTACCACTCCGGCTGACCCCCTCGCAGGAAAATCGTCGAATGGATGAAAGACAACCACAACTCGGGCGACGACATTGCGGGCATCGTCCACAGCGTCGGCTCCAACGTCTGGGAATTCAAGCCCGGCGACCGCGTCGCCTCGTTCCATCAGATCATGGCGCCCGGTGGCAGCTTCGCCGAGTACGCCGTCGGCTGGCAGCACACGACCTTCCACCTGCCAAAGAACGTGTCGTTTGAGGACGCGGCGAGCTTGCCCCTGGCCAGCATGACGGCGGCGATTGGCCTGCATTTGAGGCTGGGCTTGCCGGAGCCGTGGGTACCGGCCAAGGAACCGATCCCGTTGGTCGTTTATGGGGGTGCGAGCGCCGTGGGGGCGTTTGCCATCAAAATCGCCGCAAGGGCGAATATCCATCCCATCATTGCGGTTGCGGGACGCGGGATTTCCTTTGTGGAGAGCCTATTGGATAAGAGCAAGGGCGATGCCGTCGTGGATTATCGACAGGGTGACGAGGCGGTCGTGAAGGGTATCCGGGATGCGGTCAAAGGCCAGAAGCTCGAATACGCCTTCGATGCGACCAGTGAGCATGGCAGCTACACCAATATCGCGCAGGTGCTGGATCCGCATGGGAAGTTGACGCTTGTGCTTCCTGCGAAGCAGTACGAGGGGGTTCCGGAGACGGTACAGCTGAGCAATACCAGGGTGGGCAATGCGCACGACGAGGCTAAGGACTTTGCGTATGTCTATTTCCGGTTCCTGGCGAGAGGGTTGGATGAGGGGTGGTTTACGCCGCATCCCGTCGAGGTCTGCAAAGGGGGGTTGGAGGGGGTGCAGGGGGCGTTGGAGAACCTGAAGAATGGGAAGGCCAGCGCGGTGAAGTATGTGTTTAGGATCGGAGATACTCCTGGGGTGAAGGGTGCGCAGTTGTAGATCGTCCCCGGGTCGTGATTTGAGTAAGGAGCCTTGAATTAGAATCATTATTTTCTCCATCCCGCGCTTTTTGGTATCCCCATTCCGAAACCCGTTCTCGTCAATAATGAAGTCAGAAAACGCCATATGCCATGCAATTCCCCTCATGCAGAGATCCAGATAGCCCAGAGATCCCGATAGCCATCCATGTCCTGCGAACATCACTCTTGCGTATGCCCACCGCCGACATCGCCTGTATTCTGCACACCATAACTATCCTCGTAAGTCGCAATCTTCACCCCCCACATCCGTCGATACGCCTTCTTCTCCCTCGAACTTGCAATGACATCTTCCTCATCCTTCTCCCACCCCGTGCCGTCGCCCTTCCACCTAAACGCCAGCACGGCGTTATCCTTCAGGCCCGCGCCCTTCAGAGATTGAGATATACTCTTCGCCGCCTTTTTGCTCTTGCCATTTGCATCCTCTCTGTCATCATCCTCATCGTTGACCTCCCACTCGCCAAGCTTGAACCCCTCTTTCGGCTTATTCACATCCACAGGCCTGCCTAGCTGGATCTCCGCTGCAGATTCCGGCAACGCAATCGGCTCGCCCGTTTCTGCATGCTTCAGTCCCGTCTGCTCGAGCGTGCGGTACAGCAGCTCCTTGATGTTTGCAAATGTGGAGAGCGGGTCGACGTGCAGCAGGACTGTGGTCTTGTGGGATTTCAGCCGGAGCGTCCAGGTGGTCGGCGAGGGCTTGACGGCCGTCATGGTGGGCACGAGGGTACTGCGTACAGAAGGTTGGTTGTGTTGTCGGACTTTACGTTGTTGATCAGAGTTCCCGATCTGAGGTTAACCCTTGCTTCGATCTAATCTTATCTCTTGGCATATATCCTCCATCCTCATCCTTCCTCATTTACTCTACAGTCTAGCTCATGCCATCGCATTGGGTCCCATTGACGGCTTTGAGCCCGTCGGACATGGCTACGACACAGCTAGAAGATGGCTCGCCGCAGCCCGAGGCCATTGAAACACCTCCGGAGCCCCCAAAGCTATACAAATCGGCCGAACGTCTGGGTATGAAATTCGACCAGCGACTCCTCCTGGGCAATTTCTCCTCGTTCCTGTGCGGCTTCACCCTCGGGGCGTCGCACGCGGGACACATGGCGGGGATGCGGTTCCGCGCCGAGAACGCACACCGTCTGCCGGAAACGAGGCCCGGGTGGTATCTGTACCACAAGTCGAAAAACTACTACAAGATCAAGGAAGCTGTACCCGTGGGGATACGCAAGGGCTTCTTCGTTGCGGCGTGGACGAGTATGTTTCTCATTATCGAAGAGAGCCTGGATATTTTCAGGGGTACGTGGCAGGCCGGGCGGACGCTGAATGAGATGGAAGGGGTGGATGAGTTGGATATCAAGACAATGGAGAAGTGTATACAGAGGAATCGGGATTTCAAGAGCTCAGCCATTGCGGGCATGGTTACCGGGGGTGTTTGGAGTGCGTGGAATACGTTTCCCATGGTTACGGCTGCGAGGACGATTCGCATGGGGCTGTTTGTGGGACTGGCGTATGGGTTGGGGCAGGATGCGATGATGTGGGCGAGGAACAAGTGGGGGGTCGATGAGGTGCCGGAGAGTTGGATTTATAAGGGTGCGAAGAACAGGATGAAGGCGGCACAAGAGGAGGGTGAAGTGGAGCAGAAGTGAACTGGTGGGGCATCTGCCCTCCTACCAAGGACGACAGGACCGAAAAGAAAGCCCGACAGCGGCCGGCATATGCATGCGTTCCTATGCCGCCCTTGCACCGAGCCCTGGAGTTGCTTCGATGCAAGATATACAGCATTGAGGAGCTGAACGGCACCACCGCTATGCGCCGTGCACTTGCTGCTGAGAATTGCATCCAGCGAGCAATATTGTGTTTACCTTAGGGTAGCATTCCGACGGCACTACCATTAACCTGATACCCAACTCGGACCAACCGATATTTTCTATATACTTCGATCCAAATCTCAACTCAGTATGACTTATGGAACACTCAATGGCTTTTGGCCAGTTACACTTGACCGGTTCCTAAGCTCTGATAGCTCCAACTCCATAATCACAACGCTTCTGGACGAGAATAGCGCTCCTAATCATTTCGACGCTGGACTTTAATCCATATTCCACCGAGATGACAACCCACTCAGCCGTCCCACTCTAGTCTAACGCATATCCCACCTTGTCCAACCACTCTGCGACTCCACTAACCCTGCCTCCGCAGTCCTCCACCTGCGCCTTGGCCCAAGCCACACCCTCCTCCCCTCCAGGACCGAAGTATCCCCCTTCCTCCACCCAAACATACATCCCCACAACCATCCTGCCCACCTCCGGTGCCTTTTGGAACCACTTCTCCATATCCTCCTTCGCAACTTGCTCAAACCTCACCTTCTTCCCCGTCTTCTCCTCTATCAACTTCGCAACCTCGCCAAAACTATTCCACTCGCTGGCCGCCAGGAGGCTCTTCCCATAGTACCGCTCGGGATGGAGCAGCAACGGGGCAATCCACTGGCCCGTCTCCGTAATATCGATAAACGGCACCTTCGTCCCAGGACTGCACAGATTCCTCATCACGTACGCTCCTCCATCCTTTCCATCCTCCCACTTCGGTGCGAAACCACCCCCCTGGAAATTCTGCATAAACGCCCCGGGGCCGAAGAAGGCGCTCTTCAGCTTCCCGCCCGTCTCGCCTTCCTTCTGCCGGATGTACTCCTCGATGCGGACTTTGACGTCAAAGTGCGTCACGCCTGCCAATTTCCCCTTTGAGAGTTCGAATGGGGAGACCAGAGAGGAGAAGATGATGTATTGGACGCCTTGTCTGACGGCTTCGTCGACGGCGTTCTTGGCCTGCTGGAATTCCTTCTCGGCGCAGAGGGCCGCGGTGTCGGGTTCGCCGGGACGGCCGGGATAGATGGAGGTGGTTACGAGGAAGAGTGTGTGGGTGTCCTTTAAAGCTGCGGGGAGCGTTTCCGGGCGCGATAGGTCTGCTTCTACGACCTCGACGTTGGCCTTTTGGAGGAGTTGCTGCGCGGCCGGGGAGGCGAGGGAGCGCGTAATACAGCGGGGTGTATACAGACTAGAGAGTTGGGAGTGGGTGAGGAGGGTTTTGAGGACGGAGGAGCCTTGGTTTCCCGTTGCACCGAAGATGGTGATGACCTTTTTGTCGTTGGGGTTCTGAGTGGCCATTGTGGGGTTGGATCTGGGTTTCCAGCTGGGGAGGGAGAGGGAATGTATGTGAATTGGAGGGCTTTTGGTTTTGATTATGGGAATCTGGAAGGGAGACGTACGGGGAATGAGCTGGAAGATAATGAACGGGATTATAAGTGTGTACGTATACGTAAATAACGAATGGTACAGGCTTGTTTCCAATGATGTTTAGCAGCACTAAGTCCTAACACCGAGTCTCGCACGCATCATGGAACTCCTATATTGATTGATGTCTCTCGAATGGCAGGCGGATGCTGATCGGAGATGTCGGAGTTGGGATGTGAATGTCATCCAAAGAGTTAGGCTCCGGAGTTTACGTTCAACATCTGACTTAAACCCGCCGCAGTCCAACAAGCGGCGAAGGATCATGGAGATGTCAATACAGTCGCTGATAGGAACTCAATGGAAACTTATTCCTAGTTGAATTTACTATCATAATGTAGCGAAACGGATTTAACCAACACACATAAACAAACGGATAAGCAGGAACGCAATCCCTTCCCGCTGTGCCGGACTTGCCTATTCAATTGGGGCTCCCTGCGGCAACATCTCGTACGTTTCCGCGACCTCCTTCTCCCACGGCAACCTCGCCTTCCCCCAGACTTCGGCCTTGGGCTCGAAGCGCTCGAGTCCGTCGTCCAGTAGTCCAGTACGAAGAACTATCTTGTCATCCCCAAGGACGGTCTGGTGGTGGTAGATGTGCGCCGTGCAGTTGGGACAGTAGTAGCAGTGGACTGGTTTGCCTATAGGGGAGAGGGTTAGCCCCATTCCCTAGACGCCGGAGTTTGAACGCTTTAGATGCGGAGATTGGAAGATTATATAGATGGGTTCGTGGATGGAATATAGCATACCACTATTCCCCGTATACGTATAGCACCCCAAACTCTCCTCCCCTTTCGTCACCTGCACGTTTTCCCTAGGCACAATCTGGTTCAGCGTGCATGTTCCACCAGAGAGGCTCTTGCAGGTGCCGCAGTGGCAGAGGATGTGGGATTCTTGGTCCGGGTCGAGAGTGGCAATCCATTCGGTGCGGCCACAAGTGCAGTGACCGGTATGGCGGGTCATTTTGTGTTGATTTCTTGCTGTGTTGGGTCACTTGGAGTTGGGTGTGTTAGTGGGTACGTTTGGGACTTTAATGAGTTCCCAAGGTTGCCGAGCAGAATGTGATCAATATAGTCCAGAAATCCAAATGCGGGGAACCGAACGGCTTGTAGGTGTACCATGACTGTGACGTCGAACTCCCAAAAAGTGGTGCGCTTCATTGGGAGAGATGTATGTATGCTCGCGGGGTCGACATGCGCACGTGCTCCCTTATGACGGTGAGGAGAAACAGCCCTGGAGTAGTCTAAGGATTTTGAGTGGGGGTTAGAAGCGCCGGGATTTCACCGTTGCCATACACAGTGAAGATGGCTCCATATCTCGAATTTGATATCTTACGATCAACAATGATGAAATCATGGGTATTCTGAATGATTATGTTGCGCCGGGTACGAGACTGCATTTTTCTCAACGTCACTGACCTTTTCCAAGTCTTTGGATGAAGACCAATAACGCCTGCCGACTGCGCTGCGCTATCCTCTGCTCTTTCTCGCCGCTCCTCTACAATTGGGACTCTGGGCGAGAGTCATCTTGAAGAGGTGGGAACTTGCGTAGGAAATGCGAAGGGCATTCGTATCCCATGGGGTCTGAGAGACAAGTTAGCATCAACCTTAAGTGGGAGTAATGATGTTGGTGACAGCATACTCTTGTCCAGGTAGAGCTGGTGATACGCCTCGGCATCCCACCACTGGCCCGCGGGGACAATCTCTGTGACGACCTTGCCCTTCCACCACTGCTTGTTCACCTTGTCTGTGACGTCCTTTGCAATCTGTTCCTGCTCTGGAGTATGGAAGAATATGGCGCTCCTGTATTGCGGTCCGACGTCTGGACCTTGTGAATTCGGGGTTGTCGGGTCGTGCATCTTGTAGAAGAATTCGAGCAGTGTTCGGTATGAGACCTTTTCGGGGTCGTAGACAACTTGGAGGGCTTCGGCGTCTGCAGTTTGTCTCTATTAATACACGGCTTCGACAAGCAGCACTCCAGAAGACTCACGTCCTGTTCGCCCGCTGCACACTGCTCGGTAGCTAGGGTTGGTTGCGTCGCCCCCGATATATCCCACGCGCGCATCGATCAATCCGTTGTTTGCGAATTGCTTCCTGTACATGTGTTCGACGCCCCAGAAGCAGCCGGCGGCCACGGTCGCTTTCTGAGCTCCCTCGGGTATAGACATGGGGCTGGAGGCTGTATTGTGCTTGGTGATGGAACTGGCAAGTCGGGACAGAAAGGACATGAATAGTCGATTGAATTTCTGTTGGGTAAGTGGTTTTGTCTGGGAATTTGCGGTATGAAGCTTGCTGATATCGGAGGAGTGAATGTGGTGAAGATTCATTCTACTACGGAGTATTGAGAGCCTGAACAATTGCACATACAGAGCTCCGTCCCGCATTGAATGACGCCATCTATGCCTTTCCTCAATCGGCATTTCAGCCACGTGTGGCGCAGATCCTGCAGACCACAGCGATCTTCCCGAGGTCATGGCGATCTTCCAACACCAACGACTTGTCACCTGGGCAGCCCCTAAAACGTCTTCCCCATCTCCTCAGTCGGTTGACCACATCTCCACACAAGCTCAGCAGTCATCCCTTCTCGGGATTCTCCGAACCATAATAATGCCCGAACTGCGAGAGTCGCTGTGTGACGGTTCCGTCTCCCACCAGCCAGTGGGCGTGTCTGTACTCGTTGCCACCCCATATGGAGTGTGACACCAATGGACGGCGCTCAACCTTGGAAGCACCCTTCGTCGCAGGCCATAGTTCGAGGATGGACTCGAAGAATGTCCATTGGAGAAAGAGAGCATCGAGCTCCAGAGTTTCGCCTTGCAGAAAGTTGCTGCGCGTGCGGATAAATGTAGGTGCAACGCTGTCCTTTTCAGTCGTCCTCTGTTCCCAGACTCCGGCCCATGTCTCTCCTCTCTCGTATCTTCTCATGCCATCGTTCCATAACTGTCTCTTCCTTCGACAACACCTGCGAGGACGAGCTCCGGTCTGCTTCGACACGACAGAGACCTTACATTACCGCCAAGCTGCCTCTCGGCTCTTCTCGCCTTTGTGAGGTGAGGTCTGCAATCAATTTTCAATCTATTTGGCCGATTCTCTCCAGCCCGGCTGTATCACAAAGTCGCCAGGCCCTGGGTCTGGAAGCATCAGCGATACCTCTTTGATGTACTTTACCCTGAAGTGCAGCTATACCGCCTCCCCCAAGATTCGGCTCCTCACCGAGAGGTTATTTTTATCTCCTACTGGGACATCAACACAGTGCCCTTGCAGCTACAGCCTCCTGCCAAGTTATATTATGGCGAGGTTGTGGCAGCCGCCGACTGACAAGCATTAAATTAAGGTTAATCTACCTATCAATCTTCCTGTCCCCTTTCGAGATCTGCGCCATGGCTAACTCAACTCTCACAACAGCTTCACCCTTGAGCACGACACTATTTTGAGCTCTCGCTACCACGCGACAATATACCACGCTCTTCCCATACGACGGTTCCATATGAGATTCCTGCCGCTGTGTATCTCGTCGAGTAACACCATTGGCGTCGCCGCAAACGTCTCGAGCTCTTGGATGCTATTTTCAGGCCCAAGACCCCAGGATCACTTAACGACTCAATTCAAAGGCAATATACTTAGCCGTACTCACACGTTTTTTGCCTCCCAGAGTCACCGGAAGCCAGGCCTGGGACCTTGCCGACGATACCAACCGCTAACCCAGGAGGCGTCATCTGATTCTCTCTTCGTGATGCTAAGGCAGCATTCCAGTCCCCAGGCTCGTATTGTAGATTTGATCTCTCGGCCTCACAACGCCAAAACGTGCCTTGAATCTTGGGATATCTTCCAATCGGTTGTTGCACCCGTCTCGAGTCTGGTACTACGCATGGCTACCGGCGTTGCAGCAAAGCTTGACCGGGTTATGGACTCTTCCCGTTCCGGACAATCGATATGGAATACCCCTCACGTCGGAACGCTGGAACATGGGATTGTGCTCGAATACGGGCTGTCTAACTACTAGGAGATGTTCGGGCAGCTGTAGACCTTCGAAGTTCAGGAGCCGTGGCAAAATAGGTGAAGTGTTTGCGGACGGTGGAAGCATGTCCTTGGACAACACGAGCTCTCTGAAGCCGTATACATGCCTTCTGGACCTATGACTCTGTGCCGGGCCGCCGGACCACCCGTACTGCAAATTGAGAATACGCCTTGGCAGCTACTATCGTCCTGGTTCTGCTGTCACCATCGATCGATAGCGTCGCAGCTGCGCTTGCTTCGTGCAACCTGGGTTAGGTCGGTCTTGCCGACGACTGGTATATAACCTCCCTCGATACCCCCCAACATCGGTCTTCACCAACCTGCACCGATCAGTCATTTGTACTAGGCCAAAGTCTTAGGATCAACATTCCCAGCCTCCCAAAACAACAAACATGAAGTGGTTGCTCGCTCTCGTCCCATTCGTCGCCGCCGCCCCGGCTCTTCCCGGCATCGAGCTCGGTGAGGCTCCTCCGGCAGGCCAGGTATATCCTCCTTCCTCTCGACTCTGAGAATACTGGCTTACAAATTTCAGGTCACCATCCGCGGTGTTACCTATGGTGGAACTGGCTGCCCCGAGGGCACTGTCAGACACCAGATCTCGTCTGACAGGACCATTGTTACCATCATCTTCGACTCCTATGTTGCCTCCGTCGGCCCCGGCGTCCCCATCACCGACTCCCGCAAGAACTGCCAGCTGAACGTCGACATCCAGTACCCCGGCGGTTTCCAGTACTCCATTCTCAGCGCCGACTACCGTGGCTATGCCTCCCTACAGAAGGGCGTCAGCGGCTCCCTCAAGTCGACCTACTACTTCTCTGGCCAGTCTACCCAGGTAAGAAGTTCCTCCCAACGGTATCATGCCAACACCAGTTAACATGCCCCTCAGACCTCCACTCAGTACGACTTTGTCGGTCCCCTGACCGGCGATTACCTCAAGCACGACGAGGCCGACAGCACCTCGGTCGTCTGGTCGCCATGCGGCGCCCCGGGCATGCTCAACATCAACTCTCAGGTCCGCCTGACCTCGTCTAACCCCCAGGCCACCGGTCTGCTCACTACCGACTCCACCGACCTGAAGTTCACCCAAGTCGTGTATGTACAGTGGCAGAAGTGCACAAAATAAGCTGTCCGCCGTGACTGATCGCGTGCGTCTAGTCCGCGGAATAGTATTAGCTACATCCGCCTGGACGGTCGGGTGTGGAACATTCCGGAGATGTTGACGTGGAGGAAGTGCGAGCATTGAGGTGGACGTGTTGTTTCTTTTGTGCTTTGTGGATAACGTAGCTTGGTTATGACGAATGACGAAAATTGTTGAGAAAAAAAAGTGCTCTCTGCTCAAGTGGTTTGTGATGAATTGGTCCTCTGTGTGGCTTTTGATAGGCAGGGGATCTGGTGCGTTTCGATGAGCAAATTCCTCTCCGACATTGTCAGAGAAGAATCTCAAAACCAGCCTCCAAGGGTTTGGCTTGGCGAGAATGTATCCCGTGTTTTGGTTGCTCCACTAGGCGGGGAGATGAAAAGCGACCAGAGAGAGTCTGCACTCACGTTGACAAACGTCCATGACGAAGTGTCATATATAATGTGGTGACCGATAGGCTTTGAAAGGATGATGGAGTCTTGCGTCCCAAGCCTGAGGGGCCTACTCGACTGGGATATATACGGCATTTATACCTGATAACCATTCTTCAGGAAATTGAACACCTATTCCGATAGATATCTCCCGTGATGTTCACTATCCCTGCAGTGGAGCTGCGTGGGTGATTCGTCAACCAACAATTCCATTACCCGACCGTCCTCGCAATGCTGCTAAACGGACACCTACGTGGTCCCGTCTGCACATGCACAACCATACACCCAGCAAACGCAAAGTGGTCACTCACTCCACCTCCAAAAGCTCATACCGTCCCCCATGCCGATCCAACGCATCCTCCACCCTCTCCATGACAGCCAGCACCTTCTCCTCTTCGAGCCTGCGGCCCACGACCTGCACGCCCACAGGCAGACCGGCCATCTTGGCAGCATCGTAGTGCTTGTACGCGCCTCTTGCCACGCCGTTGAGTTTGGAGATGTTGAAGGTGGCGGGGAGGGCGTCGAGGGTGGGGTCCACGTGCGTGACGGGGAGGACGCCGGCCGAGTAATCCAGCTACGCCAGCGTGAGTAACAGAACTCCAGAGCTGTTCCTAGAGAGGACAAAGACATCATGTAAGAAAAAGGACAAAGAAAACCGAGACACATACCAAATTAAACAAAAATGTGTATCCGCAACTGCTAACGGCATCATGCATCCCATCATGCGGCACGGCGGGCGTCGCATTCGGCGGGCAAATCAGCACATCCATCTTCCCTTCCTTCTCCGTCCCCTGACTATTCCACCAATCGAAGAAGCGGTGCTTGTAATTCTCCCTCCTTCCGGCTAACTGCCAATACTCGAGCGCGCTCTTGGGATGCCAGTACCGCAGCAGGCCAGCCCAGAGGCTATCGCGCTTCACGTACTTGACCCAGAGGTAGTAGAGGTACTTGACGGGCCGCGGAAGCCGCATGTAGAAGACCATTTGCGCGGCGCCCGGGTCGTTCCATTCCCCGCTGCGGAAGAAGGACATGAAGGTTGCGCCGCCGTCGCTGAGAAGGAGCTGCGATGCAATGACTAGCGCTTCGTAAGGGGAGGGGGGCGTCACGTCGAAGACTTCGTGGCCTTCCGCTTTCAGTGCGGAAGCAACTTGGTCGAGAGCGCGGGCACAGGCGGGAGAAGGGTCGACAACGCCGTCTGTCCGCATGACACCGACCCGTAGACGCTTCTTCTCTCTGTACTCGTCTACGATGTTCTGGCGCCAGGCGAGCGGGTGGACGGTATAATCGTATTTCCACGGGCCCATGCCGATGATGCTTTGCGTGAAATACGTGAGATCGTTCAGGGTGCGTGCCATGGGGCTGAAGACGCTGGGAATTGCCTCTTGGCCTGGCATACTGGTGTTCATGCCGACTTTGGGCCACCTTCCAGTCGAACACCGAATAGAGTAGCAGCCAGAGAAGTGGGCGGGAACGCGAACGGAGCCGGCGACGTCGGAACCGATGCCTATGCGGCTGCCACCGAAGGCCAGGAGAGCGGATTCGCCGCCTGTTGAGCCGCCGGGGGAGTAGGCTGGGTTGTGCGGATTGGTGGTGCGGCCCCAGACGTCGTTTGTGGATTCGAAAGAGAGGAGGGTGATGGGGAGGTTGGTCTTGACGAAAGGGATAGCTCCGGCGTCCTTGAGGAGCCTGACCATGGGGCCGTCTTCTGCATAGGGCTTGCCGGTGTGGCGGGAGAAACCGACGGAGATGTCGAAGCCTTTGACTTGTATGGAGTCCTTGAGGGAGACGGGGATGCCTGCCAGGGGCCCCTTGAGGTTGACTTCATTCGTTGCCCATTCTTCGGCTTCCGGGAAGAGGATCTCCGTCACGCAGTTCGTCTTCTCCTGGGCTTTGATTGCAACCTTTCCGTATGCACGGAGGATGTCGAGGGGACTTGTGATCTGCTTGTGAACATCTTGGACGAGCTCCCGTATGGGCTTTCCGAGAATGGTGCGCTCCTGAGGGGAGAGGGGGTACCGGTAGGACTGGGGAAGGGAGGCTATCTTGGACGCTCGTTCGGATTGTTTGCGCTGGCTGCAGGGAGGTTAGCTATGGTATGAGCTCTGCTGGAATATGAAGCCTAGTGTACATACCAATCGCGCCTATGCTGGCGGTACTCGAGAATGCCCATACCGCCAGCTGTACTGTTATATCTTCTTGTTAGAACCGCGGTGAGTGCGGAAGTCAAGTGTATGTAGAGCTATCAATGGTCTGGTACCCCCTCGGGTGCAGGAGCCGACCATGTCCCCGCTATCTCCGTTGATAGCCTCCCCCTCAGCTCCAGAGGGACCGCAGGAAGCCGCGGATGGACATGCCGCTTTGGGACACGCGATATCTGGGGAAGCCGAGAGCCGACGCCTCTACTCTACACGCCACGGTCTACCAGCCACATGTGGCGCATGCTCCTAGCCCATCTTCAACACTGCTTTCCATCCCAACCTCAATCTCTCTCTACCCATAGAGTTGCCCTGCACTGCTCCCTTCGTGCTGTACACGGTCTCAGGAACCAATCTTTGCCTTCATCGGAGATCCTGAATCCCAGACAACACATCCTCCAGCGCGAACCAACACCAGCATGGCGTTTGCTGCCGCGTTGATCCAGGATATATCCACACGTTCCTTCAGCAACGCAACTCCAACCATCTGCCCAGGCACCAAGGACGCATCTGATTGAGCCTCAACACGTTCCAAGCATAGCTCCCGCGCGCGATGCTGGGGCGGGCAGCTGAAAGCGGGTCGGGGAAGAGCACAGAGTTGCCGCAACCTGCACTGTCGTCCATCCGTTCCATGAAGCGCACCAAGGTCTCAAATCGTGGTCCAAGGTCACCTTCAGCTTCTTGCCTCTGAATGGCTACCGTCAAGCGGCTGTCTCCCGTACCTACCGATAGATAGTCGCCATGGTTGCGTTATGCTGTAGGCGCCCAGGTGCGCGTCTGTGCCACGGCTCGTCTAATTCGGAGCATTTCTGAAGCATCGCCGTAAACGCCTCTGATTGGCACCACCAGCGACTACTCAAATCCGCCATGAAACAAATGGCGATGCTAACAAGAATAGCAACCAGCTTCAGTTGTCTGGCCATCGACTGATCGGTGGAGCTGTCAAAGACATCTTCCACAGTATTTAAGATGCGTTGGACGCTGCTACCGTCATCAACCAGCTCACTGCAACAACTCATCAGCACCCTACGCATTTCCTTTTCCTCTCTTTTTCTTTTCCTTTTTATCTCCTTGTTTCCTTGTCTCGTCTCTGGTCAGGTCTCCCTCTTTCGATAAAAAAAGTTCTCTGTCGTACGCATCGTCCCGCTCTCTCTCTGCTGGCAGATTACGATCCAATCTTTGCTCCTCAAGCACGCTTTCTGGCCATCCGACATCCCCTCTTTCACGACCGTCTCTACCAGCATCTCTCCAGCGAACCACTCTCTCAGCAGTCAACATGCCTGTCCCAAGCTATGGCGCGATGCCTCTGAGCAAGATGTTCTGCCTCGTGCGGATCTTGCAGGTCGTTGCCATGATCATCATCATTGGCATTGCATCCAACTTTGTTTCTCTCATTGTTTCGTCCGGTATCGAGCCTCCAAAAGAAGTCGTCGGTACTCTCAGCGTGGTTAGTACACTAGCAAGCTGTGCATGGCCGTTCTTGAGCTGATTTGTTCCAGACGTGCATCGCAACCCTCTATGTCGCAGTCAGCATCGGCTTCTACTGGTCTCAAGCAAACCTCGGACTCCTCGTCATGTCCGGTGTCGACGGCCTGCTGCTCATCGCCTGGATCGTCGTCGCAGTGACAGTCGGCAAACCGCTTTCATTCCTCAACTGCTATGTCATCGGAAAGTTTTCCAAAGCCACCGATGCCTCTGCCGCCTACGCCTTCACCGTCTCGGTGGCCAACAACCTCAACACCATGGGCTCGACCTTGGGAATGGGTAGCTGGGCGGGTGCGACCAAGTCCAACTGCTTGCAGTCCAAGACCATCTGGGGACTGAGCATCGCTCTCTGGTAAGACTTGTTACTGCTTCGTCCGTGTCGGCGGTTGGCTAATGCAAACGCAGCATCCTGTTCACCACTTCGTGCGTCCTGCTCCCGACACTCTGGTACAAGAACAAGAAGGCCAATCCCGCACCCAAGACGGTCGAAGAGGCATAAATGTGGTGAAGAGGTAGAGTCTCACATGCAGGCAGGCGTGATCTCGCAGCAAGCCTGCATGCGGCGTAATGGCAGGATCCAAGCATCGTAGTCAACCGCTGTATTGAAACATGGGAATTGCAACCGACAATATGAAGAGAAAAAAGCATAGCAGTCAGGGTTCCTATGGGTTTTGGCATGCTCTTTTCCGTCCTCTCCTTTTTTTTGCTTTTGTGTTCTTCGCTGGCGCTCCCGGACATTGATTGTCTCTAATTGTAATGAACCGAAGTCGGTCACATACGCGAATAAAAAGTTTTGCAGCGTCAGTCCTTGTCCTACTGTAGTACAAGTGAGATCCTGTGAAGAGATGCAAACAGATGGATCATTGGGGCATCGTGAAGGTTTAATCCGCGACCAAAGCTCCTGGAAGCTTGGGCCGACTGCTCTCCACCTGATGTTCTCGGCGGGGCAACTTCCCGAACTTGAACTTAACCCCGATCCTCGCAGACGTCGGCGCCATGGATGAAGACAACTTCTTTCCTTCGCTCTTCTGACCACTTCTGTTCCTTGTCTGCTTGCTCGTAGCAGACCCGCTTCCAATTGTCAACTATATCGACCCAAGTGCTTGCGACTACCCGGGGAACCAGAACAGGAGAGCAAGAAACAGACGTGGGCCGCCATGTCTCTCGCTGAGCGCGTCACATCGCTCGAGGAGTACCGTCCGAGCCGTCCGGGCAGCAGAGCCGCAAGCCCGGATAGCAAACACAAGAACTTGAGCTTCAATCCCGTGGGAACGTGGACCGAGCCTGCGTTCGAGGAGCGATTGGAGCCTGTGAGCGCTTTCGAAATTCCTCGGTGGAAGCGGTTGCGTAAGTGACGTCATATCAACAGATGGGACTTTGTGGATGTTGACATTTCCCCAGTTCAGGTCTTTTTCGCTGTGGTGTACTGTCTGCTCGCTGCCGGTGTCGTTTTCGGGTATGCCGCCATCAAGCCCGTGTTAATCGAGGAAAAGGTATATCGGGAGTACTGCACGGCCGACGAGTTGGAGCAGGATGTCTGGGTGTGCTATAAGCAGGACTTGCGGTACGCCATATCCCCCTCCCCATACCTGGATTGGAAACTGATTGCACTTGCAGACTGAACCTCATGTTCACAGTCGCCGCTGTTTCCACCAATGTCGTCGCTCTTCCCGTCGGTACCATCCTCGACCGTTTCGGACCTCGAGTTAGTGGCATAACAGGCGCCGTCTTCATCGCCGTAGGCACGGTTCTCTTTGCCCTATCGCGCCAACTACCTTTCGATGGCTACCTCCCTGGATACTTCTTTCTGGCGTTGGGCGGGCCTTTCATTTTCATATCCTCCTTCCAGCTGAGCAACACATTCCCTCAGTACTCGGGCCTGATCCTGGCACTCCTGACTGGAGCCTTCGACACGTCCAGTGCCATGTTCCTCTTCTATCGGTTGGCATACCAGGCTACGAACGGCAATTTTGGTTTCAAGAAGTTCTTCTTGGGCTATCTAATGGTTCCTGTGTATATCCTTATTGTACAGGTCTTCTTCATGCCAGCCACATCCTACAAGACAGTTGGCGAGCTGGTTCACCAAGCAGAAGAGACAAACAATGAAGCTCTCATGCATGACTCGGACGACGAGATCTCCGACCCGGACACTGTGCGCCAACTCCGCGACGCCAGGCGGGTCCATCGCGATAGCATCGTGAGCGAGATCACCACCTTGCTGGGTACAAAGGATGCGACGCAGCAGACGAGGGACGAACAGAAGAAGAAGAACATATCGGGAGTGTGGGGAGCTCTGCATGGGCGCACGGCCGCAGAGCAGATTCGGACGCCCTGGTTCATCCTCATCATGCTCTTCACTGTGCTTCAGATGACACGGATCAATTACTTCGTTGCGACTATCCGCGCGCAGTACACCTATCTTCTTGGATCTTACGATAAGGCCGTGGCGATCAACCACTTCTTCGACGTAGCGTTGCCGCTTGGAGGCGTCCTCTCGGTCCCCTTCATCGGCATCCTACTCGACAACACAAGCACGACATTCAGCATGAGCCTCCTCGTGGTGGTTGCAACCACCATAGGCGTTCTGGGCATCATTCCGCAAACCTGGGCCGCCTACGCAAACATCTGCCTCTTCGTCATCTACCGCCCGCTCTACTACACCGCCGTCTCGTAAGTCTTGAGCCCCACCACCATCCTCTCAATATACATATATTTTCTTACGCAGCGCTAACTTTGCCTTCCCCCAGTGACTATGCCGCCAAAGTCTTCGGCTTCGCTACCTTCGGCAAAGTCTACGGCCTTATCATCTGCCTGGCGGGGCTCCTCAATTTCTCCCAAACCGGCCTCGACGCCCTGACGCACAAGGCCTTCAACAACAACCCCGTCCCCGTGAACGTCATTCTCCTGGGCTTGGGGCTGCTCGTTGGGAGTGCCCTGGTAGGCTTCGTGTATAAGCGGAGTCATGCGATTCTGAGGGAAAATGTGGAAGAGGAGGCCGAGGGCGCGAGCGAGGTCCTCATGCCGGGCGCGGGACTGAAGGGGCATGGTGTGCAGGCGAATGATTACGGGGCGATTGGGGGGTCTGGGTCGGTAAGTCAAGAAGAGAGGGGAAGATCAAGGGTATGATTTCTTCGGAGGATGGTTTGATTTATTCCATTTATTTCGTTGGCTTCATGCTTCGCGGTTTGCGATGGTGTTTTTGTTCGTTTGGTCTATTTTCTTTTCTTTTCGTTTCTTTTTCCCCTTTCTCCCCTTTGGCTTTTGGCGCTCCGCATACACAAGATTTGGTCCTCTGACTCCCTAAGCATGGTGCGGCGTTAAGGGACATGGGGTTCTCGGTTCTGCACTTTTTGCATCTATGATGATTTACGTTCAAACATTCGGGGAGTGAGTCTGGTTCGTTTTTCCTTTTGGCTAGTTCTTCCTTGGCTCAAGATTGTTCATGATACTCCTGCATACCGCACGATGACATCGACGAAGCTATAGACGTTGATGGGGGAGTTGAGAAATCAACGAATGACTTGTCAAATTTCAAGAAGCAAGATTGAAAATTACAGCAACGATGGAAAGGGAAATGGGATGGAATCGTGGTTTTATATATGGGTAAAGACTATACAACGGTACAATTCGCTTCGTCTCATTTCATATTGCTTTACGTCACTCTACTTCACATCTGTTGAGCTCCGACTCAGGGTCAGGGCAAGGATCTTAACGTCCTTCCCCTATCTACGTCGTCACATGCAGAAGAATGTGTTACTTTCGAATCATTGCTCAGTTCAGATTGATGAAAGGCTAATGCTATGCCATGCGCGACAGTACTCCCCACGTTTATTCAAGCAGCCTACGAATACATAATCCACCCTTCACTCCCAGGCAACCCGTTCCCAGCCTCCCCCTATCGATAACCAACCGAAACGCCATCTCCTCTCCACCCCACTAATTCACCCCAACCCCCTCCCCCAACACATCCTTATACACACTACACAACACCCCGTCCCTCCAGACACCCCTCAGATTCAACAACTTATCTATATCCTCCAAAGGATCTCCCTCGACGAGTACTAAATCTGCCCTCAGGCCCGGAGCCAGGCGTCCGCGGTCGTCCCACCGGAAGCGTCGTGCCGGGACGATGGTTGCGGATTCGATCGCCTCGCGAGGTGTAAAACCGCACTTGTCGACGTAGAGGGTGAGTTCGTGGTGGAGAGAGATGCCGTAGGCGATGCCCGGGAGAGGTCCGGCGGCGTCGGAGCCACTAGAGATTTGTTAGCAGAGCGGGAGAAAGAAATAACGAGAGAAACTTGACGAAATCGAAAAGAAAAGAAAAGAAAAAAAAGGAAAAACGTACGCAATCACGTCCACGCCGGCTTGCTTAAATCTCCTCACGCTCTCATACGCATACTCGACCTTCGAATGGCCCCGGCCCATCTCGAAACAGCTACACATCTTCTCGCTCTGGCCCTCGCCCAGCAATCCTTTCACCCGCTCGTCGTGCGCGAACTTCTCCTGCAACTCCCTCCCCTCAGCCGTCAAGCTGCCAATCGTCGCCAGCGTGGGATTGCACCACGCGTTGTTCTTCTTGTACGCAGCGACCAGCTCGTCCGTAGGGGGTCGATCGCAAATGGTGTGCGTGAGACCATCCACGCCCGCCTCGAGCACCTGGAGCGTATCCTTGACGCACATCGAGTGCGCAACGACCAGGAACCCCCTCTGCTTGGATTCGTCGACAATGATCCTCAATAACTCACTACTCGGCTGATCCAGTTGCAAGCCGATGGGCGTCCCGCTCTCATTCATCACCTTCACATAGTCATTCCCGGTCTCCCTCGCATTCCACTCGAGGTACTTTTGCACGCCCTCGCGATCCCGCAACTTGGGCCACGCCGCGATCTCGGCCGCCGTCTCGGGCGACTTGTCGACGGCCGTGATGACGGGAATGGGCCAGCCGTTCTCAATCGTCGCCGCCTGCCCGGACGTCTTGTAGTGGCTCGTGTCCGGGTCCTCGGCGTACAGCTTGCGGATCGTGGCCACGTGGGGCGCTTCGTTGTGCATGTCGCAGACGGTCGTGACGCCGAAGCGCAGGGATTGCTTGAGCGAGAGCGGGTTGCCCTTGTCGGCGTGGATGTGCCCATCTATGAGGCCTGGGATGACGGTGTGGTTGGGCTTGGAGTAGATTTTTGTGCTGGGAGGGGCGGCATTGGAGGAGGATAGGCCGGAGACGGGGCCTAGGGAGGTGATGACGCCCGAGTCGATGCGGATGTAGCCCGGGGAAATGACTTCAGTGCCCGTGAAGATGCGGACGTCGCGGATGATGAAGCTTTCGGCCATGGTGGGCGAATGGTGCGGTGGTGAGGCTCAGGAAAGCAGCGAGGGTGCCGTTGGAGAAGATTCAATTGATTGTTATGTCATATATGTGTGTTGCAAGATCTCTGATTTCCAAGCAGGCGGGGCGGGGCAATGAATCCTCAAACATCGTGTAGGTTTGGACTGGTTCCATTGGGAAGGTGGTGCTATGGGGCAACGGCGCGGCTTACTGTGTACAAGAATTGCGAGCTAGGGATTTGTCATCACGACCTGCGGTGAAGGTGCCAACGCTTTCAGTCCTCTACAATCGCTCTCCTAAATTCCTATAATGGTTAGCAGTGTCGCTTCACTCTCAAGCTCGCAAAATCATGGCATGATGACGGTGCCTAGGTCTCGCAAGCCTAACCCCATTTCTACAAAGTGAAACCATAATAAAGAGAGCGTACAATTCACATCAATTTCCAGAATCCTCCACAACCTATCGACACGTTACCAGCATTTCGCCTAGGTAGGTTCGACGATACTGTAGATGTGTAAGTGGGCAATCAGGAAAATTGGACAATCAGGCTGCGGGTTGGGGAGCCGAGACGGACAGGAGAATTTACTGTCGCTTCAACTCTCCAATCATTACCCCTCTGCTACTGTCACTGGGGGAATCAGAAATGTGTACTCGCTGTTAACGTTGCATTATCAAAATCTTTAAAGTGTATAGGTCTGCAATGCGTTTTAGCTATGCAGTGTTGCTCTAAGCTGGAATTTACGCTTAGGTTTCCTGCTGAGACGAAGCCCCTCACCCCGCTGCTTGACTAAGTAGATTATCCCCGCATAAGCACTACTGTCGAATCAGCTCAGTCGATTCCAAAAAGTCTTATGAAGACCCAAATTCAAGTCAACAGACAAGATGGATGTAGGTCACGCGATACCCATGGTAAACCGAACGAAATGAAATCTTCATGCCATTTCATGCTAGAACCTGCATTATTGTAATTCGCACAAGCTACAAGAGAGCCAAAACAAGAAGCACACGGAAAAAGACACATAGGTCTAGGGCTAAACCTACCCTGGGGTTGTGACCTCCAGCTTCATCGTCCCTTCATTCAGGGCAACACCACCTTCAGTACCCTAACCTCTGAGGATCGTGCAAAAATGTGACCGGACACACACACGTCTGCCTATTCCACGGGTTACAAAATTCCACCGTTCCAGTGCCGCAGCCCAGGGTACATGCTGGGTCGGTATCACACATGACTACGTCGTCTTCAGCATCGCGAACAACGCTAGGCGTCTTACAGCCTACGCATACAAATTCAAGGCCCCGTTTTGCCACCTTGTTGATGGGATTGTTTCCATCTTCTGCGTGCTTCAAATGCCAGGACGTTAGTCTGACCAAAGTGGGGGGGAAATAGGGCTGGAAATTCCCGGGATGATTGAAGAAAGTTCCCCCATCTTTGAATATGGAGACCCACTCGCGCGACTGAGGATCCTGAATCTTCACATCTCGGTAGATGGGCTGCGACTCAGGCCATTCGTCGACGGCTAGGCTTTGTTTCGGAAGCCAAACGCTGGGCCTACCATAAGCGCTAGGCTGTGGCTTCTTTTCCGCGACGAGCTTGCCGGCCAGCTGGGGGAACTGCTCTTGGAGCGCACGCTCCAGTTCCTCGACCCCCATTGCAGACATTTCCTGTGACAACTTTTCAGTCATGCCGCGAAAGGGATTTCGCATCATTCGTCGACATCTCTCACAGTACCCGTCCTCGGTAGTATTCCCAAGATTGAATACCAGGTGAGCGCCGCAGTTGTACGTCTCACACAGTACCAGGACCTCTCCCCATGGGTCGACAGGCGGGCTCGGAATTCTGATTTGGTTTCTCGCTTTGGAGCGCGTCACCATGTGATGACCTCCTTGGGGCTGATAAGCCTGAAGTTGACAGGCTTGGGGCTGGAGGGCCTGAGGTTGATAGCCCGGAGGCTGAGCCTTTTCACCTACCGCGCGAAATCTCGCTGGCATCCGCGCCATGAACTCCTGGGTATTGCATTTATCTTTGCCGTGGCGACGTAAAGCGACCATGTCAAAATTCTCACAGAATATACACCACTCAAATTCCTGAGCACTTGGAGGGCCGGTGCGTGCCAGGGTGCCGTCAGCCATCGAGACATCGCCCAAGGCGTCGCCGGCAGGCGTGATAGGGTCTATGCGTTCCACTTCGACTTCGACGATGAGATCAATCTTGCCTTCCCAATCCTTGCTCTTCTGATAGGCTTGCGTAGTCTCGCAGGCCTTTGTTATGTGGTCATCGGCCGTGCAGTGATAACACCACTTGTGTCGCCTATAAGGCTCGAATATTATCTTCCACATCTCGTTTCTGAACGCTTTTACACGGGTGCAATCGTCAAATGTATGCCTGCCGTCTCCGTCACTCTTGCACCACTAACAAATCTTACCCACGGGCTGACCCAGCTGGCGGGCCCTTTCCTCAGGATCGGTCTTAAATTGACAGTAGTCCTCAGTATGGTAGGTATTTCCGCAAGTGCAACGGTCTTCCTCGGGCACTTTTATGGCTTTGCACTGGTTGGTGTGATGGCCTCTGCGCTCGCATTGGCTACAGAGTGGGGATCCAAGACTACTGTTGTTCTGATTCCTGTTCTTGTTCTGATTACTTTTGTCGTTCTGTTTGTTCAGAAAAAAGCAGTGAGCGGTATCATGGGTTGGGTTCGTCCCGCACTGGTCGCAGTACCGTGAGGCCCGATCGCCCCAGGGTTTATCTGGACGATTATTGCGGTCATTGTTGTTTCCACGATTCAGGTTGTTTTTGTCGCCGTTGAAGGGCAAGTGCTTGCGCTTGTTTCGGTGTCCATTACCGCGATTGTTGTGGTTGCCGCCACCCCTTCGACGCATGGTGTGGTTCAGTAGAGTAAGAAGAAACCTGGTGCTGTTAAGAAGCTCGTAGATGGTGAGATATAGGTGAGTGACGCACGCGAAGCAGAATGCAGCGCAAGATAACAAATGATGAACGCTGAGGTGGCTGGGCAACAGGAAAGGTGTGTGGGAATTGAGATAGCCTGAAGTGATGAGGACGTTTCCTTACTATAAAGAACCCCAATGGGATTCATGTATAATCCTTTGTCCCCTTTGTGAAGCGGTGTTGCGGCTATCCAAGGAACAATGGACAAAGAAGAGCAGAGTACCATGCAGGGGAGGACAGCATCCAAAGCCGGCGAGCGTACGTGTGGTCGTCTTTGTGCAAAATATTGGGGAACTCTCCATTGTTAACAACCAGCTCTATTGTCTCTGTCAATACAATGTCGACAGTCATTATTATCAGCGGTAGTTACCGATTAAGCGGTGCCTTCGTGCCCGTCGGTTCCCCTTTTATTTGTCAAAGCGCGGGAGATACGTACTTCGATGGTAATCGTAGTCCGGATGGCTCCGCACAAGGGTAACGAAAGGTTCCCATCATCAGGCAAACCTATTGTGATCATGGTCAAGCTGTCATACCACCGTCTTAGCCCATATTGCGATTATCCGGGACGAAATGTGCTGCAATTTTGAGGTGCTGACGGCCGCAGCCTAGGCCACTCCATGAATGCTATTCCAAGGTAGACAGGGTTGGGCAACCAGATTTGGCTCAGACCTCACTGCGGTCACGCGAGACCGGACAGAACGCATGCACGTCCATTTTCGGATGCGTAGAATAATAGCCACCAGTATTGGGGAGGGCGTGCTTTTGCAGCTATCGTGTTGCCCTTCACGCGCGCAACATTGGCAGAAGGGATGCGAGTGAGATACAAGCCGGTGGTGGCGTTGGGGTCGGGTCGACCGGGATGGCGAGTCGAGGAGATGTGGATATATCTTTAGAGAAGAATTGATGTTCTTCCCGCGAGTGATGGCTGCCCTGGGCATCCTGCACAAGAGGGTCTCATCCTTCAGAACGATGTGCAGCTGGTTGTGGGCGGTGACACCTTTTATCTGAGCCAGAAACGTCCTCCCTCCTATTTGGCCAGTGTTACCAAACGAAGCTTAGGCGTGATAAACAGAGAACGAGGGCGGGGCGTCGCGATAGCTGGATCACATCTTTGCAGCTCGTCAGTGTCTTTCGAAGGCGCACGGTCTCTGAAGTCGGAGATCAGCATCTGACAAGGGGAGAATCGTGACCAGTCTGAAGATTCACTGTTCATGTCGGCAGCCAAGCACCATTCCGTCCCCAACTCAGGTCGCTGGGGTGGAGTTTGAGTGTTGGAGAATCCGTTGGGAGACGCGACCTTCAGATGAGTTCGTGCACGGATCCGTCTTTCCGGCCCGACTGGCTCCACCGACGGCCCGCCAATTGGCCCCACTCACGAGAGCTTAAACCATCCTCCTTTCATCCCATCTTTCATGAAAATATTCGTTGCAAAGAACCGCCGATTATCCTTTTTCAACTACCTGGAAATTCACTTCCCAAAATCTATACTAATTATCTTCTATAAGCATGTCCTAAGTATGGATGAGATCATCCAGCGTCTCGCCAACCGTGCCGCAAACCCGCAGTGCAGCGCATTCATCGAGGCGGCTAACCACTGGTGTGGAGAGCGTTGCCAAGGAGTTGATCGATCGGGAGGATGACTTGCGTCGATTGGTATTTGTGTGTATGTAAAAGCTTCTGTTTTGAGAAGGGAAGCTGTCGTGTGGTAGCCAGGATGCTTGTCGTGGATGGTTTGCAAGTGAAAGTACATAGGACTTGCAAATCGTGAAGGAAGTGGACACATGCTAGGTAATCGTGAGTCTGGAGGACCTCTTTCGTTGGCCAAGAGCATTGCGCTCAGACAACTGTGGGCACTTCTCGTAAACCAGCTTGGTGCTTCGGCTTCCCCGCAAACCACCGTAGTTCACTCCGGCATTCCCAAGCTGTGCAACCCACCCTCATGTCCGTACGCGCCCGGCTCTTTTGCTAATATGGCAAAGGATAGCGTTCATCTCGCCTCGACCGTGTACGAGGTATTGCTGGGCGACTCGCTCTCTTCTCCCATCTCCGTTTGTTAAAGTCTACGCACTACGGAGGGATATCATGTTTTGTAACCAGTGTTTCTCGTACAGGTCGAACATCGACCATACCACTCTTCCTTAACGTTAGAGGTTCCATCCCATCCAGTTTCCGCAGGCACTTGATTCACCTACGGTCTCCGACCTCCCCTGCAACCACCCCTAAGGCCCAACTCGGTCCCTCCCGTCCCAATATCGCGCATCCTAGTCGCCCATCCCAGCGTGCACCGCCAAGCAAAATACCCGCCGAACCACGAAGTCCACTGAGCCCGCGAACCCGACTTGGGGTTACACGGAGCAGACAGGCTTGTAAATTCCCTCGTGATGGGACAAATGGCAAGGAAGGTTATTAGGCAAGGTAGGCGGCGACGGCCCGCTGCCGTTGAGGTAAGAGCCAATCATCATCGCGTGAAGCTTATTCCTCGGCCATCTCAAAGCTTCATGATCAATCGTAATGATGGCAATGTCAGGTTGTCTGGTTCGCTGGGTATGGAATGGAAGATTGGGAGTCCTTTGAAAAAATGCCTGGGCGGCTATCCAGTGCCATGCTCCCAACTCTTCAAAATGTCCTTCTTTCTCCGGACGAGGTCGCGTGCTCGCGGGAAACGGCGATGTCCGTGTCCTGGTTGCGCTGGAGGTTGCGCAATCACGTTTTCTCCGCTGTGTCAGGAGAGTGGGAGTGCTTTTGAGTAACGGTGTGCTTCTCCACGGTCTGGAGTTGGTTGAAGCATTCTCCAGTGGGCATTGTGCCCATGCACAGCGGCTACGACTTCGGCTTTGACCTCGCGCACCTGCAAAGCGGAACAGGAAATATTGGAACAGGATGCCTGCGAACGCTTCGCGGCAGAATTAATAATACCTAGCCAAGCTATTTTCGATTCGAAAGACTGGCCACCTGGCCCCAACCAATACCCGGAGAGCAGAAGAGAAAACGCCTTTGAACGCCAGGTCGCCCAGAATGCATCCCAAAGCTAGAGACTCTTGAAGTATGAGAAAGAGCCTCCGTACAAGCGAGAGAAGGAAGAAAAATATCAATCATACCAAGACCAGGCACATCAGCACAAGCACCGCTACACTGCATCGCACTCCTCCGCCGCGTGCCATGCCCATTTGCCGAATGCTGTAGATCATGGGGCTCAGGTAGCCGCCTGCCAATATATGCACAACGTCTGTCGGTCAATCCATCTTTCATACGGGGTATCTTAGGTGAGGAAGGTTCGTATCCATGTAGATGAGCATCGTCATATCTCCGAGAAGCGTCGCCAGTTCAGCGCTTAGCTCATTTCGGTCCGAAGACCCAGTATTGCGCTGTATACGGCACCTCGAAGGAGGATTTTTGGCCGTCGCACGTCTTGGGTTTGTTGCCTCCTGCAGTCTCAAGGCGGTAGACGGCATTGACCCCGCCCTGGCTGTTGCCATTGTCGATGAGGTGGAGCCACTTGATGGCGCCCTCGTTCTTGGTGCCGGGGCACGCCGACTTGGGAGCATCGGCGTCTGCGTTTTTCTTGACAAAAGCAAGAGGGAAGGGGTTTGCCGGAACCTTGTTCAAGGCGAATGTAGGAACTGATCCGGTGAAGTAGTGGTCGCCGAGCACGCGCTGGTAGCCCTGGACCATGAGATATCCGTCGAGCAACTTGGGGAAGTTGTGGAACTGGAGGGCAAGGCCGGAGATGGTGCCAATCTTTGCTTTCGCAAATGGATCAGAGTTGAGACGGGTGCCGATGTCGTATAGCTTTGCTGCAACACAGGTCAATTGAATGTCAACAGTGCGAGAGGGAGTTGTTACTGACCAAGTGCGCCTGTGGTGCCAGGCTCCGCAGTAGGAACGCCCGTCGTGCAAGTGTAGTTCTGTGTACCAATTCCGAGGCCAACGAACTTGAGCTGGAGGCCATCCGGTGCAGGGAGTGTGCTCTTGGGCATCATGCTCTTTAGTCTCTCCAGGTTGGGCGTCGTGTACCGTGGTTTAAGGTTCACACCCGCTGTGGGCGCAGCCGTGGTGGGAGGCGCCATAGCGGACAGAGCCAGCATGACCGAAGAAAATGTCGACAGGAGGCGCATCTTGAGCACAGAGCTGAGGTTGTAGATCAGTGGCCCGGCGGTTTGGTGCTGTGTCGATCAACGGTCCAAGGTATATATCATGGACTGATACAGAATAATGCGGGGAGGTGGCGAGTGCAGTTGCAGATTATTTTGGGACGTATATATAAATATGAATGAACTGTCAGCGGGCGCGGGCAGGGTCAGCGTGCTGAGTGTGTATGCGCGTAGTAATAAGAAGGACTCCTCCAACAGAAATTAGAACAAGCGGTGGCGTCTGTGGAGGGAAGGAGTAAAGAGGAGGGATAGAACCGCTTGGTGCTTCCCCAGCGCCAGTTACTCGTCCCGTGGAGCAAGTTGAGGCTGATGAGTGTTGTTCTTTTGCCTCGTGCGGAAACCTACGAACTTATAGGTGAAGTCCCAACCACGGCCCCAGCCGCAGAGGAACAACCCTGCCTTCTGCCGTTGAACCCACGGAGTGGTCATGGTGGTCCACGCGCGCTGCATGCATGCATTGACCCTCAAAACGCGACCTCACCGTCGACCTCCTGCCGGCCAATTTTGGTGAGACCTTTTGGTCCCTGCCATGGATTTAGTCGGATGTGCAGGGGCCCATCGCCTAGCGGAGGCGCAATCCCCAAGTTAGCGCCCCTAATACGCTGATACGCCAGATCTCGGGATCCAAAAGCAGAGGGCTGGAAGGCGGCACCGCGGGCGACTGTCAAACGTCTTTTGTCTTTGCCCCACTGAGCCGCAAGCCAACAGCAGGAGGACATTATTTTGGTCATCGTGCAACCGCTTGACGAAAAAGAGGTGAAGTACTCATGCTATGCGCGAGGGAGACCTCCATCGGTCTTTGCTATCAGGTCGTGTGTACTGCCTCATCTGCATGTCAGCTCTCAGGGCTCTGTGAAAGGGTTTCACCAGAAACCTTCGAAACGGGTACCGACTTCCCCAAACATATGAGGAGGTGACTCTCCGTAGAACCTGCAGAAGGAAAGGTTCGAGGCAAGTCCCCAGTGCCCGATTCACCCGCGGCCTGTGGGGAGGTTGGTACACCGTGCACTGCATGTGGTAGTCTTTGAATGCCGGCAAATATGCCCAAATATGGCAGGAAAATGCCAGCAAATGGTCTGATGATGACTTGGCCTGGGACTATTGAAAGCCGCAAATGCCTCGCTTCCAGCCTCAATCCTTGGTAACTAGGCTGCGGTCAGCCCATTTAGCGGATATTGGATTGCCAAATCAGACCTGGCGTGTCCAGCCAACATATTGGATTCGCTCGCGCAGTGGCCTCTTTGGCTGCATGGCCGCGAAAACGGAGGCCCTCTGCGTACTCGTGTGCGGTCTGCTTCCTGGAATCCGGTCGGATAGATTGGATGGACCTCTTGACTTGCAGCGTTCGATATTGCTTTTGCGGAGAACGCAAGATCCGAATGCAATGTCAACGTAACCCCCAGCAGGCCGTACCGTGAAGGTTGAAGGCGTAATCGAACAGGCATGTTTCTCCGCTCTGGAACGAAGTCCACATGTCTTCTCTTTCAGATGTTGGTATCAAACGCTATTGGACTGGGTGGACCTCGAATCAGTAACCAACATTTTCCCCTCTCGTTTAGCGGAGTCGCACGGCATCTGCCATCACGGACAAAGGCAATGGCTCGTGTTTCTCATCGTTGAACGTTTCGTTTTGATGTCGTTGATGTCGACAGAGACTTCGAGCCAAAACTTTACGCTGTTTCGAAACGTGTTCGAGATCCGCGGTCAAGCTTTGCGTCAAAGCTCTGACAGTTTGGCTTCAAGCGAGTGGTTTCAGGACGCCCCTGCGCAAACCTGATACAGGCACCAGTTCCTCAACGCGGATGCAGAAATGGTTTTTCCGAAAGAATGAAGAGTAAATCCGATGTGCCGGTCGAATCTGCATCGTGATGGAAAGTTAGGAGAGCAGAAGTGTCTGGCTAAGTGCTGACTGCATGTCTCCAAGTCGGCGTTCCTGCGTGTGCTTTGTGCCTTTCGAAACCCTGACACCCACCGCGACGAGCAGCTGGTAGGCTCAACCACATGCGACGTAACGTGTTGGCGGCGATTCTCTTGATTGCTATCATACCGCGCCGGAGTAGTCGGTAACGAAGCAGTCAGGCCAACACCCTATGCTGTCAGAAGATATCGGTGAGTTGGAGAAAAGCAAGCGTCGAATGTTTCCCGAGGGAGGTCCGTGCTGAGGGTGAACGACTTGCAGAGACATCACTCCATGCCATTGCTGTCTTTGACAAGGCTAGGGCATAGTTTTCCTGCGCGGAGACGACGGTTAGCAATATTGTTACCGCTTTACGCTAGTCCACCACTCTACCGAAGCCAAAGCCAACCACTCCATTACTCACCCATACCCTCTCACCCACCTGCACGGTATCAACACCAACAGTTTCCTCCATGCACATGCCCTGAATCAATGCCCACCTCCTCGTAGTACCCCTTTGCCCACCAGCGCCCACCTTGGAGCTCCTGACGCTGTGTCCCCAACGCCCAGCAAAAGGTTTCCTAAGTTCCCCTTCGTCCCAGCCTTCCCCATCTCCTTCCTTCAAAGTGGTTGCCGTGAATGCTCCAGCGGGTACACCCACAGGAGGTGTTACCCATCGGCCACCACGAAAGAAGTAGAGTGACGTGACAGTGCCTTCAGTGAGTTCGTTGCACTCGTTGTACAGAATCACTTCGACGAATCTCGGATTTTGCGGATTCGTGGGCAGTGCACGGGCGCGGGAGGTATTGTATAAATCTCTCACGGTAGTTTTGAGCAATGTAAAAGGAGAGGAGGGTGTGGCATCCTTGTCCAAGCGAAGAAGCCATTCCGCGGGTGATGCTTGAGACGGCAATGAGTCCGTGGGACCCAGCTCCAGGGCGCCTCCTGTTAGTGCAGATGGCTCAAAAGCTTTTGTTTCTGCATGTCGTTGCGCTGGATGGGGTGTAAGCTCCCTTTTCCCCGGCGGATCGAGTGAGGCTGGATATAGGTTTTGCAAAGACGTTGCAGCAACTGGTGCCAAATCTACGATCATCTTCCCACTTTTCTCAAACAGTACCCTAACTTTCAAGGGTACATCCTTCCCAGTCTCCTCAACATGTCTCTCCACTTCCTTCAGAATGGCCTTGTGCAAGGCTTCTCCATCCTGCAGTACATCCACCACAGCAGGAAACTCAAAGTGCTGGGCTGCTTCTAGAAGGCGATCCCGATGATAGACGAGCATGTAGAAAGGAGAAGGCGAAACAAAGTTCAGTGCCGGACGGGAGTTTTCGATTGACCCAAGAAGGAGAGGATCATATCGAAGAGCCGTGCAGATCAGAAACGATTCTTCCGACGTGCTCTGTGAAGATGACGCCATGCTGGAAAGACTGGAGGATGTCGTGAATATTGTGATACTGAGGCTCAATCGTCAGCAGAGATAGGAGGGGAGAAAGGAAAGAATATTGGTGAAGAACGAAGGCCGGTGAGCAGAAACTGAATTGGGTTTCCGCCTCACTGGAGCTCAGCTATTGCAATGCTGGCTCATGACGGGTAGCCCTTGAGGACTGACTGCCACGTGGCAAGCATATTCCTTGAGAGATGATCTGCCGTCCTTTTCATACTACTGGGCTCCATCAAAAATTTCCCCTAACCGACAGAGCGTTCGGGTGCGTCCCAGTTTGACAGATTCGCAAGACAGGACAGGAATCCCGCACGTTAAGCACGTTCTGCATTGTAAAAGGGCCTTCAAGTGCGGAAGCAGGAAGTATACGACGAATGCGTAAAAAAGTATGAGATAGAGTACTCACTCTATGTACGATAGTGAATACAACGAACAACGGAGTTAAAGAAATGGTAGGGCTTCGCGTCTTGGGATGACGTCCACGAAGCTTTGACCACTTTCCTTACTCATCGACGACGCGACCTAAATTTCGAGGTGAGCTCAAAGATTCGCAACACCTTCCCCTATCATCTTCATTTTCATCGCCCACTGCGCGCGTTTACTTTCCTTTCTAATCCGGTTGCCGGACTTTCTTCCAACAGCCCAATCTTCTCCATCACAACATGTCCGCCGACGCTGCTCCTCTCCCTAATAGCCCAGGGCCGTTCCCCGTCGAGATCCCTCAAGTTCCCGAATCCAGTTCGCTATGGGATCGCATAACAACATGGGCTTCAGAACACAAGGGCACCGTCTACGCAATTGCCGGCGTTACGCTTGTCGTTACGGCGGCAGGAACCATTTACTATCTTTCGGAGTCGAACAAAGATGCCTCGGCGCCCGGTGCCCCATCCACAGCCAACAAGCGGAAAACTAAGCGGGACCGCAAGAAGGCGAAGGAGCGAGCTGAGAAGGAGGCGGCTAAGGAGGAGGTGAAGGCTGGTATGGATGGTATGGATGGTACTGGGTTCGCTGAAGAACTCGTTGCTGACGTTGCTGCAGAGCCAAAGAAAGCCTCGGTAGCGCCTGCTGCGGCTGAGGACGAGCTTCCGGAGGTCGACGAAAACATTGTGCAGACGCTGTCTGAAGAGGTACAGTGGTCAGATATGACAGTGGATATACGGGATGCTGACTTTTGTAGCAACGGAAAGAATATGCCGCAAAACTCAAGGCCGCCGGAAACAAAGCATACGGTTCCAAGGAATACAATCGCGCAATTGAGCTTTATGGAAAGGCTATCCTATGTCGTCAGGATCCCGTTTTTTATTCCAACCGTGCGGCCTGCTGGAATGCAATGTCAAATTGGGAGAAGGTGATCGAGGATACGACGGCAGCCATCAACCTCGACAACGAGTATGTGAAGGCGCTGAACCGACGAGCGAACGCATACGAGCAGGTGGAGCGCAATAGTGAGGCTTTGCTGGACTACACCGCAAGCTGCATCATTGATGGGTTCCGCAACGAGGGCACCGCACACAGTGTGGAACGTCTGCTGAAGAAGGTCGCGGAGGCTAAAGGTAAGGCTATTCTGGCCGCGAAGGATAAGAAGCTGCCTAGCCCTACCTTCGTGACAAACTATCTGCAGAGTTTCAGACCTAAAGACCTGCCTGCTGGTTTGGAGGATGATGCTGAGCTGGATGAGGAGAGCGGAAAGGGACAACTCAGGAAGGGTTTGAAGGCGATGAAAACGAAGACTGCGGAGGGCTATGCAGAGGCAGCGGCAGCATTTGACAGGGCACTGGAGCTCGGCGATCTTGGGGAGCATGAGGCATTCGCGTATAACATGCGTGGCACCTTCAGGTATTTGAAGGGCGACAATGATGCTGCTCTGAAGGATATGGATAAGAGTGTGGAGCTTCAGCCTTCGCTCATCCAGAGCTACATAAAGCGTGCCAGCATGCATCTGGAGCTAGGTAAGACATTTCAAGAATATCACTCCGCGAACGTCGGTGAACTAACTGTTCTACCATAGCCAATCCTGAAGCTGCTGAAGCCGATTTCGCGGCTGCTCTCGAACACAACAAAGATGATCCCGATATCTACTACCACCGCGCCCAACTCCACTTCATCAAAGGCGAATTCGGCGAGGCGGCTAAAGACTACCAGAAGTCTATAGATCTCGACAAAGATTTCATCTTCTCGCACATCCAGCTTGGCGTCACTCAGTATAAGATGGGTAGCATCGCGTCATCCATGGCAACATTCCGTCGTTGCATAAAGAACTTCGACAAGGTTCCGGATGTGTACAATTACTACGGAGAGCTGCTGCTCGATCAGCAAAAGTACCAGGAAGCCATTGAGAAATTCGACACTGCAGTTGAGATGGAGAAGTCCACCAAGCCGATGGGTATGAACGTGTTGCCTCTGATCAACAAGGCACTCGCCCTCTTCCAATGGAAGAACGACTTCTCGGAGGCTGAGAAGCTGTGTGAGAAGGCGTTGATCAGTACGTGTATTTGTCTCACCAAGGGGAACATTCACTAATATCAAGCAGTCGATCCCGAGTGCGACATTGCCGTTGCCACCATGGCCCAGCTCCTCCTCCAACAAGGCAAGGTCACGGAGGCGCTGAAGTACTTCGAACGTGCCGCTGAGCTGTCTCGAACGGAAGGCGAGACTGTCAATGCCCTCTCCTACGCCGAGGCGACGAGGACTCAGTTGGAGGTGCAAGAGAAGTACCCGAAGCTCGCGTCGAGACTAGGCGGAATGGGTGCTGCAGGCCTTGGTGCCGGCATGCGGTAAAAAGTCCTTTCCTGGTGATTGGTATTTGACTGGTCACGCTTTCTATTTCCGTTGCACGCACTGCATGGCCTCTGTTGCTTGTACTTCATTCTCCCGATGTATTCTTTTATTTTAAGGAGGTACTCCAGGCGTTCCTTTCGTCCTGGCACCTGTCTTTAGGTTCCCGGTTGGAAGCGTGGGATGGGACGCTTTTTGGATGGCAGGCGTCGTGTATTATACAAGTCGGCGGCGGTGGTTCTATGTCACGGGCATAGACTGAGGATGTAGACGCTTGTTTTCGCAGATGTGCTGTATTGATGGACAAGCGGTGGGATGGTGGGTGGAAATGGCGAAGTAATGCATGAATGCGATCTCAACTTCTCATAATGTAATCGATTTTATGACTTGCAAACTGCTTCTCTGAGCTGTATTCTGCGCGTAATGTATCTGTCCATTGTATTGCCACCGAAACGCCTTCATGGCTGCGGAGTCGGAGACTTTTGGTTGCGAGAAGTCCGAAATCTACGATCAATGATTCAAACTTCCATAGGTCGTCGAAGGTATCGACTCCAGCATAACTCGCACTGTTTCCGCCTCGCACGATCATCCCTCCAACTTCAACAATATCGACCGCAGAGTCCCAAGAACCACGACCGTCATAAATGCAAACAGCCTCTTTCTCGCCTATTTTCTCCATCTGCAACGCTCCGCCTTCACCCCAAAGAGCCGGTAATTCACTTGTGCAACGACGGTATTCCCTCACTCGAGCTTGATTGGCTCCAGTCTAATTGTTCGGATCCAGCGACCACCGGTCATCCATGTGTTTTTGATTAACGCTTGCGTGCGTTAACCACGTGTGCACTATAAGATATACCGAGAATCTGGATGTTGTGATTTACGTCTATGATGGGAGGTGAATGTAGTGTGTCCAGTAAATGTGCCATGGGAAGCAATATTTACAATAGTGCCCCATTATTTGGGCTCTATTTGATGATGCGGCGAGAAGATAGTTGATTATAAAAGGGCATTTCGCGAGGAAACAATAACACTGTCCTGGAAAGAACCTACGCATAACGTTCAAGATGTACACGGCAGCTTTTCTGGTGCTCCTCGGGGGCATGGTAAACCAGACAGTGGCGCACTGTGAGTACCCATTACCTGAAACTATATGCATCGAGACGAAAACCTAATGGCACAGATCTCTTCGGCCATCTCATCATCAATGGCACCAAAACCCCGGCCTTTGAATACGTCAGGTAAGCCATACAGTAAATTGCCCATTCCTCTTCCCACCTCCAACCTTACATCGAGAGATATATTCCCCACCACTCCCTCTAAACAGCGAAAATCACCACCTAAATGACTTACCTCCCAGAGATGTCGACCCACCCTCCGAATACATCGACTCCATCGCATTCGGCAAAACCTACCCCCTCTGGCCGGAGGACCTCGACTCCGCAAATTTCACTTGCGGCCGCAACGCGTGGCTGTACGCGTCCAACACCTCGACCGCCACCGTGATGGCCGGATCGCAAGTGGGCATGGGCGTGATTCCGCAGATCCCCAGCTTGAAGGGGAAGTATGATAATATCTTCCACGAGGGGCCCGGGTTGGTGTACATGGCTCCGTTGAAGGGGAAGAAGACGTTGGAGGAGTGGACGGGCGAGGATGGCGAGTGGTTCAAGATTGCCGAGTGGGGTTTTTTGAACGCGACGGCTTGGGTGATTCAGAAGTGGACTGAGGTGAGTAGCTTATTCGGGAGGGTGTTTCTCAGTCGACTTTGTAAAGGTGTGGTATGGCGGCTGTTGTGAGCTAACGGACGTGATTCAGGTTAACTTTACCATCCCACTTACTACACCGCCGGGGAAGTACCTGCTCAGGATGGAGCATTTCACGTTTAGTCCTTCGATGCAGTGGTATGTCAACTGTGCGCATATCGATGTCGTTGGGCCAGGAGGAGGTCAGTCTATTTCCACGAATATTGCAATCCATTTCCGGAGCTTCATATCGGGCTTCGACAAAAGAGGCTTCAGATGCAACTGACTCCTTGATGCAGGAAACCCAACCGGCTTCGCAAAATTCCCGGGAACCTACGTTCTCAAAGATATCAGGGACAGTACGTCTGCACTAATTTCCATACCGTTAATCACTCCTCTTGATATTTACGGTAGCTTTCAAACATGCTCCTATGCTGATGTCTGTGTCTCTCTAGGATTTTACAAAGAAGGTTGGAGCCGCGACTATCGGAACTTCAGCGGATTCGGAGAGCCGCCAGTGTGGAGAGGTTGATTTATCGTGCGGTATGTGTGTTGGAAGAAGAGAAAGGGTATGTCGGGACGCATACGTTGAGGTCGATATTCGATTATACATGGATTCCTGGAACTCGTCATATACCTCTCCATCATCCCAGCCAGCCCTGTAATCATCTCCCTGCGTCCCTCAAATCCCCCTTCCCCTAGACCACTTCCCCTAGACCACTTCCCTCGCGACTCACACTCCCCTCTAACTCCCTCTATACGTCGTATACCCAAACGGCCCCAACAACACGGGAACATGAAAATGCTCCCGCCTCCCCCCACGCAGCCCCCTCTGGCACTCTTTGATACGAAACCTCACCTCCACCTCTGGAAAAAACGTATCCACTCCCCTCCCCCCAAAATAGCCCTCCGTATCGAACCGTAAACTCCACATCTGCTCTCCGCCCTCCTCGCTCTGAAACACGTTCTCGACGGAGGATGCGGAAAACGGGGAGGTGGGTGTCCACGAGGTCACGCGTCCGTCGGAATTCGTTTGCGCGGAGAAGGTGAGCGGGTTGCTGGAGAGCGAGGGAGGCGGGTTGTGGAGTGTGAGGAGGACGGGGATGGAGGGGGCGGGGCGGCCGACGGTGGTGTCGAGGACGTGGCAGGTTATCGGGGGTTTGGTTTCGGTGGTGGACATTGTTGGGGTTCGTGAGGAGGCGGAGGTCAATTGGTTTGTTATGGCGGAGAGACGGGTTGTTGGTGTGGAGCTGTTGTTGCTGGTGGTGGTGACGGTGGTGACGTCGGTGCGGTTCGTCATGCAGTTGCGTCGCTGGAGGAGGAAGATTGTTTGCGAGGGCGAATTTGACTTCTTCTGCTTGAAAATTTCAGGAACGCAGAAGAAGGGGGAATGTAGGTTACAAGAACAGTTCTCCCTCGCCGCAACAGAGCAGATGCTGTTGTCGCGTTTAGTGGATCTCCACCCCTTCCCCTCCCTTCGGCGTCCTCCGACGACCTCACAAACCCAGAATCCTCAGAACAGCGCACTTAAATATGCCCATCGCCGGGCCTCGGAGGTTATAAATTTGTGTAACCACAATTCGAGACACAACTAATTCTCCGATGACAACATGCGGTCTGTGTAACAGTGAGAAACTTGCAGAGAAATGTTTCACGTTCCAAGTCGATGGAGTTTCTCAACTCCCTGACACCCGCATGAAGACACCGCGTTGGAATTCCTCACGCACATAACATCAGACGCAGGCAATGGCCATTCAGTGATATTGACTCCGCTGGGAGAACATGAACTATCTCAACTATAGGAAACCGTGCAGTGATCGCACTTAAGAGACTCGCTTCCAAAATTCATATCCTCGGAACAAAGACCCTTGAAAAGACTAATCCATCCCCCCGTGCATGGCATAATCATCTGCCAAAGTAAAAGCCATCCTTATGATGTAAGGAGATACTAAATGGGTATCTCAGAAAGGTAGAAGCGGAAACTAGGCACAGGAAAGGAAAAAGGAAAAGAAGAACGCCAGTCATGGCTAGGACATATCTCTCCTCATCATCCGAGGCAAGCCAGGGCTCCCAATAACGCCTTTATGGACCCGTAAATAGACACATAACCAATGAATCATAGATCGCTCCGATGGTCGTCTGAGAAGGGACTTGTTGCACGTTTCGATGCGCTGCTCGTACGCTTGGATGACTCCTCGGCGATGGGCGTCATGGGCGGGCGAAGAGCGGTGCTGGAAGTGGAGGTATGGCGGCGAACCTCTGCCGGGCGTTGCTGATACTCGATCGCCGACCTGTCTGAAAACGGGCTCTGCGCTGAGGTAGGTGTGTCCTGGATATCGGTGATGTCGGAGCTGCGCAGGAGACTTCGTCGTGCACGAGAGTGCTCGTCATCATCCTCATCAGAGTCAGAGTCGACGTCGTCACCCCGACGAGCACGTGCGTGTGCAAGTCCATCGTCGGTCGAGGCAAGAGACACCTCTGTCAATGGCCGTACTGTCGGCACGAGTGTCTCTGTCGGCGTGACAGTACTGTCGCTGGTGGCTGATGCTTCTGAACTTCGCGGTGGTGTCGTCTCGGGGGTAGCCTTCTTCTTCGTGATGGTGAGCGCCCGAACAGGACCGAGGGTTGCAGTACTCCTGACAGAGTTTTGAGGACTGGGAGATGTAGAGCTATGCGGTATCTGAATACGAACGGGCTGCGCAGTGTGCTTGGGGTCAATCTGCGGTACTGGCGGGGTGCCCAGACCGGGAGTCTCTGCGGGGCTGTTGGAGCCGCTGGATTTGACACTGACAACGGCTGCTTTGCCGCGTACAATAGTTTGAGCCGGTAGCGGCGACACGATAGCGTTCTGGCGATATACAGTTGAAGCGACGCTAGCGCGTGCCAGGCTGGGTGCAATGCTCGTACGCGCGTAGCTGCTACGGACGTCGGTGGAAGTGGAGGCCATGGAGTCTCGGAAATCGGGTAGGAAGAAGTGCTGTTCCGAAGTGGAATACGGGCTGTTGAGGCCCGTAGAGGGAGACATGGCAGGAATGGGGGGAACGGGCGGTACAAGGAGGTCAGGCGATCCAGGCCCTGAGCGGTTTGTTACACCCGGGATATACGCAATCTGGATGATGTTGGACGCCCGTGTGAGAACGGATGAGGCCATGGAGGCCACGGTATGTGTCGATGCCCGCGTGTTGCGCCTGGATGCGAAGTCATGTTCGATCTTCTCCTGGTTTGATGCGTCCACCTCTTGCCAATCTGCTTCGTCATATGTCCGCCGACGGCCCTTCAAGCAGAATTTCCAAATGATGAATGTGAGCACAGCAACAAAGGCCACACCTCCAACAACACCTCCGGCTATTGCCCCAACATTCGGGCCAGAGGAGGGATTGGAATTTCCGCTCGTTGGATCGGCGCTCTGCGGAACGCACTTGACCATGGCGCAACTGTCGCAATTCCGCGGTACCTGAATGCACATTTCGTCGGGTTTGCAAGTGATGGCGGCGCAAGAGGGGCGCTGCCCGGCCTCGCAATCGACACATCGTTTGAATATGGTTCGCAGGACGTTGTCGACGTCTGGGAGTGCTGTTAGCAGATGTATTTCAAAGTATCTAGAAGGCAATCCCACACCTCTACGGGAAATGGACGCCATGTTGCCGCTAGTGGAGGACGCTGGCCCGGGTCTGAATGTCGTGGGCGAGCGGGTCTCGAAGGGACTTGGGGGCTGCTGTGCGACGTTCGTGGCTGTTGGCTGAAGGCGATGGACTGGAGGTGGTCGAAGGGGGGCCGGCCTTCGGAGCCCAGGGGCGAGACTCCACCGAAAGAGCGTATGCTGAAAGAAAGGAAAGGTAACGAGCGACTGTGGATTGCGGAGGCAGAAACGTGGTACCTCTTCTTTGTGTTGTTTGTGGTGGTGGAGGTCAGACGGGCAGCAGAGGGAGGGAGTCGTACGGAGTACTGCTGATGAGGCGGGTTCGCCCCGGATGGGTCTAGCGTGGTTTCAACGTCCAAGGAACGGGCCACGCCGCGCAAGGTTCCTGAGCGCTTGAACAAAGATGTCAACGAGTGCAAGGGCACAATAGAAAATCCCTTTTTCGAGCACCAGTCGAGGCCCGGCAGCACTCAGAGATGGTGTTCTTTCGTTCTCCGATCGACGTAAGGGGTTTCCAGCCCGTTTATGGGCTTGCTCCCACTCGCAGCTGACTAGCTTCTGTGTGCCGGCCGACGCGGATCTCGCCCTCTGGACTGTCTCCGCCTTCAGGTCCCTTGGGATGCGCCACAGGCGAAAGCCAAATCTATTTTCCGCTAGGGGAACCCCAGAATGATACAAATAAAAGGCCACTGGGAATCGGTCCTGCGTGCCACGCTCCGCCAGCCTCCTTCATCTCGGGATTTCTGTGGCATTCATCTATCAAGGATGCACATTCCCATCCGGCAATCTCTGCCCTCGCATCCGCTGCAAACAGGTGGCACAACCCCATCATCACTTCAGCTGTACTTCGCTGCTGACCGGGACAGAGGCCCCAGTCGCTGCACGACGTCACCTTTTATTATATTAGTTTTGGCGAGTCGAGGTGAAGGGGTCTTTGAGCGCTGCGGATTGGCTACAGCTCCACTGGATAAATGATCCCGCTTCTCCTGCTGAGGCTACCTCGCCTTGGCCAATATAACGATTTCAAAGCCTCCCTACTTATTGTTGCAGTACATGTGTGGGGCCGACGCAGGCTGCTGGAGAACATTGTGAACATGTTTCCTGATGCTGGGATGCTTGTTGGCTGCGTACGAACATCCAGCACCGACTCTGAGACCAACCGCGGATGGCCATATAGATCTAATCAGGCGTTCCTGGCAGAAGCTGTGCACTTTGTTCCCTTACCTACTGACTAATGACCGTTCGCTTGTTCCCCTCTGACAGATTTTGTGTGACGAAGAACGTTGCATCGATCAAACAATCGCAGCCCATATTTCAAACAATATTTCTTTCCTGTGGCTCGAACCCCACCAGGATTTGCGCACCTTCTCCTGGTTCTTCGACACTTCGAGATCGTCCCTAGGTACGGTTCGCAGTACGCCTGCAAAATATCCGAAACTTGCTCATCTCCTCTTCCATCAGCATAGCAGGATACATCACGCACATTGATAACTTCACTCTGAACATTTCAAGAATCACGTTTGATGGTTGATGTATGCGAAACGAAACATTGCGGGACTAAGGTCAAGGATTTTTGTTTGAGACCAGATTCTCCGCAGTGTCGTTTATTCGAGTTTCAACTATTGACCTTAGAACTCTGTATATAGGGACGTGGATCTTTGCTATCTCCTCGTTAGAGTCGCCCCCTTTTTTACGATATCTCTATTCAGTCTCCGTAGGCCATTTAGGTTCAATGACCTCGCGGCTTTGGGAGATCAGTGCTATATCTTGCTAAGAAAGAATGAGCTCTGCCACTCGCGCCAGTCCATTGCACCAGCTTACAATCCCCCAGCTCCTCAGCTTCTATCGAGACATGCCATATCTCGCGCAATTGCATCTTCGAATCACCTCTGCACCCCATCTACCCGGTACTGACCTGATCCCAGTCTCAATCATATCATCATTTGAAGAAGCAATCTGCCTTCGCCAGAGGCGCCAGAAGCCAACTAGCCATTCTTAAAAACACGCGATTGCCGCTGCAACGGAGTCGGTTCATACGGGGAACCGCTCTCTCACTTACAGGCTGACAGATGCATATTGACGTCGTCTTGCTCCTACTCGCTCTTCGTACTTTGCTTTATCTTGTTGGATTGGAGTGTGTGCGAAGGTCTCTGTACATGTCGCGTGGTCAACATAAAATATATGGAGCACGAGATTTGCTAGCAGTTGCTCCTGACATTGAATCTTGTACATTTACACGTCCCATGCAAACGTTTCACGGCCGTGTGCTGCAATGTTTTCATGTTCTCCTTGAGAAATTCCATTCAATACTTTCTTGCTGTGTGCGGTGTCCCCATTCTAACATTGATTCTACCTACATAACCCCCGATCTTAGGCCATGGTAAGTGGCCCACGCTGTTTCTGGACCATGTGAAGAATCGCACACAGTATTTCACGGATCCCTTCTGTGGAATACTCTCATCAGTCGGATGACGTGGAGGTTTGATGCGTCAAATCCATGAATCTGATATCACATGGGAAATGCAGAATTCTATGAATCTCCCGCAGGTGAGAATATTCGATCAAGGGCGCCTCGGCGTGCTGTGTATAGGCTGCGTAGGGCGATGTTTTGGGGGCCGGATCGATCACAGCGGTTCCCGGTGGTCCAGATGCAAGCTGGCGGCCGAGTCTACGAGAATTTGGACTTTCCACAAGTTTAATAAGATAGCGCGCGGTGCATAGTACCAGTTTTGCTGGTAGGGTAGTAGTTAAGAGCCAATGAGGTGACACTGTATCGGCGAGTGGCAGGATCCAAGCATCCACCTGCAGGCTCGTGATGAAGCATCTTACTTGTATAAGTACACCGCATGGTATGTAGGGCTGTAGGCACGGAAAAAGCGTACACATATATGGACTGGAGAGGGCGCCTGGTCGACGGAAAGACTACATGTAGCATGTTGAATTGCTGATGGATACTGAGCATTACCAATCCTGTACCCAAGCACTGTGTAGGGGAATCCACAGTACTGTACACAGTAGCATCCCAGTCGCGTGTGGTGTGGTAGACTACATAGTGGAATTTGCTCGGTTGGCTCGGTGGCAAACGGTACGAGATAGGCCGATTACGGCACTGATTCGCAGGTGAAAGACGCCGCCCTGACCAATGGCAGACGTCCAACACTTACCCGACTCCTTCGCCTGTTCTCGAGGTTAATAATGCACGCCTCTCACGTGATGGGCGCACTCTTGGCGGTCTTTATTATGTCATGACGTCTTTCCCACTCGCGGCGCAGGGCGGTTTCCCCCAAAACTCGCGAAACCCTTTTCTCCCCCTAGCTACGTCACCGCACTCACCCCCATCGACATCATCTCACGAGCCTCACTCTTTTGCAACGACCGCCTGTCTTCTCGAATACGCGGCCGGACCCAGATCTGCAGACAACCCGATATTGACGTGGTACGGCGTTTCTGGGGAAGTCGTTCGTCGACGGCCCGTTTTCTCCTGAATCCCATTGCGTCATCTTGGTCGAGGACACCACACACTGCAGCCACGCACACACAACACCCTTCGAATTCACAGCACTGCACCCCACGATCCGAAGCTGAGATAGCCCGCCGGATCGGGGGCGCGTCACAACAAGAAGAGCCGCTTCGCTGTTGCTACGGGTGAGTCGAGTCTCCCGCTCGCTCGCACCACCGCGAGAAGCGTTGCGCGGCGAGTGACCGGCCACCGTCCACATCCCACCTCCCATCTCCTCCTGCACCGCGACCGCCGGCAACAAACCCATCCCCTTAAGGCAGGCCGACCCTACTACGACTATCGTAACGGCATTCAGAAAAGCTACTCACAAGTGAACGGCAATTCTCGTGGCAAGACCAGTGATCGAATTTTGCGCGTGTCGGATTGATCCAGTGTGGAGGGAAAGGGCCGCGTACTTATACTCCCCCCCTACCCTCACAAAGACGTCATACCGTTCTCCAAGACAGCTACATCATGGCCGCCCCTTCTGTCTCTTCCCCAACCGGTGCGAAGATGTCGAGTCCGCCGACGGATTCGAAGAAGAAGTTGCCTCAGCCTGATGGTGAGTTCACTCCACCCCTTGATCCTTCCCTCCCTATCGCCATTTGCCACCGTACTTGAGCACCACACTTTGATACTCTGCCATGTACCCTTTGCACTAGTCGCCTTTACCCATCTGTGCGCACACCGTCATGGCGCTATTGAGAGATTGTGAACCGATAACACCGTGGGATCTTAGCACTCCCACGTGTACACAAGAAGAACAATGTCGCTGACCGCCTTGATAGAGCCCACCCAGGCCGACTCGAAACCAGGTATGCATTGTGCGCCTCCTTCGCCCATCTCCCATCTCGGTTCCGCTTTTGGACCACTCTCCTGTTTCCCCCGGCATGCGACGACGCTGACCTAGATTCCACAGGCACGACAAGCGCACCTGCCGATAAAGGAGCCACAGCAACTACCGCTGCTCTCGCACCTCCCCCCAAACCGCCGACCTCCACGGACGCGCCCGACTACTTTTCGCAGACACACAGTAACGCAAATCCCTTCTCGCTCGAGCCCAACGTCTTCGAGCAATCGTTCGGCAATCCCGCCGTCGAGACGCCAGGCCGCACCATTCTTCCTCCCGTTGCGAACATAACCTCCCCATCTCCACTCCTCCCTGGGATCACACCTGGTTGGCAGTCGTCGTTGCGTCAAGGTCCCCTGAGTCCTGCCATGCTATCAGGCCCTGCTGGAACTGACTACTTCGACTTCAATCGTGGCTTCCCTACCCCGAATGAATCTTGTGTGCGCACCGGTCTGACTCCTGGCGGCGGCGGTTCCATGTTCCCAGCGCCCTCGCCAAATACACAAGCCATGTTCTCTCTGCAGAGTCAGAGCGGCGTAGCGACCCCTAATACGGCCGACTTCCACCAGTCTGCCCTTCGCGCTTCGCAGATGAACCAGCACAAGTTTCCGCCCACGTCTGCCCCAACCTCACAGCCAGACACGGCCGCAGCCAGCGTGCAATCGTCTCAGAACTTCCAGCAAGGGCAAGGGTCGTCGGAGCGCAGCCAGCCTGATCCCTATGCCAACCACGATGTCAGCACGGCCGCCAATGATCTGATCTCCTTTGCAACTCAGAATGGAGCTGCCAGGAATGGCGTCCAGCCCTTCACCCTGCCTAACCAGCCGACACAAGTGAACAACCTTGGCCACATGCCCGTGCAGCCCGTGAGTCGGGACCCCGGGCGACGGGGCACGGTGGATTCGGCCATCTCGGCAGACACCGCAGACTTCTCAGAAGAGAGTGGACAGAGCGAACAGAAGACGACCACGAGGTCTCGTGCTAAGAAGGGAGCGTCCAATGGGAAGCTGGCCGCTGGTACCAAACGGAAGGCCGATGAACCCGCGAAGTCCAATTCCAGGAGAAAGACAAATAATGGTGCCGCTTCAAACAACAGTGTCAACGACTCCGAGGAGGAACGAACCAGCCCGAAGCAGGAAGACACCAAGAAGATGACCGACGAAGAGAAACGCAAAAACTTCCTCGAGAGGAACAGGTACGTGGGATTACAGTTTGCCACCGTCCTACATTAACAGTTCTGTAGGGTTGCCGCTTTGAAATGCCGCCAGCGCAAGAAGCAATGGCTTGCCAATCTACAACAGAAAGTCGAGACGTATAGTCAGGAGAATGATACCCTCCTGACGACGGTCGCTCAGCTCCGCGAGGAAATTATCAACCTGAAGACAGTCCTTCTGGCCCATAAAGACTGTTCAGTTTCAGTGCAGCAGGGACTGAGTGGTATGAACATGAACGCGTTCCTTCAACGTGGCACAGCCATTTCCGACAACCATACCAATCCCTATGGCATTGGACAGTTGGCGGCGCCTAGCGGCGTTCCAATGGGCATTCCCATGGCTCCTGGGCCCAACTTGCAGAACCGGTTCGTCTATCCCCCCTTAGGACCTGTGAAGATCGAAAGCGGAGCTTCCCCAACCCCTGCCTCCCCGCTCTTCCAGCAAACGTCAAACTTACCATTGGTCAGCTAAATGTCACAACGCGTTGCGCGGATTATCTAGACGCGGGCATCAGACGACGCGATCCCCCTTATGCTCTTTCGATGTACAACACACTCTGGTCCCAACGGTATTTGAGACACGCCCTTTGGGTTCTGCATTCGGTCGGTGTCTTCAATTCTTCGTCTTCTTTTTCCTCTTTGATTCGGCGGCGGCGTTATTCGGCAGATACAGCGATTCGGAGATGCCTCCCAGGGAACAAGGCTTCACATTTACACCCAGTGGGCGTTCAGGTCTATGGCATTACTGCCTTTTTGGCGAGGCGCCCTGGAGCTGAAGCTTTGGCTCATGCTCGCATCATTGCTGCGCTTGAGTTCGATGGGCGGGGTCGTCCGGCTGCGTACATCCGCGAGGGAAGAGTACATGCAATCTCTCGCTTTCCTCCTTACCTGTCTTTTTTTTTGATTTCGGGTTGCGGCTGGGTCCGGGCGTTAGTATACGGTTTCCGATCCTTTCATTTCTACGGCTCTTTTTGGGTTTCTTGTTATCGATGGGTGGCAATCAAAACGGTTCCGGACGGGTTTTCGATACTGGGCCCGTGTATAGGGCAAGGTAAGTGTGCGGGCGGAAGAAGTGGCCTTTTGTTCTCCCGCAACGAACCATTTTTTGTCACGTGGAATCTCTATGATGGGGCTCGACATCAACCTCGTCCTTTGTCACTCCGCCTGGATTTTCCACGCGTCGATAGTGCGATAGTTGGATATGCTATGCACGTAGGTAGCATGGAGGATGATCGGTGAGGTGAGCAGATGGCGAGAGAGTAATCGAAGCTGTTCAATTTCAAATTTGCAAGTAAGGAAAGCTTGATTAGGTGAAGTAAACAGGTGCATCAGGGTGGCGGCTCTGTCAGGGTTAGATCTAGGTTCACGCCCTCTTAACCTTGCACGAGACTTGGCCCTATAGATAGGAAATGGGAAGCTAACATGGCAAAGTGGCCGAGTTGACATTAGTGATACAGGTACTGTACATGTATATGGTGTTTTGAATTTCCATCCTGATGCCTTGACTTTGAAGGGAGAGTAGACTCTGGCATGCTCGCTCCAGGCGGACTCTTCGCGTGGCCAGGTCGCTGAGGCATTATCCGCGTACGTATGGAGGGCGAGCTTGAGCCAGAGCTGTGTACGTAGGGAGGAAGGCAGCCAGAGGCTTGCAGTCTGGGTACAGCTCGACACAGTCAGCCCGTCCGTCCCTTCCCTTCCAACCCGAATCGCCGCCATCCTGCAACTACCCCTTCGTCTGCTGCATCTGCTGCTCCAACTCGCGCAACCGCTCCACCAGCCTCTCGCGCAGGAACGGCGGTAGGCCCAGAATCCCCTCCCGGGTCACCATGCGATACGTGCCGCTGGCCTGATAGTTCCCGCTCCCACCGTCGACAAAGCGGCCGTCGCCGTCGACCTCCAGACTCCCAAAGATGTCCTCTGGCGACGCGATTCGGCCCCAATCGGGCGGATTCCGCGTATCGCTGACGTGGATCCAGCCTCCGCGATTCGCGCCTCCCGCGCCGCCCTGCGAGCTCGTCGGCCCGGCTCCTGATTCTGCTCGTCTTCTTCTGGAGCTGTGCTGTTGTTGTGCTCCTCCCCCGCCGCCGAGATTGAAACCGCCGGGGGAGGCGAAGGCGGCGGCTTGTTGTTTGATGTCCGGGTCGAGGGCGGCGTAGGTGTGGAGGACGGACTGGAGGATGGGGAGGAAGGAGGGGTTTTCGGTGAAGGTGGAGGGGGTCGGGGGGATGGAGGTTGTGGTTCCGAGGGCGAGGGAGGGGGTGGGCGGGGTGGTCGGGAGGAGGGAGAGGAGGGATTTCGTGGTGTTGGGTGTTGAGGAGGAGGGGTCGGGGTGGATGTACTGGGGGTTTTGGGTGTTAGACGCACATGTGTCCGGTGTGGATGGGGGAGGAGGGCTTACGATGTGCGGGTTGTTGGGAAGGGTGGAGACGCTTCTTGAAGCCCGGAGGCGGAGTGTGATGGGTGGTCGAAGGCTAGAGCGTGAACAGCGTGCACAGCGTGCGGTAGAGAGGAATGTGTTTGAATTCATCTTGCGAGGTGGTTATAAGGTCCGACACTGGGGATCGATCGTCGATTTTCTTGCGCCTTGCTGCCAATCGAGGCGCTCGTCTGAGAATAAGTCGGTTTGGAATCAACTACACGATGTGAAAGCTGAGGGCTCCAATACAGTGCCCTGGAGTTGGCTTAAAAGCGAACAATGCTGAAATTGTGTTTCTGGTGGATTTCCAAATATCGGACGAGATCGAAGATGATGAAACAAGAGTTCATAGCTCCCAGATCGGAGCGTAACCTCCTGGTCCGAGCGTTATTGCCAATTCAGGCATAGCGGTCTCGTGAGGTACACCCGGGCACACAAAATCAGACCATTCTTACAGTGCGGAGTAATCCAGTGTCAATTGGGACGAATAGACCTACCGGGTATATAGATGTGCTGGAGCTCTAGTAATATTTACTGCACTGTTACTACTGCACTCGCGCGCATGGTCCCGTGGAAGTCGTCGTCACGGTTACCTAGCTCAGGCCAGTGATGAGAAAATCGAGAAAATTTTGTTCACTCGATCCAAGGAGCCCAGACCCTGGTGCCAGAAACCCGGTCCCGGTGCCGGCTATTGCCGCTGTAAAAGAAGAAGACATGCGTTGAGCGTGTCGATTGTTTTCCGTTGGGAGTCATTCTGTAGTCTGTCTTAATACTTAATAAGTGAGCGGCGTGTCAATATGGGGTCCACTCCGCTTGCAAAGGACGAGATGGAACCACCTCGAGACGCGCAGAAGCATAAAGATGAGGAGCGGGATGTTGAGGTTGGACCTGAGATGGTCGATATTGATAGGATCGAGAAGGTTTACAAGTAAGTCGAAACAGTGCATCTCTTCCGTTGTTGCCATGACGTCGATATCTGATACTCAATGTCTGACAACTTCACAGGCGACTAGACAGACGGATATTGCCTGGTAAAGCCCAAGCATAGCGTACTCATCCTACGATACCGAGAAAACTGACTCTGGCAGCATTCTGGGTCCTCTACTTTCTATGCTCGGCCATCCGATCCAATGTCGGCCTCGCTCAGACCATGAACACCAGCAACGGCCATGACCTCGCTTCGCAACTCCACTTGACGCCCAAGCAAGTCTCGACTGGCCTGGCATTGTTCTACGTCTGCTATGTCATCTTTGATCTTCCCTCCAACTTGGTCATGTCCAGGCTCAGTCCGCATGTCTGGATGAGTAGGATTGTCACAGGCGTGGGTATCATCGGAATGTGCTTGACTGCCATGAAGGCGGCATGGAGCTTCTAGTAGGTCACTCCTCCACTCACTCTGAGATCAAGAAAACTGACAACGGAGAACAGCCTTCTACGGCTTCTGCTTGGTATTGTGATTGCTGGCATGTGGCCCGGTATGTCGTACTACCTCACGCTGTTCTACCCTCCATCACGTACCGGCAAACGCATTGGACGCTACTTCACTGCCGCCCAAGTCTCTGCAGCGGTCGTAGGCCTCGTTTCCGCAGGGTTCCAGAAGATGGATGGGCTTGGTGGGCTCGTCGGGTTCCAGTGGATGTTTCTCCTCTATGGCATCGTCGGAACCTTGGTTGGCATCTCGCTGCTGTGGTGGCTCCCGGATCGACCCCTTCCTCCAGGCGAGGTTCGCTCCCGCTCACGGTGGCTGAAGTGGATCCCTGAGAGCAAGCCTGCTCTGACTGGTGAAGACGCCCGGATCCACTATGAGGACCTCACCAGAGTCTATCATAGTCGGGTGTGGACGATGAAGGAGCTGTGGGCAGTCGTCACGGACTGGCGGCTCTGGCCCCTCGTGGTCATGTACTTTGGCGTCGTTGGTGTCGGAATTGGGACCCAGAGCTACGGGACAGTCATCATCAGGGGCATCAACCCAAAGTTGACGGGCGTCGAGCTTAGTCTGCTCTTTGCGCCTATCTGGATTGTGAGTGCTGTTGTTCTGTTCCCTGTCGAGCAACCCTAACCAAGAACTAGATGGACCTCATTGCTATTCTCATCGTTACTCCCATTTCTGACCGCTTTCATCATCATCGCGCTCTGTTCTTCAGCGGCGCTGTCATGATCCAGATCACGGGCCTGCTGGTTACCACCTTTGCGGGAAATGGGTCATCGTCGTGGTCGCGGTACGGTGGCCTCTTGCTGGTCGGGTTTGGGCTGGGGCCAACGGTGCCCATCTGTATGACCTGGACCAACGAGATTTTCCAGCCGCGCCACGGAGAGGTTGGTGTCGCAGCGGCCAGCGCCCTCGTGTCGGGACTGGGGAACCTGGGCAGCATTCTCACCACCTACGCCTTGTATACCGGATGGCCAGCGGATTCGGTGGGGCCTCACAAGTACCGCAAGAGCAACTTGGTCATGATCGCAATCCTCTGCGCGAGTATTGTCGCTGCTGCCACCATGGTAGCTCTTCTCAGGCTGTTTGGCAACGACAAGGCAAAGCAAATGAGCGGCGCCAGCTCGACGGGCGAGGGCGAGGCCGTCTACATTGACGGAGCGGCTCGGCGAGAGGTACATCAGCGGGGGTTAGGGCGCATGGTCTGGTCTAGGCGGCGGTGAGGTGTACAGTCTATCCCTGCTCTACCAGGTGTATACAAGTAAGTACGAATGGAAGGGAGAAAGAATCCATCGGAACCCCCTTGAGACGGTGGTCACGAGCAGCTGTCGCGTGGAGGGCTACCAGCGCTGGGATGGACGTATGCGCGTCAGCATCCCGGGCTCACGAGCGGCGGCGGGCAGTAGTAAATAGCGTGCGAATCGTCGTGGGTGAGAAATTAGATGAAGCCTTTTTTTCCGCGCCCCGCTCCCTCCACCATGGTCGTGATGCTGCTCGCCTTCTTGTCGTTGAGGATCCGCCCACCGATCAGACATCCTGGGGTGTGTCCGTGCGCTCGATTTGATGGAGCCCTGGAGGATGCGTTCATCCGCGCTGCCCCACTATGCCCAAAACAGCATCACTCGCAGCCCCGGCTTTGGGGGAAGGACTCCACCTCATCACGCCCGCCCAACAGACCACCACCACGTCCTCCAGCTTCCGTCGAGGCGCCCACGCCTTTGCTTTCTTCCGCCCGTCCAGCGCCCATCCAGTTTGCATCCTCTCCTTTCCGCTGCTTCATTCCTATTCACCGCCCGACGGCTCGCTGAAACGTCCCATCTCCCCCGCCACCCTCCGTAACCGCAACCTCCAGAGCCTCACACAGCTCAGACATTATCGTACCTAGCTACCCTTTGTACCTAGCCCCACGCCGCGTCCTACAAGCTCACAAACTATCTTTCCGGACTGGCAGCCGGCCGTCAACCCTTTTATCATCCTTTCGAGTCTCGCTGCATGGTTGCACATCGAGTGTATCCCTGAGGAGGGGCAGTGCCTTGTCCGGAAGCCGCCAGCTGTACATTTGAGCTCCAAGTCGTAAAAGCAGAGCTGTCGGAGTCGTTGCAGAGAAAGACAGACTGCCATAAGCAACACCGTCTTCCTTTTCCACTCCTAAACCGCATACCACCTCCAAAATGTCCGCAGCAATTGATAACGAGGACCTGGAGGAGCTGTCCATCTCCATCCAACCCAATAACCGCCGCAGTTCAACCCGTCCCCCTGAGCCGTCAGTCCCGGAGGCCGCCAACGACCCTCAGCAACAAGAAGAGAGACCGCACTCCGCTGTTCAGGAGACGAGGAGCAAACGCGATCCCAAGACCAGCCAGAGACTCGGACAGTACACGATTGTGCGAACGCTCGGGGAAGGGTCGTTCGGCAAGGTAAAGTTGGCCACTCACCAGGTCAGCGGGCAGAAAGTCGCACTCAAGATCATCAACAGGAAGAAGCTGGTGACTAGAGACATGGCTGGCCGGATAGAGCGCGAGATCCAGTATCTCCAGCTCCTCAGACATCCGCATATCATCAAACTGTACGTGGAGCCCCTCACGCATGAGTAACATCTACTTACCGTTTCTAGCTACACCGTCATCACCACACCGACCGAGATCATCATGGTGCTCGAATACGCCGGTGGCGAACTCTTTGACTACATCGTCCAGAACGGAAGGCTACCCGAGGACAAGGCGCGCAAGTTCTTCCAGCAGATAGTATGTGCGGTTGAATATTGCCATCGCCACAAGATTGTCCATCGTGATCTGAAGCCCGAGAATTTGCTTCTGGACGACCAGTACAACGTGAAGATTGCCGATTTCGGTCTGAGCAACATCATGACGGACGGCAATTTCTTGAAGACGAGCTGCGGCAGCCCCAACTACGCCGCTCCAGAGGTCATCTCCGGAAAGCTGTATGCCGGCCCCGAAGTCGATGTCTGGAGCTGCGGCGTTATTCTCTATGTCCTCTTAGTCGGACGTCTCCCCTTCGACGACGACTACATACCCACCCTGTTCAAGAAGATTGCCGCAGGAAGCTATAGTATCCCCAACTACGTCTCCCCTGGTGCTGTGTCCCTAATCAAGCGGATGCTCACTGTGAACCCAGTCCACCGGATAACCATCGAAGACATCCGCGAAGATCCCTGGTTCCTCAAGGACCTGCCGCCTTATCTTGCGCTTCCCCGCCAGGAGTTCTTTGATACAGGCGTCGATCCAAACAAGGCCATCGATCCAAAGAGTCTGGCTCCTTCACAACCTCCTGCAATTGCCGAGAAGCTCCATGAGGTGGTTGTAGGCAAACTGGGCAAGACGATGGGGTACTCGAAACATGATGTGCAAGAGGCGCTGGCACATGATGAACCGAGTGCAATCAAGGATGCATATCTGATTGTGAGGGAGAATCAGATCATGAAGGAGAGCCGTAAGTCTCGCTTTCCTGCTTCTTACCGCAACCGTGGCTGATACGATGCACAGCTCTCCTGACCAAAGAAAAGGGACTAGAGTCCTTCATGGCCCAGTCGCCCCCCACTTACAGCACCAGCTACATGGGCACATCAATACCGGAAAGGATGGCCTCCGCGACTCGTCCACAGGTCATCCAACCTTCAGCAGATCACGAACGTCATCGGCAAGGCTCCAACGCGAGCAACCATATTGCCAACCTTCGAAGCCCTGTCAGCACCATTGCTGTTCTGCCGAGCAGCCTGCCGGACTATCACAAAGCCTTCATGGAAGGAAAGCCGAAGCCCCCTCCACCTCCGGAAGCCGAATCGCCCATGGGCGCACAAACAAGCGAACAACGCGCTGCCCAGGCACGGCGTCTCCGGCCCAATTTCCGAGCAATGCCTGATCCCGGTAGACAACGGCCCGAGCCGCTGACTGCACTTCCCACCAAGAAGCCCAAACCTACGAGATGGCAGTTTGGTATCCGGTCTCGAAACGCACCGGCTGAGGCCATGTTGGCTATCTACAAAGCTTTAAAGGCAATGGGTGCTGACTGGGAAGTGCCCAAGTATCGCAGACCTGGAAGTAGTCGATCTCGCAGCCGCAGCGGGTCTCCAGAGAGGTCTCGCTCCCGCTCGAGATCGGAAAGTCGGTCGCGCAGCCCATCCATCGACTCCCGCTCTTCTGAAGGTGAGGAGTATATCTCTGACCGCTCTCGTTCTCCCGACCGCCGGGGACCGCTGTCCGTCCGCAACTCTACCGATGGAGACCACTTGCAGCGGCCCCGCGGTCGTCAACGCAGACACTACAGCAGGAGTAATGACTGGGGGTATAAGATACCCAAGGATCCGTGGGTCATCAATGCGCGGTTCCGAAAGGACGGCTTGTTACCTCCTGGCGTGGCACACCCGTCGTCCACGCACTCCTCCCGCGCAGATCTCAACGTCGATCCTGCAGCTGCACGACGCCGCAGCTCAACGAATACTAGCCACTCTAGCCTGACTCACCAGGCTGAGGCCTTGGGCGGCGCGAGCGACCAACTGCAGCAGGCACAGCAGCAGCCTCCACGCCCTGGCTCCGTAACCAGCGAATCTCATCCCTCTCCTAGTCCCAACAAAGACAAACACTCTTCTTCCTCGGCCGAAGAAGCAGTCTACGTCTATATGTCCATCCAGCTCTACAGCATCGATCGCGAGTTCTTCGTCGTGGACTTCAAGTGCGCCGGGTACGAGCGGTTGATTAATAATCTGGTTAGGGAGATCAAGGCTACGAGCTCGACGGGTATGGGGACGAGGGATACGTCGGCATCGAACCTCCCGCTTGAGGGGAAACAACAGCAGCAGGCGCAGGGAGAGCAGCAACAGCACCATCACCATCACCAGCATCACCAGCATGAAGATGGCTGGGACGACCAACGCGGCGTATGGCGCCGTCTCGCTGAAGGGGAGCCGTTACCAGAGGATTTAGCGGCTCAGCTTAGGGAAGGGACTGGCAAGGGGGTCTTGAGAGAAAGACATGAGGAAGTGGGTGTGGGAAGAGTGCAGGGCGAGAAGAGGGCAACGAGCCCGTTTCCATTCCTGGATGTTGCGAGTCAGTTGATTCTGACGTTGAGTGGGGAGTAGTAAACGAGTGAGGGGAGGATGACGAGAGAGGAGGATGGGAGGGCATTATGAGTGACGGAAGAGGCAGGGGAGGGTAGGTAGAGTGGAAGCGATGTAGTTGTAGATCTGAAGTGCTTGCGGACATTGGCCACAACAATGTATAGCGACAGCCGTCAACCGTTGTTTGTTTCTCTGAAAATCTTGACCCTTGAGTTCTTTTATCAGCATGAGAAGGTGATTGCATATACCATGTAGAGAGAGGGCAATAAGGTGTGCGGGCGTCCATCTGTCTTGGCATATAGATCTATCGCAAGAGGTTGGGTCTCTTCGCAACCCACCACTCCTCAACTCCACCGTCACCACCATGACCGCTGACCAAGATGGCTCAACCAGCGCCAGTGGCCGCTCCCAATCCGGCAGCGCATCCTCCTCCCCCCGCCCCGTTTCCGTCCTCTTCGTCTGCCTAGGCAATATCTGTCCGTCACCCGCTTGCTCAGCCGGTTCCATTCTCCAGGAAAGAACTAACACCCAAGTACAGGCCGCTCCACAATGTCCGAAGGCGTGTTCCAATCCCTCACCCAACCGGCGAACGGTAAACCGCACCACCCGCTCATCTCGTGCATCGACTCGTGCGGCACGGGCGCCTACCACGTTGGCGACGCACCGGACCCGCGCACCATGGCCACGCTGCGCAAGAACGGCATCACGCAGTACAGGCACCGGGCGCGCAAGTTCCGGCACCCGGAGGATTGGGACGAGTTCGATTACATCCTGGCCATGGACGACGACAACCTGGAGGATCTGCAGCGGTTGCGGGCGCGCGAGGTGAAGAGGCGGGGTGGTGATGAAGAGGGGATGGGGAAGTGCATGTTGTTTGGGGAGTTTGGGGGCAGGAAGAGGAGGGGCGGGAGGGGGGAGGAGGTGGTGGATCCGTATTATGGTGGTGGTGAGGGGTTTGAGGCTGCGTTTGAGCAGGCGGGGAGGTTTTCGAGGGCTTTCTTGGAGGAGTTGGAGGCGGGACGGTTGAGTTAGGGCGGAGGAGAAGTGGAAGCAAGGGAGGGAGAGGGAGAGGAAGAGATGGTGATATGATACCCTGATGGAACTCTGTATTGTGTATCGAGGATCTGCTATCGAATCCCAGCCATTCGATTGGTAGTGGAGACTGCGCCTTGGGAGTGCAATGATGCGGGATGCAAACTTTTATGCTATTGACGCCACATGCCTTCAAATGTTTAGCTACGGCTTCGTCTGTGGCAAGGAATTCCCTTGGAAGAAGACTGCGGTCTCGATGGGGAGATAGTTCATGTACAGCCCCAGACTATAAACGGCCAGCTGAACGTTGACCTTCAAGCTCAAACCTCACGACGGATACATTGGGCACCGGATACTCTTGAGAATCAGAAAGCAGACAGTACTACTGGAGAAAACGACTATCCAAGAGACACTCGTCTGTATGGACTGACGAATTCGACTTGTACGTCGCCTCACCACGCGGCCGCGTCATAGGTCCCCTTTGGATTCGAATTCTTTAATAAATATAGAACTCCCCACGGCTCCTCCCACTCCCGCAAGTGTGGCGCAGTCACCCCAGCTCCCAGTTCTCCCAGTTCTCATGCTGCATGCGCCACATTTTGGGATCAAGTTTCGCGCTGCTTGGCGGAGAAGCCAAAGGATTGTTAGGCTGAGATGGTTGGGAGTGCGCTGAAGGCTCGGGGAGTCCTCGTCTTCTTTTATGAAGCTGCAATCCCGACTTGTCCTTGATCTTGGGAATTTTTGCTACCTCAAAGTTCTGTTGCCCCACCTCTCCGGTTCAACGAACGGTTGCTGTGGTGCCCTAGGTAAACAAGCCCGGGACCCCTTGATCGACGTACGACTCCACCAAGTCTCCTGAAACGGTGCCATTCTAGCCTTAATCGCTCCTTGCTCGCTGTCTGGATATTCGCTCCTTGCCCTCCCCCGTTCGCTGCTTATATCACTGGGCCATAACTGGTAGAGTTGACGCGGTAGTGTTGCGTGGGCGCAGCAAGTGACGCGGTCAGATTCCTTCCAGGGTAAAGAATGGCTGGGTACAATCGCCTAGGTGAGTGAATGTTCCGCTGATCTACTGGGAGGGGGTGACGAAGACGAAGCATATCGACATATCATTACTATCCCTGCTCGGGCAGCTGCTTGCATTCACCCTTTGGTTACGGACGTTGTCGCATCTTCTCATCCTCACATTCCCTTGACTTCAACCCTCGTTACACACGTTTGCGCGCATAGGAAACAACAAAGAGCTAACCACGGCGCTGCGCAGGCTCCATCGGACACGAAGAAAACTACTCTCCTGTCATGGATCCTCGAAGACCGGGGCGCTCGCCGTCTCCCGGCCAACCTTTACAAAGCTACCAGCTCGAAGATCGATATCACCCGAGTTCTGCGCCTCTGGAGATTCCAATGGGACCTGGTCCAGGCCCAGGGACTCCAAGCGACAGGCTGCAATTACAACCGACTGTGAGCATGGGAGTGAAATGGTCTGAGGCCATGGCTGACGGCGACGCAGTACTCGGTAGAAAACATTCCCTACGGTCCCGGTGACTACCATGACGACTATCACACACAAGATTACTCCCTCGACCCCCAGGCGCACGCAGACACATACTATCAACCGCCGTACCAGCCCTCCCCGCACGACGAAAACCCGGGATATGGGACACAGCCAGACCACTACTGGCAGGACGATGACGATAGGCGACCCATGATCCAGGGCGCAAATACATTCGGCCCCGATCCCCACGATATACCAGAGGAGGTCCCAGGCGGCCATCACTACGAATCCAGACCTACTCCTAGTCCTGCGCCTATTAAGCGGTGGAAGACAGTCAAGCAGGTCCAACTCTTCAAAGGAAATCTCGTACTCGACTGCCCGATCCCTCCTCGGTTGCTGAACCAAGTCCCGCACGCCCAACCCCCCGAGCGTGACGAATTCACGCATATGCGCTATTCGGCGGCTACATGCGATCCCGCAGACTTCGCTGCCGAGCGCTTTACCCTGCGCCAGAAGCTGTTCGCGAAGCCGAGGCATACGGAGCTTTTCATTGTGATCACCATGTACAACGAGGAGGATGAGTTGTTTGCGCGGACCATGATGGGTGTGATTAAGAATATCGAGTATATGAATTCGCGCACGAATAGCAAGACGTGGGGCAAGGATGCGTGGAAGAAGATTGTTGTGTGCGTTGTCAGTGACGGGCGTGCAAAGATCAATCCCAGGACGAGGGCTGTGCTTGCGGCCCTGGGAGTGTATCAGGACGGGATCGCGAAGCAGCAGGTCAATGGCAAGGATGTGACGGCGCACATCTACGAGGTTCGTTGACTATCCTTGTCCAGGGTCATAGCTAACGGATGTCAGTATACTACTCAGATGACGCTCGATATCAAGAAGGGCGTTGTCAACGTCAAGAAAGGCAACACTCCGGTCCAGATGCTCTTCTGCTTGAAAGAAAAGAACCAGAAGAAGATCAACTCGCACAGGTGGTTCTTCCAGGCTTTCGGCACCGTCTTGGATCCCAATATCTGCGTCTTGATTGATGCGGGAACCAAACCTGGCAAAGATTCTGTCTACCAGCTATGGAAGGCGTTCGATCTTGAACCCATGTGTGCCGGCGCATGTGGTGAAATCAAGGCCATGCTCGTGGGAGGCAAGAAGCTGTTCAACCCGCTTGTGGCTACGCAGAATTTTGAGTACAAGATGAGCAACATCCTGGACAAACCACTGGAATCGGCTTTTGGTTTCATTACCGTGTTGCCTGGCGCGTTTTCGGCTTATCGCTACGTGGCGCTCCAGAACGACAAGACTGGTAATGGACCGCTGGAGAAGTACTTCGCGGGAGAGAAGATGCATGGAGCCAATGCGGGCATCTTCACTGCGAATATGTACTTGGCCGAAGATCGTATCTTGTGTTTTGAACTCGTCTCCAAGAGAAACTGCCACTGGATCCTGCAATATGTCAAGTCATCCACTGGCGAGACGGATGTACCCACGGAAATGGCCGACTTTATCCTGCAACGACGAAGATGGCTGAACGGCAGTTTCTTTGCCGCTGTGTACGCATTGGCTCACTCGTTCGACATCTTCCGAAGCGACCATTCCTTCGCCCGTAAGATGATATTCCTCGTCGAATTCACCTATCAGACCATCAGCATGCTCTTTGCTTGGTTCGCCCTGGGTAATTTCTTCCTGGTCTTCCGCATCCTGACCTCGTCGCTGGCGCAGGAAATCGGCACGGCTGGAAAAGTCCTTTTTATAATATTCGAATGGCTTTACATCGCCGTGCTAATCACCTGCTTCATCCTAGCGCTGGGAAATCGGCCCCAGGGATCCAACAAGTTCTACATGACCATGGTGTACTTCTGGGCCCTCATCATGGCGTACCTCATGTTCGCGTCCATCTTCATCACGGTCAAGTCGGTTCAATCGCAGATTCGAGAGAACAATGGTTTCAATATTGCCGACATCTTCAAGGACAAGATCTTTTTCACCGTCATAGTGTCGCTGGCATCGACCTACGCTATGTGGCTCGTCGTTTCCATCATCTTCCTGGATCCTTGGCACATGTTCACCTCCTTCATACAGTATCTGCTCATGACGCCGACGTATATCAACATTCTCAACGTGTACGCTTTCTGCAACACACACGATATCACTTGGGGAACGAAGGGCGACGATAAGCCTGAGAAGCTCCCGTCCGTTACCACGAAAGCAGACGGCAAGGCGGATATCCAAGCTCCGACCGACGACGCCGATCTCAACACGCAGTACGAGGCCGAGCTGCGTGCATTCGGCACCAAGTATGTGGAACCAAAGAAGGTCCCATCTGCCCAGGATAAGCAAGAAGACTACTACAAGGGATTCCGTTCGAGCGTTGTCCTCTTCTGGATGTTCTGCAATCTAGGTCTTTGCGCGATTGTCCTGCAGTCGGGTGGTCTCGAAGTCACCGTCTCGAATGCGGATGAGGCGGCCAAGAAGAAGAGCGAAGCTGCGACTATCTACTTGGCCGTTGTGCTCTGGAGTGTGGCTGGTCTGAGCGCATTTAGGTTCATTGGCGCTATGTGGTTCTTGGTCGTACGGATGGTGAGTCTTCTTCAACGTGATTTTTTGGAGCTTCCAGACTAACATAATGTCAGTTCCGCGGCGTGTAGACATTGCACTCGGGCTTCACCGGCTAACCGTCTGGCGTTTTACCTAGGATGGGCACGGGCTTGGCGCGTCATGGTTTGACACGTTTGGCGGACTCAGGAATGGGTGTGTTTGATCTATGTGCGAGGGTGGACTCTGTATGAATCGATGATACCATTGGCTTTACGAATTGCAATGGGTTTAGATAAGTATGGGTATTCTAATGATCACCTGCCTTGCCATATTCTCGTCGTCTCTCCTTCTAGCGGTTTGGTCGTGTTTGCTGTTGGTTACCTTGTCAGACAAACCGGGAAGGAGCAACACCACAGAACCGTGCAAGCCTCCGCATTCACTTGCCCTTTCTCTCTCCCCGCCCTCCTTCTCTTCATTCACCGACACTCTTCTCTCTCTTTCACCGTCTCTCGCCAGTTTCGCGCTCTGGAGTCTGTCTCTTCTCGCCGTTGCACCCTCATGCGTCAACTCTCAGACAAGGCGTTTACAAGTCCGACTTTCCAATTGCCAACGACCTCTTTAGCAGCACCCAGCCAGAAGCTTCCTGAGTGGTACGTGCGGCACAACGCGTAAATATTCGATTCCGCCACCTTCTTTCCTTCTTCCCTTCTTTCTCTCACCCGCTCTCCCTCTACCTTTTCCCTTTCGATACCACATCACCATCGTATATTGCCTCCTAGCCATTAGAACTCTTTGCTGACTGCAAAAGGACTCCAGCTATCTCACCTCACGCTTTGACGAGGTGAGAGCGTCAAGTTTACAGAGACTGCACCTTCATCGCAACTGAATCCGTCGGCATCATGAGCTGGAAGGCTGAAGGTACGTGCAATTACTCGGTTTCTCCCACTGATCTCATCTGCACAGTTGAGATAGCAGCCTTGACTCACCTCGCACGCTCTCAGCTCGAGCTTCTTGTGCTGACTTACCTTAGGAGACGACGCCTGGAACGGAGGCGGCGGCGATACCTGGAACAGCGGCGACAACAACGGCAACGCTGACACTTGGAATGGCGGCGGTGCCACCAACGGAGGCGGCGACAACGGATGGGGTGGTGGTGATTCTGGAGGTGGTCCTGGCAATGGTGGCGAGTCGGGTCCCAAGACCTGCCGCATGTGAGTTACTTCTGCTTGTCACTGAAGAAAAATTTTCTGACCGTATGCAGCTGCCAAAGCCCCGATCATCTCGCTCGCGAGTGCCCAGAGAAGCCTGCCGGTGGTGGGCTGGCTGGTGAGTGCTTCAACTGTGGCGAGGTTGGACACAACAAGGCAGGCTGCACGAATCCCAGGGTTGAACGTCCGTTCTCCCGCACCTGCAACCTCTGCAGCGAGGAGGGTCACTCCGCTCGCAATTGTCCCAAGCAGGAATGCAAGCTTTGCAAGCAAGAGGGTCACAAGGCTGCCGACTGCAAGAATCGCCGCATGACCGACTGGACTGGCGTTCCCGAGCTCGGGGCCCAGGAGGCTTGGATTGCCCTAGTCGATGCTGCTAAGGAGAAGGACTTGGATGCGTTCCGTGTCGCCCTCAGGGCCTACGCTCGCTCGCTCGACGACAAGTTCAACCTCCAGGACGTCGAAAACGCTCTTCGCGAGGACAACCTTCCGTTCTTCCTCATTGCCAAGAAGCAGGAGATCGAGAAGAACCACACCATCGTTGATCTCATTGGCAACCCGGGCAGAGAGTACGTTCTGTCTATCCAGCTCTCTGACAAGCCCCGTCGCAAGGTCATGGCTACGGGATGGCCGGAGTCGCGTGAGGAGAATCTCGCCCGCCTTGCTTCTTGTGGCATTCCTCAAGACATTGGAGTTCCCCTCTGTGGAAACTGTGGTGGTAAGTGATAATCTATTCATTAAAGATGAAATTCCCGACTAATCGTCTCCTAGAGCTCGGTCATATTCGCAAGCATTGCAAGGAGGAGCAAGTCGAGCGTGAGAAGCCCGCCCCCGTCATCAAGTGCGTCTACTGCCAAGAGGAAGGCCATCGTGCTCGTGACTGTCCTCAAGAGCGCGTCAACCGCTTCGCCTGCAAGAACTGCAAGCAGGAGGGCCATAACGCCAAGGAGTGCCCCGAGCCTCGTTCGGCTGAGGGTGTCGAGTGCCGCCGCTGCAACGAGATGGGCCACTTCTCCAAGGACTGCCCCAACATGCAGGATCGCCCTCCTCGCACCTGTCGCAACTGCGGCTCTGAGGAGCATATGGCCAAGGACTGCACCGAGCCCCGTAACCCTGATACTGTCAAGTGCCGCAACTGCGACAAGGTTGGCCATTTCACCAGGGACTGCCCCGATCCCAAGGACTGGAGCAAGGTCAAGTGCAACAACTGTGGTGAGATGGGTCATACGATCAAGCGCTGCAAGGCCGCTGTCGAAGACAATGCTGGTGATGACAAGGGCTTTGGCGATACTGGCGGCGCTGTTCAAAGTTCTGGAGGATGGAACAACGAGGAGGACGGCGCAGCCGGTGGTGGCTGGTAAGCAGTCCAACAAGGCAAACGGCCGTGACCATCCCTATGGACTGCAAGGCAAACACATGGAGGAGATGAACTGCTACGGATTTGGATGATGACTACTATGGGTCTCGTGGATGGCTACTACGGAGCACGAGAATGTTTCACATGCGATATGGGTGAGTTTCTGACTGTGTGGCAATTTCAGGCGGAGGAGATTGTCCAGATTTCGGAATACGTAGCCAATATATGAACGCATGAATTTCAAAATGTGGGCGCTTACTAGGATGATGTGTGTCTTATGTTCATATTAAGTAGATAAGGTGTACATGAAACGCCGAATGCGAAGTCTGAGGCGCAAAACCTAGGACCCGGAACCAAGAGCTGGGAATGCAGCGATTGGTACGAGAATAGCACGATACTCAATTCAAAAACAAGCCGGTGAAACAGATTACAAGATTTAAACTCGCGGAGTCGTCTCGCCATCCTCTTCCTGGGCCCAATGTCATGCATGCCCGCCCATTCGAACCAGCCTTCAAGAATCCCAAATGGGCCCATAAGCCCTCACACGCCTTTGCTCCAGACCACTGACCAATCTGCGTGTCAGGGCCTTGTTACTCAGAACAAAAACGGCTTCAGCGCCCACTTCTGCGGCTACGGTCTCGCAGAGGCGGATCAGTTGTGTGGGTGATAGTCTTCTTCCTCTTCCTCTTCCTCTTGCACTCCTCGCACCACCCATCCTGTTTCTCTCCTTTGACGAGTTCGAAGCGTCCGAAGCGGAAGGGGACGTGGCAGGGGAAAAGAAGGAGGAGGGAGCCAGTGGTGCTGTAGCCGAAGAAGAAGTGTCCAGGATAATGGCACCGGGGTCCACAGCCCGAACGTCCCTCATGATCGCCGCTCCGAACGTCTCGCGCGGTGCGCGGGTCGACCAGATCAGTCGTGCGGATTGACCCGGGGGACGATCGAGGAGCGAGGAGAGCGAGGGGCCGATGCCGGATCCCGTCGTGAAGAGGACGATGCGCGGGAAGAGGGTGGTGAGGGAGAGGACGCCGGCGCGGGGGTGGCCGCGGGTGTAGAGAGAGATGGTGGGGAGGTGATGAGGGAAGGTGGTGGGTGATGTCGTAGTGGCACATGAGCAAGTCTTTCTGTCAGGCACGCTTCTGATCAAAGCTTTCGTCCAGTCCCCGGCTGCCGAGACGATGATACTCGCACCTCTCCTCCTAGTCCTTGCCCCGGCAGCAGCACCATCCTGCTTCCCGTCTTCGCATACCTCCTCCTCCTCCTCCCCCGTATCGGGAAACGTTGCAAACGGATGCCACTCCCTCCACGGAGCATCCGAGACGCTCAGGCACGAGAACCGATGGACCGGGTGCGTGAAGTGCAGCCTCACTGCATGCGAGGACAGTTTCTCGGCGTGGAAGGTCCATTTGCGGAGTCGGAGCCAGGGATAGACGAGCAGGATGGTGATGGCGACGAGGTTGAGGAAGGTGGGTTGTCTGACCAGAAGGGTGGGGAAACTGGATATTGAAGAAGAGGATGATGAGGTAGGGGATGACGACAGTTGCGCCTCATGCTTCGTAAGAAGAACCAGCTGCACCCAAAACAGCGCAATGCTGGCCCAGCCCAGAAACCGGTGCGACAGCTCAAACGCGTCGTGGTGCGCAAACCGAACCTGCGGCATCGCGAGGAGCAATAGGATCGTCAAGAGCATCACTATCGCCCACGTCACCACCACCACAGGCAGTGTATACAGTCCTGCATCGAGAAACCGCGTCGTTAGCAGGGCCGTGAAAACGAGGAACCACATCGTCCCCGCCACCGCCGCACCGCTGTGAATCCCTCCGTACGAATAGACGCGGGCGACCATGTGGCGGAGTCGAAGGGGTACGGACCACGGGACCAGCCATGCGGAGCGGAAGAGGAGGTTGATGGCGAAGTCTTGACGGATGAGGATTGCGACGAGGAAGTTGGTTGAGGACCAGGTGGCGAGGTTGGAGAGGCTGATGGAGTCGATGGGTTCGCGGAGGACGAGGACAGCGCCGGTGATATTGGCGAGGAAGATGACGGAGAAGATGCGGCGGTAGACGTTGAAGAGGGTGTAGCGGAGTTTGCGGAGGAGGCATTTGTAGCGTTTGGGAGGGGAGACGTGTGCGTCGTTATCCGAGGAGTTGGAGAATGGCAATTCCTTCAGCGCCGCTAATGAAGGGAATGTCCAGGAACTGTAATCCAAGGAATTCTGCCGACATCTCGACGGTCGGTAATGTATGATTGCCTTCTCTAGCTGAACACCCTTCTCGAATGAAGCCATGGGATTGTCAGGATCGAAATGGAGACTTGTGTGAATAGCATAGAGTGGCGATCTCGGGGGCTTGCAGGAGTTGTCCTTTAGCACGCAGCATCCAGGAAATGTTGCGGAGTCCGTAGGTTGCACACGGCATGCGCAATGACCGGTCATTGAGTTGTTGTTTAAAACTTTCCGACGCGCAGCATGCGACCGCCGGAGAATTCTGCTGTGTGACTACTTGAGACGACGAGTTGACAAACACAGCAGAAAAAGAAGCGAAGCGGGCAGAGACGATAAGAAGAGAAATAAGTTCAACGTGGTAAGGGATGAGTGGCGGGTATATCTCCTTTTACAAGCGCATTTAGCGATCGGCATGTCGAATGGAGCGGGATAGTCTACTCCCACGTGGAATGTGTTTTTCGGCGGACAACGGCATGCATCACCATGTCGGTTTGAGACACTTCAATATACACCAGTCTAGATAGGGATGCTGAAGCGCCGATTTCAGTTGCACGATGGTGCTGTGCTCGCCGTTAGCTATGATTCTGGCCACATCTGGTGATGTACAGACGCGGAGATAGGTTGGGGTAGAGATGCGATGCGTCGAGGGATGAGGGATGATGCATTCCATATCCCGCTTCCACGTGGCTGAAGGCATGTTGAGGTTCGACTGAGAGCATGGTCAGTCATTTCAGAGAGTTTGAAAACTTCGGTATATACTTGCCACTACGGGCTCTCCCTACATCTCGAGAGCGAGATCCATCTAGCAGTAGCAGTCGAACAATCCGGATAAACTCTAGTAGCAGCAACGGCCAGAGTGCGCCATGGTTGTCCGCGTTCCACAGACAAAAGTCCGAGCGTCGTCACACACGCTGCAAGTCCTGACGCGGGGGGAGGGGGGCCACAGGCTTCAGCGTGCATACCTCCGGAGTGCTGGGAGGCAAGATACTGAAGACAGCTCGAACAATTAAATGTTCTGATGAAATGAAGGGAGGCAGCATGATATTGCCAGGCTTATGAACGGATCTATGGATGTTCAGACAGATAGTAACATCAGGCTTGAGTCAGCGAGGCCCAATAATCACAGAGAGGAGGGGACGCACCTGGGATATGATTTCTCATTTCTCATATCAAGCTAGTTCCCCTGCAAGTCAGTATTCGGACCTGGTTCTCGGAACTTGCACCAGGATTGCAGGATTTGTCATTCGTTGCACCAAAGGGAGTCTCATAAGAGATTTCCTCACTCGAGCGATTTGAGAGCGGACAGAAGTCCACCTCCGCCGGTGCTATCCGACTTGGTCGAAGGCCGAAACATTATCGCCCGACATGGAAAGGGTGCAGAATCAGAGGCAGGGCGGCGGAAGCTATGTCGCTTGTGTAACTTCACCAAGAGCGCCGGACGCAAATCCCGTGTAACCTGTGCTATGTGGAACCTGAAATGCATGCCTATTCCGTTCAGTGAGGCATAACCCTGGCATTAATCCCGATGCGAGAATGAAGAGAGAATTCATTGCATAAGCAAAAAGCCAGCAAGATAGAAGATATGATATATTGGATAATGGTCAATAAGAGCTGAAATTGCACTCTTCTAGGCAACTATGTGAAAGGGATAAATCGAACCCAGACCTTGTGGGAAGTATGTGAAGCCATATGAGATGATGGTTGCTGTAAGAAATGGAACCAATAAAACCCACTGATAGATTGCAAATATGTGAAATTCGAAGGGGAATAATGAAATGCTCCGTCGACAAGAGAGAAGCGGAAGCCTTGGCGGCTGCCTACGAACCAGCGCGTCTCACATGGGCTCGCCTTCGGGCTTGATGGAGATGTAATTCGCTTTCAAGAAGTTTCGTTCCCTGGCAGTACGCTTGTAGAGAAATGCCAGCAGTGTCTTGTCAACCCTCTTTTCGATCAGCTCAAAGGCCTTCAAGTCGGCGTCGTTAGCGGCTAGAGCTTGTATGACGAGGTCTCGAAGGACTATCGGAGCATTCGCCTCGCCAAGCACATAGTCGAACACAGTGGGTACGATATCATTGAAATGCGCATTAACCACTGCAGACGGTTCGCTGACATGCGATTTCTCCAGAAGGCCTCTGAGACTGTTGCCTGCGACTTCAGCAGACACCAAAGCCGAGTGCATGGCATTTGAGAGCGTATCCATGCAGGCCTTTGAAAGCTCACGAATCTCCAGCCTCTCACAAAGAGAATGGATCTTGCACAGATGAGCGGCATCTTCGTATCTCAATTCGTGGTTGGTAAGCCAGAAAAGAATGGAGAATACTGTTCGCCTGTCGGCACCCTGTAGAAGGATACGGCCTTGGGCAGCCGCTTTAAGTTTGTCCTGGCGAGCGTTGCCCCTTTCGGTGAGGTGAATTTTTCTGAGCACTCTATACAGCTCGAGTGCAAGACTTCGTACGCCGATTGCAGTGAACTGATTCAAGCGTTCAGTCAAAGGCAGATCAACGGGAGCTTTATTCTTGACCCCTCCCTTGGTCTGAGGCATCTTCATCTTCTTCGCATCCGGAAACACGTTCGTTTCAGCATATTGTTTGAGGTATTTACGAATGATCGGCTGATATTCTTCCTGCGGATATTGCGTCAAGCAGCTTCGCACCAACCGGACCGCCTATCGATGATTAGCCTATGCTTCTGCACGCCGAAATGCATTGCAAACCTCGATGGTGTCGTCATCTGAGAAAGCTTCAGCAGCAACTTCGGGCATGATGACTGATTTCAGGTGGGCTTTGATAGCCTTGGCCTCTTCGTAGACCTTGCGGAGGCTCTCGGCTTCGGTAAATAACTCTGTCACAACTTTACTGCAGCGCTGAAGGGGTCCGAGATAGACCCAATAATGCTCTTTCAACCCCTCGCCGAATTCTAATTTGATTGTGGTCCTGAAGGGATCACTTCCCAATTAGTGAGACGGGCGAGGAGATACACCATGTCGCAATTACTCACATTTCCCGCTGAGACTCATGTGCATGATCAGCTGCTAGAAGGGCGGCTTCCACACCGTCACCGTTGACGGAAGGTGAAGCCTCGTAATCGAACTCCGATGGAGCGAGGCTCAGTGGAGTCTGGCCCAAAGGTTGGTCAGGAGAGGGTTGCCCACTCGGGACCTGGCTCTGTGGACGTAAAGAATCCTGTCCCCCTGGTTGTGGTGTCTGGGTGGGCTGTCGAGTCATCGTGTTTTTGACACGGTAAGAGAGATGCAGACCACGGTAAAAGAGAGTAAGGTTGACCAGTGTACGGTCCGTGGTGGTGCTGAGCAGACTGTATTTGTGTCTGTCACCGATCAATCGATTTCGTGGGAGAAATGCCTAGAGGGTGGTCGCCTTCGATAAGAAGTAGCAAAGGACGTTCGATTGAGGATAGAGGACTAGGGAGAAGGAAGGCAGTAAGAGATGCTAAATCTGAGGGGAAAGTGTCGAAGTACGGAATTGAGAGTGAGTAAAGAGGTAAAGAGTAGGGTAAAGGGTATTTAAACTGAGTAGGAAGAAGTAATGGAAGTCAATGGTCAATGGTAAAAGAAGCGGTAGGGGATAGAGGAAAGGAGAAGAAGTCGAGAGTAAGCCAATCACCCTTAAGAAGTAACGAGGATGGGTGGTCGTGTAGTGCATGTAAGATGGAAGGAAGAGATGGCTAGGTCAGTCTGATAGGATCCACGATCGATTAAGGTGAGAAGCGTGGACAGAGGAGGCGAGGGAGGTGGCATATACTCTTCCGAGTTCCATCTTGACGGCACACTTACCGCCGTTCCCAGGAAGCGGTGAAGCATACACCAAGGCACCAGAGGCAGACTCTGGTGCTACTACACAAGATTAGCATACTCAACGCAGACCTAGGCCCTGCTACGTCAAATGTATGGCAGATGTCGACATGCGAAGGACAACATAGAGCCCCTAAATTGTGCATCATTACACATGCCGCCGAACGAGCTTGATTATTGCAGACGGCCACACTTATTAGTCCGTCGTATGTCGGCCTCCCAGACCGTGAAAAGATGAGATGAAAGCAGTGATGTAGAAGAGTGAATGTTCGACGTCGAAATAAAGCTCCACAGACCCCTGTCTCCTGGTCCGTGCAGCCGCCCCGCCGGTCAACATCCAAACACGACCACCAACGTAGAACGCGTGCGTACATCGCAACCACGAGCGAGATTGCGGAGCTGAAGTCTTGGGATGGCCAATTTCAATCATGATCGCGTACAACACGCTTTAAATGAGCTCCTCATACGCATAGTCCCTGAATACCCCGACGAAGACGAGGAGGCGGCCAATGATAGATTCGAAGAAGCATTCGACTATGCGCTGAACGAGTTAACAACAGCGCCAGAGCCCTCCGTAGCCCCAGATATAAATCATGTGGCGGATCTGATTGACAGTAAAAGTGAGTTCCCCTGGCAGACTGGGAGGCTGCCTGCTAAATGCTCCCAGTTTCCCATAACGAAGATGGCTCATATAGCAGCGCTCGATTTCAGAACCTCCTCTCCCGTCTTCTCGCCCAGCCGGTTTTGGACCAAAAATGGCGCATGCTTCACTTTCTGTATAACCTCTCCGATCTACCATCCGACGCAGACCTTCCTGACCAAGTCCCCGGGCACTCGCGCTTTCCTACCACACCTACCAAACCCCACGGGACTCACACCGCCGCCCTTGGTAGCCCTGCCTTCAAAGAGGCCTTCTCGAAACCAGGACTATCACATATACCAGTCAATAGTGGCTCACCCAAGGCAGCACCTCAGCCGGCTCCCCTTGTTGACAGAACATTGAAACGGAGAGACAGGACAAAACAGCAAGTGAGCAGAGAAGAGTCGGTGGATGCTGGGGCGTCGGAAGAGCCCAAGGCCGTCTCTGGTCCCACTGAGCCTGCTCTTCTCCGTGACCTGCCCTTCACGCTCCAAGGTGTATCATCAACTAATCTAGTGTTCGCATCGTCAACCGCTCTCAAGCTCCCGCCGACCCTCACCGTGCCGCTTATAAGCCTCCTCCACACACTCGCCGAACCGTCACTTTTATATCGCGGGCTGTCCGAATTCGTTGAATCGGCAGAAGGTGGACTTGTTGGGCAAAGCTTTCGATCAGCTCTAGGGAAGGAGCTACGGTCATACCTGGGGCTAGTCGCTACCTTAGAAGGCCAAATTCGGAGGGCACTGGCGCAGCTGGACGAGTCGCAACCACATCACGGTCTTGGAAAAGCTGGAGTTACACTGAAACGATGCGTCATATGGACCCGAGAAGCCACAATGGGATTACGATTAATGAGTTTATTGGTGGAAGAGTCGAAAGATAAGAAAGGAGGCCAACTTATATCCCTCATTCATTCATTTTCCCTGACCCATGGCGATCCGTACGTCTGCGGATTTGCTGAGCGCCTTTTGACGCATGTTACACGGCCATTCTACGACATGCTCCGGCAATGGATATACGACGGCGAACTGGCAGATCCCTTTGGCGAATTTTTCGTCTCCGAGCAAAGTGAGGATGAGATCAACGAGGCGAACGGAAAGGAGGACAAAGGCGGAGCAACCAGTGTCTGGGAGGACAAGTATAAACTCAATGAGCGGATGATGCCCTCAATCATCACCGAGGAGTTTGCAAACAAAGTCTTCCTCATAGGCAAGACGCTGAATTTCATCCGCTACGGGTGCGGCGATGCGGCATGGGTAGACACATACTCCAGGGACGCATCTAAAGAGCTACACTACGGCGACACAGCGAACCTAGAGCGGTCGATTGGGGATGCCTACAAAACCACCATGGCACGCCTCATTGACCTTATGGCGAATAAGTTCAGGCTGTTCGAGCATCTAAAGGCGTTGAAGAGGTACCTTTTACTCGGCGCTGGCGACTTCATTGCCGTGCTCATGGAATCACTCTCGCAAAACCTCGACCGTCCAGCGAACACTCAATACCGCCACACCCTTACAGCGCAACTGGAGCATGCAGTACGCAACTCGAACGCCCAATTCGACTCTCCCGATGTCCTCCGCCGCCTTGATGCACGCATGCTGGAGTTGTCCCATGGCGAGATTGGGTGGGACGTCTTCACTTTAGAGTATAAGATCGATGCCCCTGTAGACGTCATCGTCACGCCCTTTGGTTCCAAGCAGTACCTCAAAGTGTTCAATTTTCTCTGGCGCGTTAAGCGGGTAGAGTTCGCTCTCGGATCAACCTGGCGCCGCATGATGACTGGTGCTCGTGGTGTCCTGGCAACAGTGTCGGACAAGGTGGGCGTGGACTGGAAGAAAGCGCACTGTGCGGTGGCGGAAATGATCCATTTCGTCACGCAGCTGCAGTACTATATCCTCTTCGAAGTTATTGAGTCCTCCTGGAACGAACTCCAAGAGGCGCTTAATAAGCCTGAAAGTACGCTTGACGACCTCATAGAAGCGCATGCAAAGTACCTCATGAATATCACTCGGAAGGGATTACTGGGTAGCCAGAGCACGGATTTCACTGGGCAGTTACATGAGCTGCTGAAGATTATGCTGGCCTATAAGGATGCTGTCGATGGCCTGTATTCGTTCTCCGTCGCTGAGTTCACGCGGAGGCAAGAACACGTGGCGAAAATCGAAACGCGAACGGCCGCCGGACAATGGGGTCTCTCAGAAAAGGATACATCTGACTCCCCCGACCTGTCGACCTCCCGCCGCTCCTCGAAACGGGCAGACCCCACTGACTCCCCCTTCCCACCCCCTCTTCTCTCAATAGGCGGCAAGAGCGGCAAATCGGGTCTCACAGGCGAAGATGACATCCTGCCGGCCCTCCGGAAACGGTTAGCCAACCTGATTGTGGATTTTAGAGCTAGGGTAAATGTCTTGCTTGGGGATCTGATCCATCAGCCAGACCATGATATGCGCTGGTTAGCCATGGTGATGAACTTCAATGATGTGTATCAGCCGGTGAGACGGAGGCGGAAGACGGATAAGAGGAGGGAGGCTATTGCTGGGAAAGAGAAGGAGGGTGTAACGCCTCAACCGCCTGTGACGACGGCTCTCAAAGCGGCCAAGGGAGAAAAAGGGACGAGCTAATGGATTGCTTGGTGCGTCGGGTTTCTGATATTGGGCGTTCGGCATCGCATACATCATGTTTGTGGTTCTTATTTGCATTGGTTATAGGATAAGGGATGGCTTAGGAAGACATAGAACGAGGATACCCATATTACGGCGCTGAAGAGCACGTCTGGCGGGCACATCAAGGAATGTCAATTCTGGTTGCGTCCCCAGCAAATGTCAAATCCTCAATGCATGATCGTCGAATTACACCTTCACGAAATCAAGCGTTTTATTGATAAAAATCTCCGTCTATGGAATACGCATGTCTATCCATCACCCCTATTTCATGATGCCTTCGCCGCCGCCGCAGCCTCCTTCTCCCGCTTCTTCCTCTCGACCTCGGCCAACTTCGCCAACTTCTTCTGCTGGTTCTTCGTCAAGGGCTTGCCATCCTCATCCACAGCGGGTGCTCCATCAACCTCCTTCTCTGTGGCACTCGTCTTCGGCTTCGTAGGATTTGGATTCCCCCTCCACTCCAACTTCCTCGGCCGCAAGTACTCCTCCAAGACCTCGTCCGTGATTTTCGCCCTCGCCTCCTGGAACTTCTTCACATACGCCGTCATCATGTTTATGCACTCTTTTTTCATCTCTCCCGTCAACATGATGCCCTTTTTGTAATCCTCGGCAAACTTTGCAATCTTCTCGTCATCATCTTCGAAGTACGTCAGATATTGATACGGCACATCGATATCCGGGTTGCCGCCCTTCTCGCGATGTAATTCGAGCGTCTCCTGCCCTCCGGAAAACGCATGCTTGTTAATCTTGTTCTTGATCTGCTTTTCCGTGTCGGACATGTATATCGCGGAATTGGGATTCGAGGCGCTCATCTTGCCGCCCGCCCCTTGCAGCGAAGTCAGGAACTTGGAGTGGATGAGCGCGGGTTTAGGACTGGGGTTGTCCATTCTCGAGCAATTCTCGCGGACGATGCGGAAATAGGGGTCTTGGTCGATGGCGCAGGGAATGAGGCAGGGCATCGCTGCTAGTTGTTTCGAGCGGCGGTACGTCTTATGATCCTCACCGAAGATGAAGGGGTATGAGGACGCAAAGGCGGCCACGCACTGTTTCGCGGCGAAAGCGTTGGCGCCGATGTTGGTGGACCCATCGAATCCAAAGGCGCCGCGGACCTGGTTGTTTGTGATGAGTTTCTCGAATTCGGTGCTGTTGAGGCTGAAGTGGCGGTTGTATCCTGAGGTGAAGAATTCCGAGTCGATGAAGATGAAGGTCTTTTTGACATCGAAGCCAATGGAAATGATGTCCTTTGCGTTGTCTCGCGCGAATTGGTACACTTCCTCTTGCTTTAGCTTCTCCTTGAAGAGGAATTTCTCGTCGTCTGTTAACATGATGACGAGCGGTACGTCGAAGACATCTTGAAGATATTTGGTGAATTCGAAAGGTATCGTATGTCCTATGTGCATGGAATCGCTACTGGGGCCGCGTCCAGTATACAAAAGGAACGTCTCTCCCCTCTCGTATGCATCCAGAATGAGTTCCAGGTCGCGGTGAGAGAAGAACAAGCCTCTCCGTAACCAGCGGTGGGGCTTGTGGCCTGTTACCCGCTCGAACCGCTCCAGCAGCGCACCGTCAATCAGTTTTGTGTTCCATTTCTCTGATATGGCCTTGTAGTCAAACTCCAAGACGTTGCCCTGCTCGTCGGTCGCCGCGTGCACATCCCACGGATTGATCTCTTGCTCGGTCGCTTTCGCTACGGGCTGAGTCGCGGTCTCGGCAAGGCTGAGAGCAGCAACGGAGGGAGGCTCTGGCTCAGTCATGGCGATATACTGAGGATTTGGTTGTTCGAACGAGAGGAATGCGACTGTGTTCAGAAACATAAATTGCGCCGAGTCATACTACGGCGACACTAAATGCGGAAGACACCGCCACATGTGCCCCGCAAAAAGGCACGCGCACCGCCACGCTTCCGGAACCCCATCGCCGAGCCCCCGACAGCAGGCAAAACTCGTGACTGTCGTCAGAGCTCCTCTTCCGCATCCTCATCAGCCCTGCTGTCGTCAGACCACCTCCCCGTCCGCTCCTTGTGCTGCTCCCCCTTCCATACAGCTCCGCCCAATTGTTGCCGGACAATTGGACGCCCCCGATCATGCCAGCACAGCCTCTCAGATAGTCGAACGCGCTGCTCGGATCTCTTTAGCTTTCACCTTCTCTTTTCGACGATTTTCCCAACACGTAATCCACGCTCAAAATGGTCAAATTCTACTCCTCAACCGACACTCTATCGTATCCATTCCCCGCCGTCACTCTCGCCTACTTCCTACGGTACCCCAATCCGTATTCCACACACGTCGTCTCCACGGACACCATCTCGCGGCACTATGACCCCGAAACGCAGCAACTCACAACGGTCCGGCTCCACCTGAAGCGCTCCAAACTCCCGTCCGCCGTCCTCCGACTCGTTCCTCGCTCCCTCCTCGGTGCCTCAGCCAGCGGCGACACACAATCGTACATTTTGGAAAAATCAGTCGTCGACATCAGGAACGGGCGCATGGACACGGAATCCCGGAATCTGGAGTGGACAGGCGTGCTCAGCGTCGTTGAACGTCAATCTTTCATACGGCCGTTTCCCGAGGCCGAGAAGGACGCCCAGATGTGGAAGGGCATGGAGAATGCAGCCCGACGGCACGGCTTCCTCGCCTTCGGCCCTGACGCAAAGGTTCAAGATACGGGTGAATCGACGGACGTGCACAGCTCAGTAACCTTACACTCGCACATCGGCGAGAAGTGGAGAAAGAAGCGCGCTCCGGAGGACGGAGGAGAAGGCGAGGAGGAGCCACCGCAAAAAGTGGGCTTCTTCAATCGCTGGGGCACCGCTTCCCTTCAACGCAGCATCGAAATGATTGGCCTCAAGCGTGCCCGACGAAGCCAGCCCAACGCAAAAGAAGGCATGAAGGTTGTCCTCGAACGTATGCGCGAGGGAGGACTCGTCGCGGTCCTGGAGGGCATGCGGAAAGATCGTGAAGCCATTCTCCACGGCGGCCACCATCATCACGCTTTCAAGAACAGCCGCAGTCCGAACGACGATGACGACTAGTCCGCTTACCTTGGCGCAAGGGTCTTGTATTTCAGCAAATGTTGGAATCCCTGTAGCATAGGCGTGTGCGCAGGGAGATAGGGTGTTCTTGTTTGGTTTTAGCGAAGGCGTTTTCGGTTCCCTCTCCCTCACACCTCATGTTCTTCTTTTCGCGGTGTCTTACTAGCTTTCGTCTCTTTGCCTTTAGCAGCGTATCCGTTTCCCCGCCAAGTCCATTCGTTTGGCTGAGGAGGAGATCAGAGCGCCGGGCGGGAAACGTTTTTGTGTGTATTATATCACGAGGTTGTTTTTGGGTTGTGGGATTGTTTTATTTGCATTGAATGAGAATGAACATGCTTCTCTCGAATAACAGCTCAGTTCTCGTGATATATTTTGTTCCCCACCTGCGTCTCAATGAGCAAGCGACGGAGAAGGGGATATCGGGAAGCACGCAGCAGATTCAGTCAGTCTACTGCATTCCCGAATATCACCACTCGGATGACGTCCACTCAACGTGAACACATTGGGGTCCCAAAACGCTACCACTTAGAAGCATGCCAACTGAAGGGGATTAACTGGAGAGCGGAGTGTGCGAGGATGTTGGGGAGAAGGTTGGAGGGATTTCTGAGAGATCGCGGAACAGGGTTATACGTGGTTACGGGAGAGGCGGATGAGGACCGAGGGTTAGGCGCTGGGTGACGCTGTGAGACGTATTTTAAGGAGTGTGAATTGCGAACCGACATAAGGCAATACGGATCAGGCGATAAGGGAACGTCGGGCGGACTCAACAGTGTGGTGGTGACGAAACCAACGTACTGACCATGTCCATGACAATGGTGGTATAATGCAGTCTATCTATACCGTGATTCCAATGCAAACGATGCCAATGCCAGTGCCAATGTGTCCAATACCCATGCGCACTCAAATGCGGTGCCAATTGCTATGCAGCCCAGCTCCTAGGGAACAATGAAACGCCTAACGCACGATAAAAGTACACATTCGGTGGCCAACCAGCTGAGCTCCGCACATGTTGAGGCACAGTTGGAGATGGCAAAGTGGAGAAGAAGGGTATCCCGCGATGCAACAAGAACGATGCTTTGAGAAACTGGGAGAAAACGAAATGCCAATACATCATTTGATGTTCAGAAACAAACTAGACATCAGAGAGGAAACCATTTTACAGTTCATGTCTAGGAGCGAAGAGAAATCGCCATGCCGATGCACTATCCAACACGGGCGAAAGGAGATGCAAAATGTGAAACATAAACGTCATGAAGATTGGAAAATAATCGAAACTGAACAGGGGGTGGGGAGACAAGCGAGATGCTCATCTATCCCGAGAAAATATACAGAACCGAAGTAAGAACGAAGCAAACGAAACAGACCGTAAATATGTACCTTAAATAGCCCAGCCTTCCCATCCTCTTCCCATGAGCTTATCAAGGACGGCTACGACGCCATCGAGGACTTCACCGAGCCCGTCACCTCCACGGCCAGAGCCAGCACATGATGGAAGTGACCCAATTACGCTGTCAGGGCCTTCGACTGCGCCGTCATGGAGGTGCCCTTGTAGCCACTGCAGAAGCGCCCCGCAGCCCTGCTGCCAGAAGGTGACGTCGCGCGGCCATGGCGATTCTATTCCAAGCAGGCTGGATTCGAGCAGCGCGTTTTCAAGAAAGTTAAGTGAGGCCGTGGAGCAATCAGTATATACAACACTGTTACACGTGGGCTGAGTCCCTGTAAGAGAAGCATTCGAAAACCCGGCGCTTCCAGGATGTGTGAGAGCCGGCGATTGTGCTATCGACGTGGGAATCGCAGTGAGCTGACCCGACGGTACCGGAAAGTTGCAATCGGCTCCCTGGGACGTGAGCGGCGAGTGTGACCCATACCGCACAGACTGTGGGTGGGCTTGCGACGCGTTAAGACGAGTGGTCGAACCGACTGTGACCGCCCAAAGAACAAGGACCGCGAAGTATAGGGCCATATCTGAGCCTATTTCGGGGCTGAGCTGCTCCGGTGCCGCGTTGATAGCATGCTGTAGCAATGCGATTGACAACCTCAAGGCATCTTTCGCAGGTTGAGGTTGGCTGTCAGCTATAGGAGCCCAGAGTCCAGCAAGCCAGACCCGCAGCGTCGACCTCAGGGATTGGAACATTGCCGGCGAAGGGACCTTCTCACTGAGGATCCACGACTCGCCGGATACTGCAAGGAGCGCGCGGACTGGGATGACTTGTAGGAGTTGGGCAGTGAGAAGCGCATGCTTAGTCGCCGGCGAGCTCTCCACCAGATGGTCAATTCCGGGCAGCGTCCGGGGCGAGCGGTAAACGGCAGGATCATTGAAGTGATTGTGATAGGCGGCAATCAGCAGTAGAGATTGGAAATGGTCCAACGGTTCGAAGTTGACATCGGCCACAATTTCGAAGACATGTGTCGGCAGGTGCGCATATTGCTGTGCGGCCATTGCCCAGTCAAGCGGAGTCTCTGCTTCCCACAGTGAGAAGTGGCAAGGAAGGGGTAGATCGTAGCCTGTTAGCGCGATCATGGAAGGCTGCGGTGGGCGAGCCAGTAGAACGGCCTGCTGGTATTCGAGGATGTAGCAGCAGAGGAATAGGCGCTGTTGGGTGGCGAGGTCGATCCATTGCTGCCAGGATTCATAGTCAGCATCTGGCCGATGGCCGAGCGATGTGAGCGTCTCGGCCAGCTTGGATGTCGTGGCTCTGGCATCTTGGGAGAGCTTCCCCTTTGTCAGTTGAGATTTCGCAGTAGAAAGGGATAGACCCACTCTTTGGTACAGGCGCTGAAACCGGGGCGAAAGGGTCTTTGCCGTCCGTCGGGCTCGGTATTGAGAGAAGACCTCGATGAGGAACACGGCTTGATGGTCGCAGGGTCGATCAGGGTCGTACAACTCGACATCTCTCTGCGCCTGAGTCAGCTGACAAATCCTCTCGGCTCCAGCAGATTCCGTACCTTGTCCAATAGCTTCAAGCATCGATCATGCAGAATGCGGGCTCTGCGTTTGGCGCTGGGTTCGGACGAATATTGGGCGCCGATGGCGATCATTGCTGCACGAAGCATCGGCGAATCGTTTAGGCGGGCAAAGGTAGGTCGATGGACGACGGGAAAAGAGGGGTGAAGCAGTCTCCAGTAATTGTCAAGATATTGTTCAAACGGAAAAGTATTTGCGAGTTGGCCCATACCGAAAGACTGCTCGGGGAACAGATGCGCTTGTTCCTCTTCATCCCATTGCGCCATCGACTTGGGGCCGAACTGCGCATACTCCCCCATCGGATCCCCTCCCGCCATAGGCATGGTCGCAGCTGGGTAGGATGTGGCATTAATATAGGGGTGGCTAGCCGACACCGGCTTATCACTCGAAGGCCATACGTATGCCATGGTCGACGTCGCGGAGGCCGGGGAGTGCGAAGGGTAACCCCAGGGTTCGACGAATGATGCGTTCGAAGAGGTGCGCGTACGGCTCGAGCCGGGTCCGTAGGGAGGGTTCGCGAACATGTTTGTGTAGTCGCTGGTGCCGGGAATCGGAGAAGCGTAGCCGCTCGAGGACGAATAATTAGGGGATTGGGTGAAGGGATCAGCCCAGGGAATGCTCGTTCCCAGTTCGTCGACCTGAACTGGGATGGTCACGGTTGTTTGCCGCGACACATATGGACGCTGCTTCATATGACTGAACGCGAGTCAGCGACCACTCCACTCCAGAGTCGAAAGAACGAGAAAGGAAAGAGAAATGGCTTTTGATGTATAGTTGAAACTCACTTAGGAATTGACGAACGAGAAAAAGGAGAACCGAGGAGAGGAGCAAAAGCGGAAGAAGGAAGTTGAGGAGTGAGGAATGGATTTGAGGTATACCTTGGAGGTGTTGTCGCCTCCGGGAGTGGAGAGACGGTCTGCGGGTAGTAGGAAGTTGGCTGCGGAGGAAAGGAGGTTACAATTGGGGTTGTGATAGGGACGGATGCGGTGACCTGAGGTTCCGAATCGGGGGCAGTGCCCTGGCTAACGTATGAATTCCGGCGGACGCCCTTTTCAATCTCATTGCTTTTACCAACAGTTAGCATTTCTGAGTTTGGTGATCCTGTGACATGTCTTACTGTCTCTCCTGGTGTCTCTGCAGCAGATCCAGTCTGAAGAAGGTCTTCCCGCATTCTGGGTATTCGCAGAGGAGGGGAGTAGGCGCATGGTTTTTCTGATGTCGCCTGCGGTGGGATGACTGGTTAGTTGCGACCGGACACTGGGCATTGGGCGAATCTACCTGAGATGCTCGGCGCGAGTGTAGGACTGGAAGAAGTGTCAGTGTATGATTGCACAGAATAAGACCTAGACGTACCCTCCCACACTCGCAGTTGTGAACCTTCAAACCCTTCTTCGCTTTGCTGATACGACCGGTCCTTGTATAATTGACAGTGGGCAACTCCGGTGGCATGTGAGAAGGACTGGCGGACCGTTTCATGGTCGAGCTATTGCCACGGGAGGAGCCGGTATGGGGACCCAGCGATGCCTCTTTCCTGTTAGCTGGACGACGTCGAGACGAAGTTGACTTGGTGCCGCCGACACGCTCGTCAGATGACTGTGAAGTGGTACGTTTACGGCGGAGGGAGGATGGCTGAGATGTGGATGTGCCTTCGGGATGTTGGACGTGTGAAGCCAATGGGTGGCCGGATGTCTCAGTGGGAGCCGACATTGTTGGAGGTGGCGAAGGAGCAGTATATACTCTAAAGGCGAGGGGGGCCGGGAAGGAATAGTAGGCTGGTTGAGTAGTGGTGGGGCAGGATAAGGATGAAGACAGAGGAGCGGCGAACGATGCGAATGGGGTGTCACGACAGACGGCTAGAGACGAGCGGGCATGTCTTGGGAATGCGGCGGAGTGAAGAACCCTGAAGATGTAGGGCGTACTCGAGTCTTGGTGGGACGAGATGATGGATTAAAGACGATTTGGGGCCGGGGTCGGGGAGTTGTCGAGGCGGTTGAGCCAGCCAGAAAAGTAGCAGCGCGGTTCCAAATCGAGTTCCGACGATAGACGCAGAGGCGCTGCGCCAACGCGTGTGGTGCTTGTTGGACTAGAAATATCTCGGGCTGTGTAGGAGCCAAGCACGGCGGCTACTAAGCTTGGTAGCGAGGGGGGCAGAGGCCGCGGGAGGAGCAAAGGAGCAGAGGCAGAGGCCATGATGAGCAGAGAAAGGTGCTGCTGCAGGCGTGCTGCAGGTCCCGAGTCGCCCTGCCATTCATGGGGACGAGAGTTCGTGGGTGGTGGCATCAGAGACATGGGGGAGGAGGGAGCTCGGGACGGTCCAGGGTTGGTGCACGCACTGGCGACGGCTGTCATTAGGCGATCTGGTCAGGGCCCTGGAAAGCTTGAGGCCACGGGCAGGGCAGGACGGCGACGAGGGCTTGCGAACGGCGGGCAGCCAGCAGAGACGCAGGGAGCAGCAGACGGCGGGAGCTCCAAAAATGGGACGAAGCGTCGAGGACGGCTGCTAAAAGGAGGGCCTGTGGCTTTTTTGGAGGTGAGCACCGAATCAGGAATGGTCGTCTTCGGCCCAAAATAGACCAACCTGTGAGAGGCGGGTGGCAGCCCGAAGGATTCACCACAAGCGCTGCCATCACTTCTTGTTGCAATAATGCCATGCCATGCTCCAACTGGCGTGGTGCAAAGTCGACCAGCCAACTTTCAGAGCGGACGAGGATCGCTGCTCAGTACACAGTAGAGTGCAGTAGTGCGGCCCTGGAGCAGGTATGCGGATGCGTTACTGTATGGGCAGGCGTCTGAGGGGAGACTCGCCGACGACGACGACGACCGGGCATCTCAAGACGGCGACGTGACGGCGCGTTGGGAGGGAGGCACGTTGGCAACCTCAGTCGAAGGAGAGCAGTTCGCGAACGTCGAGTGAGGTTTGCAACGGCTGAAACGGCGAGGCTGCATGGTGATTGGATCGGTGGGTGGTGTGGTGGACGTGTGAAAGGACAGTCAGCACGGTGTGGTGTCTCTCCGTTCCCCTGGCCGCCAAGCCGAGCTAATCTCCGCACGGACGACGACGAATGCACCCAGGTGGGGATAGACCAAGACCACAACCTTTTCGGAACCTGTCCTCCCCTTCTTCTTGATAATCATAAACAACGCCAACAGAGTCTAACGGCGAAGCGACGAGGCTACTCAGGGACCATACGTCAGGCTCCGGACTTTTCTCACAACGGCGCGTCTCTCCAACGGCGGAGTGGCCGTTTGCAATTGGAATCGCCAGTCCGCTATCGAGTCTCTAGGTACACTGTCCTTTCTCTACATGGCATAGCTTGACAATCGGCTACGCGGCGCCGGGGGCAGAGGCCCGTCTGCCCGTTGGCAAGGCTGTACTGGTCTGGCATTCTGTGTTCTGCTCAGATTCTGCATCATTATTGAAGAAATCGTCGTCATGCCAACACGTCTCCCACAACAAGAACCTGTACTTGTAGATTCATCTCATCAGCTACCGGACGCAACCCGACCTGCAGGATTGAGCCGGAACAGCCGGAACCTTGATCAACCACGGTACTGTGAAGGGGTGAAACTGCCCGGCACGTGCTGGACCCAGCCCGCTCGCAATCCATTCCCCCGCGCACGCCCACGTTGCCAGCGGCTCAGGGCTGGACATGGTCTCCCAAGCCGCCGGGAGCTTGTGCAGCCCGTTCGGCATGGCACAACGGCCCTCGTCGGGAATCTCACGGCATCGCTCGCAGGTGCCAGGAGTCAGTCTCACGGTCGACTTGTCGAGTTTCGCAAGTGCAACCGATCCTCTCGACGTGGCACTAGACCCCATTCACCTCCAGCTGGACTGCTTCTGCTTGGGCTAATGGCGAGCGCGTCGCGGCAACGCATGTAAGCCTCACCAGCTTTGGAGGTTACAGGTGACGAGCTGGACGGTCCGCCCTGGCGCTTAACGACAGGACGCTCTTCGTCAACTCGCCAGCCGGCGCATGGGTTTGGAATTCCGAATTCCAAGTCGCCAGGCGAAAGGCACTTGGACGAAAGTGGCAAACGGTGGGATTTGTGCCAAAAGAGGCTGGCTCCAACGTCTGCGTACATGCCAGCTGGTCCCGTCTAGAGCTTGCGGGGACTCGGGGGATACGGGACAGAGGGCTCGAGCAGCGATCGTTATCAAGCTTTGCGTGTTGTTGTTTATTTGCGGCCCTGCTGTATGCGCAAGGAGCTCGAGGCTGACTACCCTGCCTACTCGATGGGACTTACGGCGAGGGTGCCAGTTCGTCGGCATATCTATCATTCTGCCCGATCGACCCACGGCAATATCTGCCAGGCTTGCGACTTCCTCGTCGGTGTCCCAATCGGGTCGCCATCATCTGCACACCACCTCAGGGCGCACGGCCATGTACTACACCGCTGGCACGGCTCCTGAGTCCTGAGACAGGTACTCTGCAGCGGAACCTCAACGTCCAGCCCAGCGAGCAATCAACCTGACGCGTTCACGATCCTTCCGGAACCTGCACGTGGGTTATGGGGTGCCGGTGATGGGGTTTCGGTATCACCGCAGGAGGCAGGCTGCATGAAGTCCGCTGCAGCGTGACGGGCGACAGCAGCGATGCACTTTCCACCTGCCCCAATAAGTGCAATCCTTCGACGTGCTCCAGACGCTCTCAGAGGCCAGCATGCTAGATGCCGATATTTAACTGTCGACGGGCCCCGCCAGCGGCCAACATGCTCCCATGAGAGGACCCGTGAGACATGGCCAATGGTATAGCCAAGTTGCTTGTATTCATGAGACATGCTCGGACCCGGTCACCTGCGACGGAGTCGGCTTCATCACCTTGACGACATAGGGGTACAGCGCTGCTCGAGACCGACTGACATCTGCACCTTGCACCTCGAGTTTTCTGCGCACGACTCGGCAACAGACAATGTCGAACCCAACGCTATATGCCTCTAATTGAGGATAATCGGATGCAACAACCGTCCAACGCCTAGTTTCTATGGTACGACGCGTCAAGGAGTGGGTCGCGCATACTGGCACGGTAGTAATAATTTCCACCTACAGGCTTCATGGTAGATAAAGAAAGCGATTACATACTGGTATATTGTCGGTAGTCCAAGTGCCTAGTTAGTAGTGGCATTCGGATATCCACCTAGCAAATTGCCGAAGCGCCCGTCTACTAGCCGCGGCTTCACAGCGCAGCGTCATGAAGGAAATTTGTTGATCATGAACACTGAATGCAACAACACACTGCAACCGCCGCGGAGACTGCTTCGTCTATCAGCGGTCCGGTCTCGGAACTCGCATGCAAAGTACCCAGCGAAGGGTTCACGTTGTCCAGACTCCAACAATCTCGCTTGTCATTTGAGGATATCAAATAGTGGAAACGCGGAATTGTGCAGCAGAGCACCGCACCCTTTTACTCAACAACAACTGCCAAATGCTGCCGCCATCTGCAAGTCTACTACACATGTCAAATGAATCGTAGCCGCAATGTCGTCTGCTTGTACCACGTATTACACAGATTTTGACTTCAGCAGAGACGTTACTGTGTATATACGGATTACCGAGGACCGAGTACAGAGCTTAAGAATTATGACGGCATTCTCCGTCCACATCTGCATAATAATTCTGCCTTCGTTTCATCCCTAACCGTCAACCGCTTATTATCCGGCTCTCGATTCCGCCTTTGCAGCTCCAGTTCTCGAATGATTCTAAAGAAAGCGCCACTCCACTACTACTCATCGAACTCCACTGTCCAGTATCTGCACCTATTCCACCGCCATTGTCTCTACGCGCCCCAGCCTCACTCAAAATCGCACATCACACAATTCACATCATACATCCCTGCAAGCCCCAACGCACCCTGACTAGCGCACCCGCATGCCGCCCAAAACAGATTAGCACAGAAGAGCTTATGCCAAGTCAGCCAAGCCGTCCCTCCCGTTTCTATTCCTGTCGAATCGTCGAATCACATGTCTCCAGGGCTGGATTTTGCGAAATGTTCCGTCCGGGGTTCTGTGACGATGAGCAGGGTGATCCCCGGAAGCTGTGTGCTGGCGAGGCTGAGGCTGATCAACGGAGGGACGGCAGGGCTGCTGGAGTCTGCCTTGCGGATCATGGGTGTGAGAAGTGGAAGTGAGGGGTGGGATGTCACAGTGCGCATCGGCGAAGAAGACAATCTGAGTCGGCGATGGGTCACCAGAGTGAATGCAGCAGGCACAGACATTTGGGTTGAGTCCTGTTTCGCAAGCCGAAAACCAGCCAACGAGGCAGACGGGGTAGGGAATGGATGAGCCCACTCGCATGGAGGGGAGAGTACTCGAACAAAGCAGGAGTGTGGAGTATCTTGGTGAATCTCAGACTGTTCTGGAGCTGTGTTATTGTGGGACACACAAGTTGGGCTCTCCAACACCAGTAGGATACTCTACGGCCGACAATGTTCACCTGGGCACATAGGAACTTCACGTCCTGTCGTCCTCCCTCTATCTTCACCATGCGCATCATGACGTCCACCGCGCAACATCGAAGACGATGACGTCCCTCGCGCCTGGAACTCTCCCAGCGGATCAGTATGTACCGTGATCTAGCTCCCGTCATCCCTCCGTCGTACATACACTACCTGCGGGCCTACCGTAGGGTACCATGGCAGCACTGTATCCACTCGCCGGACTGTGCCACCAGCACGCCTCAACTCCACGTCCGCGCCTCAAGCCCAAGGAAGGAGCATTTGTAATACTCCCCGTCAATCCCGTTGCCAGTAGTGGTGCGAGATGGGCCCACCCTATCGTTCCTTCATTCCTTCTCGCAGCTGCAGCATCGCCGAGAAGTCGAAGCCGATACGATACGATCGCGTCTTACATCATCCTCAGCCCTACTAGACTACTGCTGCAGGACTGGCGGGGTGCGTCTAGAAGAAAACTGGGCTATGCGGGTTCTATTGGCTGGGTGGTTACATTGAGAGAATGAGTGACGAGATTTCAGCTGCAAGCAAAGGAGTGAATTTGATGAGTTGCGGAATCCATTTGCCACGTATGCCATCTCAACATAGGTGCGGAGTAGGTACAGTATCTGAGACTGAGACTGTATCCAACATTGTCTTGACGAGGGAGTACCTACAGTACATACTAGTTTGCCACTCACTCACTTACACGATCTTCGTAGTCCCTCCAAACTCCTAAGTCCGATCCCCGGTTCCTCAGTCCAGAGCTCACCTCATCTCATCAGGAAAGCACATGGCGATCTGGGTTCCCAAGGTGTTGGACGCGCTTAGCCTCGGTGCTGACGGGATTCATCAGTTAATCGCGAGGGTTCTCATCGTGTAGAATCTCACTCCTCTAGCGAGGAGCCCTGGACCTTAGTCCTCGTTATTCGATTGGGCTCGACACTGTATACATGCGACTCCACCTAGCTACCTTTTTCTTGCCGTACTACGCTTCTAGAAGGTACATCCACTACCTCTAAGGGGTTGGGAAAACAGTTCATCGTCGTGGTCGCCGGGAAATTCGACTCGCCTCCACTCCGCAGCAGCTAATCAACCCGACTGCCCAATGGTGCCACCCAATTCCCCCGCCATGGTAGGCGCAAGCTCATCTGTAACGAACCCGAATCTGTCCGCGACTTCGCCTCTTCCTGCCTTCGTCCTACTTCGCGGAATCTTTCTAGATGTGTGCCCCTGCATGCTACAGCGATAGCGCGATGTACACAGTAAGTACGTAGACTAGTGTTTCATGTATTCTGCATCGGGTTTCACTGGATGTTGGTGGCTTGTGCGCGTTGGGGCTTGGGGGTATGTTGGGTTCGGCGCTTACAACCCCAATGATGGAGGGTATGGAGGACACGTGATGAGGACATTCACCGACCAACCCAACCGTCGATGTCATCTCTTGTGGCGGATGAATTACGGAAAGGGTGGAAGTTAGAGAGCTAGGCGGAATTTTCTAGTTCCTATTTCGTTCAAAATAAAGCACCTTTAGAGAAGATATGTCCTTTCTTGAATGACATGGGAAGGAGAGAGCTTGAATGTTTATAGCGGATGTCTGTTGCTTCGTGATGAGCCTAGAGGGTGTTCCTCTATTCACCTACGCACGAGTGCATTGTACGGAGTTGACAAGTCAAGGAGTGAACATGGAGAACGTGATATTTGGATATGGTCTAAACCGCTTATAGCTAGCAACGTGATTAGTAAGGACACCTTGGTCCAACATCACCTGTGACTAGTAGGCACTCTTACGACCTCATTCGACGTCCGACTGCCCCTACTTACATTATTCCTGGTTGGAAGCGCTACGAAGTCAATTACGTCTGTCGTATCCCTGCGTCTCCAGGCTGCTCAGTTGCGCGTCGAAAGCTGCACCTCCGCGCCCCTGAATGCAAACAGGCATCTAGGAAGCCTACGATGGAAAGCACACTTCCTGGACCATCTCCAGCAGTTCAGTCTCGGCTGCTGGCCCTGCCAATTGAGACGCTCGAAGCAATCATTGAAGAACTTGAATCCAGAAAGGACCAGCTCAATCTTGCGTTGACATGCTCAACCCTCGCCCCCTTGTCTGAGCGGTACATGTGGCGGAAGCTCATGGTTCGAACAGGGCATGAAGCCATGAATGTTGCCCGAGCTCTTCAGGTCCGACCCGAGCGGATGGATTTCGTTCACGAGTTGGCGATCTGCTACAACGAGGAGCAGCAAGACGGTATCGAGGCATTGGATCTGGTGCTTTGGCGCTTACATCAGGTGCGGCACTTGATGATCGAAGCGCCCTGTCCGAACAACCATACCGGTTGGCAGGGAGACGAGCCCTTCCAAGATGTGACGAGGATTGACTACCCTAAGCTATTTCAAGATGCAATCTCGCCGATGATCTCGTCTCGCCCGCTTGGGATGCTGCAATCTCGTATGTGCTTCAGATCCGAGCAATATATTTGTACTGATCATCCTTCAGTGACTTTACATGGACACAGATCTCATACGGACCCATTCGATCTCAAAGGGGCTGAAAGCATCCTGTTCCATCCCACACTCCGCAGTCTAACGATATCTTGTGCAAATTTCAATGCCGATCTGAGAGTCTCCGATATAGACCCTAGCAAGCTGCATTCCACGCCTCTGGAATCCTTGACCCTCATCGAGTGCAACGTTTTCCCTCCCTTGCTGGACGTGGCTCTCAGTCTTCCCAAGGCTCTGGTGATGCTTTCACTGAATCAGCGTATCTACACCTGGCCCGGTTGCGTTCCCCGCGGCCCAAAAGAGTACCACTTGTCAATGGGCCGAATCGTGGCGAAGCAAGCCTCCTCGCTCGAGACCCTGATCTTCAATCCCGGAGCAGCTATCAACTGGGGTAGGCTCTACCCGGAGATAGCCTCTCTAGGGTATCTCGCCCCGGTCCCTGGGATAGAGAGAGATTTAACCTCCCTCACCCGGCTAAAACACGCTGAAGTCGCCTTCAGGCCTCCAATTTCAGCACCACTGGTGCCTTGGCCGGACTCCTTGGAATCCATACGCTACAACGACACTTGGATGCACAGAGGGGATCCATCCATGTCAATCTACCTAAACCAACTAGCTCGTGGACTTCTAGCAAGGCCAAACATCCGCAATATAGAGCTCTGCCTGAAGATTGTCAACCAACTCAACAAACCGTGCGACCGAGCTAGACAGATTTGGCTGGGAAACACACAGCTACATAAGCGAGGGCGCCTTGGTCTCTATCGCGTGGCAACTACACTGAAACAGAGGGGTGGCCGCCTGCGAATCTTCTGCGAGTACTTCAGCGAGGGTGTGTTTTTCATCCCCCCGTTCCTGGAGAGCGAAGAGAAGCCAAAGGAGTCTCTGTTCTACGATTCTGAGGACCCGTGTCGGTTTGAGGGGACGGAGCTCAGGGATACGGAGTTGTTTTGGTGGGAGGAAGGGAGGGCGAAGGGGCTGAGAAGTGAATTCATGGAGGATTAAAACGGGTGAGTACTGTTTGGACCGGGATCGATGGAGAGATCTTCACACCGGGCCTTCAGCACGCTGTTGCTCTGCGCCGTTGTCATTTTCGTCCTCTTCGTTCTCTCTACCTTCGTATCCGGCATCCAAGGGTCAGCTTGCTCCCATAGCTCTGTCCTTCCAAAACAAAGCACTGTCGAGGTGGTGTTCACCTCTCAAGCGTCAGATTATGCGAGATCTACTCTGTCACACGGCGTGGTTCTCGTCAAAGAGGCGAAATTTATTTGTCGGATATGGCTTTTCTCAATCAGTTCTAGATTCAAGGACGTATGTTAGCCCCGCTTCTACTTGGTTATATGTGGTATGATGGAAGGATATTCTACCACCAGAACAGAAGAAGTCCTAGTGGCTAACATCAATGTAGAGAAAAATCATAGAGCACAAGAGATGATCAAGTCGAAGTCAAGCCTCTCCGAAGAACGCTTCGAAACGTCTCCACTCACTCCCAAGTCGATCTCAGTCCGTTCACGCCTTCCGGGACCTCCCCTAGTGTAGTAATACGGAAGCCCTGTCTCAGCCCTTCTCCTCCATCACTTACGTCGTAATCGGAAATGGCAGTGTGCGCCGTAACGCGATTGTCCCACAATGCCACAGTCCGGTCATCCCATTTCACACGAGCCTGAATATCGGCACTCTGCGAGATGTGCTGCGGGCCAAGGTCAGTAAGGACGATACCCGATGTTCGCCGCTCACTCACTTTGAATAGCAGCTTCAGAATTGCCTCTGACTCCTCATCCTTCAAGCCAACAATCCCCCTCGTAAACCCAGGGTTAACGAACAGCGCCTTCTGCTTCGTCACCGGGTGCACTCTGACGACGGGATGGTAGCTGCGGACGGGCTCACGGCGAACGAAATGACCGTCGCTGCGCGCCTTTTCCGCTTGTTCGAACCCGCTATGCTCGGCTTTGAGTCCTTCTAGGAACTTCTTGAGGGGCTCGGATAGCCGGTCATATGCCGCTACTTGCGATGTCCAGGCAGTGTCGCCGCCTGTCTCAGGGACCTGGACGAGGGTGAGTAGCGTGATGGCAGGAGGTTGGTGTTCGTATGAGACATCTGAATGGTAACCAGTCGTAGTAAGTTTGGTAGCGCTGCGTCCGAGGCGGTAAAGATTATCCTTGCCGATATAGATGGAGTGGAATTCGATGTGGTCCTTCACATGCGCACCAACCGGCTGCGGAAAGTCAGACATCGAAGATAAATAGGATCGAAGTCAATACGCACATGCACATGCAGTCGGCCGAAGTACTTTCCAAATTCCTTCTGCTTCTCCGGGCCGATGTTTTTGAAGTCTTGATCTCGAAAGACCACGACTCCTCGTTCGGCGATGAGCAGCGCCAACTCATCTTTTTGCGCGTCGGTCAGTTGGGACAGCTGCAGGCCGGTGATTTCCGTGCCCACCCGCGGCGTCAGCTTGGTGACCTTGAGGGCGGAATTGTCTTTCGAGAGCAGATTTGGTTTGGCTGGATCTGCGTTGTGTCCGCGATCATGGAAGTCAAAAAGCTCCGTTGGTGGGAACCTGGTGGTATTATCGTAGACTGGGAGGTATGCAGCGTACGGAGACTGGGCGGTGAATGGTTAGCAGGGCTTGTGCGTCGGTCAGTAAAGTTGGACAGACATCAGAGTGGATCTTGTCGTCATATGCAACGGTGAGCTTGACTGGATGTCCCTCGGCACTGCTTGCTTCCTGTACGGAGGTTGTGGTTGCCATACTTCCTGATAAATAGGTTTCTAACTCTGTGGTAGATATCTTTCACACTTGGACGCTTCCCTCATCAACCCGCAAAATACATATATAACTATCTGAATAGCTGCTATACGCAGATGTCGCCTAGCATTGCAACATTCGCGATATGGGTGACGATGTTGGGCCGAGCACGACATTCGGACCCTGCAGGCACGCAACGGCCAATCCGAGGTGTGCAACTCCAGCTTATCTACTTGGGCACAGTCGAGGCTGGAATGTCAAACGGGAAAAAGTGTGGGGAACAAACCTGGAGCCGGTATCTATGGAACTCTGGTAAATCAAGGTGTGCTACGATACAGCCATCAAAATGCTCATTGTTCGACGATGCGAAAACGAAGGCACATACGCACAGTAGACCGGTCCACCGTACTCCGTAGAAGCAACCAGATCAGAATTACCGCCACTGCCGAATTCCGAGCAGTATACACCCGCGGGAGCGACTTGTACCCAACGTTGCCAGACAATGCCGAGAATATGTCTCCATGCAGAATATGACTGACGTCGACTCTGGCACACGCCCTGCGATCCTGCAGTCAAATCCCTTTCCCACACGGCCGTTCATTGATGCATGCCACTTGATAGGCGGGTTGATTGTTAATATATTCCCTGCCATTTGCAATAGCCAAGATGAATGCAACCAGTACCTTCGCGTGAGGTGCTCCACAAAGCAAAAGGGTGTGAGCACATCAACAACGGCAGTATTTACGAACGAAGCAACACCATGCAGACACCTTGTATAAAAGACCACCTCATGTCACACGGGCTCCCTATAGACCCAAGAACCTGGTGCCGGCACTTGGAACTTCGCCGCTCTTTGCAACTTCTGTCTCAGTGTCACCATGGTGGAGGCTGACAAGGATGCAATTGTCTCAACCACGGTTCCCGACAAGGGGATCACTGTGGTATCTACCTCTCTACGAAGTACCGACAGCAGTGATATAGAGAAGAAACAACATCCTGTCGACCTTGCACCTCTGCGAAACGAGATCCCACCCCCTACGCTTTCACTCCTATGGCGACGCAGCCCGAAAGTTGATCCAAATGCCATCGCAACGCAACCATCTGTGTTTGACGACCCAGAGACGGCAAAGCATTTCCAGCCACTGCCGACCTATGAGAACATTCATCGCTTTGATCCCAACGAGCGATGGACGTGGGCGGAAGAGAAGGTGGGTCGCAATGTCATGAGTCCGAGAAGATGCTGACCACCGTCAAGAAAGTTCTGAGGAAGATCGAGTGGCGCATCGCTGCGTGGGCTGCAATCGCTTTCTTCGCGCTTGATCTGGATCGAAGCAACATCCAACAAGCAAACACTGACAACTTCCTCGAAGACCTTGGCTTGAATACCAACGGTAAGTGCTGAAATAAGCTATAATACCAGAGGACACTGACACACCCAAGACTATAACTTTGGCAATACCGTGGCGAAGCTCTCTTTCTTGTTGGCAGAGCTCCCTTCGCAGCTCATCAGCAAGAAGATTGGCCCCGACCGATGGATCCCCGCCCAAATGATTCTTTGGAGCATCGTCGCCTCCGCACAGTTCTGGCTCAATGGAAGAAGTAGCTTTCTCGCTTGCCGTGCCCTTATTGGACTTCTTCAGGGCGGTTTCATCCCGGATGTCATCTTGTATATGGTAGGTGTCCCAAATCTTCAATCACCTCTCGTACTCACAAAAGCGCAGTCCTACTTCTACAAAAGCACCGAGTTGCCATTCCGTCTGGCAATTTTCTGGATGGCCAATCGACTCACGGATGTCATTGCGCCTCTTCTGGCTTACGGCCTGCTTCGTTTAAGAGGCTATCACGGCTACGAAGGCTGGCGGTGGCTCTTCCTTATTGAAGGTCTACTGACACTTGTGATTGGGATATGGTCGATTTTCATGATGGCTCCATCGCCCACTCAGACAAAGGCCTGGTGGCGCCCGAACGGTTGGTTCACGGAACGCGAAGAGAAGATCATGGTGAATCGCATTCTTCGCGATGACCCAAGCAAGGGCGACATGCACAATCGACAAGCCATCACCGTCAAGCTGCTCTGGAAGAGTATCATCGACTTTGATCTCTGGCCCATATATGCGATCGGTCTTACCTTTGGAATCCCTGCTGGCCCGCCGGATCAGTATCTCACATTGACGTTGCGGCAACTGGGGTTCGACACATTCAATTCGAATCTGTTGAGTATCCCGGCGCAGATAGGCACAACCGTCAATGTAAGTATTAGCGCACACATTTGCTATCAATGCTGACCCTACTATAGATGTTAATCATGACATGGATATCCGAGAGGATTAATCAACGCTCGTATCTAGGCATATTTGTCCAAATGTGGTTCCTGCCCTGCGTCATCGCAATGGCCACGGTTCCAGATGGCGTATCCAGATGGGCCCGATTCGCCATCGTCACAGTGCTGCTCTCCTATCCCACGCCGCACCCCATGCAGGTCGGATGGTGTAGTCGCAATTCGAACACGGTGCGCACGAGGACCGTGAGTGCGGCGCTGTACAATATGGCTGTCCAGATACAAGCTATCATCTTCTCTAACATCTACCGGAACGATGACAAGCCACTTTGTAAGTACTTCAAGAGATTTATCTATTACTGATCACTGACGGGCTATAGATCGACGGGGCAATCGTGTTCTGGTTGGAATATGCATTCTTAATCTTTTCCTGTACGGCTTCGCTAAAGTGTACTACGTCTGGCGCAACAAGCAGAGAGACAAGATTTGGGATAATATGACGGCTGAGGAGAGGTTGACCTATTTGGAGACGACGACTGACGAAGGGAGCAAGAGGTTGGATTTCAGATTTGCACATTAATCGTTGGAAGCCGAGAGAGAAAGGCTCTGGAACGTTTGGACATGCCGGTGCTCGCCAAATGTATGTAGAGACCTTATGAAATCAGCTCAAAGAACTATCGATTACCTATAATTTTGGGTATATACGTATGGCCTTATGTCTTAGTATATAGGCAACAGGGCGGTTGTTTCCCAAGACCTCCCACCTATAGTTTGACGAATTGTGTTACCCGAACTTGATACTGTATGGTTTCTTTCTGAAGTGCCCGTTCAGCACTTTCAGCTTGATAACGTGCTTGGCACCAAACGGATGCGGACCGAAAGACGATTCTCTCCACTGGGTTTGCGTTTACCAATGAAGACTCCGCAGTCATTCGTTTTCTATGCGTGTTGTTATCCCTAGAAATCATCGGAATTTCTAGCGGTAGAGGTGTTAGACCATGACGTGCTTTCTATCATGAGTTGCAACACGCATCGCCCCGCGCCATCATGACCTTGCATTGCAGCCTCGGTGAAGCTCACTCACGGGAACCATTCATTGCTCGATTTTCTATCTACAAAAGCCGCTTGCTCTATGGCGAGATAAGTTACTCATCAATCGTCATGGCAGTGGCATTGTTACTTTGGGAGACTTGATATGGAGAGGGCATTGCTTTGAACAGATCACACAACATATAAGTCTATGACAGCTAGTACACTCTTCGCACTTTATACCACCTACAACTGCCACTCTCGAGTCCCAGACCGCTTCCCAGAATATACCGCTACTAACCTACGCCTGAGATGGCTACCCTTGAAGCATACAAGCACATATCTCCGGATTCAGGCCAACCGACTATCCTTCATCCAGTACGTTTTCTTCGAAGTGCAAAAGAACCGCGACTGAGAATTACAGCATTTCAATCCCAAGATCCGCGACTGGGTGCCACCGGATCCGATCCGAGAAGAAATCCACCCACCGAAAGATAGAGCACACTTCGCGGACCCGGAGAAAAAGGCCCTGTTCTCAGTAGCGAAAGCAACAGATCTAACCGAGGGAATCGGAACCCTGCTCGAGAACGTACAGCTCTCCCAGTTGAATGCAACGCAACTTGATGAACTTGCCCTTCTGGTTGCGGAGCGAGGTGTGGTCTTCTTTCGGGACCAAGACCTCACCACTGAAACCCAAGTAAAGCTATTCGAGCATTATGGGATCCTAGATAAGCATCCGGCGCAGAAGGATGTGCGGCACGTTACCATCAAAGGCTCCAGCTCCGATTACAGGCGAGACAACGTGTTCACCCCGTGGCCCCAGGCAGGATGGCATGCAGACACCAGCTTCGAGATCAACCCTCCCAGTTACTCGCTTCTCAGAATGGAGGAGCATCCTGATGTCGGCGGGGACACGGCCTGGGTCAGTCAATACGGCTTATTTGACGCACTGTCCCCGACGTACCAGAAGCTGTTCGAGAGTCTTCATGCAGTCCACACTTCGCGCTTGCAGTACGACACCATCCTCGATCTCTGGGGTGTTGGACCAAACCGCCCTCCTATCGATACTCACCATCCGGCGGTTCGCACACATCCGGTGACTGGCCTCAAAGCGTGGAATGTGAACGAAGGCTTCGTGACTGGCTTCGCTGAACTCAAGAAGGCCGAGTCCGATAAGTTGCTTGATTTCTCGATTCTGCATATCCACTCTGCGGATGACCACCTCGTGAGATGGAAGTGGGCGGTTGGCAGTGTGGCCATGTGGGACAATCGCGCTGTCCTTCATCGTGTGATTCCGGGGAAGTATGAGCCGGGGAGTAGGAAGGGGGTGAGGACGACGGTATTTGGGGAGAAGCGTAAGTTCAGAGTGTCGAAAAAATTGTAGGATTGTTCTAATGGAGGAATGTAGCTTATCTGGACCCGAACAGTGAGAGTCGCGATGAGAGGGAACGCAGAATTTCGAGAGAGAGGGAATAGATGTGCTTCAATGCTTTGGACGATTACAGTGGCGGTATAGAAAGGGTGGAATAAGAAAGTAATTGCGGCAGTTCCACAGAGGCCACAGGCTGGAACTTTACGAACATCTTGGATAGGATAGACTGAGCCGTGGAGTACGTTTCAACTGACCAACGGGGTAAGGGGATCAGACCACGGGGCAGGGCCTCACTGCAAAGGAAGTAAGCCTTTGTTGGTTACCCGTCCAGGAAAGGCGGACGCTATAGTGGTCTTGTATTCTCTCCTTTTTAGCATTTCATGAGCGTTGGAATTAGCTTCATACAGGTGAATTAATCTTTGGCCGTGGCATGTGTCGTCCTCCCTAACGCGATTGGTAAAGAATATGAGATTGTTCAGCACGGGAACACATACAGGAGCTGGAGCTGGAGGTGGTCAAAATAAGCATCAAGCGGCGTTGAGATCGACAACTCTCCACTAGTGCCCCGGCCCAGCCACATTGTACCCCGCCACAGCGTTCAGCCACACTGCGTTATCGGCCACCGATAAGATCTTCGAAACATTTTTCCCATCACACGATGCGTGGGCTGTACTACCCCTCAGCAAACATCAGGTTTCTCGGCTTCCAATCCTCAGCAAACTCACCCCTTTGCCTTGGTGGTAGTCAGTTCACCGGGCTCCAGAGCGGTGCCTTCAATATCAACTGCTGATTCACCTCTCAATCTCACCGCCGAGTCACCATGGCTACAGTCATCAAGGTCCCATGCTCTTCGGCAAACATAGGGCCTGGATTCGACGTCATTGGACTCGCGCTCAACATTTACCTAGAGGTTTCTGTGCAGGTCACGAAGAAGGAGAAGTCGGAGCACTCGCTGAACTGCCGTATCACCTACGAGGGCGTGGGTGCAGAATCGGTGCCTCTCGTCGCCGAAGACAACCTCATTACCAGAACAGCCGTTTATGTTCTGCGGTGCCACGGCATTCGAGCCTTCCCATGCGAGACCCACGTCCATATCAAGAACCCTATACCCCTTGGGCGAGGATTGGGCTCGTCCGGCGCTGCCATCGTCGCGGGTGTCAACCTGGCAAACGAGGTGGGCAACCTGCAGCTCACCAAAGCCCGCATGCTCGACTACTGTTTGATGGAGGAGCGGCACCCCGATAACGTGGCAGCGGCGCTGTATGGAGGCTTCGTGGGAACATACCTGAACGAGCTGTCTCCTGAAGACACGGAGAGGCTAGAGATTCCCCGGAGCGAGGTCTTGCCGGAGCCAGCAGGCGGAGTCGACACGGGTCTGCGTCCACCAGAACCGCCCTTCAACATTGGACATTTCAAAAAGTTCAAGTGGTCGCCGGAAATCAAGTGTATCTGCATAATACCGGATTTCGAGGTGTCGACGGCAAAGGCTCGCGAGGTTCTGCCCGAGTCCTATTCGAGGAAAGATGCCATCTTCAACATGCAACGGTTGGCTCTGTTGACGTCCGCGTTGGGGGAATCGCCTCCGGATTCCGACATGATTTATACGGCAATGCAAGACAAGCTCCATCAGCCATACCGCAGAGGGCTCATTCCGGGTCTCACTGAGATCTTGCAATCCGTCACCCCTCAATCTCACCCCGGCCTCCTTGGTATCTGCTTGTCTGGAGCTGGCCCCACGATTCTTGCACTGGCGACTCACAACTTCGAACACATCGCGAATCACCTCCTCAATGAGTTCAAGAAGGAGAATATAACATGCCAGTGGAAACTGCTTCAGCCAGCGGAGGAGGGCACCACAGTCGTACGGCCGACAGAAGTCCCAGAGGGCGAGGCGATGACATACGCAGCTTCGGGTGTAAGCATCGATGCAGGAAACGAGCTCGTCAAGCAGATCAAGGCCTCTGTTGCTACGACGAGACGGCCTGGTGCGGATGCTGAAATTGGAGGGTTTGGAGGTCTTCTGGACCTGAAGAGCGCTGGGTACTCGGAACCACCCATCCTCGTAGGCGCAATCGATGGCATCGGCACAAAGGTCAAGATCGCGTTTGAGATGGGCAAGCATGATACTGTCGGCATTGACCTCGTCGCCATGAATGTAAACGACTTGGTGGTGCAGGGTGCTGAGCCCCTCATGTTCCTCGACTACTACGCCTGCAGTAAATTGAATGTCTCAGATGCCGCGGCGTTCGTACGGGGAGTAGCGGATGGTTGCCGGCAGTCGGGAGCCGCTCTGGTTGGAGGCGAGACGGCGGAGATGCCCGGTCTCTACAGGGAGGGCGAGTACGACGCAGGAGGTGCAGCTATTGGAGCCATCCAGCGGGGAGAGACTATCCTCCCGGACAAGGCGGCCATGGTCGAGGGAGACGTTCTCCTAGGCCTCGCTTCGAATGGACCACACTCGAACGGATACTCCCTGATCCGCAAGATTGTCGAGAGGAAGGGCCTATCCTTCCATGACAAGGCGCCATGGAGCGTGGGTGAGACTGTGGGTGCCAGCCTGTTGACGCCGACCAGGATATACGTCAAGCCGCTTCTCGCTCTGGTCCAGAAAGGGCTCGTCAAGGGTATGGCGCACATCACTGGAGGGGGTCTGCTGGAAAACATACCTCGCATGCTCCCCGATACTCTGGCTGCCGAGCTGGATGCAAAGGCGTGGCCTGTACCAGACGTGTTCAAATGGCTCAAGCAAGCAGGCCGCCTCGAGAACACTGAATTCTGCCGAACGTGGAACACTGGACTGGGCATGGTGCTTGCTGTTGACGCCAGTAAGGCGCAGGCTGCTGTAGAGGCTCTCCAACAGCAAGGGGAGAAGGTTTACACTGTAGGTCGGTTGGCCAAGAAGGGTACTGAAGACTGTGTCGTGCACAACATGGAGGTGTGGGGCTGAACGGTGTCGACCAGTCAGAGTTCTGTACGAAGACGTAAGCCGGCTACTGCACTGCGTAGAGTACGCCTCCGCGTGGAGGGGAGCCTGCGGTGCGACCATAGCAGAGATAGTTGCGGCTCTGGTCAGAGGCAGAGGGCTCTCCACTAGCGTGAATGAGCAAAGGCTTGAGGTGTATCATCATGTCAGCGGGCGTCTCAATCCATCTCTTCAAGATATAGCATTCAGTTGCAGTTGTTGCGCAACCACGAGGAAGATCTGGCAAGCTTCCAATCCGAAGTTCGAGTGGGACAAGATACTTGATCTCTCTGTGTGGCTGGCTGCACGCTGCAAGGTGGCGTACATGTGTGGAGCCAAGTGCTGAGCCTTTCGATATGGCAATCTGAAGGTGTAGTCTAGGGATATCGACCATGCATATGTCCAGGGTCTATGTCCAGGGCTGTCCGCAAGGGCGTCTAGGAGCCGTGACCTTGATAAAGCCATTGATAATGACAATGGCGACAGTATCGGCGGCCGAGCGTACCAAAAGGTGGGAAGCGCAATTTCGCCGGAACGGTGTGAACGACGAGGGTGAATTGAATGGCTCAGCGCGCACCACCAGCTGGACCTGGCGCCGAGTCGACCAACATGTGAACGGCCCATAATCTATAATGATGTGGGACGCCTCAACAAATACCGCGGAACGGCCAGCATCGCCTTATCGGGTGAACAGGAGACATTTCCATAGATGGGTACATGGGACGAGTGCTCTGCGGGCCGTGGACGCGTCTCCGTCTCGTCTGTGCTTGGCTGGGTGTGCTAGTGTACAGCAGGCAGAAATCAATCGCCCAAGGATTCACTGCATCCATTCGCTCACCGCTCGCACGGAGCCCAGATCTCGACCCTCTGCTTTTTCCGGCCGTTTCCAAAACCTGGCTCTCGCTCGCGTCACCTTCTTTCACTGTCCAGACTGCCCTGCTGCCTTTCTCCCTTCCCCTCATAATGTCTGGCCTCGCCCACACTCGCTCCCATCCCAACGACTCCCAAGCCGCCGCCACCGGCTCGCATCCTCCTGCCCATAAACCGGATCCTACAGTTCAGCATGCCGCCCAAGGAGGACTCTCCGCCGCCTCCGCCTCCAGGTATGCCAGTAGCGATGTTGATAACGATTGTAGTCTAATGTCTCCAGCCCCTCCCAACAGCCCGATGCGCTAAATGAGTTGGAGTCCCTCAAATTGAAGCTCAAGTCCGCCCTCCGCCAATTCCCCGACTTCCCCTCTCCCGGCATCCTGTTCGAGGACATCCTCCCCATCTTCGCCGACCCCGCTCTCCACGACGCGCTCGTCCGCGCCCTCGAACTCCACGTCTCGCAAGCGTACGAGAAGCCCGATGTCATCGTCGGCCTGGAGGCGAGAGGCTTCCTGTTCGGCCCCAGCCTGGCGCTGAGGCTCGGCGTTGGCTTTGCGCCGGTGCGGAAGAAGGGGAAGCTCCCGGGGCCGTGCGAGACTGCGGGATATCAGAAGGAGTACGGAGAGGACTTCTTCCAGATCCAGGCCGACGCCATCAAGCCGGGGCAGAAGGTCCTCATTGTCGACGACATCATTGCTACGGGTGCGTAGAAAAGCTTAACGATAGAATTTGAGCTGACACGACTAGGCGGATCTGCGGCAGCTGCTGGTGCTCTGGTCAAGAAGCTCGGCGGGCAAGTGCTTGGATATGCGTTCCTCCTCGAGCTGGACTTCCTGAAGGGACGGGCGAAGTTGGACGCTCGTGTTGATACCCTCCTCACCGGGCAGATGGCGAAAGAATGAGCGCTCCGTGATTCTCATCCTCCGCAATTGCATGGATCGGCGTTTGAGTCATTCTTGGGTTTTGGGAAGTAATACATCTTGAAGCTTATATAGACAGTTCTACGGTAGTCCTATTGGCTGCATCTAAATCATCTAGCGCTACTCTTCCGTTCCCATTTCCTCTCATCAACATCTTGTACTGGAAAAGTTTCTGCCCCGCCCCTCGTCATCTCCGGCCTCGGCACGCTAGCCACCCCACCTTCCTTTTCGAGAATGAGAACGCCGCTGACAACACTTGTGGCGACGACAGCTCTGTGATACCCACACATGTCTGTCCGCACTGCTACTCCATCTCTGCTTCGACCGCTTGTGACTGTTAGAGCTCGTTCTGTTGTATTCTCTCGCTCCCAATTGATCACTTTTCGAAGACAATTCAGTGCCCAATCGCGCAGTATGGCCGAGATCAAGAAAGTGTTTACTGCTGAGGCGTGCCCACGTAAGCTCCTTCACTGTATGGGAAGATGAGCGAGACTGACTGTACCAGCTGCTGGACCTTACGTATGTCAATGTTTCTTATGCTTTGAACCCTTTTCGAGAGCTCCAACGACACCTCGACAGCCTTCTCAACAACCTCTCCGCTCCGCACACGTCTTCCATACAAACCCCACTAACACCCCCAGTCGCAAGCCATCGTCGCCGGCCCGCACATCTTCGTCTCCGGCCAGATCCCCGCCGACAAGTCCGGCAACCTCATCACCGGCAGCATCGCCGACCAGACCACCGCCTGCTGCAACAACATCATCGCCATCCTCAAAGAAGCCGGCAGCGACATCTCCCGCGTCATCAAGGTCAACGTGTTCCTCGACGACATGGCCAACTTCGCCGAGATGAATGGCGTCTATGAGAAGTTTTTCGCGCACAAGCCGGCCAGGAGCTGCGTCGCGGTCAAGCAGTTGCCGAAGGGCGTGCCCGTGGAGATTGAGTGCATTGCGCTGAGTGGTAGGGCTGATTCCAAGTTGTGATTCATGGGTGTTGATCGTTTGTAGGTTAAGCATGATGACCCGGGGGGGTTTGGAGGCGAAGTACTATCAGAAGAGATATAGAGTTCGACTGGTGGAATATTGGCCTCCGATGTATACCGCAGGAGCTTCTTAGATCTTGGGCTTGAATCCATTGGAGTTTGCAAGTCCCTACAATCCTCCCTGAACCGGTTGCGCCTGATCAGTGCCCTCGCAGAGTTTAACAAATCTAGGACCGCTATTTTTTCCTCCTGACTACGAGCCGTACCTTTACGCTCACTTCTGTGCCTCAATCGAATACTCAGTCGACGTTTGATGACTATGACTAAGCAGGACAGAGCTGTCACGTGACTGGTACTCTTTTGACAGTTTCTACGCAGATTCAAAGGAGCGACATCCCGAAGCACGACTTTGTGAATTAAATATTATTCGGGCGCATATGCTCGAGTTTCTGGTTACTGGATTCTACCGAAAGAAGGGCCAGATCTGCTACTCACAGTCCCTGGCATGACCTCTGAGCGACGAGCCTCTCCTCTTCTTACATACATTGCGGCCGAGACAACAATCCGTCACATATATGTATTGAGGCTCTCCACATTCCAAGTCAAGACCAAGGCGTCGGGGGTATAGTACCGTTTTTAATATCCGGCTAATGTGGTGCAGATCGCTGAGCATTCTACGGTATGTGGAGCTCCACGAGGCCATGATGAAGTACCTACAGGTGGAGTTTCTATTCTTCTACTCTCTGCATTTCAACGTTTTCTGGTGTGCACATTTAGGTGGGACCACGACTCGACATGGGCCCTCCAGTACGAACACGCCGGAAAGCATTCCTCTCCCTCCTCGCCCTCTCCCTCCTCGCCCTCCTCGCCCTCTCCACCCTCACATCTACTGCTTCAGCAACACTAGGGGCGATCGACATGGATCAACTCCTCCAACCAGGCTACCACCCCCGACAACCCCAAGGCCAGCAGCAACAACCGCAAAAGCCTCTCTCCTCAAATCCACACCTCCCCTGGACCCATGCTCCTATCTGCACACACTCTCACTCTCTCAACTCCCTCAGCACAAAATACTGCGTCTATACCTCCCAGACCGCCTTCATAAACGGTATCTCCATCCTCACCACACCCTCCCTCGCCGCCCTCGCCGCGGAGCACCTGGACGAAGAACCCTTGAGTATCTTCTTCACACCGGACCAATTTGACGAATGGTCCTCCCAACCCCGTCCCTGGGAAATCGTCGACATCCCCGGTAAAGACAAAGGCGTCGTCGCCACGCGGAAGATCAGGAAATACGAAACCTTCATGGTGGATCAAGCGGCCGTGATGGTGGACTTGGAGATGGAGAAGGGAGTGGGTCTGAAGGAGGGTATGCGGTTGTTGAAGGTGGCGGTGGATAGGCTGAAGAGGCCGGAGGTGGTTAGGGAAATGAGTGGGCGGCATGCTGGGGCCTTGAAGGAGGGCGAGGTGGCGGTGGAGGGAAGAGTGGAAGAGGATGTTATGATGACGAATGCGTTTGGGACGAGCTTGGGGGAGGGGAGTTTTAGGGGACTGTTTCCGCTTGTGTCGGTGAGTGGGGGATCCTTTGATTTAGGAGTTTTGTCCACATAGGCGTTGTGCTTCGGGATATGCTGACTTGATTAAGCGTATCAACCATGCTTGCGATCCGAAGTGAGTTCTTCCCCCAACGAAACTGTAGAAGTGGTTTCTAACTTGACCAGCTCCTTCGTCATGTTCTCCAACAGCGGCTTCTCCCTCGGCATAAAAGCGTATAGAGACATCGACCCCGGCGAAGAAATTACCATATCCTGTAAGCCGCTCCTCTCCCCCTCTCCTTCTACACCCCACTAACACCACTAGACCTCCTCCTAGGCAAAACCCATTCCGAGCGCCAACAAGGTCTCTCCCGCTGGGGCTTCACCTGCACCTGCGCCCTCTGCTCCCTCCCGACCCCCGAACGCAACGCCTCCGACGCCCGCCGCGCCCGCATCACCCGCCTCCAAGCGCACCTCGAATCCCAGTTCAAATCCCACGCCTACAATGCCGCCCTCCGCACCGGCGAGGAGATCGTCTCCCTGATGAAAGAAGAGAACCTGACTGCGCTGCTGGCGGATCAGTATGTGGTGATGACGCGGCTGAGTACGGCGGCGGGGGATAGGGAGGCAGCGGAGATGTGGGCGGGTGAGGCCGTGGAGGTGTTGGGGGAGATGGGGTTTCTGGGGACCGAGTGGAGGGAGGAAGGGCGGTGGGGCGTGGAGGAGTTGTTGGGCGCGTTTGGCGGGAGGGGCGTCTATGAGTAGTGCTGGCTGCGAGACAATGTGTGAAGTGGAGATGTCCGAATTCGCGAATGCTTCTGTGTATAGCGTGGGCCAGGTGGAGGCTAGACTCCATGCATGAAGCCTGCTTTCAAGAACGCTATAGTTGATGAAACGGAGTCAATGCAATCTACCTTTCTGTTCCTGTTCTACCGAGAGACCATAGGGTACATTCAAATGCCTCGCGCGTCAGCTATTTCTTTTCGATCAGGTTCGCTTTTCTGTTCCGTTGCCATTCCAACTTTTTCTCGGCACGCTCTCGCCGCTTCCTGACGTGACTTTCATGTATAGGCTTACAGACTCTTCCATATTTCCTGCACGACTCACACGGCTTGTCTTTATCCGATGGCGAACCGCCTTGCGGCCAGGTACATGTGAATGACTCGGTGAAGCAGACACCGCAATAAAAGCGTCTGTGCTGGAAAGCAGCTTCAAGCGTGTCAATGTCCACCTCTGGATCTGATTCTTCGGGGCCATTGAGTGAAGCGATGTTGCCTTCGCTGGGCATATCGGGTGGTAATGCAGAGGCGGACGCAGGCGCCTCGGCGATGCTGCCAGACTTAGATTCTTCGCACTCGTCCTGCGCTTCCGGTGTCAGCCCAGAACCCTCCCCCACGTCCGGCATGCTGGATGTTCCGGACTCGGGTATGCCTGGCGTGTCGGCTATTGGTACGTTCATGCTGTCCCGTTCATAGCTTCCCCCGCTTGCGGCATCATTCCAGCAGTCGTAGTCCTGGTACGGGCGTATTAGCACTCGTCTCTCCCACCAAGCGACTACCCACAGTGAAGGCTGATGTCGAACTTTGTACAGAGTCGGGACCCGCTTGGTGGATATCCAATGTTGCCGTGGAGCTCTGTGTAGCCATGATCAGCACCGGAAGATAGATTTGCTTGCCATTATCCAGCTTCCCGCTTTCCAACCACAGCCAGATCACATATCTTCCCCTTCCGGGCGTGCTTCTCTGCCATTTCATCTTATCATATTCTCATATCCGCTTTGACTGTTAAATGCGAAAAATGGACGACATGGCTCCGCCGAACAAGTTTCCTTCCTCTGCCTTGGGTGGGAAATGGCACTCACACTTGGTGCTGGCTCGACCGGCCCTTCGCATTCCTTCTCAGATTCCGGATCGTTTATTGCTCTGAACGGTCCTCGCCGCTTTTTCCGTTCCGTCATGATGGTATATGGTAATGCAGAGCTTGGTTATGGGATTAAGGAATGAATGTGAATGACATCCGGGCATTAATAACGATCTGTGGTAGGATGCTGGAGGAGAGGTTGGGCTGCGCAGTGGGGTACGATGTTGACTTTGGCTGGGTTGCGCTTGTGGATAGAGGATGTGGTTACGTGTATTCGGTCTTGCTGTGGAAGGAACTGTCAATTTCTAAATAGCAAGAGCCACTGTGTTTCCAGGAATATCTAGGCAGGTGTACCCACGTGTAGTAGTAACATTCTGCTCACATCTATGGGATCGGATCGCGTGACTGAGCTATATCAATCGATATCATTGTACCCGTGATCAACCTCAAAAATATACAATAGCGTTGTTGAATGAGTACAAAGTTCGTGCGGTGGACTTTGACTTTTCAGAATCAATTTCTAGAGTAGAGTTTCCACACATTTTCGACCCAATGTCACCCGAGGAACATCCCCAACAAGCTGACACAACCTCCTGTCCAACATCTCATAGTAGACCGGCAGCGGATCCCGGGAGAGAAAATCCAGGCACCTCATCAACCCTAAGCGACTCCAGGAACGCAATGATGTTGAGGGATGGCCTCCCGTACAGACCACGAATGTCCTCCGGAGAAACTACCTCAAAGCCTCATACATTTTCGGATGGGAGGATGGCGTACGGAAGATCAGCGTTGCCTTTCCGCTCAATGCCGGTAGATGTGGACCGTTCAGAGCACACTTTCAGAGCTGTAACTGGCATGAGCAGTGGCGCGGACAGAATGCTAGTGTCTCGCGGAAGCGGAGAGTATACGCACAGAAAATCGAGTCGAAAACCGAACGAAGAAGATCCGCAAGGAAAGGATGAAGCTACTGAATTAGGGAAAGAGGCGTGTATCGAGGCTGGAGAAGGTCGCAATCATATGCTGGGCAGTCGGACGTCAGAACTTGGTACCCAGTCTCAAGAGAGAAGGTCCACTGATGTAGACATGGGCATAGGAAAGAAACCCGGGAACGAGGTTGCGGAATTTGTTGTCCCCGATGACGAAGATGATGACGACGACCTCTTTGCGCAGAGCTACAGGGCAGCGAGTAGAAAACTGTTCTGCTCTTACAAGAACTCCTAGGTAACACTCTGGACTCTTCAAGTCTTATCAGTCTCAAATCACCGGTCGTAGCATCTTTAGGTGTGGTGAGGTTCTGGTTGCAGTGGTCCTGAGTTTGCAATGAATGTCATCGACTCATCGGAGGTCTGCTGTACGCTCGTAAGTTTGCTTGCCATGAGGTTGTACACGAGGACATACCCTGTGATACGGACCGTCATGCATGACGTTAACCTCAGTACTTCGCTGTGACTTCGGCCTCCCAACGCGACACTTCCCACTGAAATTATTAAGTCTGGTCTTGCCTGGCGTGGAGGAGAGGCCTTTCAGTATCTGGGTTGGCTTTCTAGATCGAAAAGGTATCTTGCGCAATGAACGACAAGAACCGAGCTCAGCTGCTGGATCATCGGCATCACTGCTACTGTATCCCCCAGTATATCCTCCAGAGTATTCTCCTCCACCTGCGCTGGAAGATTCCTGAGTCGCTAGGCATAGTAGATCCAGGATTCTTGGACCAGGCGTATCAAATGGGTTAGTTGTTATCGTGATGGTGCCCTGGCGCATCCGCTTGTTCTGGTTCACCCAGTTTGGACATTCCTCTATTCCCGCCGGAATCTTCAATGAACCTCATGCCAGCGTATGATAATTTAGATTCCCTTTTAGCAGGCCTGGGTCGTTTTGTTACGGCGGAGAAGCTTGAGTGGGCGAAATCCACCACCCATGTTGATGATTGCGAGCTCACTGCTTGAGGGTTTCTCTCCACGATTGAGCTATTTGTGGGCCAATAATTGTTGGAACTGGTGGAAACGGGAACTCTAGCTGTTGTTGTTGATCTTGAAGCTGCCGTGAGCAGGTGCTTCTTCTGGCTGCGCGCTGCCACGGTAAGGGTAGTTGCTGCCACGCTGGAAACAACGGATGACAATAACAGAATTGCCAGGTTCGCGGCAGGTAAAGTAGCCGATGGCCAGGACTTGGTTGCTTTTGCACTACCATTATGGTAGTTCATCTCGTCGTCTGTGGCTAGTGCAATTTGCTGCATCTCGACTTTATCCTCCAGAAAGGATCGCAGTGCAATGACCAGTTTCCTCTGCTCTTTGAGTTCCTCTTCCAGCTTCTCAGACTTGGTTTCGAGAGCGATTGATAGTTTTTCGACACTCGTCGTTGCTTGCTTGGAGACGTCAAGTTGGTCTTTCTGACCATTCTGTGTCGCAAGCTCTGCGGTGGCTTGTTCAAGATCTTTCAACCTGGCTTGAAGACTTGAGACTTCGCTGTGTAGTTTCGTCCGAAGTTCTTCAACGCGCTGCAGTTGTTCATCTTGCATGATATTATGGGCCCTGGCATTGCGCTGCAGGACCTGTATTTGCTTGTCGAGTTCGGCAGGAATGTCGGCCACTCGGATAGCCTCCAGTATCTGGGCGCACTGGAAAGGCTGCAGGGGTTGGTCAGGTAGGCGTTCAATCGATTTTCTGAAAGGGGATGTAAGTAGTCAAATTTCCCCCACGAGCGCTAAACTTACATAACTTGCAGTGATAAAAGCGAATTTACAGCTTGCAGAGGTTGCTCTACCTGACGTCGGAGTTTATCGACCTTTCCAGAGAGTTCTTTCACAGTGTACTTGATTGTTTTTGGAGCCTTGCTTAGTGATGATCTTGTGGAGGACTCCCCTAACGATGCTTCGTATTTGTCCAGAAAGACCTTGAAAACCTCCAAGGGTTCACGAATCAACTGGGCCAGCTTGGAAAGGTCTCTAGAGATGTCATCCTGGGCAGAGGAGGCTCCTATTTGCTTCTCAAGATGCTGAAGAGTGGATGTAAGGCTGTTCAGAAAGGCCACTTCAGAGGCATACTTGGCTGATGCCCCCCCAGTCTCCTTGAAAGCACTGAATACATTGACAAGAAGCTTCGTTCCAGCAATGAAGTCGCCTACAGAGAAGCCGAACGCTGGTGCAACCATGATCGATATCAAGGCTTCCGCAAAATTGGAAATGAAAGAGAGATGTGACAAGGCTGGGGAGGAAAGGAGCCCCAAATTTGTGGCGGTGGCTTGTTTTGCGCTAAGCTCGGTTTGGGGGTTGGACGTCCGAAGCGGCAGTGAGGATGAAGTTGTGAAACTGCGAAGTTTCCTTCAGCTGTATCTCCTGCATCAACACTGGGCCCTTTAAACTTGCCATATCCTAGCAAGAATCTCAAACTTAACGATACTTCAGCAACATCTCTGACTTCTCAACTGTGACATATCTTCAACTTATCGGCTTTCAGCACCATGCTTCGTTTACGGAAGACCTAACCTTATGGCTCTCTTCAATGTGGGAGGGGGCACGCATATTCTTAATCGTCTTCCTACTTCAGCATTCTGCTGCTTGCGGGCCTTGTTTTGATCCTGATATATATGATCGACTACGTTCTGATTGCCATTGCCAATAGTCTGGAAAGAATCCAATCTCTAATCAACTCCTGTAAAGGAACCTGGACCAGACCATATTGGCAACTCGGATGGCACTCACTGGAGGGGTTCGCAGACGCGCAAACGCCGCTGTTGGTTGGGATTGAAGGGGGCTCAAATGAAGGTTGTGTTGCCCTGCACGCACTCTGCGGCCGCTGCTATAGGATTACGATGGACTCAGAGCTCATATGCGGATCGATGTTTCCTCTAGTACGGCGTCGCGAGCTTCACACGTGGAACTTCCCCTTAAACGGTCAATGTTTAAGTGAGACGGCTTGTCATTTACGCCGTACATGATGGTTCTCAATTGCAGTGGCGGAAAGAAGCGGCATATCCTTTCGTTACGCAGGGCGCAATGCAGCCGCGCGCGTTGCCATCTGGAAGAAAAGAAAAAGCGACAAAAGCTCCAAGCTGTGGATCCAAAGTTGTTACTCCGATGAAGCCCCTTTGGGCACGAAACTACCGCTCACAGGTAAATACACACCACACTGTTTCATAGACCGTGAATAACAGTCCGCAAGCGATACAGCGGAGGCACGCACACTCCGATGGACCGTGAAATTGCTGCTCAAGCCATTGTGCAGGCAATATCAGGCACACAGCCTCTCACAGGACATGGCTATGGACTTTGGGAAGCGCATCTCCTATCTGACCTCCTATGGTATATCGGCGACTTCCGAACCACCGCTCCCCAAATGTCTTATCCCGTGCCGACGTGGTCGTGGCTTGCCGTCGACGGAAAAGTGGGCTCTCGTCAAGCTGTACGGTCCGATGAAATCAGAGGATCCGCCAGCCGTGTCATCACAACGGCGCAATTGGTGTTAGATAATCCTAGCCCTCTGTCTGGATTACAGCTGGAGTACCTTCTGACATTAAGATGTCCTGTTCTGCGCGGGGTTGAGGTCACACGCACGTCTGTGGTGACGGGCTACTGGATTTTCATCGTAACGCAGTTTGAAAAGGCGAAAACTGTATTTCGACCAGGCACAACGGATGTCGATACTTCTGAGCTCATGTTCTGTGCCGAGCTGGTCAGAGGAGTATTTTTTGCGCGGACAGATAAAAAGGAAAGAACCGAAGCATGGAGTAATGGCATTGTGCTGAGGAGGTTTGACCTTGGTCGAATGGATAGGCCGGTTTACAAAGAGTCGGCAGGTTTTGGATGCAGTGGCCCGTGAACGAGAGGTGGGGCTTCAGAGAGGGTCCAGATGAAGAAAAGATTCTCTTTGACAGGAGAAAGAGCCAGCTCGTTAGAATCATTTGATTTTGTGTGTACCCAGGACGCAACTCAGGGAGAAACATTGGTAATGCTCATTCATTGCTCTTCTTATCGCGATAACCTCAACACGAAGCTAACGAGATATCGATACATTGCGGTCGCTTCCCTTGTATCCCAGTAGTTCCGCCGCCAACCATTAGAAAACATAAATCCTTGGGTATAATGATACACTCAGTGTCCCGATGCAAAGACATTAGTACGTAAAGACAGTAGCGTGGAGTAATCTCAACGCCGCAGCGGAGTTTTGAGAGAAAAGATGAGTCCTTCAGAGTAAAATGCAGCAGCGACACTTCTGTAGACCCCCTGATCAGATGACAAAAGACAAATACTGGCTTGGAATGGCAGGAACAAAGATGATGAGATGCGACCAGCACCCAAATCCACAAGGCGCTGCTGCAAGTTTGCAGTATCCCCAACGCCTTCCTGGGGTATCATGCGGTTCGTGAATGGCGATTCCAGTTGATGATAGCAGTGAAGTAAAATGTGTCAAAGACGTCAAAGGCCAACCAATGTGCTGACCAAAGCGCAGAATCTCGAAAAGCCGCTGGTGGAACTCCGAGACTGACCTAAAGATTTTTTCGTTTCTGCTTGCGAACCCCGGTGGGTTTGCTCGCGGGATCTGACGCCTTCTTCGAAGCAGCACGGGTCTTCTTCAGCTGCCTACCAGCCTCCACCTCATCAGCCTGGTTGAGTTGGTCCCCTGAACCGCTCGATGTATTCTTGGAAGTTTTTTGGGAAGAGCCAGCCCGCGATGTCTGGGTGCGCTTTCGCTGGTTCCTCACGGGCTTAGCAGGCGGCTTGGGCTCCTCACCGGCCACAGCCTCCCCACCCTCGTCGACTTCCACCCCGGTCTCGTTGACACAGTTCTTGATGTTTGTCCTGGAGGCGCTGGCTCGAGATTTCCGCGTGGACTTTGGTTGCGTTGCTGCCGGCTTCGGGGCCGCTTCACTCTGGGCCTCACTCTGAAGTTCATCAACAAAAGGCGCTCCGGTGCCTGGTGTTGTTAGTATATCGCGGTAACTTGAGGCGACAGACATACCAGCACCATCTTCCGCAGCCTTCTCCTTTTTTGAAATCTCTCGGCCGGCTTTCAGAAACCCTTGACGCTTGTCGTTCTGTTTGCGGTTCTGCTCGCTCGTTGTGTATATTTCCTCCGGCGATGCAACGTACAAGGCCAGCTCGGCGCCTTTGATCAACTTCTCACAGCGGCTCTTGAAATCGCGCATCAGCTTCACCATCCAATCAATGCGGGTACCAAACGTCCAGTCCTTTGTCTTGTAGATGCACTTGTTGAACTCCTTGTCATGGAAGGGGAGATGGGAGGCACCTTGATGCGTGTGCATCTCTTCAGCAATTTTCTGCGCATGATAAGCTGCTGTTCCGCTGAGGGGCCGGCCATGAGGAAGACTTACAAGAACATCCCAACACACCTTCTCCATGATGGCGGGATCATAGTAATCGACGAAATTGCCAGCGCGATCTTTCTTTTGCCAGCGTGACCCATATACGGACCCGGCCCGGTCATGCACATCTGTGCGGTTCTGAAGCGCCTCAAGGAGACGAATTACGATCTGGACACGATCTTGTTGCGTCTTTGGGAGCGTATTGTCGGGACGCACCGGAGTCCAGGCCGGTCCAGGGCATGCTCTGTCGGCTTCTTCGTAGCTGCTAAACATCAGGGTGATGCTGGGCTTAGGTGTTTCACCGCCGTCAGGAGCAGTGCCTGTGCTATAGTTGAGAGATGTAACGTTAGCGTCGGCCTCGTTGTCATCAGAGACGGAGGGTGCGTCCGACATCTCGCAATCGTCGTCTTGCTCCACGGGACGAACGCTTGGAGAAGCATGGTCGCCGGCGGGAACTGCTTCTGGTGATGTCGAAGCTGAGAAAGTGTTGCCACTGGCTTCGGAGACGGGGGTATTGGCATCAACTGCAAGCTGGCAAGGGACCATATTCGGGACGGGAGCAGTGAAGTGCACAAGGTTGCTGCTCAATGGCGCGCAAGCACTGCTCTCTATTAGCGACGGTGAAAGCATTGGGATTGGAAAATATACCTTGACTGAAGCTCCAGCTGGGGGTCAATTGGGATATCCGCGCAGAACTGCTGATGGATCCCCGGGAATTGCTGAGCATCCATTTCGCGGGGAAGACAGGGCTCGTTGTAGTTGCTCTGAAAGTGCCCAAGCTCACTCCATTGCAATCCCCCGTCGTAGCCCATGACCGCTTCGTGAAAGTCGGACCCAGCAAACGCGTCGGTGAAAGTGGTGTTCTCATTGTATGTAGGTAACGACAACAAAGGGTCAATCTGATCCTGCTCGCCCTGTATGGTCCAGGAGCCGTGCTCAGCTTCAACCCACTGGTCAACAGGACCGCCAACGTCAATCGAAGAGTGCAACGAAGCAACACCGCGGCGATGAGCGAGAGATCCCATGGTTGTGGTTGACGCGAGTGTACCGTGTAAAAACGCGATTGTAAACAAGCGAGTACAAGAGGAGAGACAGAACTGTCGCAAGAGCACTGTACAAAAAGTCGTTGTAACGGTTCAAGAGTGACAGGACAAGTTGGAGTTGAGAAGAGAAGAAGGAAAGCAGTCAGAGGAGTGGTTAAAGTAGGACACCGCAAAGCGCAAATTTCCCCAGCCCCACTCTTCACCTTCACCACTTGAAGCGGCGGTGGTGAACTCGCGATACATGACATCATCGCAGTCCAAACCCTCCTCAAGGAGGCCGAAAAAGGAATTTGTGTGGTAGATACCATTGTTTACGGAGCGCTCTCCGGTCCTAATCCGTGCGGCCCGGGTGTATTGTAGGGGCTTTGGGAGCCGATAATGTAGGACTTTGACAATGGCGATGAATAGTCATTGTTCGCTGCGTCAACAATGTAAACACCAGATCGTTTTTGGGTGACAAGTCTCTCTGAAGGCGCCGGAAACTCCCGCAAAGGCCACACAGGGGAGGGAGAGAATGGTGGTCTCCCATAATAAGAGTGCTCATTGAGTTATTGATTTGTGACATGAGAATAAAGTCATATAGCAGGCGCGGATATTGAATGAAATGAGACAAAACTGGAACTTCTCGATCTGGAACCTGCGATGAATCCGTGAAGATGGGGAGTAAAAAGAAGAATCAAGACCCAGAGAAATCGGGTTGAGATGCGGCCATGGCATGAGTGAAGAACGTAAACTTGGGGAACAGAACGAAGGGATTCAAGAACAGAATTGATGGTTTCAGAAATGATAGAGGTTGCTCTATGAGCGTTTTCGAGGACTGACCTCTGTGGAGCATGTATATTTGAATTGACTTTTCGCGAACTTACCAGAACAGATACAACAGATGAAAGAAAACGTGTTCGGTTCACCTTGATTATCTCAATATATTTGTCTATCCGCGGTGGGTGAGCGCGTAGTTCCAGTGATTGGTATATACGCTGTAATCGAGGAAGGCGATGATGGACGGGTTACCTAGGGTAGTGTAGTACTGACATTTCAGCAGGCGCGTATTGGCTATATCCGCGGCAAAGTTTTCACCAGTTTGGTTTCTTTGGCCTCTTCAGCTGGTAAGATTTCGATCGTCGAGCCATTCTCAAAACCCGATGATGGGCGATGCGCCGACACTCTACCCGCGCCGGTGCTGTTCTTGTTCGAGGGCGGAACCATCAAGTGCGCAGCGCAGCGTTAACGCCCAGGGGCTGTTTTCTGTTAGTGTTTACATATGAGCAGGGCAAGACGTAAGAGTAGGTTGTTGGATACATCGCCGACGGGATCAAGATGGAGTTTCCCGGAGCGGAAGCATTCGCTACGCCGTCCCGGCCGGATTTCTCAAATTAAAGCCGATACAACAACAAACTTACTTCCATTGAGTCCGCGGCCGGGGATTACGCCTTTAATGAGAAGTAAGTGGAGAAGTTAGAAGTCGGTTTGCTGGTAAGTCTGACAGGCGTTCCTGGTAGACGAGTCCAGCTGACCATTAAGCGGTCTGTCAGGGCGTACAAGCTGCTTACCACAGGTATACGTCTAGTCTAGCTCTACGACATAACATTATAACGTACCTCACGGGCGAGTCGGTCACACAGGCGAGTCGGTCACTATGCCAAGACCCCACCAGAATGTAAACTCCTCAGGAGAGTATAAAACAATTATGAATAATTTTTAAGAGTTGTAGTAAGCCAATCTCTTTAAAATCTATTTATACTTCTTTCTTACATGTACGTGAATTATGCCCAGTCTCACCGCAGCATGTACAATGTCGTTGTGTAGGCTTACCTTCATCAGCACGCACCTTCTTCTTCACCTTCTTTCCATCATCACACACTGCAGACTCGCTTAGGGTAGCTAACCGTAGACCCTCTCCAGCTGTTAAGATCCCTTCACGCTGTACTCGTTTT